GAGATATGAAGCACTTGGGAAGTTTGGAGAGCACTCAAGAAGCTAGAGTTGTCATGAAATCAGTACATTAACGGCTAATTATGTACGTATAATTAGTGTTCATTATGTACGTCACTAATGAGATAAAGAAGTATTGACTAACTGGAATAAACACAAGTTCACACACAGTTCAGTCTGATTGATATCTCCGAAACTGGTGCCGAGACCCTTGTAAAAATGTCCAAGGAAGAACCGAAACTGGAACTGGAACTGAAACACCACAAGGCAGTCAGAGGGGCATACAAAGGACACTGCAACCAAGACATCAAACGCGCGGAGCGACTTCTGACTGATACCGATGCTACAAACATCACAGAACAGAAAGCAATTGCAGAGCGACTTTCAAGACGATTGGACGAAATAAAAGCCATGGATTCCGTGATCTTGAACGCCCTAGCAAAGGACGAAGAGATTAGTGAAGAGGCAGATCACGCATTAACATTCCAAGACGGCATCCATTACTGGATCCTGAAAATTAAAGAATTTGTGACCGACGAGTACCAGCCGGTGAGTACGTTCCAAACTAAACCAGCAACTCGAGTCCACATCAACCTTCCAAAACTGCATATCCAACCATTTGACGGAAACCCACTCGAATGGCTAACGTTTTGGGATAGTTATAGTAACGCCGTACACAACAATCACGAACTGAACAACATTGACAAAATGAACTATTTGAAAGGACTGATAACTTGCAACGCAGCGCGCGCGATTTCAGGCTTGCCAATGACGTCACAAAACTATGAAAAAGCCATTGAAATGCTAAAAGAACGTTTTGGAAGGAAACAAGTTCTAATCAACGCGCATATGGAATCGCTTTCAAAAATCAGCGCGCCCTCAACTGATGTGCAGCAACTACGAAAATTTTACGATAGTTGCGAGAGCAACATTCGCGCGTTAGAAACGCTGGGAGTCCAGACAGATTCATATGGAAGTCTGTTAATTCCAATTCTGCTAAAGAAGTTACCGGAACAATTACGTTGTACAATATTCAGAACAAATTCTCAGGCAGATTGCTCCCTAAATGATTTACGAGCAGCGCTTTGTCATGAAATAGAAACAAGGGAAAAGAGTCAACTTACGCAAGAAAACGACACAAGCTCAGTAGTCGACGACGTGCTCGCACCCACAGTTGGCGCCTTACTCGCAAACACTCAACCGCGCCAAATACACAAGCCACCAAAAGGCTCCGATACGAAGGAGAGATTTGAGCTAAAACCATGCATATATTGCGACGGTAAACACCGTCACACCAATTGCTCAAAAGTAAAATCAACAAAAGAGAGAAAGACCATATTGGCGCAGAAAAATAAATGCCTTAACTGCCTCCGATCAGGCCACACAAGGTATCAATGTCGCTCAAAAGGAAGATGTCTAAATTGCGGGCTAAAACACCATACGTCGATCTGTGAACCAAGCGAGCCTAATCGAGATTCAAGCAAGAGAAACGAAAAACAAGAAGACCCACAAAACAGCAAAAACGTCACGTCCGCAATGACAACCTTAACAAGTACAACGACACATACAAATACACTTATGCAAACTGCACTGGTCACAGCAAGCGGACCAGCTACGAGTTGCCAAGCACGCATCCTTATCGATACCGGATCGCAAAAGACATTCATTACGCAATACCTCAAGAATAAGCTACATTTGAAAGCCGTTCAGAACGAGATACTAGACGTAGCCACATTTGGTTCAACCAAAGGCACTCCAAAATCCTACGAAGTCGTAACACTTACCTTAAACGCGGTAAATAAAGGCGTCACAATAACAGCCTTAGTCACGCCCATCATCTGCCCACCGCTCTCAAGCAAGCTGTTCGTTGTATTTGCAAATAAGCTCTGGGTGTTTTCCTTTTAGTAGTACCTGGAACAAGACACTACGAGTTACCGCGCTCGTTATACTTTTCACCGGGAAACTGAGAGGGAAAACAAAATCTGACACAATTACTACCATAGACATGAAACACGCTCGCATCGTTCTACTCCAATCTGTACAACAATTCTACTATAGAGACATCCTATCTAAAATCAAAGACAAAGCTAAAAGCAAACGGCCAGCAATAATACAACAACTTAGCCTCTATTTAGATGATGATGACTTGATACGATGTCGCGGAAGGCTTCAATACGCACAACTTCCACAGAACACCAAGTTTCCAATATTGATGCCGAAGGAGAGTCACTTGTCAACTCTTATTGTTAGAGCAACTCACTGCATGGTTTTGCACGGCGGCGTACGTGAAACCTTAACGGAACTCAGGCAGTCCTATTGGATACCTAAAGGCAGACAGCTGGTAAAAAAGGAAATAAGGAAGTGCGTCACTTGTAGAAAAGTAGAAGGACCACCATTTCGCTCAGTTAACGCTCCTCCATTACCATATATAAGAGTCACAGGGTCCCAACCCTTTCAGGTGACGGGAATTGACTATGCCGGACCATTATACGTGCGTAATGCCCACAAAGAAGTCGGAAAAGTCTACATCTGCCTATTCACCTGTGCAGCAATACGAGCAGTACATCTTGAATTAGTAGAGGATCAAACAGCCAGCGCATTTTTGAGAGCCTTCAAGAGATTTGCAAGTAGAAGAGGAATTCCAGAATGCATAATTTCGGATAACGCGAAAACGTTTAAAGCAGGTTCACAAGATCTAAAAGCCCTCAAAACACAAGTGATAGAAGCAACCGAGTCTCAAAGGTTTCTCGCTAACCATGGCATCAAATGGAAATTTATCACAGAAAGAGCCCCCTGGTGGGGTGGCTTTTATGAGCGACTAATCGGACTAGTCAAAAGAAGGCTGAAGAAAATGATTGGAAACACGTCGCTGAATTCTATCGAATTACAGACCATACTTACAGAGATCGAAGCTACACTTAACAGTCGGCCACTTACTTATGCATATACAGACATCAACGACGGTCCACCCCTTACCCCATCCCATTTCCTCTGTGGACACAGGCTTCTGACACTGCCAGATACAGAAGAAGACTCCGACTACATCCCTCAAGATTCGGCTAAAGATCTAACTAGACGAGCGAAGTACCACCAGAAAATAATGCAAGCTTTCTGGAAACAATGGCAAAGGGAATACTTAACCGGTCTCAGGGAACAACATTCATCGCAGAAAAACAAAACCATATCGGGGGAACCAGTGACTCGAGGAAAGGTTGTTCTAATACATGACGAAACACCGCGAAATCAATGGAAACTCGGAGTCATCATTCAACTACATCAGGGGAAGGATGGGTTGGTGCGCTCTGTCACCCTAAGAACAGCAAGAGGAAACCTGATCTCAAGACCTATTGAGAAACTTTACCCTCTTGAAGTGTTAGCCGAGGAAGATAACCTACAAGGCTCTGAAGAGAAATTCAAGAACCATAAAGAAATTAGATCGACAGGCCAAAAACGAACACAACGAGCTGCTGCTCAACGAGCTGCAATAAAAATAAATGAACTCTCTAAACTTAATGAACTTTAAATACTATTACCTTTTGACAGTGTAAATATCTATGATCGGCATTTAATGGCTGGCCCGGGAGGGTGTCATGAAATCAGTACATTAACGGCTAATTATGTACGTATAATTAGTGTTCATTATGTACGTCACTAATGAGATAAAGAAGTATTGACTAACTGGAATAAACACAAGTTCACACACAGTTCAGTCTGATTGATATCTCCGAAAAGAGTTGCTCTCGGTTACGCCTCGAGCAACTCTTACGCATCTTTCGTGCTCTCCAAACTTCCCAAGTGCTTCGTATCTCGATGAACGCACGCTGACGTGTGAACCAATTGTTAATTGAAGTTTGATCGTTTGTTTTGTTTCAGGGTCGCTTTCTCGTTGTTTGGGATAGAAATGATACTTAAGCAAGAAATGATGCAATTTGGGAATAAATCGCACTACCGAGAGCCAGTCAGATTACAAGGGTCACCAGTGATTTCCAAATGGGTGTAACAAATCTGTCACAATCAAATGGCTGAAAATTCGTTCCCGTTTTCTTTTTTTGCTACCAGTAAATTAAGGCTTGTAAACTTTGAATAGAGCGAATGCGCCGCTGAATGGACTTACACTATACCAAATCAACACTTACCGTTTCTTTTCCAAAAACACCAATAAATTTTTGGATAACTTCATTGTTGTCGCTGGCGATGAAAATCTTTCTTGGCTCAGGCAAAGTTTCAAGAATTTCTCGTGCTCTCTCCACCCAGCTTATCACGGACGGCAGCTTGTGATCTTTCGCTTCCATACTGTGATCTGTTGCTCTAACTTGAACTCCTAAAAGAGTGAACCCCGCCATATTTCGACGAAAAAATAGGTCTGCTCTCTCTTTTACTCGAGAATTGGGCTTAACATACTGATGAATTAATTTGCTTACACGGATTCTTTCCGCTGTTGTTATGATCCGGCTTTCACCATATCCCACAACGTCGCTTCTATCACTAAAACTATTATCTATGATCCTAGTCCTTAAATCAGCTTGATCCATGTGACTAAAATGCTCTAACCTGACTTCTGTAATATCCTTAAGGATTAAAGGACAAAAAACATTTTCAACTTTTGATTCCATTCCTTCGTTAACAGGCTCGAAATACCACATCCACGAGTTTACAGCGGGGTCCGGCGCGCAAGCGGAATTACAACCTCTCCAGAACACAGTTTGCTGGTTGATGCCCAGAGCGCGACACGCCATTATATGATCCAACGTGTACAGGAGAAAGGAAGAGAACCCACCGCCGCCACATTCAGTCATTGCTGGATCTACAACACAAACCGCCGTTCCAGAAGTCCCATCAGAATTTTTCCTGGTCGCACCCACAAGTCCGTTCACTTTCTGAAAGCGTTCTCTTAAAATTTTAGTCTTTGACAGAAACCTGAAGCTGTGGTTTAATTTGCTTTTCACTTGTGTAGTTGATTCATCCCTTTTCGACGATTGGTGATAGAAGCTGAAAAGCAAAATAACGGTTGAAACAAGCCATGCTGAAATTAGATATCGAAGCAGGAAACGAGCAGGTTTGAAATTTTTGATGGTAAAATTTCCGCACAGCCCCATCCTACTCTTGAACAGAGAAAACAGTGACAAAACAATAGATTGCCTTTGGGAAAACAGATTTGTTTTACAATAGTAAGGAGCTGTGCGGAAACTTTACCCAGGGGACAGCTGCAAACTAATGTATATTGGTGCAAACAAATATATGTGGATGTAAACAAATATATATTATAACATAGCTTGTAAATTTGTCTAATTAAATTCAATTTCGCGAGCGTGCTTCATATTCCTACTGTGCACGCTCGTGACGTCAGGAAACAAATCCCTCGAGAGAAAAAATTTTCCATCGGGTTGAAAATGTTATAAAACAATTGGTTCATACGTCAGCTGTGCGTTCATCGAGATATGAAGCACTTGGGAAGTTTGGAGAGCACTCAAGAAGCTAGAGTTGCTCTCGGCTAAGCCTCGAGCAACTCTTACGCATCTTTCGTGCTCTCCAAACTTCTCGCGTCCTTCATATCTCGATGAACGCACGCTGACGTGTGAACCAATTGTTAATTAATGCAAAAATAATAAAACATTACGTAAAAGTAATAAATGTTGCTGCAAATTAGTAAAAGCTCCAACAAATAAAAGCAAACATCACGGCAAAGTAATAAATGCTGCTGCTAACAAATAAATGTTATTGCTTCAAACAATTAAAAGTTGTTGATAACAAAAACCAAGAATCTCTGCGCGCGTGCAGGAATCGGGAGAGACTGGCACTAGTTGTTCAATGTCCAGAATGGCTTAGAATTTAATAGCTCTAAATGACGGGAATAGCGATGCTGTGATGACTAACCCAAGTGGAGATGTTTTGTACCCACTGCGCTGCCGAGGTTCTTTCCAGCGCCGCCAACTTCTGTTATTCTTGTGGTAAAGAGCTTAATGAAAAAGCGGATGAGCCAAAATCTCGAAAATTGTCCTATGAAGACTTTAGAAAGCGGAAAGCAGGGGAACATGGTTCGAAGTTTTGTAAGAAGGCTAAAAGAAATGCCCCGATTTTCAAAAATACTGAAGCAAGTGAAGTTATAATTCAGATTGGGGTGATGATATGGAAAGATGGAGAGCCAGCGACAAGGAGAGGAAGCAGTTACCTTTGAAAGTACTTTCCAACGCGACTTCCGTGGTACTAAAAGCTAAAGCAGTGGCGAAGCAAAATCGCTTCAATTCCAGTTTAATCAAGAGCGACAAACGTTAGGATACAGCTTCTCTATCCCGACAAGTCAGAAGTACTAAGAGATTTCATATGGCAAAAGGGTCTCGAGTTTACTCTTGGGAAATACAAAGAAGAACTCGGGAAACCATACTCCCGAATAAGTTTTTATCTCTGCAGTAACATTGACTACCTGAGTTACGTTGCGGATGGCGTTGATTCCTCAGATCAGTCTGAAGGTCAGTCAGTTGAAGAATCTGATGATAGCGTTGGACAAAGGTCTTCAAAAAGTGCCCCGACTTTAGCTCCAAGTAAGGTATATACTATAATCAGAGAATATTTGCTCTTGATCTATTTCTATCAGTATATTTGCTTTGGTCCAATAACTATGCATTGTTAATTCTTTTTCTATCTTTTTACCCGCTTGCCTGCCTGCCTTATTTAATGACTTTATTATTTATATAGCGCAAAATACATGGGTATATGATCTAATGCGCTTATTTTATTCCCAGTAATATTCTGAATGAATCTTGCTCTTACCTCTTTTCATCTGATGTTAATTATTTGCTCAGCTGGTTTTGTTTGTTTGCTGGTGTGATTTTTGGTATATCACTACAATTTTATAGTGTAATGCAAATTAATTCGTTGCTAGTTACCTCAGGTGGATGTCTTAAGTTACTTACCTTATCCAAGTGAAAGTACAAGTACAATTACCAGAATTACCAGTACAACCATGAGTACAAGTACAAGTGATGCACAAGATGCACAAGAATGTGATTTTATTTGTGTTGAAGATGGCCAGGTAATCAACAGTTAATAATGCAATGTCTTGCAATTATAGATTTCCTATATTTTGCAACAACAACAACAACTTTGGCAACCAAAGAACGAGGGACATGCACATGGTGTCTTAAACGCGAGGCATGCCAGATATTTCTGTAACCTGCAAGTCTTCCTGCACCTTCGATTTCTCTTCTAATTCAATCTGGGATTCGTCCATTTCTGTTTTTCCTTTTCTTTTCAGTCTTAGATCAATCAGCCTTCTTTTAAGTGTTGTCAGGTGCATTTTGTAGCTGTTTTTCACGAGTAAATGAACGATAACATCGTGACGGTAACCGCGATGGAACATTTCTGTTATTAAATCATTTGCTGACACTGCTGACGAATCGTCACTCATCTCAGATTTTGGCTCATCTGCTTTTTCATTAAGCTCTTTACCACAAGAATATCAAAAGTTCGCAGCTATGGAAAGAACTTCCGCAGCGCAATGGGTACAAAACATCTTTACTTCTGCTAGTGATTACTGCATCGCAATTCCCGCCATTATATTAAATAGCTCGTGCCAGTCTCTTCCGATTGCTGCGCGCGCAGAGGTTTGCAGCAACTTTTACTTATTTGCAGCAACTTTTATTTGTTTGAAGCAATGACATTTATTTGTTTGCAGCAGCATTTATTAAATTGCCGTAATGTTTGCTTTTATTTGCCGGAGCTTTTACTAATTTGCGGCAACATTTATTAAGTTTAAGTAATGTTTTATTATTTTTGCATCAATATATTTAACAAATAGAGAAGCCTTGACTGTGCTCTGTTCTGTTATAAAGCACGCAGGAAGCGGCTAGAGCACGAAAGAAGTGTAGGGAGAAACACTCGACTACGTCTCGTGTTTCTCCCCACTTCTTGAGTTACTGTGGTTTTTACTCACAGACAAGACTTACTGAAAATGGCTTGAAAGTTGTGACATGTTGCCAGCGGGACGTGCCATTTAATAGATACTTACTGAGGCAGTTAGGGTTATGAGATATATTGCAGCCAGCTCAGGGCAGCCTCAGTAATTATCTATTAAACATTGCTGAACGTGGTACTATTTTTTTTTTAATACTGAAAACTAAATCAGCTAGCAGCACTCTGCGAACTGTTGCTGTAAACCTTGTTTTATTCTCCGACGCGTTTCGTCTATTTGTCGTAGACTTCTTCAAGAGTTTTACAAATATTTATTAGCCATAGTTAGCAGCCATTACGTGAGCTAGAAATCCCAAATCTTTATCTCACCTTACCTTAAAAATTTGTCTGTTCCTGTTCGTAAATCCGGTCAAATCTTTATTTGTAATAGCTGCTAAGTACGGCTTATGAATACAGGCGTTTAGGATTTACGGAGAGTAACACAAGTTTTACAACAACTGTTCGCAAAGTGCTGCTCACTAGTTTAGTTCTATAAAAATGGTTTAAAAATTAATAAATTTGTAAAAAATTGTTCTGTTAGTTTGTTAAAGGTCCTATAAAAAGCGTGAGAACGATATTTGAAAAGTCGTTTAGCTAACACACAAAAGCTTTAGATAGGTTTTCCACAAATCCTCTGGTCAAGTAGCAAACGGATTCGTATTTACGAATTTGGTTATTAAATCACAACGGATCTGCGGATTCACCCCTCGGTAATGGAGCAATAGTTGTAGACGGTTTGTGGGGACTCGAGCCTATTGGCCATAACACCGTTCAGTTCATTTCCACGGCAATGTGGAGCTTCTTTTTATAAGTTTTTCCATTAAGGCCTCGATCATCGTGGAAGGACATAAGATTTCGCAACAAATTGCCCATTCTCATCCATAGAGGGCATGGGGAGCCTGGTAATCAGCGCCTGCGCAAACACGACGAAAGTGCCTTTATGGAAGGACTGTATACGATATGCGATATACAGGCTTTGCCACAGGAAGCTCATGTGATAATAAACATAAGAAATTTATGCACAAGAAATAAATCCACCCATAAACAAGCGGAAAGAAACCAGTCATATAGTTTCAGAGTTTAACAATGCGAAACGAGTAGACAGACCGCATTCTTATTAAAGGTGGACTAAAGGGTTACACTTTATACTCTAATATCGGTATACAAATTCTCCATTTTGTTTAAAAATCAAAAGCTTCTTTATCTAATGATTATTTCCTTTATTGTAAGGAGAAATTTGATGCCAGTCAGTCTGACAGGTAAAAGGATTCAGACAACCAAATGAATCGATAAAGACAAACATTTTATTCAATTAAGACACAGGTGAGTTTGCCTATCCTCAAAGTTCAGAGGGACTGGAAAAGAACTATTAGATAAATTATGATTGGTCAGTGGTTTCCAATAGCAACTATTGAGTAAAGTCAAATATACAAGTCAAAGTCAGGCAACATGAACTCTTCCCAAGCAATGAAAAAAAAATATGAATGGAAGGCTTTAAAACGAAAAGGGGAACTTTCAGTAAATAAAAAAAGTTAAGCGTTTAAACCACATATACTCCATTTCCTTGCAAAACTGGTTTTTCAGGAACAACTGGTTTTTCCTTGAGCATTTTAACAATAGCCTCCAAACTCATGGCCATCCTTAAATCACCATCAACTTTCAAAGAGCCTTGCATGTAAGCATCAAAAGCTGTTGTCTTTCCATAAAATATCTGCTGCATATCCTGCACCCTCATGGTGAGCACCACATTGGGGTTATCGCCCGGATTCTCGGTATATATTTTTCCATGTCCACTCCTTAGATCTAAATACCATGTTCCTCCATTTTCACCAACAATGTTGAATTGAAACATGCCACCAATTTCCTGTACAAGTTTCTCACTTAGAACACCACTGACCAGCTTGACAAGCTGCTCAGGAGTAAGCAGATTGGACCCAGGCTCTCCGTTAGAAGACTGTGATGGGTCAGCTGATAAAGCCATGGGGGTAGGGAGAGTGGGTCCACTTCGGGTACTGCTACCTCCAAAGGCTGCAAATGGAAAGGAAAAATGTCCATGTAGACATTTCTACAACATAAAAACGCCGCTTATCTAAGAATGATGATAAATTTAGTTTCACTTCATGTTTGAGTACAGAAGAATCTCATTTTCACCAACCAAACTCAACCCATTCATTTGGGCTTGTCTGACACGGGTTTCATTACAATTTTTGCCATATGCAGCTACTGATGATGTGATCTGCAGCTGTGTACAAATAAAGGGGCTGTAAGCAAAAGCCAGACATGAGCGCCAGTTTGCAGAAGGAGGTGATAGGTCTTACAGGCAGTTGCAGACTGCTGATAACCAGTTTTTACTGAAACTCTTGTCTGCTAACACAAACATAGGAGAGCAGACCAAAGGCCATATTACACTACAAGCCCTGAACTACAGACTCAGAGCTCCATTGATCTTCCTCTGACTTACAGAGAACTTTATGGTTAGCTTGGTCATGACTAAGTTTATATGCAACATGTATTCTACACGCTGCTAGGATCAGCAAACATCTAAAGCATTGTATGAATAAACATATTAGGAAAGAGTGACCACAAATTTTGTGCTTGGTAGTGAAATAGAGAAAAGAGTTTTCTTATTTCTATTTTCAATCTTGACATGAGTCTGGGACAAGAAAGGAATCTCAAGTAAAAAGCTACTGAAATACTGTAGTCATAAATCATTCATACAAAGGATAGTGAGCCAGTTTAGCAAAACACACCTGAAAACATACTGGCCATCCCAGGATCACCAAAAGTCATATTACTAAGCTTCGTACTCTGGGATCCTCCACCAAATAAAGCTGACAGTGCACCAACAACCTCATCTGCTTCCTTTAACACACTGACCTCTGACCTTAAAGGGAAAATCAAAAAGTCGACTACAGATCTGGAACTTCCAGCAGCTTACCACATTGATTATCAACGATTATTAATATTTTGTTAATATCACTCTAAATCATTTAATTGCACTTATTGCGTCTGTTTTGGAAACACTTGTCATCCTTGCAATCTGATTGGCTCTCATTGGTGCAATTTATACACAAATTGCACCATTTAATGCTATACATCTGGCTTTTTCCCAGACCATGAGATATTAACTAAAACACGACAACCAATCAGATTTTAAGCCTTATTTAGAGAAACCAACCAAACTGCAGGAAAATGAAAGACAACTTTTACAACTTTTGCAAACCAACTCAATACTGAATCAATAACATGTTTGCATAAACTAAAGTATAGTATCTTGTTATTAGTGATTGAATTTTCAATTTCAAAAAAGATGTCGTAGAGTAGTAATTGAACTTCAAGTTGTGCAGTTTTGGTCTGAAATCATACTTGTCATATTTTAAATCATGCCTATGATTTCAGACCAAATTGCACTCCACTCAGTTCAACCACCATTATTAATCATCCTGCAAGCAGATTTGGTTTGTAGTTTACTGGAAAGAAATGGAATTTGCTGATGTGTCCCTTGCAAGGAAGACTTAGCAATTCATAAATAAAAAAGTTCTGATTTAATACACAAAAATCAACTTAAAGCTGATGATAAAAAGATAACATACTGCTGATATAACACAGATAAGTTAAGAATGGGGATTTGAGGTATTCAAAATTTACTTACATTTCAAATCTTGTTATATTTACACCCCAAGATGCAGCAGATGCATTGACCATTTCCTGTTCAGTTCAACCATGAAATAAAAGAACAGGAATTATCATTATTGTCATCAGTAAAAACCAGATCATTGGAGTTTCATTGGCTTAGCCATCATGCATTATGAACCAATTTATATCATTCCCAACAAATATGGTCAGTGTGTGCATCAGCTCAAAATTTAAACAAAGCTAAACCATTTTGATTTATCTATATTTTGGGGCATTCCACTGTTGTTGCATGATCATGAGATGATTATAGTCAATGTGAGCCCATGGAATAATTTTTAATTATCCATGGATCATTACATGGCTGGACATGCAAAGGAAGAGATGGGCCCAGGAATATTCAAATATGTAACAGGGGGTCCCAAATGAACTCTCCACTAACCTACTCACCCCCCCCCTCCCTCCTGTATTACTTACAGTTACACATTCAAACAAACACACAGAATCTCGCTAGACAGCTGAGTGTTAAAACATGATCCTCAGTCCTTGTAAAGATTTTGGTGTAGAAAAAGTAGGTAAAATTCCCTCAGGTATGAGCAAGGAGGGGAGGGAGGGAGGGAAGGATGGCTGGTCTCTGGAGGGGAGGGAGAGTTAGAGCTCCTGAACTCTCCCTCTGGATTTTATGCAACCAAATATATGGGCTTTGGGGAGGGCCAGGTCACCTGTCACAGGTATACCACACAGGTATACCACACAGGTATACCACACAGGTATACCACACAGGTATACCAACAATCTAAAACTGCAGACCAGGCATTCTAAAACACGAATGTAACCATGACAAAATAGTTTATACTACACAGATAATTAAATACTTCATGATGGTGTTACCTGGACTTGTTTGTTGATGAACTTTCTATCTTGCTGAACTTCAATAAGCTTCCTTGAACCCAAACAGTTCACAAGTGCTGTTTGAGCCAGCATACGCAAAGAGTGGTTTAAATCTTGAACAGATGTTCTGGATAAAACTACGTCCTTGATGCTGAACTGTACATCAGCTCCAACCGATGCATAGCCACCATCACTGGTGTGAATCTTGAGGGAAAAAAAATACATCAGTTTCGTCAAAACAATCTAGCAAATGCCAATGGCTCAATTTTTAGCATAAAAGCATGACACTGTGCTGCCTAATTTGGAACACAAATCTTTTAGACAACCCTGAATATTGATGCTTGATGCAGGAGTAAGTTTCACAATACTGCATTTGGTTTGCATGTGTTGTAAAGCACCAAGCGCCTTAATGGAGATCAAGTGTTCAAGCTCCAGACTGGACCATCACTCAGGGTCTTAAACCCTTTACTCCCTAATATCAGTAGGTATATTCTCCACACTGTTCTCTATACATTTCTTAAGGAGCTGACAAGGAGAAATTAGATGCTGGTCACTCTTGGGGGGTTGAAGGATGAAAATAATGGAGGAGAGTGTTGTACCTTGGCTATGAAATTTGCAAATGGTTAGGCATTCTAGACTTCTTGGATGAGGTTGATATTTACCATTAGCCCTGTCTCCTGCACCTCCGCTGTACTTGTTTGCAAGAAACTTACAAACTTCTTGCAAAGAGAAGGGAAACTAAGCTCTCTTTGTTGAGGTCTGGCCTTATTATAGTTTTTACAGGCACCCATTTAACTCCCAAGATCTGATTGTTGATTCTCTTCTCTAGTTGCTACACATTTTCTTATAAATTAGTTATGAGAATTTGGTGTTAGATTGGAATAATAACTTAAACCTTGTAAGTTTGAGTACTCTCATTACCTGTTTGCAGGAGAATGTATGGATATTATGGGGAGAAGTTTCATGTTAGTTACTTGCGGGAGTTAGAGAGTTACACCAGCTTTAAAGCTGAACTGGGCCAGCCTGTCTAGATCTCGCAAATAAATAAATAAATTAATTAATTAATAAAGGAAATACCTGTTGGGGTGGAACACTGAATGCCCGAGCTCTTGTGTCCACCCTTGTCCACACATCAATACAAGGATTAATGAACACTACTCCTGTAGAAAATGAGACACCATAATTACTACATTAAAGCATTTACCCCATGAGCTAAATATCTAATTTTTCCTTCAACAAAAAACTTGGATGATGCATTTGAAGATAAGTTTTGCCCCAAGGGGGAAGGCATTTGAACAAACTCATCTTCAAAAGTTCAAATTCTTGTTGTTGAAACCATTCTGTAAATAGAGAAAACAGGGTGCATATTTTGTTGCAATAGTCCATTTTACAGTTGTGTTTGGTTGCCAAGCCTGTGAAAAGGAATGAGGCTAAGGGTGATCTTGTTATGATACAAACCTTACTGCTTTTCAAATGCAAATCACTTTGTTATCATGCTAACTAGATACTGGTCTCTATCACAACAAGGTCACCTTCAGCCTCACTCCAAATCAAAGGCTTGGCAACTAAGTACACAACTATAAAATGGCCTATTATCATGATCAATTGTATCCAAATAGGCAACCAGTTTCTACTAGAATTTAACAAGTTTATTTAATTAAACCATCAAAAACTTAATATCAATACTTTTGAAAAATTTTCCACCAAACTAAGTAGCATCTTTTGAGTTCTTTGGAATTGAGTTTTCTTCTAACATGCTGATCATTTTCTTAATAACATTGACAAAACACAATGCAGTCATTTAGAAGTTAAGCGCTCCTCCTATAACCTTTTTGTATAAGGTGATTAATGCTTTAACTCCCATGAGTGACCAAGACAGAATTTCTCCCTACAATATTATTACAATATCAACCAGACAAGTGATGAGAATAAAGAAAAATATCAATTTGAGAATAATTAATTGATCCAATACTAAATTCTCTAAACTGACATTATGAGAATTGTATGGTTGACAGTAAGGAGAATAACAAATTTGATCTGAGAGTTAAAGGGTTAAGGCAAGATATGATGCAATCCTCCACCATTCAGAGTGCAACAATTTCCATAATCACCCAAGAATTTATGCTAAGTATATCTTAAATAACTTTAAATAAATAACAACATTCAACAAGTTAAAAAAAAAAGTAAAGTCTTTATACAGGCCCGAGTGGCCCATGGGGTTGGCGCTTAACTCCGGTTTCCTTTAGCATGAAGCGGCTAGGAATATTGCTACTCCCCCCTGGATGGGATGCTCGTCCATTGCAGGGTTACCTCCAGCATATTTGCTGATACCCATTTGTACACCAGGGTGAAGAGAAACACTGTGAAGGTAAAGTGTCTTGTCTAATTAAGAACACAACACAATGACTGCAGCCAGGGCTTGAACTCAGACCACTCGATCCAGAGTCAAGCGCACTAACCATGAGGCCACTGCACCTCCACACATTCAACAAGAAAAAGAACTTAATAATGAAAAAAAAACACACTAACCTGGTCCTTTCAGGGGCAACAGCTTCCCAAGTCTGAAGACAACTGCTCTTTCATAGTCCCTGATTACCTACAAGAAAAGTCCTTAATTTTAATTTAAAGCACATAAAATGTGCTTTAATAAAAGTCATTGCCTTTTTCAGGGGTATTTGACATAACCAGTGTTAGGTTTATTTGCCTTTTGTAACAAAGTACAGATATTCTTAGATAGTACCAGATAAGGCAGGACATTTAGCAAGCTCTACTGAACTTTTAGAAAGATCCCTGCAACAGCATTTCTATTTGGTTAATACAGATGGTTACATAATTCTACATCAATGGTAACAGGGACTGGAAACTAAATAAAAATTCTAAGTTTTATCTTTAATGACAGAAATCATAAACACCCTCCTGTAAATTATACAATAGATTTTGGATATATAATTATAATTTTAGCAACTTTTACTTCCTCTTTAGCAACAAACAGTTACACAATGAATAATGCCATCAATGACAAAACTGTTTATATATAAACACAGTTCTGAGCATGCTCAATTACCTACTGTGCAGAGCGTTGTACCACAAATATGAGCATTTGTTATTCATGACATATAAAAATTTAAATGCATACCTATCCACATGGCTTCCCTTCGCTGAAGGATAAGCGCATTTAAATCTATTCTAACAACTGAAAGGTTGCAGTGTTGGGTTGCCATATTGCGGCATGACCTTTGAAGGGCAGTCTCCTCGCATTTTTTTTCACTTCCTTTCTCACACGGAATATAAGCATTGACTTTTTCTTAGAATAATGCGCTGTATGTTTTCCAGTGACAAATAACGTTTGCAATTCTTACTGCACACTTACATCAAACATGCACAATTATATGACTGACTACTCGCTAAATCCAAACTACGAGATCAAATCAGAAGCGAATTATGGAAGAAGTTTAAATCTGGCTAGCCGAACAACTGAATTGAGGTACATTTAGGAACAATCGATCCATTAACCACCAGATAGAGAATAAAAATATCTGAATTTGAGCTTACCTTCAGACAAAAAAATACAGAAATCGGAAAGGTTAAAAGAAGTAGAAGAGCGGAAGATAACGAGATGAAACACTCCAAGATACTCCACTCTGATGGTCTGGATCTATCGCCTGAAAAATAAAGCAGAATTTATTAAAGAAAAAAACAGTGAATCAGAAAGATCGATTTGGTTCAAGAACGACAGCCACAGCAGAGATGATTTCACCTGTTCTGTCTCCTCCGTCGTAATAAATTGCGACCTGATGCTCTGGCAAGCGGCTGTAAGTAAATGCTTTCGCCATGGAAGCCTTCGCGGGATCTTAGTCGTTACTTTTCCATGGTAAACGAAACATTGACAAAATTATTCACTCCTATCGAACGAACCTCTAATTTGTTCTATTTACTTTCGCTTTATTTGTTCCTAGGCTTTCTCGGTTTTAAAAATGGCTGTGGGTTGATGCTAGTGCAGTGCGATTCGCATAAGCACCAACATAGCTTAACAGAGTGAATGAATCAAACAGCTCGACTGATACAACTCCCTTCAGTTGAAATTCTAACGGTATCACTTGCTACATGTGTCAAAGATTTTTTGATCTGATCCGGGTTTGTAGTTGCCCCGCAGCGGAATGTGTCACTGATGTTTTTTACCACCTTCTGACGTCATCTGTGATTTAAATTTGAACGAACGGAAGGCAACATGGGATCTATTCGTTTCATGTGACAAAAAGGCACAGTTTTGTTAGTGGTGACATCGTCTAGGCGTCTGTTCTCCAATAAATCATAAGAGCCAATCAAAATGTATGTATAATTCAGCTTATTATATTAACTCTTACAGGTACAGAGACATGAATTCAAGAAGGGTTTAAGCGTTTTAGTAGAGGCAGATTACTGGTGGTATATACCGCTGTCTGTAAGACCTTTTATCATATGACCCGTTCGGCCCCGCGCGTGCAATCTTATAAAAACCATAGTGAAAGCTAAAGTGTGTCAGGCCGGACGGGTTAACGTGAGCCGATCCGGAAAAAGCCGTTCGGCCCTGCGCTCACACGGCTTTGTCGCAAAAACTTGAAAGAAAAAAAGAGTAAAAAAAAGAAAAGGCGCGTTTTTAGTGAGTTTCTTGTTCTGACTCGAAAATATAGAGACTATTCTGCAACTTTCTTTTCTTTTAGTTTCCCCGCGTGCGCCTGTCCATTTCGTCCTATTTAGGTTGAAACAGAATTTTCCAAGTTATCAGTTTTTGGTAGTTATATGATGCTGCGCTCAGTCGTTCGTCGACGTCATGATCTCGAGCCAAATATTTTCCCGGCCGGCCTGACCAAACTCAGTCAATAAGTCCATACTTTGCCTCCACTACTCGCGTTGCCAACCAAGCCGCCGTAACGTTTATTTAACACCAAGATGCTTCCAAGAGTTTATTATAATTACGATTGAAGGAAAGCAAATGCATCAAAGCAAGACACAAAAATCTTAAAAAACCAGCAGGTGGGAAAAAAAATCAAGGAACGTGAACCCCCAACAAAGGCAGTGGTGTCGCTCTCGAGGTTTAAGGATATCCCATGAATACCATGATATTCACAAGTAGATACCAGTTTCTTATGGAAGTAAAGGGGAAAAGTTTTTAAAGAAACTGGGTGCTACGTCGGAGCCCTTCGTCAGAGCTCTAATGAAGGGCTAACGCTCGAAACGTCAGCTTTGAAACCCTTAACAGTGGCTAATTTACGTTATAAACTCAGTTGATAATACTAAATTACTTAAGGAAAATTAAAACGAAACTCACCGACTCAACATGGCGAAGGCTGACCGTAGAATGCCTTCCCCTACAAAGGACCTCAAATTACAAACTACGATCCCATAACTCTCCACGCACCTGGCACCCGCCTCGAGTCCTCTGATACATGCCGGCAAAATAGTAATTTATGCTAATTACGGTGTTTAGCTGATGGGCAGCCGCTATCGTGTCCGTATTTCGCTTTATGGTAAACCCGTCTTTACACCATCGGCTGTTGGTTATGGAAATATATTGGTATTGGGGGGTGGTATGTAATTGGCCGACACTAAAAAAAAATGCGAAAAAAAAAAATTCAAACAACATATGTGCTCTCAAAATAGTTTTTAATGCCACTTACAACAAGACATGCTCTGATGAAGGGCTACCGCTCGAAACGTCATATTTGAAACCCGGCCTTTTGACTATACCAAATTACCTTGCCTCCCATTATAGTTTATAACACATTTAGGTGTTTATTTTCACGTTACCGGCCATTAACTACAATTCCTCTTTAACCCTCTGTCCCCTAAGAGTGACTAACATCGAATTTCTCCCTAAAATATCAGCCCTGAATCACACACTAAAGTCACGAGAAGAAAGGAAATGATCACCAACTTAACAAGCTCCTGATTGTTAAACAAGTTCTCCTTGCCAGAAAAAAGAGAGAATGGTGGAATAGGATAGGAGAATATGGATGCTGATGTTCAGGTGTGGTGGGTTGATAATGTGGAATGTTCAGTTTATATGCAGTATAGTTGTACAGATCTTTGATTTCTTGGTCTATATCCCCTGTTTCATATGTTGCAATACGATTGCGCGCTTCAATCGTCACTGGCATCGTGGTTCCATAATATATGTTGTCTCTGTACACGTGATGTTGAGACAAATTGCCATTGGTCAGCCAAATGCATGCGAACAGAGCCAAGTTACTGACTCCAACGATCTCAAATACGTTTGCAGAATACTTGATATTCACATCCTTTCCAGTGTAATGAGGCTCATAATAACCTACTCCGCTTTTTGCTCCACCAAGCCTTGTTCGCTGTACGATGTGGTTTCCGTAGACCGTAACGTTCTTGAGACCATCATGAAGACAGGCCTTGGCTTTTCTGTACGTAAATAACAAAATACTTGTGTCGTCTAAATAATTACGAACAACCCGAAGATTTTTTCCATTTCGAGCTTTGATGCCCCCTGATGGATTCGAAGGCCAACCACTCACGTAGTTATTATTTACTTCCAGGGTATCAAAACCTTTGAAGTACATGGCATGATCTCTGTGCTGACTGGTATTGGGACTTCCGTTCAAAATGTTTTTGGCTATTTTCATTCTTTTATCGCACTGGCTATAAAGACAACTTTTAAAGAAGCCTTGGTCAGATTCAAGATTGTAATGAGTCTTAAGATATTGTAATTTCTCTTTTTGATCTCGCCAATGGTTTACTGGCTCAATTTGAGAGGACAACCAGTCTAAACTATTTAAATCGAGGCCACATACATTGCCAGTTACCTCAACGCTCAGAGTGCTGGCATATCTTGAAGCAACTCCATATGCACCTGAATCGCGTAAAAAGACGTTTTTGTATACACCACTGTTCTCAAGATTCATCATAACTAGTTGTCTCCTCTTCCCGTCGCCTGGAATTGCACTTCCCGATGAAAAGAATACACAGCTCTCTATTGTAATGTTACTTGTGGATGACGGCCCTTTGGTTGCGCCATCAAATTCTACACGAATTCCGTCAAAATACAGATACTTCAGGGAAACATGCTTTACTGGTTTAGCGTTGTGTATCTTTTTGGCGTATGGAGTCAACGCCTTGATAACTGCAATACCGCTCTGGGTTCCATGAAGTTTCACTGAGCCACGGATAGCAATATTACGGCTGACCAGGTACTCACCACGAGGAAAGAAAACCTTGTTGTTGTCGGAACCTGCAACTTGGTTGACGATCGCCTGAATGGCAGATGTGTCGTCAACTTGTCCATCTCCAACAGCAGCAGTCAAGAAACCTCCAGGTTGCTTCACGTTGGTCATTCCAGTAGGTACATCATCAAACCCTTTCAGGTAGTTCTGAGCTGAAGTAAAATGAGAAAAGAAGTCGTTAATAACGGTTCTTCGAATTGAATTCGCCGTATAGTTGCCGCGTGGCTAGATCTTGTTAGTTATTGACCAATTTCTAGTTTGGGTTCGTTGTCAGTGGTGTGGTCGCCCAGAAATGACCAAGAAATAATAAGAGACAGTTGGTGTCTCAAAATGAGTGAAAACAAGTTGAAATATCTGTATAGATCCGCAAACGAAAGCAAAAGTTGGGAAATTAAAGGAAACTTAAGATTTTCGACCACAAAGATTACGGGCATTCTGTTCTATTACGTACCATTTTGTTTTGAGTTTTTAAAGCACTGTTGCTATCTAGAGTATGAGGTTACTTGAACTAATATCGCTATGCCGAGTTGCTTTGCTCCTATGTTCTCATAGAAACACAACGATCGACGCTCATCGCTCTGACGAAGGGCTAACGCTCGAAACGCCAACCTTTAAACTCTTGACGGTGGCCAATTTACGTTTTCAACTCAGTTGATAACACTAAATTACCCAATAACCTCCAGTAGTTACGGCTGGCTTTTTTTCACTCTTGACTCCTTCGAAAGGTTCCCGCACCGACCATTCTCGCATTGTATATATGGTTGGGCTAAGATCTCAAGCAATTTTAGAATTTTCTTCCAAGTTCTTAATTATAAAATTTGGAACTATTTTCCTGTTTCAGTCACTCGCTCGTCAAATTTTCTTGGTTTTAGGACGAAAATGCGAGAGTTTTTACTTTATAATCATTGAACTGGTCAAGCTTCACATTTGCAGTACATATTATTTTTCAATTATATTGCTGTCAGTAAAGTAGCCTCTCCCATAGGCTCGGTGGCTTCCTGAGCTTTTTAAACTGAGTGAAGAGCGTGTCTGAGCAAACGCTATTTCAATTTGTTTGTAAGAAATCAATTTGGAAGATTTAATAAATGTATTTCTCTCTGAGAAAATGTAACAATTTCCCTATTGTTTCAATTTTACCAACCAGGCACAAATACGTCACTTTGTACAACCAGATTACAATGATCTTCTTATTATTATTTTAGTAACTTTGTGAAAATTATTTCCTTTTTGACCTTACCTGATTCCTTTATTTCCACGCTTTTTCGCGCTCCATTGTGATGAACGGGCGTTCTTTGTCCCAAGTTTAGCTTAACGGAAGACTTTCTGGCAGAGTTGCTACCCATCCGACGATCAAAAAAAAATCAAGATTGTGTCAGGATCATTCTTTTTTTTCGGGTCATTTTTAATCAAGTTTTTTCTTTCAACACTCACCTGAGAGCCAGGACGATGCTGACAAATAACAGAACTATCTCTCTGATCATGTCAAAACGCTTTCAAAAACTTTCCAAGTCCAGTGAAAAGGACTGAGTTATACAAGGGTCTTGGTTGGGATTAACCTTTAGCTAAAGAACAACAAATAAAATGCAGCTGTTTGGCAGAACAATTGATAAATTTTAACCTTTAGCCTTTAACCTCATCGCACTTATTTAGAAATTAGTTTCCGGTGCGGTTTTTTAATAAGAGTGGAAATTACCAACTCAATGCATATGCCGATACCGATTTGGTTTAAAATACAACCTGACCTTTTACAGAGGTACTTCTGACCTTAGCTCACTCGACCTGATGCAAATTTTTCAATATTTCTTCCTGAAATTTCCAGAATTTAGTACAATAACCAAGCGTGTTTTTGCTACTATATTTTTACAGCTAATACTCTTTTTTATTGTACACACTTTTATTGTAGGTAACTATGGTTTCACAACTTGTAAGATGTTATTTCGGTCGTGTGAATTGAATACTAACCAGTTAATTTACGGAAAATAAGCGTAACCAAGAGCCCATGGGCTCCTGGCGTTACCTAGGGTCTTCCTCTCCAACAACGAACTGTTTGCTCTCGTTAAACCTTATTCTTATCACACAATTGCCTTTAAACCGCATTTCCTTTAAACACTATTTTTTAATTTAAATTTCTTTGACTGTTACCACGCCAATTACCTTTAAACCGCAAATCTCTTAGTACCATTTTCTAACTTAAATGTGTTTCAATAGAATTGTACCGTGTGTGTTTTGTGTTGCTCATGTTGGTTTATTTTGGCCAGGTACCCGATGAGCAACAGTTAAAATTTAATATGAAAAAGATTTTGATAACGTTTACACAATGATCTATGATGCCAGGCAAAATGTGATTTGAAATTTTTATATAATCTCTTGCTTTGGTACATATAGTGAACCAAAGCAAAGCACCTGAAGTAAGATGGAAGCAGATGTGTAACGACACTTTTTAAAAATATGTTTCGACAGTTCTTCTGTCATCTTCAGATCTGAATAATACAAAGCACAAAGTTGAATGCTGCTTGGACAAAACAAACAATAATAACAGAACAATGTATGCATTTACAAGGAAAGTTTTAAATTAACATGATAAAGTTGGTCATTAAGTGTAGGTTTCTCCCATTTAATGTGGATAGCTTCTTTGATTCAAAGTTGAAAAGTTGTGGAAGTGTGATCTAAGATGTTAAAACACTCATCAGAAAACACGTTTTTAAAAAGTGTCGTTCAGTAAGGAACGGCACCATAACTGTCGATACACTTAATATCCCTATACACCACAGACCTATATAATTTGGTGACCATACCGCTGACAAGGAGATTATCAGAAGAATGGCGGCCCCGGTTGGTGCTATGGGTTGCCTCAGATTAGCTTCAAAATCGCGTCAGATTTTTCTTTTCTCGCGGAATTTTGCATCAAGAAGGAGGAGAAGAGAGCCAAAAGTAAATCTCAAGCGTTATGATAATGTTTACGCCATGAGTTATCGAGAACCACCCAAACAGATATTTACCGAAGCAATGGGTGCACTTCGTGCGTACAACATTTCATTGGATGGAATCACCGATCAAATTGTGGAGTTGTATGTCAGGGTTGACATGGGAGAAAAAACGGCAAGTGTCTTTTAAGATGTGTTTCTATTTCATGTAACAGTTATAAAAAAAAAAACGAAAGGAAATAAAACATATTCCATGTGCGCCCATGGAATAATTGTGTAAGATTGGCTTAGTAGTACTGCTGAACAAAGACGCAGCTAGCATACGTATGATGAAAGTGAGAACCTTGTTTCCTTTTTTTTTCAGAAACAAAAGATTAATCCTTTTCATGGTCTTATGCTGCTTCCCAAACCATATGGAATCGAAAGAAAAGTTCTTGTTTTTGCAAGGGTAAGAATCTATTTTAGAAGGGTTAAGTAGAGTTACATTAGCTACAGCTTCAAGAGTTGCTGATCAATGGAAAAGAACATAGGGACATACTTGGATCAAAGAAATGTCCTATCCACCTAGGATTAGGGAGACCTTTAAACCTATAAGTCACTAATTCTTCAGTCTCACCAACCTGACAAACAGAAAAATGATCTATGTTCTTAAAAATGTTGTTTTATTTCTCATAACAGTTAACCTTTAACTCCCATGAGTGACCAAGACAGAGTTTCTCCTTACAATACTAATAAAACATCAACCAGATAAGTGATGAGAATAAAGAAAAATATCAGTTTGGGGATAATTAGTTGATCCAATACTAAATTCTCTGAATTAACATTATAAGAATTGTATGGTTGATAGTAAGGAGAATAACAAATTTGATCTGGGAGTTAAAGGGTCAACCCTTTAACTCCCATGAGTGTCCAAGACAGAATTTCTCATTACAATATTAAGCAGACAAGAAATGGGAATTAAGAAAATTATCAATTAGGAGATTCTGGATCCAAATACCAAATATTCTGTGCTAAAATTATAGGAATCATGTGAGAGACAGTAAAGAGAATCTTGAGAGTGAAAAAGTCAAACATAATTCTTGAAATTTTAACTTTAAAAAATGCTGCTAGTTCTCTAACTTCAAATGTCTGATTTTTTTGTACTAACTGAATACACTTTTCCTTGTAAATTAGTTGTGAAAGAGAATGTAGCATTAGATCAAGATAACTGACTTCCACCTACAGTCGAACCTCGATTATCCGGACATTGATTATCTGGACTTTTCGATTATCTGGACTTTTTCTCTGGTCCCGTTTTTTTCATGAATATTAATGACCTTAGATGTTAAAAACTTTAGAAGGTAAAAAATTCAGAAATTATGTTAAAAGTCAGGAAAATTGTGTTTAAAACAGCGCATTACATGCTCCACTTTTTCGAAAGATCGAGCACTTGGAGACAAAAAGAGACAAGAAGCATTCTAATGCTTTCAGCTGAATTTTGATTGGTTCAGCATTGTTTTGTTGCTAAGGGAATGTCATGCTTGATCAGTTCGATGAGCGTGGGTTATGTAAACACACGAGACGATCATAACCGAATTGTCTCATTAATATTCAAATTTCGATTATCCGGACTCTCAATTATCCGGACTATTTACCCTAGTCCCACCGAGTCCGGATAATCGAGGTTCGACTATAATAAGTCTTAGTACTCTGATTAACTCCTTAATTCCCATGAGTGACCAAGACAGAATTTCTCCTTACAATATCAATACTATATCAAGCAGACAAGTGATGAGAATATAGGAAAATATCAATTAGGAGATTATAAGTTGATCCAGTAACAAATTCTCCAAACTAACATCATAAAAATTGTATAGGAGACAGTAAGGAGAATCAGTGATGAGATCTTGGGAGTTAAAGGGTTAACTGTTTGCTATCGTCATTAATTGTTTGCTATTGTCATTAACTGTTTGTTAGATGACAGATGGATATTTTAGGGAGAAGTGACATGTTAATCACTTCTGGAAGTTTAAGGGTTAGTGGGAGCCAATACTCACATTTCTTGACACGCCTATAAAGCTGATTACATTACACTGTTGTCAACTGTGCCAGTGTTTTTGTGTCTCAGGGAGAAGCTGCTGAGGCTGCGAGAAGAGCTGGTGGAAATTTTGTTGGCGAAGAGGAGCTTATTCAACAGGTAATGCATCAGTGATGAAGGAAATATATTTGTTTACTCTCCTAATGGATTCTTCTAAAAGATGAAGTCCCTCTCAAAATGGACAATTCAACTTGGTTGTAGTGGTTCCTGTTCCTTGCTCCAAACTTCCTGGGCATTTTGTAGCCAAACAAACCGCAGGTTTCCACTCCATTTACTCCCAAGCTCAATTTTCAAAATCAATTTAATGTTTTCGAGTAAATAGCAAACATACAGCTTTCCATCAGTTTTAACCTTTCGTGAGAAATGAGAAATGAGAATAAAGGAAATTTTAAGAGAATGTAAGGGGTTAGTAGACAGAAAAGTCGTCAAGTTTCACTTTCAGTTGTAATTTGTTTTGTTTTGCTCTGTTTTACTGAAGGTTGCCGATGGAGAGGTGACAGACTTTGATCAATGTTTATGCACGCTGGAATTTTTGGACAAAATGAAACCCTTGCAAAAAATTCTTAGAGAGAAGATGCCAACTACTCGCAGAGGTATGGAAACCAGCTACAAAAATGCATGCATAGATGTAAATGTTTATAATACAAAACTTATCACTTGAAAGCTTTTGAAAGATATGAGGGGAACTGCTTGCAAATACATGATCATCCACATTGTACAGACTGTTCACTATTGGCGAAGGTTTTGCTGAGAAGGAACATTGTCATGTACTGCAGTTTGAGCATTTCCTTCTTCACTACAATAACTAAAATTACTGATCACGTGTGAGGATCATTGCTTTGTTAGGTTTTCATCTCCAGGTCAAATAATAATTAATAATGATTAATAATAATTCAATACTTACATAGTGCAATATACATATAGATATGATCTAACATGCTTTAAAACAACTGAAATAAAGTAGGTAAACCTAACAATTAAAAACTTAACATAAATTTGTATCTGCACATCTTGCTAGCATGGAAATTACTATCTCAAAATAATCTAATCTAACACTTGCCATTTAAAAACCTAAAAAACAAAAATATTGATTATAAAACTATGAATGATATGATATATGGTAAAATGAGGAAATCGTAGATTTATGCTTTATTTCAATAATCATTGCTCTTTAATGAAACATTTTGAAATACTTAGTTACTGATATGCTCTGCTAAATAATAGTCTTAATGTCTTTCTTGAATTTTAAAATTCAATGAATTGATTTGTGACAAGTTGTAATCAAATTCCTCGTTGAGAAAGAAGAAACCTCTAAAATTTTTCCAACTCCAACATGTGGGTTTGTAGTTCAATTGTTAGTGGTGCCAGCAAATCAAAGCCTGATTCTTTTTTCAAGCTTTTTCACTTCAACTGCTACAATTGCAGCTCGCCCACGAGGAGTATTTCTTTGATTGATTTTCATTTCATATACAGGTCAACGTAAATTTATTTCTGTTCAAGTTGCTCGGAAATTCCACTGGAAATTATTCATAGACTTGTTTTCACTGACGTTATATAGTTTGATTTTAGGCACTGCATCCGATAACATTGCTGCTGCAATCGATGCGTACAAAAAGGGTCATCCGTACAGGTGTGACAGAGAGGGAATCGTCAATATTGGAGTGGGAAAGGTAACTGATAATTGTTGTCAGGAAATGAAACATCGATTACGATACGACTTGTTTTTGTTTTGTTTTTTTTTTAATGTTAATAAACTTCTTTGCAGCTCAGCTTTACAGACTCAGAAGTAAGGATCAATGCATCAGCAGTGTTATCTACACTTGCCACTCACGGAACTGTTACCAAAGGTAATGTGCTTGTTCTTCATCACATTTCTTACCCTCTCGCAGTGCTTTGTAACGTTATGGCCTCGAACCCAAACGTCTCTCGTTCGCCTTGACCTAACTCGAGGCAATTTTTCTTTTGTCAACTGAGTTGATTTTGTTAGCCGACGTTTCATCAGCCCTTCGTCATTCTCAGGCTCTGACGAATTACATTATAACTCAGTTGTGGCCCTTACACTATTGACGTTGAATGTCACAAAGTAACACCTTAGTTATCACAACAGCCTATCAGATCAAAGAAAAGCATTAAAAGAGCCAGTGATAAGTCAAATCAGAAAGTGGCGGGGAAATAAGCACGGGAAAACACGTGCGACCAAGTGGCGATTGATTGCTAAGATTGGCCTGGCGATGACCTAAATTTTCTCGGCCAATCACAGAGCTTCGTAAGAGAAAACCAATTCATCCCCAGGTGACTGTCGATACTCTGCACTGTTCTACTTACACTGATTTTTTTTCTTAAATTTGCAGGTAAATTCTTCAGGGAACTTGTTATTTCATCTGAAAGAGGGCCAAGCTACCCTCTAGAAATCGCTGAGTGGGTCAGCTGATGTACTGATTGACTTGACAGAAAATACCACTACACAGCTTTGTGAACAGTTGTGACAGAACTGACCAAAGACAGCTCTTCATTGGTCGCATGGTTATGGCGGCAATGTTTCCGGTGGTTGAAAAAGTTCAGCTCCTCTAGCAATTTGTGTCTCTCTTGGATTATGTGACTTGAAAAAAAAAACTGCAGTGCAGGAGCGCTTTTCGTATTTACTCTAAAGGAGTTAAAAATTCTTAAAATTCAATTATCAAAAGTTGTGGCTCCGAAAAAGCGCTTTGTGATGAGACAGCCTTTTATTTGAAAAACACGAACAACACGCCAAGAAAAACCACAGGAACGCCAGACAATTAGATGTATGTACTGGGTAAGCTGTTCCATTACACACAAAGATGCTTGAAATTTACTGGAGACCAATCAAGAAATGCTCAATGACGTAAAAATCTTGTAAAAAAATAGCTTCGGAAGTCAGTAGCGAATGTTAGTAAAGTACTTGAATCAAAATGAAAATGACTTTTTCAGATAAATTTCACCCTTTCTCGGAGTGTTATCTTTCCTTTTACGTTCGCGTCTGATCGCTCTGTGTCCTAATTATAACATTTTTGGGTTCATTTCAATGGTTTTTTCACCTATTTTTTCACTTCTCGTTATTTTAAAACTTTCATTCGTTAAGGGATTAAAATGACGTATTGATCAAAAGGTATAGGTGAAGACTATCGATTTGTGAAATTATGAAATTAACTTGTAATTAACTTACACAAGAAAGCGTCGAATTAATAGGGTCTCATTATAATATCACAGTAATTTAATTATTCGAAAATAGTCAGTCGGTTCTGAGCCAGAGAATTCAAAGAAATAAGACACAGAATTAACTTTAAAAAATCCCTACTGATTGACAAATGCAATCTTTGACCAACCGAGGGTGCTTTTCAATATTTGAATATGTGTATCGTCAGTGGCATATGTAAGAAGGAATAATCCCATTTTGATAACAGAGTGACGAAAGAAATTTTATTTCCAAAATGGCTTTGGTACCCGCTAGGAAAAATCGAAGCAAGCTAAGATTATAATCTTCAATTGCTTTGACACCTGCAGAGGAGACAACATGGAAAGAATTAAGGCTTCACAAAATTTGCGCAAAAAAAAAAAAAAGCGTTTTAGGCAATTTGTTCTTTCCCTCAGTCTCCGGAAAACGTGTGGGAGGATTTAAGTTGCATTATCTCTTACGGACTTATCGAATTTTTTTGTCTAATTTTCATGTTTTGGTCCATCGTGGTAATAAAGCTGTTTCAGTTATTGAGCAGGATACACCTGTGGTCCTGAAAATACCACCTGTTACGTCATCAGGCTAGTAGATATCAGTAGATATCAGCAGGTTGATATCACTGCAAGCTTGTTTTTGTTCATTTAGCGTAACTTTGCCAGCAGTCATGGACAGAACTCTCGTCGTTGCGTTATTTTTTTGTGTTTTGGCTGTTTGCCTTGCAACAAATGATCAAAACTCGGACAAAAATTCTGGTGAGCCAGGCGCTAAACTGACGATGAAAAAGAGAGGTAAAGAGGACGAAGATGATGCGAAAGTTGAGGTGGTTCAAGATGAGAAAGATGAGTCAGCAAAGGAGAGGAAAGCTTCGAATGGATTGGCAACGGAGAAGAAGGATAGTGCCGGTGAGAAAGTCCATGGAGGGACGAAGAGTGAAGGACACGATGAGACGAAGGACGATGACGAAGACCACGATGATGAAGAACATGATGACGAAGACGACGAAGGAGAAGATGAGGAGCATGAAGAAGAGGAAGAGGAAGAGGTGGATCCAAACGCCAAAATCGAAATTCATGATCTCTTCACTCCAGAGGACTGCAAAAACAAATCCAAATCTGGCGATCTTGTGGTGATTCACTACTCCGGCTGGCTGGATGATGGCAAGTTGTTTGACACAACAGTCGAGCCAAGCAAGGCGTACATGCCATTTGAGTTCATGCTAGGAACAGGAACGGTAATCAAGGGCTTCGAACAAGGAGTGTTAAACATGTGCAAAGGACAGAAGCGTAAAATTGTCATTCCACCCTCGCTTGGTTATGGAAAGAAGGGAGCAGGAGCGATTCCAGGTGAGACAGAATTTGTTTACCCTCATGCTCCCGAAAAATGTCTCTTTGCATGATTTGTTTTGACTTTTGAACATTTTTTTGTTTATGTAAGCTAATTTTCTTGAGACAATCCTGTAATGAGCTTTGCTTAGATAATTCACTCTTATCATTTTCAGCTGGCTGAGGTGCTTTTCACTTTTCATGTGATCATCGAAACACTCTACTACGTTTTAAATCCAAAATAACAGCAAGCTACATGAATTCGTTGCTCAAATCTGATCCTAACAATTTTTATCATAGTTTTCACTTTCCAATAAAGATCTTTTATAGGATACCTAAGAACATTTGGTAATGACTGGTTTAAAACTATAAGTCATTTGTCTAATTGTCGACACAAAAAGAGGTTTTTGTTTTACTTTAAAACAAATTATTTATGAAACGAGTTTAAAAACACGAAGCGTCTTTTCACTGGTCAATTATTACCTGTTAAGTAAATGATTAATGGGACGTGTAGACAAAACAGTTAATGCTTTGAACCGTAAAAGGAGAGTTTTTTTTACTATTTTCTTTTACTGGCCCTGGCTGATATCGAGAGACTGCTACTGAGGATCTAAACTTATTGACGTCCACAGCAGAACGGACACAAAATGAATTTCACAGAAGAACAAATAAGCGAAAGAAGATTTGCGAGCTTGTCACATCTTATGCAGAAGAGATCGAACAATTTCGTTTCCAGGCTAAATTTTTTCCAACCTCAGCTTCGTCTTTGTAAAGAGTCGTAGGGACATGGTCTTGAGTCAAAATCATATTTGATATGGCCTCGTTTTGATACAGAGGCTTTACGCAACTTGAAAAAAGGATAAACGATATCAAGTGTCTCGTTTCCAGATTGTTCTCTTTTCAAAAGGATTACAAGACCTGAGAAAGAGATAAGTCGGCCCACGTGTGGATGACATCATTAGCTAATGGTTCTATTTGCCGGTTTTTTTTGGCCATAGCTTTGTTGAAAATGTTCAATGACAATTTTCTTTCTTCAGGAAACACCACGCTCACATACGAGCTAGAAATGTTTGATATCCGACAACCTCCTCCCCAAGCAGACATGTTCTCACACATTGACACCAACGGTGACAAGAAGCTGTCCAAGAAAGAGGTGTCCGCGTACATGAAGGCACAAGCTGCTGCACATGGCATGCCGGTACATGACAAGAAATGGAAGAAACACCACAAGACTGTTGTAGCCAACATTTTCGATCACGAGGACTCTGACGAAGACGGCTCCATCTCTCATGACGAGTTCAGTGGGCCTAAAATGATGTACCACGATGAGTTTTAGAGGGGTTCTCTCGAGTTCGCGATTTAGCGTGACACCCTGCGTGACAGTCCACGTGACACAAAATCACGCAATTGATTTTATTCGAAAAAGATAGGAAATCATTTCAATTCAATTTTTACGACCTATTGTGGTCGCCAAAAATTTAATCAAAATATCGTGTTTCTTTACTTTTTTGAAATTTTGCTGTTATGGCAACTAAATAACTCAATTTTTAGACGAGATCTTTTGAAAAGCTCGTTATACTACATTTATAGTTCCGTAAGAGGAATTTTCGAAAAATGCATACCTTAGGAGGTAGATCACGAAGAAGGCTTCAAACGAATTCAGATATTTTGAGGAAAGGTATGTAAATTAAAAGCGAAACATTGTTTGTACAATAAAGCAAACGTTTTATCCAAGTAGTTATTCTTTTGATGTTTTATAAACGCACCTTATTTTGGGCCCTTACAGTTTTTTTTTCTGCTGATGCAGGGACTCGATAACAAACAGCCCTTGCTTTCCGGAGATGTCCGTCGCGCGAGTAAATAAAATAAACAAATGAAAAAATTTTAGCGCTGCACGGAACTTTGGGAGTGTGGCGCACTAAAGTTACTCCCAGAATTCCGCGCGGCACACAAACATCTATTTATTTTCACTGATATTTTTACTCGCGCGACGGACTTCGCCCAAAAGGAGGATCTGTTCGTAGTATACAAGGAATCTTTATCACAAAAATAACAGTTTTGTATTTGAGCGACTTTCCGAGGTCTGTTCAGAAACAATCTCCTTGAGAAACAAACTTGTCGCCTATGGTGTCTTTCTATTCGACTGTAGAAGAGGCTGTTAAAGCTTATGAAATTTTTCATCGGAAGGTGATTCTTCTTTCCTTGAGCGCTGCCATCAAGGTCATGTCTCAATTGTGTGACGATCCGATAAATCATACTTGAAGCCCGGAAGTCGAACCGCTGGGAGAATCACTTAGAGCCAGGGATGAGAAAAACTTCGCTCCCAGGATCCCCTTTCTGTATCTTTTCTCGTTCTGAGTCTTCCCTCGTCCTCACACACTTTGCTTTAGAGTGCATGTGAAAATGAATAAATTTGTTAAAAATGAAGCCCAAACATCACTTCAACATTCAATACGAATTTATTTCACCTAGTCATACATTTTACAAACATTTATTGCCACAATTCTGTTAATAACGTTCCGTAACAAGCTGCTACTTCTTGATCTAGATCTGCTTTAATGTTGCAGTTGAAAAAAGGAAACTATTTCAATTCCTGTGAGCTCTTTCTTTTTCGCTTCTTGATGATGAATGCCTGATCGAAGACTCTAATTGTCTCACTGCAAAACATGCGAGAAAAGCACACAATTAATAGATCGTCAGCACTATGACAATTGTGATCAGTCCAAAACATTTCTTACATTTTATGAGGTCCTTTCACAGGGGTCAAGTAGAACAAATGCCTTTCACTTCTCTCCCCTCTCCCCTCTCCCCCCCCCACGCGTTTTTTTGGTTAATCATTATCTTAAAAAGTCCTCTAATAGGGCCGTATGAGATGACACAAGCAGGACCTGACGACGCTATACGGCCTTATGCACAGCCCCGCGAAATGTGGCACCGTGCTACGAAAAAAACGAATAAATTGGTGGCCATCTGAGTTAGGACGGGCTGCACGGAAAAAATATTTGGCTCTTGTTCATGAATACAAACCTTGAGCCCAATATTTACCCGTTCGGCAAAGAGCACAATTTACGGACAAGTTTCCGAAAGTTTTAGAGAAGTTTGCGGCTTGCTAAATTAAATTAAATTATCACGAAACGTGTCGTAACTAAGAGATAAAAATAAGCAGTTTATTTCATTTACGTTGAAATTACCGTTAACACCCGTATAGCGCCCGAATCTCTGCGATGTCATTATCGGTCAGAGTTCCTCTGAGTTGCCCTCCAAGTTCCCTCCATATCTGTCGTCTGGCGATGATCGTTGGTTTTTTTCCATCAACTGAAAACAGATACCTGTCATAATGCATTACGGAATCAAAGTCGTACGGCAGATTTAGACTGTCTAGCTTGCCATGGTCATACTTGTCAAAGTTTGTCTCATAACCTGTAGAACAAGGCGAAAATAATAATTAATTAACGTTAGCTCACCTCTTTTGTTATTAAATTAAATCACAGTTTTAGTTCTTGTTAACTTGTAAGTGAAGTCACTTTTTACTATATGGGCTCTCGCGGAGCCAGCCTCGTTCTTGGGATTTTTCTTCTTTCCGCTTGCTCTTGGGAGCCTGAGAACGAGTTTTTTTTTTAATCGCAAAGACTAAATCAAGCATGTGCACGAAATTATCCACATCACCTTTTTTGATGTTATGCCACAAAACCTCCACATATTTATCTCTGTCCGTTCTACTCTGTTCGTGCCAAATACCTGTCGTGTGAAAACAAAAAAACATGGTTTTCAACTTTTCCTGACATTTCGAGCACTTGACCTATCGCTGATGTTTAACCACTTAACAGCCCAACAGACTCCAGCCCTAACCTTGAGAATATTCTCCATACTGTTCTCTATACATTTCCTAAGGAGCTGAAAAGGAGAATTTCTTTAACGATCAAGAGCTTCTTGAGTTGGTGATCATTTCTTTTATTCTCCTGACCTTACTATTTGTTTCAGGGGTGATATCGTGCGGAGAAATTAGATGCTTGTCACTCGTGAGGCTCAAAGGGTTAATTATGCTCATTAATACCCACTAGGGTCCCTACGGTGAAAATTGTACTTACCGAGAGAGTGCATAAGTTCGTGCATGACAACACCCACGTATTCACACCCACTCCCAAGGGAGAGAGGTTGACTTCCACCGACACGACCTACCTTTGACCAGCACCTAATGAGACACATTAGTGTTAGATAACTGGGGAGAGTGACACTGATTATTAAGATCTTAACAGTTCTCCGTAGCTTAATGCTTGTTTATTGGAAAGCGAAACCCGACCTTCTGGAGTTTGATTCTTCGTCAGGGACTCAGATATTTCTTTTGTACCTCACTGATAAAGAAATGAATGGAAACTCTTTCTACTTTTTTAACGAAATCACTGATGGAAATTTGAACAAGCTCTCAACTGAATTTCGTTTTTTCCATTAGATAACTTTTATAACTCTAAGAAGTGATTAACATGGAACGTCTCCTTATAATATTCATACATTATCCAGCCAAAAGGTAGTGAGAATACTGAAACTTATCAGGTAATATTTGCAATTAATCTTGCGTTAATAGCTAGTCTGCAATGAGAATTAACAATTAGTTCTTGTTAGTTAAAGAATTAATACTCGAACAGCATTTGCAAAAAATACCCCTTGTAAACTGTTGAACTATATTCCGATACTCAAGTTATAAGTTGCACCACCGTTTTTTCGTATTTTTCAGTTATTATGAAAATGCAATTTCGTTAAGGACCCCTCCTCCCCCCTGACGATGAAATAATGAGCAGTCCCTTTTTGTTTACGAAAATTCCCTTACCCATTGCCTTTGTGCATCTTGATGTAGTCTCCTCCATAAGACGAACCAACTTCTTTGAATTTTAAACAAGTTTTACTTCTGATTTTACTCAGAGCGTCGTTGATTTTGGGTCGTAAACGCTCTGAAAAAAATGAGGAACTCACATTGAATTTTGATTGTACATTTGAACTGCATTGTTGTTGGGAAAAACCAAGATAACTGTAATTCTTGAAGAAGAGAGAAAAAAAGAAAAAAAACTTACTCAAATTGTCGTCCACAAAATAGTACACAGTTTTTCCCGGCCAAAGCTTTTTCCCGTCGCGAATGATGTTTCTCTTTAAGTCTGTCTCAGGGACCACGTGATTGACGACCGCCTGGTCTTCAGGATCTAGACACAAGTCCCCTTCGAACAGTGGATCACCACATCCGGGACGATTGTAAGGATCTAAATTGGAATTTTAAGCCGTGTTATAATCCAGTATGGACCAGAAGAAAATTTAACTTCAGTGTTCTAACCTCAACGCAAGAGAGGAAACCGATTGAAGACAAAAAAATTAAATGGCTATGTAAGATTTGCAACTAATAACAAACTACAAGATCATTGAAGCGCTAATCCAAAAAGGCAAATTCTCACTTTGTGTTAACCTTGATTGGGTTCAATACCTTCCATAACGTAATTCATCAAAAATCACCGAAAGCTACCTTCCGAAACTCCATTCAATGTACAAAAGACTGGGGACCACAGGAAATTTGAATGCTCGTTCGTTTATCTCCTTATAAGTCAACAGTTTATTGTTTCATTAGTCAGTAGTCTTACCAAAATATGATAGAAAGGTCTGTTTAAGAAACATAACACTGCCAAGAGTTTGAATAGTTAGCGATTTACCTTCATTTACGGTCACGATTTCCTCTTCAATTGGAATCGCACCCAGTCCTCCACGGCGGCTGATTTCGTCATATGCCTCATTTACGCCTACAATGTGCCCGTGTAGATTTCCACCTCGCTCCTCATTTTCTAAAATATGCCAGACAAAAAGCTAAGAAAGTGTGAGCTTACTGAAGGACCGTTGATTTTTGAACGCGGGGGAGGAGGGGGGGGGGGGGGGCGTCTGAGAATCACCTGGTTTTCAGGGGAAACGCTAAGGGTTCAGCACTAATGATAAGGCCTGATCCCCGGCAAGCTTCTCCTCGACTTGTCTCAAAACTTCCTCTGGACGGAGGAAAGCACGTCCTTCAGCGTTAATAATGAGGACATGATCGCAAGCTGCGTCTGAGTTGAAGTTCAGGACGAATGCTGCATCCCAACTAAAAAGGTTGTGGTAGTACTACCATCTTTCTGAAGCACGTTGTGATCACGATGGAAATTGACAACGTGCTTCCATCGCTGTGGAGGCGGCTACTCGTACAATTCCATTTCACTTTTTTCTATCTTATCGAGTTGAAAAAAAAAATTAAGGCTCTTCCAATTCGAGGGCAGCTTGGCAACCTGCCCGATCCGTTCCATAAAAGAAAAGGAAAACAAAATTCAGAAAATGTCCGAGAATACTCTTTTGAAAGTATACGGGTTTTAATACTAGTGGACTCAGTCCCCGAGCTATAATCTGGTTCTCCGTATAGGACACCATAGAGCGGACGATACCATCCCGACCAGGAACTTGCAGACATCTCACGTTTGATTTACCTATAATTTTTTCTTGTAGCAACCAGTCAAAGACCTCGTCTCTTTCCCTCTTCCAAGTATCATCTGTAAAATAAATGAGAGCCAAGCTTTAGACTGGAAAGGAAACCTAAAGGTAGTCTCGTACCCAGACCTTCTACGGCCAAGGGGTTGTTAGTTACATGATAGGATCTGGGTCCGAGATAAACATAAGGAACCAGTCAGACCCCTTCCCCCACCCACACCCCAGACGACAAATAATTACCCCAATACGTAATAAGATTAAATTTTTGGAAAAAAATCTGTTGTATATTTATGTTCGAAGAGGATTACTTTCCTTTTTTTGGTGTTTTTCTTGAGTTCAAGACAGACTTCTGGCACTCAATAGCGGAAGTCATACTTGTGCTCCAAAGTGCCAAGGCGACGTAACGACGAATGAATTCAAAATATTATGGTTAACTTAGGACATATATACTTTGTATATTTATGAAGGAATGATTTTTCTGGGAATCCTTTGCCAGAGGCCATGGATTGAGGTTTAATTAACATGAAAGTGACGAAATTCAGCCAATCTGCTGGTCTGAGTCATTTACTTGCTTACATATTCATTTGCATGCGACTGTCAATATCTGATCTTTAGTGCTGAATATTCGGGGCAGAAAATACAATGTCCTATATATGAAACACAACAGTTCATTATTCCTTGTTAGGAGACTTGGCAAAAATGTCAAACTTCCTTTAAAATCAGTGTCCTCGATGAAAAAGAATCAAATGACTTACCGAACGGTCGAGTTTCCACCAAACTCAAGCCCAAACACAAGACATATAACGAGCTAAACTTCATTATCCAAGATTATCAACAAACTGTTATCAGGGCGAGTGGCTCGCTTGCAAATGAGTTCGTCTCGGCGGCTCAATTCATAATTATCTTTGATTACTTTTAACGGTTCAATGATCATGTCACAACTCGTTAAGCAACTGTGTCGATGAAGCCGGAAATATCAACGTTGAGAGCAAAATGACTGATTAAAAATTTATCGAAACGCGCACCTTGGCTTTGACATTAATCTGCTGCATGAGCCAATGATAATAAGAAAACCTTAGGCTGGCGATATCGTCTTGGCACTCAGCCGATTTTTTGGTTCTCTTCGTACAAACGTTATATTGCAGAAAATTTTAATTTGAATCTTCTCCGCAGGCAATTTAATTATTTCGTGTACATAACAATACAAACACGTGCCAATAATTCGGCCAGTTAACGTCGGTCACGGAATTCAACGTTTTCAATTTTTGAAAAGTTCTGCTTTTATCTGATTGGGTAAATTCATAATTTACTAGGCGCCAATTTCAATTTACAGTTATTTTCGCCGAAGATGCGTTTTATCTTGAAAAGTAACCACCGACCACGACGGGCTTCAATCAAACCTATCGATCTCCTAGCCTCAAGGTCTTTCAAGTACTATCACAATATAATAGCTTTATTTGTAAACGCTTCCGGCCGTAACTTCTTTGGAAGCGCGCTCGCCCCATTCTCCCCGCGTTTGTTCACAACTCGTCTTAAAAACAAAAATATTACGCTGTACCTCAAGTTTTCCGCTTTCTCGAGTGCGGGTTTGATTTGGAAAGGTAGCGTGGGCTCATCTCCCAAATGGAGGTTTGTGATCGAGTCTAAGACAATTGGTCGTTGGCTGAACCGAATCCAGCAAAAAAAATTCGGCTAATTTAGTATTATAAAACTGAGTTGTAACGTAAATTAGCCACCGTAAAGAATTTAGAAGCTGACATTTCGAAAGTTAGCCCCATGTCATCATTCTGACGATATCAAATTATCCTGCTATACTCTCCCATCGACGCAGCACCACAATTTCTTTAGAAAGTTACCCCCCTTGTAAAAAAAAAACTGGTTTTGCTACGCTACTTGTCCTGGTAAGATTTTCCTGACTATAGACTTCTCAAGGGCCTGAATAGTGCAAGCAGAAACCGTACGTAACCTTACAGAGTATAGGCTTGAAATTACACATCTAATTTGATTTGATTTATTCCTTTGTGAGGTCGAAACTTCTCTGAAGTTTCATCTTGTGGTCGTGATAACAAAACCCGCCCTTTTCTGTTGGCGCCGTTTTCACCCGCTAAGAGGACGAAGTTTCCTGACACTACCCCCTAAGCTCATCAAAACGCCTTTAGTAATGTTAACTACAAAGAAGAAATTGCCCTAAGGGTAACACATGACCATCTGCCCACAAATACCTCTAAGAGCTTTCTTTTGTTATTCAAAAATGATGTTGAATTCTGTATTTCAATAGAGTTACTCTTCATCTATTATTTATACATGAAAAATCCTAGACTTGAAAGCTGTTTTCGATGCGAAGACATTGATTTTTTGGTTTAACACCATAACTTACCAATGGGGCGTGTTTGTACCAAAATCAGCCAGCAGGAACAGAGGACAAAAAGTGATCTGGAAATCATGTTTTAAACCAAGAGCCTTGTCCCAAATAATTTTTCGTCTGTCCTCTCTTGACATTAGCTCCTAATTCCCGCAAATGAATTTTGGTATAGCTTTTAGTATTTAAATTCTGTATATTTGGTGAGATGAAGTAACCGCATTCGGTAAAATGATCTTTTAATGAATGAATTGATCCTTTAATGAAGGAAAGAAACTTCACTGAATCCAATCTCTTTGCGCCTGACTGGCTATATGATATAGGTCATTAACCAATTATAACCTCATCTAATTGCGATTAAAAGGCGAGTTTAAACAGCTGTTTTTGGGATGACTTTAATTGCCTCTCATCCGTCTAAGAAATGAAACATCACGGTGGTTAAATGGTGTGTTTATTGAAGAGAAAAAAAGCTGCATCATTAATTAATATAATCCGACAGTTTTAAACCTTTACACCCTAACATCAGAATGCAGATTCTCCATACTGTTCACCATACATCTCGTAAGGTGCTATCCAGGCGAATTTGTTAAAACAATCAAGAGCTAAAAAGTTGGTGATCATTTCCTTTATTCTCATGATCGTAATGTGTGATTGCACGGTAATAATGTAAGAAGAAATTAGATGCTGATCTCTCTTACGGGTCAAGGAGTTAATTGGCGAGATGAACAAAACAATCATACGCATGGAGATAACAGAGAGCAGAAATTAAACAGCTTTTCAAAAGGCAAGAGGTGATTACGTGTAGGAAAAGTTGTATTTTTGTTTCCTAGATTCTGTATATAAAATTATAACCTCTTGATTACGATAATTTGGAAAAACACGAAAGGAAACTTGCCTGAATTTTCTTCATTTTAGATCAGTCGACAGTTCAAATCATTTGTGTTTTAGAACTGTTCACATCTTGAGAAGGAAATGACACCTTGTTATAGCTTTTTTCCGTTTTACTGTTTTCATTTTAGCATTTCTTTTTTGACAACATAATATTGGATTAAGTGTATTGCGCCTAGAAGCGGACGTTCTCCGCGATTAAAAACATTTCTGATATTTTGTGGTGTTTTTTTAAAAAATTTTTTTCTTAATTTCACTCGTAGACTTTTGAAGGCAGGTTGTTAAAATTAGTTATATCTGTTTTGTATTCAATACACGTTTATGTAATTATTTTCGTCTCTGAGGGCGTCTCAATTAACTTCCCTCTGTTTCGTTTGCAATTTTACACAAACTAAACTGACGCTATAAGTCGACTTTCGTTGCATGGTAACAGACAGAAAGTAGCTTCATCAATAAAAGGGGTAAGTTTCTAAAGAAACTGTGGTGCTGCGTCGGTGGGAGAGTATAACAGTGTAATTTAGCGTTATCAACTGAGCCGAAAACGTAAATTGGCCACCATAAAGTGTTTAAAGGCTTACGTTTCGAGCGCTAGCCCTTCGTCAGTGATCAGAATACCAGTCATGTGCACTCGAGAAAAAGTCTTGAAATCTCTTTAGGGACTCCATAACCTTAGCCTATCAAGTATTTTTAAAATTTTCTTCTCATGTCAAAAATTAAACCTGGAAAATTTTCCGAAACAAAACTTTTGCGACAAAATAAATGGATAGGTTTAATTTACAGATGAAAAAATAACAATACTGAGTATGCATTTCAGAGCGGGTGGTTGCTAAGCGGAGATTTGGTCACAGGAGAATAAGGAACGAAAAAAGGCCTAGGCCCGGTTGTTTGACGGGCGATAACTGATTATCTAAGATTCAAAGTTTCACTTTTCTTTGATTTCTCTTGAAATAAAGCGTATATAATGGCTTAAGTTTGAAAGGGATTTACCCTAGTTTAAGACAAAACCGAAGCTGCAAAGCTACAAAACTAAGTCATAAGTTGTTGACTAAACCTCAGTTATCTTAATTGAGTTTCGGCTCAACTTGGGGAAGCAAGATCTCTTATCACCAGGGATTAACAACAAAGTAACTTTAAAACACATTTAATTTGCAGCTTTCTTTGTCGTAAGAGGTGTATCTGACTAGCTGTTGTGATAAGTTTGGTGAGTTTATGAAGCAAATTGGCAATATAAGCTTGTCATATTAATATATTTTATTCGCTGTAATTATGTAGCAGAAAAAAATATCTTGAGATTTTCCGTGATATTTATACTGTAATTTTCAAAGTAGCTTGTGTTCCGGTAAAAATTCCACGAACACTACAACCTAACCATCAAGAGCTCAGACATACAATATTCAGATTCCTGGCTGCGCCGCCGAGGAAGTGATAGAATATTCATAAATATCCATTGCAGACCTACTAAATTTAAGTAATTAAATACCGCAATAATATTCAAAATATATTCTTTAGGGCTGTTACCAAACCGCTTTTTCCAAAAATGGAAGAAAAATATATGAAATAGAATGAGTTTCTTAATATCTCTTAGCCAGAATAAATATTAGCATTGGGGAATAATTGCTCACTCATTTTCTTTCGCTTATTTTGCCAGACAGGGCAGAGCTGAATAACGTCTACGCATACAGTTCTGTTTCTTTGAGGCGTTGTTTTCCTTGCCGCTTTTCTTTTAGAGAAAAACCTCCAACAACTTTGCATCCCCCCAAAATATATACAAAAGTCAATGTTCTCCTTAAATCACTGAAAATAAAAAAATGCCTTCAATGACAACAAAATGCCTCAGTTTTAAATACCAGCCCCTTTTTCCGCAAATTCCGCTGAATTTTAAACCCTGCGTTATTGACCGAATGCGTGTGACGTAGCATTTCGTTATTCAGCTCTGCCGTCAGATAGCGGCGGTTCCTTTTGTTTTCCTTTAAAATTTTGCGCGGGAAATTGGCGCACGGGTGGCCAGAATGGATCCCCTAGCACATGCCCGACGTTCGACCGCTGCATACGCAGTTGTGGGCTCTATAAGTTAAAACCATTTCACCGATAAATTTATGGTGCGATCGAATAAAACGATGTTTGACTTCATAACAAAGATTCCTAGAATTCGTTTCTTATGATAGTTTAATTTGCATCGAAGAAAATATCTTAAATCACCAAAACTTGACTTTTGGCCAACAACCAGACGTGCAGAAAACTGCCAGTATAGGCCAGAATATTTGCCATGGATGTAAAGCCATGCACCATACAGAACTCATGGGTCATCTTCAGGTAAGTTTCGTCCATCTTGAAGGCCTCATCTTTGATTGGCCCAATATCGTCACCGTATCCGTGCTCCTTCTCATAAGCGTACCTTTTTAGCATCATAGCAGTGGTTCTAGGCTCCAGGTAGAACTTGTTTATCAACGTGGCTAACATTGAAACAGCCAAGCCTGATACCTGAAGAACAGAAGTAATAAGGTCATGCAAAGTGCTTACACAAGGCACGTAAAATATTACGGTTTCCACGTAATAGATCGAGTTTTCAGTACGCTGCAGCAGCAGAAACGCTGGTAAAAGGAAAGTTTAATTTAACAAACATCATTTTCATTTACCTGAAGTTTTACGTCTCCAGTCCAAACCTCTACTGGATGCATAAGATAGTACGTTACCAAAGCAACAGTAGATAAACACGAACCCACAGTAAAATAAACTGGAAACAGTTGGCTTTGTAAGTTACCGAAGGTGTGTCTTGTAAGAGTGAAGTACATCTTGTAACCTTTAAAAGAAAACAATACAGTTATCGGCTGGCCTGAAGTATCATTAAGGGTTGACATATCACTGTTCGTGCTAGTCAGCATGCAACTGTGAAAGGCTCTTGATTCTTTCACTGCCAAGATCCAAATGGTTATTCTCCTGACTGATTGCCTCATTTCCCAGTAAATAGAAAGAAGAATGCAGTTTGAAATCAAGATCAAAAGGCTTGTCTGTTCTCATAACCTGAAAAAACTATGTTGTTGCGTCAATGGGCGGTAGATGACAATTTGGTTATTTTATCAACTGAGTTGATAATGATAATTGTCCACTGTAAAGAGTTTGTTAAACTGGCGTTTCAAGCGTTAGCCCTTCGTCAGAGCGTATGACGAAAGGCTAAAGCTCAAACGTCAGCTTTAGAAATCTTTTACAGTGGTTAATTTACATTATCAACTTAAGTTAATAAAATCAAATTATCCGGCTTATTACTAAGCAGATCACTCCAGAAGTATTTTTTCTTAAAAAAACGTTTTTACACGTTTGAATTAAATTTCCTTTCTCCTCTTCGCGATCTTTTCTCACAGGAAAAACGTCAACTAAAAGCAAATCCTCTTAAAACTGTTTTTCCTTTCCTTATTTCTATTTTACGTTTAATCCTTTCCTGATCTCGACCTGCAGGAAAAACGTCGATTGAAAACGTATCTTCAAAAGGCTACCATTTCTTCGTCATCATTTCACGTCTGACCCTTCATTTTAACTCTTCGTTATATTTGCTCAGTAATCATTCCAGTGATGAAGCAAATTTCACAAATTTGTTGAATTATTGAGGGCGCTCACACGCGCATCTAAGCAAGACACGTGTTTCTCTCCAACTAACGTTATGTAATACGTACTTGTAAAGAAAAACAATTTTGACCCCTTAAACAGAGATAGCTAAATTATTTTATCACAAAATCTGTGTGCTTTGACGTATTTCATTTAATTGCATTTTTTTTCTGCAAGCCAGAAATTTCAGACGAAAAATTTGATGAATTTTTTGCTTCTCTTAGCCTCTATCTTCTCTGGATTAAAATGTCAACAATCTCCCACGTTGTAGAGAAATCATAAAAATAACAGAATATGAAAAAATTTTGCTTTTAATCACAAGCATATCTGATGTTCGAATATTTTGAAAGGAGAATTAGAATCTTTTTTATAACGGATTTAGGAATTCAGAGCCGAGCGATGCAAAAGACATTGTACGAACCAACAGCTCATTAGAAACTTGTTAGCATTCCTTCACCCCCAGCTTTGAAGAAAAATCTCTTCTCAGTGAGAGGTAATTTCCTGGAAAGCTATAAAGCTAGTTAGTGGTTTTAAATTGACCTTGATTTATTCCGTTAGAGCAAGGTTAGAATATTCGTCTGCAGCCACAGATTACGGTTTAGAATTCTGACGCATCTCACATGTTAAAGATGTTTTGGTCCATGAAATCATAATTCCTACAGATATGTTCCTGTTTTGAATACCTATCTGTAGATTCTAAAAAATTCTGTTTTGTGTTTTGAAAATTTCTTAAGACGTCCTGTTTTTTGCTGTGGTGGTCTAATCTGACATAGAAACTACTTGAGAGCGATTTTTTGTCAAATCTCTTAAGAGGGTTGAAATGTTTCTTTGAACTGTTATCATTTTCGATCAGATTTTCGATTCCTTCCTTCTCGGCACCAGGAGCGGGACACAGATTTTCACTTAAAGAACGAAACTGACATCTGGGTGGTTTTTACCAACTAGCAACAGAAATTGATGTCAAAACAAAATTGTTAGAACGGGGGGGGGGGACTCCGAATTACCGTACGAGTTTTGCCGTCTGGCGGGATCGTCAGTTTGGAATTGGTTTGTCCAATGCAAAGCAAAAACTTAATATCAAAGAAACAACTTACAAAGCAAAGCATTATTTTTGTTCGAAAGAGTTTAAGAAGCGCATAACCACTCGCGGCATATTCGACCCCCTCCCCGGCGAGGTCGTATCCCTCTCCCACCCCCCTCCCCCTGGCCACCTCTCTTCTTCTTGATTCAAAGGAACAGCATTAATTTGTTTTCACCTCCTGTTTGAAAAATTTGCCTTTTCAGCTCTCTTATGTTTTTCTGAACGCGCTGAAGCCCGATTCTTTTTTTGGCACATGATCGTTTCTTCGCGACACACGACACAATTAGAATTATCTTTCGAGTACTCTGTCTAAAGCATATCTCTTTATGACCGGCTCGAGGTTGAAAGCGGATTAAAAAATCATGATAGATCAAGATGATTTTATTACATATCATACCCTGTCAAATCGATTTTGGTCTTCCAAATCTTAGATCAAACAAAAAAGGGGGAAAAAAAGAGAGAATTTTATTTTAAAAGAAAAGATTATGATTACTAGACATCTCACTTACCAGCAATGAATGTCACCCAAAACTGCATCCCGAACCAAGTTCCAAACGAAATCAAATGAACCAGTCGAATCGTGGTTGTAAGCAAATAACCTTTTTGGATTTCCTCAGAGATTCGCGAAGACATGGAGACTATTACGCAAAGGAAACACAACCCTAATAAATTCAAACACACTTGAAAAGTCATACTGAAATGTGGTGCTTTTTCTGTTTCCTTTTCGAGAAATCGGTTTATCAGTTCACACAGTCGCGCTGTTTTGACGTTATTAGAGGAACTGATGCCTTTTTTATAGCAGAGGTCACGTGCAAATCAACATGATTTCAACATGTCACCACGTCATTCATTTTAACGTAAACAAACTAGTTGACAACAATTTCCTAATGTAATTATCACACAGAATGCTCACTTACTTTCGGCGTCGGGAAAACCTTTGTTCTTTGAAATTGGAAGACATTTAGAGGTGACTAATTTAAGGTTGTTTGTCCACTTCTTTGGGATTTATGATTTTATTGGCCTTATTTGAAAACAGAACACATCTTAAGTCAACCGGAACAAATCTTCTCATTTCGGCGAACGTGATCAAAGTCACCACAGCTGAAAAATGTGTGAATTGTTTTCTTTTTAAATTCAAAGGCAAATGGTTAATTATATACGCAGCTGTTTATTTTATTTTTACCCTGTCTGGCAATGTAGCCCATTTTGCGGGCCAGATTGGAGAAATATTTTAGCCCGTCGAAGGCGAGAATCAATCGATCATGCGATGCAAGAAGCTTATATACAAATGAGCTAGAGATAAACTCGGTCTTATCTTTCATGCCTTTTACGTTTGTTTAAAAATTCAAATGGAAAGATTTTGTAATTTCTAGCCAGCTCAGCTCAAGGGTATACTTTAACTGAAGGAAAATAAGGTGAAAATAAACGTTTTTCTAAATGTTTTTCTAAATATAATTTATAACTGCGTGTTACAAACCGAAACGAAAACTGTAATAAAAAAGTAAAAAACTTTACTTGCATATTTTTGAATTTATGGGTAATTTTTTTTTCATTTGGGGTTTGAGAACAGTAACATGATTGAGCAGTTTCACAATATAGTGGTGTTGCTTCCCTTCATAAGGGAATCACGCCACGATTCAGGGAATTCAAATGATCTTGGAAACACTTGCTGACAATGTATTTAACGAAAACATCTGTAAAATTGGCCATATTTCCTGTCCGTGACAGCAATTATCTCGTTTATTTAACTGGACGATCAAAGAGACATTACATTCCGAAAAGCACAAGAAAGTAGCTCCAAATGTGTTTTAAAAGAAGGAACAGGATATGATTAAGAAAAACCTGCATCAAGCTGGCATTCCAAGACAGCTGAAGTTAGCATTTTTTTTAAGAGTGAGTATTTGTTGTAAACGGCATCTTTGCGGCTGTAATACTTATTCTAATTTTTATACACTTCCATTTAGTACTGGGAAAGAGAGATTTCTCTAACAATCAAAGTTCCTTTGTGTTGGTGATCATTTCCTTTAATCTCATGATCTTAGTGAGTGATTCAGCAGTAAAACTGTACGGAGATATTAGATGCTGGTCACTCTTAGGACCTCTTTGGATTTAAATGGTTAACTGTTTCTGAGAGAGCATAACCACTTCCTAAGAATCTTGTAGAATGCCTGTCACATCATCATTTTAGTAAAATCTCTTCTGTTTCCGTTATTGTTGATCATAATCAGAACAATTTTTTTTATCATTTTTGTTGTATGACGTTCCAAAGAACGGCTGCGTAGAGGGGTAGTTGGTTTTTTTAGTTCTGGGTGAAAACTATTTCACTCAATAAAGAGATCCCGTGCTTCTGAGCATCTGTTCAATAATAGATTACAGATGACGACAAAATGTGGTAGCAACATGCGCCTCGTGTTTCACTGATTTTCTTACCCGATTTTGACGTATTCTTTGATCTATCACTGAACATGTATGCACGATAACATTGAATCTGTTTGTTTTGTAATATATAGATTTAGCCAAGCCTAAAAGCGGAGCTCGCATTTTTTTCTCCCGCACGTCCCAAGGGCACAACGCCTTGCCCCGACCAGGACTTGAACCTAGGTCGTCCGACTCGGAGCCCAGTGCACTGACCACTGGACTATGGGACAAAGCCGTGGAGTTGGCGTGCCCGCGTTACAGTTGACCACGCATGTTAAAAGTAGCACCTTGTACGGTCGTACGGTCGTACGGTCGTACATCCAAATTTTTTCGGCTTGATGGGTCACTACTATTTTGTATTATTATGGGGCTACGCTCTACGAGCTCCGCTATAATAAATAATAGGATACATGAAAAAAATTCTATTAGTTCTGATTGGTTCAGGTCGTTAAGATAAATGCAGTTTTCAGGTAATTCAATGCAGATTAATTCAGGGCATAGAAGTAACAAACCAGAATGAACAATTCCAGGAACTGTTTAGCCGGACTATGAACTTTTTGCGCGGTTGTTTTGACCGAACTCACAATGCCACTTGCAGGGTTTGAATAAATTATTTTTGCACTTAATGCGCGCGCTTTGCTTCTGCATAATCATTAGCTATCTCGTATTTTTTCATGCATATTATTAATAAGTAATCACATGATTTTTCTTGTGCAATTTGGAATAAATAAGCACTTGTAAATTTTGTTAGTCTTTGAAAAAATTTACTCGTGCTTCTTAATTCCAAATTGCACTCGAAATCATTTGATTACTTATACGAAGCAAAGACGTCCTGTGCCTCCCGAACGATGGCAGATGAAGACCAATTTGTTGAACAGTTTGTTGAATTGTATTCTTCATATATATAGGTGAAAGAGAAGATGTCTCAAAATATTTGAATCGGGGTTCAAAAGTTAAACACGATTTAAAATTTAAACTTATGAGTGTATTTTTTGCAAAAGGCTAGCCACAAAACTAAGCCTCGAACTTTGCTTGGCGGGATAAAATCGAGGCGGGAGTTGGATACCGCTTAAAAACGGATTAATCACCGAATTTATTTTTTGATAACTCTGCATTGCGTCGAATCCAAATAGATTACCTTGAAAATGACTCTTCTTGATATCATTTTATTAGTTTGCGGTTAAACCGCGCAATTTCTCCGCTTTAATCTCCATATTTTGCGTTCAAAGTTAAAGTTATCATAATTTTGACACTCTGGCCCAGATCTGTGTCCTCATTAATTCTTATTTTCTGCAGAAACACGTTAACTGACGGTATAAGGTTCTAAGGTCATTGGACTTTTACCTAAAAGTTTCCTCGTTTTTACCCGCTTATCAAAACTAAGCGTGCGTCAGTTATAATTGAGCTTTTCCGCGTTCAAAACTTTGACAATCTTTCTATAATTTTCACAATCTTTCTGTACAGTTTCTTTCGTTCCCCTCGCCAAATAAAAACAGGCTAACATGAATCAAAGTTTTCTATTTTCATTGTTCCCGAATACTTTAATTATCACCTATGTCCATTTGGTAAAAATAAAGCTTGATTTCTCACTAATAAATACATTTTATATATTTACGTGGCGGTCGCAAAATTGACTTAGCTACTCGAGAATGCATTTCCATTGTTTTAATGCCTCATCTTGACTTATCTTGAATGAAGTGTTCGATAACATTTCTTCTCTTACGTACGTAACTGAAAGGAAATGCCATTTTGGCAGTCAGATTTTAAGTTTGAGGGCTTGGCTCTGAAAAACGGTTGTGTTGCTATTGAGTGAAACGCACCTCATAAATTCACAACATCAGAGTCAGAAATCCTGTTATCATGGCAACTTCGGTAAAATTTTTGTATGCCTTCTGCCTGGTCGAAATTTAATTTGACCACTTGAAAGTGAACCCAACAGATGAAACGGACGTAAAGGTTACTTCTTAGAAAAAAGGATTTCGAGAAATCAGTTAAAAGACCGAAAGAAAACACACATGATTTCCGGCTTGCATATCGTTCCGTCAAGGAGATTAAACTTACTTACAAATTTTCACGTCGACCTTGTCAGAAAATATCGCTCTGTAGAAATGACAACAACATTTGTATTCCTTATCGCAGATTTACGAAAGACGAGACCAAGGTTAAGAGTGTTTGAATATGATCAATTATTATCCAGAGGCATCCGTGGAACTAAATATGCTCTATAGCGTTCGGCTCCTGTAAGCATCTTGAAGAGGCATTCAGCGGACTTCGTACTCACTCTGAGGCAATTTTTAACAGAATACTAAGCAGCGGAAACGTTTTGTTTAAAAGCACACAACCAGACGATAAGAAGACTACAAGTCATTTAGTGGAATTTAATTATAACATAGCTTGAAAATTTGAGTTGCTATGTACACAAGGGTGGCGTGGAGAAATCCCTTTAAGAACAACTGCGTTGGAAATGTCACAGGTGTTTCATACGTTTGCTGAGTTCATCGACATGTGAAGCATTTGAACAGTTGATACAGAACCTAAGTAGCTAGAGTTGCTCTCAGCTGTGTCTCGAGCAACCCTTACGGATCTTTTATTCCTTCCAAACTTCCCACGTGTTCCATACATCGATAACTGCATGCTGACGCATGAACTTACGGGCGAGGTGACCGCACGTACAACGTTTGGGTCATGAACTTAAATACCGCGTTTACTACGTGCAAGAATGGGCCCTAGTTGTATTGCTAGCCCTTTCTCGATATGCAGGGGGTCAGCGTAAACCATTTGAATGAGTTTCGGAATTTTCTTCGCATTCTTGTTTCGAGCGATCTACCCAACCATAGGCTCCTGAAGGAAATCCCAATTTTCTCTCCTATTTCCCAAGTTTCTTTTCTTCTTTCTTTCCAAATTTCCCCGAGATCTTTTTGAGCCTCTCTCCTTCCTTCCCTATTTCCCTATGGTGAGTTCTTCATACCCCCTTTCGATTCCCTGGGGTCCCTTTTCTTTCTCTCTCCCTTCGGCGCCCCCGATTCATTCACCCCTCCCCTCAAAGTTCTTTATTCTTCCCCCTTTCCCCCCCAAAATTTCATGGGTCCCTTCTCTCTTACCCTCCCATTTCGGCTCTGTCGATTCATTCCCCCCTGAAGTTCTTTATTGCCCCCTTCGCCAGTTTCTTAGGGCTAGAAAATAAAATATCTCCCCTAGGGCCCTCGGAGTTATTTATCTCCCCCCACTTAATTCCTTAGATTCCTTTCCCTCCCCCCCTTCGGAGCCGCCAATTCCGTCATCCTTTCCCTCAGAGTTTTTTCATCATCCCCCTCAAATTCCTTAGGGTTCTTTCTTTCTCTCCCTCTCCCTCTCCCCCCTTGGGCACTTCCGATTCTGTCATCCTTTCTCGCAGCTCTTCTTTTCCCAACTTCACGGCAGCGTAAAATATTAATCCAACCAGCAATTTGTTTAAAATCCTTAATAACATGTTTATTATAAATACAAATTTTTCGAATTAAAACTAATTTCTTTGCATACAATGAAAGCAAAGATACCTTGCAGCACAGCAAAATATGGTTCTTGTTGAGTATCTCGTGACAGATTTAATACTAAAATACTTTTATTCTTTCAAAGTAGATTTTACAAGTAAATCTCAACACATTGTAAATTTACAATCTTACAATTACATTACAATTACACATTGTAAATTTATAACAACAATTAAAAGCTAGGACTTGACGTAATAAGCTAACTAGAATGCTTTCACAAATCAATAATATTCCAATATTCTAGTGCCTGGTGAAAAATTAGACAGCCGCTTAACAGACTTCCTATGAGGTAGGCATTTTGAAGAGCAACGCACGTGAGGCGCGATTCCTCGTGAGTCGTGTCACAGGCGCGCAGCACGTGACTCTGGCTAAGACGGCGCTCAGAGGACTTCTTTGGTAGCGTACACAGGAGTTCAGGTAAGCTAGAGTTTTACACAGGGTAATTTAATATTATCAACTGAGTTGAGAACGTAGATTGGCCACCGTAAAGAGTTTCAAAGCTGATGTTTCGCGCGTTAGCTCTTCGTCAGAGCGAAAGGCGAGAGGCGTCATACGCTCTGTTGAAGGGCGAATGCTCGAAACGCCAGCTATGAAACACTTTACGGAGGCCAAAATGTTACTAACTCAGTTGATAATACTAAATTACCCTGTTATACTCTCCTACCGACGTAGCATCACGGTTTCTTTAGAACTTACCCACTTTATTCATTCGACTTTAACACAGCTGGGTTGAATATCTATTGATCATTCCAACAGCTGGCATAAAGCAGGTAATTTTAAGAAATAGCGACTAAAAAAAACCGTAAATAATCAATCCTTCAATTCCAAAGATCTAATCGTCAATTCTCCCCTCTAGCAGCTACACATTTCCTTGTAAACCATTTAAGAGAGTTCGGTGTTAGATCGAAGAAAACTACAACCTGGTAAGTTTGAGGATTCTCATTGCCTATTTTCTAGATGACATTAGGATACTATGGAGAGAAGTTACGTGTAGATCACTTCTTGAAGTTAAGGGTTTTAATTAAATCAACACTAGCGATCCTTTCCCTAACTGTAACTGGAAAAAAAACTAAAAAAAGCAAAAGAAATTCTGGAGCATAATACCTCTTTTAGAGCTGCTTTGAGCAGCTTGGCTCAATCTCAATACCTCAGTACTTGTTTAACCGACGTAAGTAAACGTTGCTTCGTCTTAAAATCCTGCTCCGGTTGTTTCTGCTAATCTGACGCGCACAATAGCATGTCACGCATACCATTGCTGCATGACAACGAAAATAACGACTGCAATGGCAACTACGAGGTAACAACATCACCGAGCAAGCAACCTTATTGAACTCGTACTTGATAGGAATTTGTTTTCCTATCGCAAAGAATTTGCCTGTTTTTCTCAAACGCCTTGACAAGTGCATAGCCGATGACGATGCTCTCTTCAAGGCATGCAGTATTTTATTTCATTTCCAACTTAGCCTTCGCTAATTTTCTTCGCCAAGCTCTTATTAACCAAGACATCGGCAATAAGCACGTCTTCGTTCCCTTCTGAGGTGTCATAAAGCTCAAGTGACACTTTAGTTTCTTCGTTTGTCAACCGGCTACGATTAGCCACCAGGCCTCTTGGTTTAGCTACTAGCTTCTTGTCAGCGGTCAATTCTCCAAACAGGTCGATGGCCTCCTGTGACCAACGTGCTAAGTCCTCTCCTACTGGCTCCACCCCTACACGGGTAAAATAAACGGCTCATCATACCCAGACTCTTTACACTCCTCACCATATTTTTTCACAGGCGATGAAAGTTGGGGGCTGATCATAATCTATCACCTTAGGAAAGGGGGGTAGAGTCAAAGGATTTTGTTTGTGTCACGATAAAAATTTACTGTTCCCCCCCCATAAGGTTTTGTAACGGTCTTATGAACCCCCTCATTAACAGTTAATTAGCATTCAATGTCCCCCCCCAGTCATACTCTGCCGGTGACGACTACTCCCCCCTCCGTTACCCCTAAAAACCATGAGATTCCCCCCCCCCCCAAACTCGTCGCCAGTCGCTTAGAATGCTAAAAACGTGATAAGGATGCAAAGAAGAGTCCCAGCAATCTGTGCAGTCGCTGGGCAGCAAAACTGATCACGCGATTAACATTCTATTAAATTTTTCTTACTCAAGAGCATCTCTTCTTCAAAAATATGTGCATTGGCCACAAAAGTAAAATCTTCGGCAGAGACAGTCAATGTCGTTGTGATCTTCCAACAGTCAGAGTTTTTGGTAACTTAGAAAAGGACGGGGAAACACGAGTGAGGTTACAACACAAACACGAAACTGCCATGTGAATCTCCTCTCGTCTCCTCCAATCGCTTTGACGAAGGGCTAACGATTGAAATGTCAGCCTTTAAACTCTTTACGGTGGCCAATTTACGTTTTCTACTCAGTTGATAATACTAAATTACCCTGTTATACTCTCCCACCGACGCAGCACCACAGTTTCCTTAGAAACTTACCCCCTCTATTCATATATAAAAATTGTAGTCATTTACATACCGTGCAGGCAACCTTGAATAGCCATGGGCGGAAGCTCTCTGAACTCGTCTGGTAAAGCTTGTAAATTGGCGAATGACACCAGACCAAAGTCTCCATAATCAGCAAAACGTACGCAAGTCTGGCAACAGGAATTAATGTAAACGAGCAAACAAACAATGTTTATATTAACGCCAGGGGATAGGGACGAAGTCTAGAAAAGAACAAACAAACTTGCTAATCCATTATTGTTGTAAAGACCACGGTAAACTGACCTGTTGGGGGGAGAATGAAGTATTGACCACTGCTCTGTACCACATGTCATCCTCGACATGATAAACTGCACAGAAAACACCTGGCCTGATATCTCTGAAAGGAGTTCGGCTTCTACCCTATGAAGGGAATACGAAATTTTAAAACACTTCAAATAAAGCTCTCCGCTTAAAAACGTGCCTGAAAAGATAACACCTTATTAGCTTCTTCTAAAAATAACCTTCATTTATCCTTAAGAAGTTTCGTTGCAGTTATTTTTTGGTGTGAGCGCACTACAATTCATGGAGTGGACCTACTGATCATGCGCGAACGAGTCGCACATGACTCGTAATCCTCTCCTGTGAGAAATTGAGTGAACTGTCACCACTTACTGTGTAGTATTTCTGCATTTTCTCTTCAAGCTCCTCCTTCTGTTGTAGGAGCTCCAAACACTGAAACTATAATGATACAAAGAAACATTACAAACAACAACAATTTATTCCAGCATCATCAAGCAAGGACACGGTATTCTGCGTCTATCAATCCGAAGCTTCAGCAGCTCCCTTCCCCGACAACTCCCCAGACATTTGAACTTTTGAAGACTGGTTATGTGTTATTGTACATCTATATTGACACAGGGTACCCATGCTCTCACCACAAACGTGCTGGGGTCAATAGCCTCCAGTATACAAATGTCCACCCACGGTTTGGAGAGGAGCGCTGTGGTCATGTTGCCATCATCTACTGGCCTACAGGCCTCTGTGGAGCTCTCTGACGTCACGCTGTCTTTGTCATCATCATTATATTCCAAAGCAGTGCTGTCAATTCTGATAAAAAAAAAACAAAACAAAAGAAATTGAGTGCGCATTGAAAGGTAACGACAACTTTTTTTAATCACTTTGTCATGACCAGGGGAGAAGAAAATCTTTAGATTCCATGCTCTACCACTGAGCTAAAGAGAATTTGAAGGTACGCTTAACCATAAATAAGTTCATATAAAACACGCATTTTTTATCTTTAGTAATTCACCTCAATGTCTGCCATACAATTCTTACGATATTAGTTCGGAAAATTTTGTATTAGATCAACTAATAATTCCCTAATGCAAATTTTTCGTTATTCTCATCACTTGTCTGCCTGACATTGTATTGATATTGTAGGGAGAAATTCTCTCTTGGTCACTCAAGGGAGTTAAAGGGTTTACAGCACCTCTGAGAGGGTGAACCTCAAATTACCAAGAAAAGGAGACGAGCGTAAGACCGAGGACCTTTGGAATCAAGTCTAACATAAACATTTTTTACATGATAGGCTGAATTGTTCATGCATTTTGATTCGTTTTCACTTATGATCTCTTGGAGGATAGACGCATAGATGTCACCGTTAACAACACTTTGCTTCTCAGAAAAAGATGTTTTTCGTCTTGTCACGAGCGTGGGACAAAGAAAAAAAGTCCCCATGAGGAATTGAACCTCACACCCTTGGATTACGCGCTCCGATGCTCTACCACTGAGCCACAGAGATTCTACGGTGAGCGAGGTCTGTTACAAAGTTCATATAACACGCGTCCTGCATACTGCTAGGATCAGCGATGTCGATAGCGTCATGTTTATGAATGGAATAAGAGAGATAGTAAGTTTTGAGCTTGGTAAAGAAATAGAGAAAGATGTTTTTCGTCTTGTCACGAGCGTGGCGTGCTTCTTATCATTTAACACAAATAGATTCCGTGGGTCTATACAGTAAGAGATCACAGAGGGCGTCAAAATGCGGAAGGAACAACAGTGATACACACAGTTGAGCCTTGTGTGCCATTTTTTTTCTTATCAAATTTTGACGTCGTCTGTGATTACTTATGAAACGGCAACATAGAATTTAATTGATACATTTTAAAACCAAGTCCCACATACCCAGCAGCAGCTGCTTCATTGTGTGTTTCTTTCCGTTCTTCTGTCTCTAATCCCAACACCTCTCCCACGTTTACTAAGGCATCTACCTCATTCTCAGAAGAAATAAAAAGCCTCACCAAAGGAACGTCTGCCATCTGAACAACCTGAAAAAGAAACAGATACAGTAGCAACCAGTTAAATTTTTAAATTTCACGGAAGAAGTCACAATGTCGCGATGACGAGATAAACACTTGATTGCACTCACAAGCACAATTCAGCCACAGAAATAAACTTTACTATGCTAATTTGGTTTTAGCAACAGACTTGACAACAGACTTGCTAATTTAAACTGGCCTCCGTAATGAGTTTCCAAGCTGACGTTTCGAGCGTTAGTCCTTCATCAGAGCGAAGAGAATCTTAACTTTGTTCGGCTCCAGTCTCCGACAGAGGTAAGTGTGTGTCCAAGACCTGGGGGGTTAATTGTGTTTCTGGGTAAAGCCATAATATCGCCCCTCTCCACCCATGGGTAAATACGTCTCCAGTCCCCACGGCGAGTCAAAATACAAACAACAAGTGCAATTGGTGTCAGAATAAATTTCCATTCGCTTGAAAGAATGGTAATCGTGCTTACCATCATGAAAGAGATTTATTTGAAATATCTGTGAGTCTTAAGTTCTAACCTCAAGTAATACATCCCTCTCAATGATCGTCTCAGTCTGTTCCTCTGTCAGGCCCTGCTACAAAAAATAAAAAGAACATTCAGTCAGGCAGGTCTAAGGAAAGAACAGAAAGTAGTTACCAGTCATGCCTTTTACCTCAGCGAGTTTTCAGACACTACTGTAAAGAATGCAAAGGAGAAAGAGTATAATATTAAACGCATACATGGAGTACCTTCTCAGTTCCTTCCAGCTTGCATTCTAACGCCTTCATGACAGATAAAAAAATAGATTCAAAATTACACTCCATAAATAAGTTCTCTTATCATATACAATACTACGTAAATTGCAAAAGAAGGAAATTTTAAAATACCACCCCTTCTTCAAGTTTTAATTTTAGAGAAGCTGCTTACTTAGAGGTAAGCTAAAATGAAAGAAATCACTGCAACAACGACAAAGGGCTGGCAGAAATACAAAAAGGAAAGTTGGATGAGAAGGAAGAGGAAGGAAAGAGAGCAAGAGGGAACACAAGAAGGTGTGCGGGTGGGGTTCCTGAAAGGGAAGACAGCGAGGTGGGAAACAAAAGGTAAGTTAGGGAGGGGTACCTGTGAGGGAAGAGAGAAAGAGATGGGGGGAGGGGAAAGGGCGCACACGGACACAATGAGACAGGTGGAGTGGGTACCTGTCAGGGGAGAGAGTGAGGGGAGGGAAACAAAAAGACAAGTAGGGAGGGGTACTGGTAAGGGAAGAGAGCAGCAAGGGAGGGACACAATAAGGCATGAGGGTGGGGTACCTTAAAGGGAACACAGTGAGGTGGGAAACAAAAAGACAATTAGGGAGGGGTACCTGTAAGGGAAGAGAGCAAGGGGGGAAGGGAACACAACAAGTGGAGTGGGTACTCGTAAGAAGAGAGAGCGAGGGAGGGTGAGGACAAATAGGGAGGGGTACCCGTAAGGGAAGAGAGCAGCAAGGCAGAGACACAATAAGACATGGGGGTGAGGTACCTAAAAGGAGAGAGAATGACAGGTGGGGAGACAACAAAAGGCAAGTGGAGTGGAGTATCTGTCAGGGGAGGGAGAGCACGGCACATAGAGACAAGTGGGGTGGAGTACCTGGAAAGGAAGAGAGTTGACATGACTTATGGCCCTTGTTGGTTCACGCAGACTTGCTAGTGGAAGTGCTTCTATGTTTCCAAAATCGACATACTGCACTTCGACCTTTAACATATTACAAACAAACCACAGTTACAACCAAACACAATTAATGTCAGCTCTAATATCTCAGTGATGTTCAAAAGGTTTTCTATATTTACGTCACCTTCTCACAGAAAAACAAAGTTTAAAACTCTAATGAAATAAATGATCTGAGCCTCTGTGAAACAAAGAACCCAACCTCATAAGATAGAGCACTCAGCCCAAATGTACACCCTAACATCAGTGTGCATATTCACCATACTGTTCTCTAAACAATTTCTAAGATGCTGACAAGGAGAATTTGTATAACAACCAAGAGCTGCTTGAGTTCATGATGATTTCCTTAATTCTCATGATCACAGAGTGTGATTCAGGTGTGACATTGTAAGGAGAAATTAGATGCTAGTCACTCTCAGGGTGATTCTTCAAGTGTGACTCATCCCAATTGAGACAAACAATGTTTTAAAAACTTGTCACGAATTTTAATATCGTCAATGTATAACTTATCATTTGGAACATGTCATCATCACTCTCTGTAGAGGAAATACCTGTCTGTCTGGCAATACATTTGTCACTATGGCTCTGTACCAGACCCCATCTGAACATTTTGCACAGCACATTTTGTTTTTGTGGGGACTGGATACAAACTCAGCAGCCTTTGTTGGCTGAAAATCAATTAGAAATAAACACAATGATTACATTCCTACTTCTCCTAACTATTGGCAATAAATTATCCAGAAAATAGCTAATGAGAAGAGATACTCTGATCAGTAGGAGGGTGTCATCAAATTTTCTTATTTAACTTACTAAATAAAGGTTGAGAATTTTTATTATTTTGAAAAGTCACATTCAGATGTTGAGGCAAAAGTATTACAACAAAATCACTTTATTTTGATACTCATGTCACACTGGGCTAAAAAAAAATATGTATATATATATACACTTTATTCATTGGTTTAATTTATAACATGGGCAGATATTTTGCAAGTTGCACACTGTTTCCAAGCCTTGTATAGGCAAAGAAAAATGAGAGCAATGTGCAAAAGATCTGCCCTTGTTATGTGTTAAATCATTGAATAATGGATACATCCATAATTATTTCAATCTCTACATCCTATGATCCATTTAAGCATAGTATTGATCAAAACCAGCCTGCATGAAAGACAAACAGCAAAAGCAAAACCACTGAATTTTTTTTTTAACCTAGCAAAAAAAATTCTGATGGACTTTAAAGTTCATTGCTCTTTAAGTCAAGCCTAAAATAAGGAATGTAGCCAAATGTGGATCCTGCAGTAAGGCCATTCTGTTCTCCCACTTTCCATTCATATTTTTGCCATGCCCTACCTGCAATACTGTAGCATATTTTTCAAGTTCCATTGCCCAAATATGAGAAAATAGCATAATAGTGGAATAATAATTCTAAACCAAATTTACCTGTGAGTAATGTTCAGCAATGTCTTCCATAAGTTCATTCAACCTTGTAGTGCCCCCACCAGGAATCTGTATGAACACATGACCCTCTGGTGTAATATAAGTCACAAATGCTTCAATTTGCTCTCCAACCTAACAAAACAGAAAAATAATCCATGTCACTATACGGCGAGGTAGTCCTCTGGTAAATCCTTGCTTGAGCATTCTGATTACTTCATACTTGGTGTGTATTTTGTCATACAGACTGTTTCCATGGAAATGGCCATAAGCCGTGTATTTTTGGCAGCAAAAGCTGGCAAATTCGAAGTAAACAAGTTTGGTCCAAGTGCCATATAATGACTAAAACTGCTTCCCTGCTTTGGGTTTTGGTTGTTTTTGTATAGACCAAGTGCAGCAAGATCCTTATTCGATAATGCAATTGAAGAGTTTTAATTAGCTCAGCCATCATGGGTTATGAGTCATTATACCATGCCCATGCACGAAAATGAGTTAAACCAGAAGTGTTTTTGTACAATGTAACATTCTGTTTGCTCTCACAAAATAAAGTTGGGAAGATTTATCTATATTTTGAGAGGTTTTTAATAAAACAATTATTTTACTTCTGCTTGTTGGAAATGAGATGATTAAGCCAACTATCATGTCATGTCCAATGGACACTACTGGAATAATTGTTAATTATGGTTTTACCCTGAACAATTACTATAAAAGCATACCTTAGCGCCCCTCACTGAAATTTTCTCTTATTTTTAACATAACATCTCTAAAAGTCCTCCTCTCTGATACTGTTACAGCTTTTACCTTGGGAAGGACTGGAGCCATATCCACATCTGGAATGACCAACCGCTGTAACATTGCGTTGATGTTGATATCAACTTCGGAAGAAGTGTCATATAATTCTACTGATGCTGTATTTCCATCCCTACAGACACAAGAAAGAAAATGTTTAATGCATTACACAAACAAAATCCATTTCAGCTTGATAACTGAAGCCGAATTATACATGCATTTTGATTGGTTGTTACTCATGATCTATCGGAGGACAGATGCTTGGATGACATCACCATTAACAATTTATAATATAGCTTTACAAAAGTGCACCCTTTGATTGGCTAATATGCTCAATCCATTTGCCAGTGGGTTGCATGCTGACATCAGTCTGTTTTGCAGTGCTGAAAGACTTCACTAACCCTTACACTTAAACTGTACATGCAGTGCACAAGTTCATACCTTTGTATAACTTGGGCCACAATATCTTTGTTGAGCGTCATGTGTTTCACTTTCAACAGAACTTCATCATTCTTTGTTTTAGGAAGTCCATGGAGGCTAACAGTGCAAGCCTTGGAAAAAAACAATGTGATGAGACTCAGTAGGTAGGTCCAGCGGTAAGAAACCCCACTGTTCACAAACAGACAAATTCTTACAGAGGAATTCAGCACAAAAAGAGTTTGAAGGTAACCTTACACATCAAGTAATTTTAAGATCATAGTGCTTAACCCCTCAACTCCCATGAGTGACCAAAACAGAATTTCTCCTTACAATATTAATTCAATGTCAACCAAATGAGCAATAAGAATAAAGAAAAATATCAATTTGGGAATAATTAGTTGATACAAAACTAAATTCTCTGAACTAACTTTATAAGAATTGTACAGTTGACAGTCAGAGAATTACAAATTTGATCTGCGAGTTTAAGGGTTAACCTGATTAGAACAATGTAGTCTACAGGATTAATCTTAATCCAGTATGTTTTGTTGACCTTTTAAATCCCACTGGAGACTGAGACACTGTTTTTCTCCCTACAATATCAATACAATGTCAAGCAGACAAGTGATGAGAATGAGGAAAAAGTATAATTGGGGGATTATCACTTGTAGTTCATTCAATGTCATATTCTCCTGACTAACATCATAAGAATTATGTGTCAGAAAGCAGGGAGAATTACCAATGAGATCACAGGAGTGAAAGGGTTAACACTTGTCAGCTGGACGATGATTTATCCATTGGAGAGTGAGTTCTGCCCTTTGAACAACAGAGCCTTGTTGCTTAAGTCCTTTACTTACTTAAAACAGAAAAAATTAACAAACTACGACAAAAATAATATCAGAAAAGTGGCATTATTTACTGTCCCAAAGATAGTCTGCTTTTAAATCTAGCAACCAAGTTCCTGTAGTGCATTGAGCTCTATTATATAAATATTGTCTGGCAAAATAAAACCACAACCAGAAGAACTTATCACAAACCTGGAAGGGTAATTCCAAAAATCTGGAAGGAATACTTCGTAAGCTAGATATTGGTATCACTCCTTTGTCCCCGTAGTCCATGTATTCTATATGAGCCTTGTCTCCCTTTACTTTAAGCACCTTGACCCTATACCAAAGACCATCTGAATGGATATCCTGTGAATATACTGCATATATGCTTCCAGGGATGGCTTTAACTGGTGCTAAATCAAACAAAATGTAAACAAGAGGACAGGTGAAAAGTTTAAGATAAGTTTTCACAATTGTTCTTTTAATCACTTTTTTTTGGCCACCGTAGAACTATAAATACTGTATTTAATGTGTAGGAGTGAAAAGGAGAGAGAGGTCAAAGCAAAGAAACTATGGAGCTTATAGAGTATGGGCTTTCTTATCTTGTAAAAAAATGGAGCAACAATGGCAAAATTGGTGAAATAATGTAATGAAAATAAAGAACCAAACAAAGAAAGAAAGCAAAGCAAAAAAAAAAATTGAGGAATCAATGGAAAACAGAATCTAAGTGAGAAGGTATTTTTTTCAGTTTGTTTTTTAATCTCGTCGCACTTCATGTATTTTGAATGTCTTGGGAAAACTCAACTGACAATTGAAGGCTGTAATTGATTTTGGTTTGCATCTGATTGATTAAGACAGAGCCATTTTCGACTGAGTGTCCAAGGTAATGCAAGATTGTAATAGTTTTCCTTTATTTCACTATGTGATTAATCCAGAAAACTTAGGTCACACTTTCAAACAATCAGAAACTAAATACCTGTAAAAACCAATCACAACCTAGTCACCCATGTTTTCCTGCGCTTTGGGAAGTTTGCTTGGTTTCACTCTGAATTCTAATTGGTTCTTAAGAGTATTTCTCTCTATTCTGATTGGCTGATGTGATTACTTTGATGTCGGTTTTACAACTCTCAATCAAGAAGCTCTCTGGTGGCATGAATTTCCTAAACCAGTCACAACCGGCAAAGGTGAACCACTGCAATCCTGAATTGCTTTTGCAAGTTAACTAATCATTGCTCCTCTGCTTATATTCTTTGTTAAGGCTGGGCACATTAAATTTCCACAAAAAAGGAATGTTTTTGCTAACCTTCAGCTGTTGAATCGTCATAGTGACATGACATACTCTGTTCCAAAGCAAGTAGTTTCTCCTGAATGACAGAAATTGAAAGAAATACAGATCAACAAAATTATGACCAATTATAAGGAAAAGGGCATGAAAGTTTTTTTTCTTTCCTTAAAAGGAATTCATTTATAACAGTTGTGAAAATTAACCCTTTACACTCTAACATCAGTATGCATATTCTCCATACTGTTCTCTCTACATTTCTTAAAGTGCCGACCAAGAAGAGCAAGAAGTGCTAACCAAGAAGAGCTGTTGAAAAACAACTAATCACAGCAGAGCATCATGCTTATAAGATCACACATGACCAGTTGACCTCATCGCTGGAAGAAGACTAGCAGTATGCAATCAAAATGTCGCAATCTACATCACATGTGATGACATTGTGAGACAAACGAAAAACTTAGCTTTTATTGTTATTCACCACGATGAATAACCAAGAAGAAGAATTTGTTTACCGATCAAGAGCTTCTTTAGTTTGTGATCATTTCCTTATTCTCATAACCTTGATGTGTGAATCCCACATGATGTAATGAAAGGAGAATTTCGATGCTAATCCCTCTTACTGTCAAAAGGTCAATAATAAGGGGGACACCTACATGATATGAAGGTCTCAAACATCTCAAATTTCTTGAGATACCTATAAAACGCCACTCATTAACTGGGTGCAAGATCTGTACCCTAAGAAATGGACCAATTGCAAAGCATGTGGACCATAACTCTGAGTGAAAAAAAAACAAGGTTCCATAACTTACAGCTTGGATTGTATAAGTTTTGTACTCTATTTCTGTGTTGTTGTACAAAAAGGTAACAATGTGGGAGAGAGTAGAACATTTTAATTGCATCCACTGGGGTTCAAGTTGCATACTTGTCATTTTAAAATACTATTAATATGATCATTTGATAATTATTGACATCATTATATATAAAACCTAAAAGCAGTAGCTTAAAAATACACTCACTGTGTATTCTCCCCCTGATAGATTGACGCAAATGTTGTCTGTGCTGTGTACATTACAAACAAACACATCCAAAAAATCCTCATCAGGGATTTGTACCCTCTCTGGAAAACAAACAAATGAACACCTCAAATGAGTTAAAAATCAATACTTTCCCCTTCATATGTTTAAAATACATAATCAATTTGAACATGATTGAATGCTTGTCTTCTTAAACGACAACATACACAGATTATCGCAGAATTCTTAATAAGTCAGGGAGTAGATGGGTATGTGCATGGAATTGGTGGCTCACAATTTGAGAGCTTGTTCCAGGGGTCTCGGAACATGCTCCCCTACAAAATATTCTCACAGGGAGTGAAGGGGTTCAATGGCACATACATGCAAACACAAGACTGCATCACCAAATGCATAAATTTTCAAAAAACAACAGTTTGACAATTATTTAATTGTTGCATTGACAGAATGGTATCCTAAGTTGGAAGGTGAAAAACAAAGTTTTCTATGGCTAAGTCTTCATTAGCAACATTCTGATACAAACCAGGAATTTTTTGTGACTCATCATCTTTAGACGAGAGTCTATGTCTCAGAAAAGGCCTTGCAAGAGCAATTGGTTTTCTTTCCTCAGAATCTCCACCTTCTTTTCTACCCCTGGGGAAAAAATTATTTTGTTAGAACTAGATGTACTAGCAATAACCATGGACTAGAAAAGTGCACTTGAAAGTTAATCAATAATGAAAACCCTTATCAGACATTAACATTATAAACAAACCTGACAGAAAGACCTAACTTTACCAACTGATCAAAACCGATCACTCATGACCAACTTCTGCCACTTGAGTCTTACAGCCGATAACATCACATGAAAACTGACAAATCAGTTTATACAAACTGGACTTAGAACATTCGCCTGACAACAACTATTCACCTGAAAGCAACTATTCATTTGACTCTGATGATGACTTCTGCTCAGGTTGTCAAAACGTCACTTACCACACCTCTTTAAACTGATGATATTGCAATAGCCCTTGAGAGAATGGGCCATCTGGCACATAAGCTCACTATATATTGAACAGGGCGTGAAATTAACTTTTTTTTCTGATAGCCACTTGGCTCCTAAATTCTTCAAAGTGGTAGCCAATTCAAAAAAAGTTGGTCGGCATTTTCAAAGACAAACAAAATCTTTCTTTACGCTGTCAGCGTTCTAGATAGACCCTCTAAAATTAAGTTAGGGAAAAGATCTTTAACGTGCTACAAAGTGGACACTAGGATGGATGATATACAACTTTCAGGCTCATCTAAATCCAAGATGGCGTCTAGTTATCGATCGAGATGCATGTGCTACGTTTTGGAAACAAACTTAACGAGGAAGTTTGCCACAGATTTGTCTTTGCAAATTTATTTAATTCACTATATCTCTTGGTAAGGTTATGATGAAGCATTGTAGTCACCAATTTGGCGACTAACTTTCAGGATTTGGTCGCCAAAGTGAAAAATTTAGTCGCATTGGCGCCTGTATTAGGCGCAATTTCACGCCCTGTTGAATCTGGAAAAATAACAAACCTGGCACTGTCTGAAGTGGACACTGTGCTACTTTGACCTAATGATGACTCTGACGATGTTGTTGTTGTCACTGACACAAATGAATCTGTTGAAGAAGATGGAGTTACAGATGAGGTAGACACTGAGCTTTTTGTTGATGATGAGGTTGATGAACTGTCTGTATCCCTTTGCAACAATGCACAGCCTTCTTTTGCCAAAGTATCAGCAACACTGTTCCCCTTTGAATCCATGAGGTCAACATACAAATGGTGGCCTTATGAGAGAAAGAAAGCAAATCAACCATTGTAAGTATAAGGGATAGATCTTGTTTTCCTCATTTAAAACTTTTAATTCATATGTGATAACATTCTTAAAATTAGAGAAATATGTTTTTTCCATCTTGTCATAAGTGTGAGACAAAGGAAAAAAGATCTGAGTCTCCATGAGGAATCAATCCTCAGACCTTTGGATTCCGAGCTCTGATGCTCCATATCACACGCCTCCTGCATACTGCTAGGATCAGCAATGTCGATAGTGTAATGTTTGTAGATAGAATTGAGAGATGGTAAGCTTTGAGCTTGGTAAAGAAAAAGAGAAGGATGTTTTTTTCATCTTTGTCACAAACATGGGACAAAGAAAAAAATTCTGAGTCCACATGAAGAATCGAACCTCAGACCTTCAGATTCCACACTCCAATGCTCTAACCACTGAGCACTAACCACTAACCACTAACCACAGAGACTCCACAGAGTGAGGTCTATTACAAAGTTCATATGGCAGTAAAATTACTCACTAAGAAATTCAAAATATACAAATTTTGTATTCAATGTCTCAGATCTTTACTTTGTTGAAATAAAGACCTCCTGTGATGATTACCAAGCAGTGTCAAGCCAAATGCCAACAAAGCAGGAAAATTAATTCTGTAAGTGACACTAACCAAAGCAACACATGTTATCAGCCCTCCCAGATGCAACCATTTTGGTTGACATGGCAAGAAGGAAAAAATTTCAGGCCACAAAATTTTCAGAGAAAGTTATAAAATGATAATTATAGTTTGAAACTAACTTGCAAGAGAATGTTTAGCAATTAAAGAGGAAAATTAACAATCAGATCTTGAGAGGTAATACTCTTAAGATTCTTTTAAGTAATTTCTAGGAGGAAAAATAAATTTTCCATACCTTCCCCTCTGACAACTCTCATATGCAAAACTTCAGATGCAGAACAAAGCTCCTGAAATCTCTCTATTGAGGCCATGCTCCACTTTTTTCCCTGTAAAATCAAAAATGTTTCACATTGAGTAGATTTTTTTTCAGACCACACACTTTGAAATGCATTTTGAACAAATTTTTTAAAATTTGTCACATAGCTTGAATGCAAAATTTTCACCACTTAACCCTTTCACTCCCAAGATCTCATTATTAATTCTCCTTTCTGTCTGCTATACAATTCATATGATATAAATTTGGAGAATTTGGTATTAGTTTAACAGATTATAGGATAATTGATACTTTTCCATATTCTCATCACTTTTCTGCTTGATATTGTATCAATACTGTGAGGAGAAATTCTGTATTGAGTCATTCATGGGAGGAAAAGGAATAAGTTCTTTTCTTACCCCACCAGTAGGGAGAGCTCCATCCAGTGCACATAACACAGCGATCATTGGCAGTTCTGCATGTTCTCTCCTCAGCATGCGAAGTCTTGATACTGGTAATATTTCATTGTTACCAAAGTCCACATAAATAACATGGGCCTGAGCGGCATCTCCTTGAGTTTTCATTTCTGTAATTCTTGCTCGATACCATGCATCATCCTCCGTGAATTGAGCGCAGCAAAACATTCCTTGTTTAAGTGAAGGTAAAGGATCCTTTCCATTGGAGGGATTCTGAGGAAAGTCATGATAGTCTTAAAATATCATCATCAAACCAAGAGCTAACACTCAAAATGTCACCTTTAGGAACTCTTTACAGTGGCCAATTTAGACTGTCAACTCAGTTGTAAAACTAAATTACCTTAAGAATATATGAAAGTCATATATTTGAACTGCGGATAAAGACATGAATGAAAGTGATCCTCGCAGTGATGTGCACTACTTAGGCAGTAGTGAAAATAAGGCCTGAAAAAAAAAAAATTCAGGCCTGTACGGGATTTGAACCCATGACCTCTGCGATACCGGTGCAGCGCTCTACCAACTGAGCTAACAAGCCAACAACATGACCAGCTCCCAGTTGGCTTGTTAGCTCAGTTGGTAGAGCGCTGCACCGGTATCGCAGAGGTCATGGGTTCAAATCCCGTACAGGCCTGAATTTTTTTTTTCAGGCCTTATTTTCACTACTGCCTAAGTAGTGCACATCACTGCGAGGATCACTTTCATTCATAAATTACCTTGTAATACCCTTCACTGATGCAGGATCACAGTTTCTTTAAAAAACTCACTCCCTACATTTATTGGTCTTCAAAACAGTTACCTACATTTCAATCTTTTAGTAAGGCTTATGGCAGGGCACAGGAAAAAATTGAACACTGAATACTGGTAGTAAAGTTGTTTGGGAAAATGAGGTTTAAGCAGGAATCATGTGGGATTGCATGACACCTTTGAAGAACCAGAACACTATTCTCATCATGATCAGCAGTAATATAAATTGTTTACACAGGTATTATGCATAAACTGTCCACTTTTCCACTGTCCCATTAGTTCTCAAATTGGGTTGATTACAGTTTTGATTAACTTCATAATTTTGATCTTTCATTGTTTATGTTAAAAGTTGGAAGATTGTTATAAATGACTCTTAATTTACCTGAAAAAATTCATTTAACTCGGCACTCAGAGCATCAAGTGAATCCCATGTGTGCTTGTAATGAATAAAAAAATGAGCAGGACTATCCACATGTGAAATGGAAACCTCGGTTGCAGTTCTGAGACAAAATGAATCCACATTAAAAATAATCATAGTATTACTTAATGACTGAGTGGAAGGGACAGATGGAAAAATATTTGGCTCAAGGTTATGACATGAACCTAGATAATATGTCCCTTTAAACAAAGAAAGATGCATATTGGACAACTGTTTTATTTTAACTCACCCTTTTTCTGGAAGATCTTGCAGTCTCAGTGCATAAATTTCAATATGTTGTGGTGAACCTACACAAATTTCATCAAAAATCGCATTTCAGTTTGGATCAAAGAACAAACAGAAATTTAATACCAATGAAGGATTCAATCTATCTACTAGGAGATGTTAGTTTGATCACTGTCAAGTTCTCAGAACTTACATTATCAGAAATATATGGCACAAGGTCAGGAGAATTCCTCTCAAGATCTTGGGAACAAAAGGATCAAAGGCACCCCTGGTTGATTAGTATTAAAACCTGCAAATAGGCTGCACCCATGTGTAGGCCACACCTCAATTTTAAAATTAATTTTGGTGGAAAAAGATATTAAGTGAATTATGATTAAAAATCATGTAGCTATCATAAAGAACACCATTAACCCTTTAACCCTCAGATCAAATTTGTAATTCTCCTTACTATCAACCATACAATTATTATAATGTTAGTTCAGAGAATTTAGTATTGGATCAACTAATTAACCCCAAATTAAATTTTTCTTAATTCTCATCACTCATCTAGTTGATATTGTATTGATATTTTAAGGAGAAATTATATTTTGGCCACTCATGGGAATTAAAGGTTTAAGAAAGAAAAGTTGTCAAATTTATAAAGTGAGCTCAGAATAAATTTAACAAAAGGCCACAGCGGCCTTCACTTGGGCTTCTCTCCATGATAGGGCTGTTGCTAAACTGAGTAATGCAGTATTAATTAATCCTTTACACCCTAACATCAGTGGACATATTCTCCATACTGTTCTCTATACATTTCCTAAGGTGCTGACAAGGAGAATTTGTTTAACAATCAAAGCTTCTCAGGTTGGTGATCATTTTCTTTATTCTCATGGCCTCAATGTTTGTTTTAGGGGTGATTCTGATGGGAGAAAATAGTTTGCTAATCACTCTTTGGGGTTTTTGGAAGCTTTTGGAGCAATCTCACCCATCTCTGTGGCCAATCTGAGGATAAACATCATACTGATGATGGATAAATAAAAATAAATAAATAAAGTTCTTAATAAACCTTCAACCCCATAGACTGACTGGAATATAATTTCTCATTACACTTTCACTGCTGAATCAAATATCACAGTCATGGGAATAAAGAAAACTGTTACAAACTAAAGAAGATCCTGATTGTTAAACAAATTCTCTCAGTCAGCACCCTAAGAAATATATAGGGAGTAGTATTGAGAATGTGAATACTGATGTGAGGCTGTAAAGGGTAAAGTTTTACTAATATCTTACCTCCATTAGCCTGATGTGGTTGTGTGTGGCTGACCTTTGGTTTTTCCTCCAGCTAAAAAGGAGGGAGGGGTATTTTAGTCAAGCAGGGAACTATAATCCATGATACTTTTAGGAATCAAAGTTTATACATTATCATAGGATTCACAACAAAGGCATTATTTTTTTATGCCTGATTTTCACTAATACAGTGTTCATTACTAGGAAGATCCCTTTCATATTGCCTCTTTGTCTGCAGTTTACAGATAAGATTTTCATATATTTACAGTCATTTATTCATCACTTTACAAGTTTATTTGAAACCAACATAAGAGAGGATAATTTTCTCTGTTCTTTTTAGAGCAAATTCTACAAAAAAAAAAATATACTTAATTTTTCATCTAAACTTTCCAATCTAAAATCAGATTTCACACCAACCCAGGGTTATCTTAGCCCAGCTTTGAACAACCTAGCCCTTGATTAAGAGCTTAAGAACCAATTTTTTTTTTCTATTCTATCAAATAAGATTTTTTTTATTAAGAATTCAACCTTGTTTATGCAATTTTGCTGAAATTCCTGTACATAAAATAAGATTGCCTGATCCAAAAATTAAAGAAGCATATTACATCAAAACTGCAGTAGTTTAATTTTATAAACTCACCAGTTTAGGAGGATAAACAATGATGTTATCTCCAGGAAACCTGGCGATAAATTACATTTAAAATCAAAGTCAATGCAACTGGCCAACCAAAAAAATTGCATGAGTTCTTACAGAGAATTACATTAAGTTCTGACTCATATCTTTCCGAAGCAAAGGAATGAGACAGATTTCTCTTTCCACCGAAAACTAACATGTTCTAACCAGCCCTTTAACTCCAATGATCTCATTAGAAATTCTCCTTACTGTCTGCCAAATAATTCTCATTATGTTAGTTTGGAGAATTTGGTATCAGATCAATTAGTGATCCCATAATTAATATTTTTCTTTATTCTCATCACTTGTCTGCATGATATTGTATAGATATAGTAAGGAGAAATTCTGTCTTCATCACTCACAGAAGTTAAAGGGCTATTGCTATGATTCCCTTATTACTCAGTACTCCAAGCTATATGTGTCACACTGTAAATCAAGTGCTGGAGATGAGTGATTTACAATCTTGTCTTCTATCCTCTTGTCTTCTGTCCTCTTGTGTACTGTCCTCGACATCCCAAATGGGCTATTACACCAGTAAACCAATAAAAAGTGAGGATCCATTGCCATTTTAAAATAACTATGTGTTTACTGTTGCAATAATGATAGGTTTTTGACCAATCAGGACACCCAATAGTTTCTCTGTTATTTTACAAAAATTGTAATTGCAATTAATACTTACATCTCCCATCTTGCTATGTGAGGTAGATGTCTCAGGTTTTCTAAAGTTTCACTGTGTAGTTCTTCATGGTATATATTCTTGTACTCTGCTGGAATTCTCGTCAGCCAGATCCCTTTTGGTTTTTGCTCCAACATCTGCAGTTTAAAACAGGGCGAACTTTGAGCAAAGGGTGAGCCCTCCCTTTCTTTACCTCCCAAGATCTGATTGTTAATTCTCCCCTGTAGCTGCTACACATTTCCTTGTAAATTAGTTATGAGAACTTGGTGTTAAATCGAGATAACAACTTCTACCTGATAAGTTTGAGTATTCTCATCACCCGTTTACAGGAGAATGTATGGATATTGTAGGGAGAAGTTACATGTTAATCACTTCTAGCAGTTCAAATGTTAAGCCTATGAGGGCTTTAACAGAAGCCAAAGGAACATGGCCATTTACTTTTGAGGTACAAGGAATTTCTTAATAATGTCATAACAAAAACAGGAGAGCTATTAAGTTTTTCAGTGAAAGTGAGAAGTTAATTTTAAAGAATTGAGACAGACATCCTTTAATAGTTTTGGATCAAGGGAGTTTCTGGAAACAAGAGAAGATAAACAAATGATAGAGACCTTGCTCAATTCCTTGTACAGAACAGGGAAAACCCCTTGTGAGGCATTTTCATTCAGGATTAGTATGAAGCAAATTCAAAATGGCACTAACCTTCTTAATTCTGGAATAAATTTCCAATTCTGACAGGAGAGAATGATTGAGATATGCTTAAGTATCTTAAATACGTTCAAATTTATCTAACAGTGACATAAAATCTGAGCTTATATCAATATTGCTATATATAATTGATGATAGTGAGATTTTAATATTACCTTCTTTACTTAAAGAGTCAACTTGAGCACTGGGAGAGTTTGACACTTTGACTGTACGCTTAAAAGATTCATTTTGATTTTCATGGCCACTCTCAAAAGTCACTTCCATTCCTCCCCAATTTGGTCCACTTCCTGCAGTGTAAAAAAGCAAGTCCTAACTCAGAAATAATCCATGTTTGTCACAGAAATGTTTCACACCTTGATTATATAAAAAAAAAAAATTGGTCATCACGCATTCAGAAAGCTGCTGGTTTTTTCCTAAATATGTCTTTAATAAATCAATCTCATCAACAGGCATTGATTTTTAAGAAAACTGTATCAAGAGAAAAATGCTTCAGTTTTTACTCCCACTCTTGACCCAAGACAAATTTCTGAAGCAGAAGGTAATGAAAGAAAGGAATGTATCAGCTATAAGGCACTTTACAATTAACCCTTTAACTCCCTGGTGATTAACTTGTAACTTCTCCCTATGATATCCATACACTATTCACAAAAGGGTGATGAGAACACTCAATATTATCTGGTAGAAGTCATTATCTTAGTCTGACACCAACTTCCCCTTACAAATTTACAAGGAAATGTGTAGAAGCTAGAGGGGAGAATTAACAATTAGATCTTGAGAGTTAAAGGGTTAAAAACCAACTTTGTGGATCTAAAACTATAAGACATATATGGCAAATATCTTTGAGAATTGAGGTTTAAATCTTAGGAATAAAACGATTAACTCAACAAACCTTGACTTTTTGCTTTCTTTTTCCAGTTTTTCCTGTGAGGAGGCTCCTCTAAAATATAGCATAGTAAAGGTGAAGCTATATGTTCATTAAAACTGTTATTTCCTTACAAAATGTAGATAGAACCAATACAAAACCTTCACATACAAAATTTGAACTTAATCCTTCTTTTTAATGCACATTGTGGTTCTGCCATTGAAATATTTGGGGGCAAATTGGTAAAGGTATAGGTGGGGGCAAACATGTTTTACTACAGGGGGCAAATTTGCATACATGGTATGGGGGAAATTTGCAATAAACTATGAAATCCTATGAAAAAGCATCACAAAGCTGACCAGTGTAGGACCACACAGGCTGATGTGAGCCTGTCCAAAAACAAGAATTCTCGTTATGGACTTAAACTTGAAAGTGAACAAAAATGAGGAAATAAGTTTCTTTTTGGGATTGTGATTTTCTTGTTCTGACTCAGAGAAAGAGAGGAAAAATTCTTCTTCATTTAGAATCTCTTTTATAGATGCCCTGCATACACCCTTCTTGTGTCTTTGCTTGTGTCTTAAACAGGTTCAAATTTTTTTCAAACTTAGCCCTCATATGGTAAGATACTTATTGACTGAATTTAGTCACATCAGGCAGGAATATACTTGAATAAAGGGGGTAATTTTCTAGAGAAACTGTGGTACTGCATCAGTGGGAGAATATAACAGGGTAATTTAATTTTATCAACTGAGCTAATACAGTAAATTGGCCACCATAAAGAGTTTAAAAGCTGATATTTTTTAATGTTAACCCTTTGTCAAAGCAAATAACACCTTTTGCCTTTCACTCTGACTAAGGGCTAATGCTCAAAATGTCAGTTTTGTAACTCTTTAAGGTGGCCAATTTACTTTACCAACTCAGATAATACTACTAAATTACCTAGGAATATATTTAGCTCTTTGTCATGCTTACAGTCCTGGGTCCATAGGTCATGACCTTAAGCCAAATATTTCGCTGCCCGCCCTCCTGCTCAGTCAATAAGAAATAGTGTTTGGAGATAATGATTCTTGCCATTTCAAATTGGCTATTTTCTTAATCAATTATAAAAAAGATCTTCCTTGATTTCTTCCTGCATAGAACTCCCCTCAAAGTAGCTGTGGCAAGATTTCTGCACAACCCCATAGTTTATCATGCATGCCATTCTTGGATAAAAAAAAATCAATGAGGAAAACAATTGATTTCCTTTGGGACTACTGCTTTGGTTTGGAAGAGGATGGGGTTACACAGAAATCTATTACCAGTTACAAACACTTATACCTTGGCGAGAGACCACAGTAACTTGTCTATTGTTTGAAGCCATTCCATTGATCTTATTTCCACAGACTGCAGTCTGCTGAGGTAAACTCGCAAATAAACCTAGCTGTGATTTATTTAACTGAACTGTTCTGGAGCTATTTAGTGAAGCAGCCACCATATTTTTAGCCTGCTGCTGAATTTGTTGGGCAATTTGTTGTTCTACCCCATTCCTGTCTACAGATGTGTTCGTGCCCGGAGCCCTCATCATCCGAGGCGGAACAAACCGAGGTGTTGTACCAAATCGAGAGGGAGCTACTCCTACTCGGGAGGGTGCAACACCTACTCGAGAAGATGCTGCTTGCGGGGACTTCCTTACCGGGGCCCTGTGTAGAGCCACTGATCTCCCCACACCTGATTTGTGCATCGACGCATGTACCGGCCGTCTGGCCTTTGCTTTCGCTTTCCTTTTTGGCTTCTTTTGCTTTGCAATGAGTTTCGCTACGTGTTTATCCGCCTCGCTTGGAACTCCGTGCACCACATATTCTCCATCGGCATCTCTTGAAAGGGTAGCAACTTCTGGAATGCTCTTAATGTATTTTTCGAGACTTGAGAAGCCCATTTCTTGGTAGGGAATTGCGGAGTAAGTAATGCTTTTGTATTCCTTGTCTAACCATCGGAGTGCAAGTCCAGTGCGACCCACACTAACGAGGACAGAACGCAACATGATATCGGTTTTCCTCTTCAGCTCTTCCATTTTCAAACTCGAAAAGAGCTAATTTTGAAAATTAATTCACCATTTGTTAGATCAATTGTGGAAAGGAGAGAGTTGCAGTGGCAAACTTGATTTGTTTCCAGTTAAGTCAGTCAGGGTTCGCGGCAAATATGGCGCCGTTCTGGAAACGTGAGGTACTGGGCCTTTATGGTGAACATTTTACCACCCTCCCTCCCCTACTGGTACCTTTATATCACGTTACGATTAAGAAATTGAAGAAATTTCTCGAAGAGGGCTACCTATTCGACAGAATGCATAGAAATAGTAGGTAACCTTATTAAATAGGAAAAATTTTTATTAGATTAAATTTCTGAAACGTTTATTATAGAACATCTAATGACAGTTTTAATTCCTCCTACTCCTTCCCAAAACTAAAATTTTGCAGTACTTCCCAGGGTGCTTTGCGAATATTCTTCCTCTTCTGTCCTGCCGTCCAAGATGGGTGAGTGAGGAACGAATCCCTGTTTTGAATCCGTCCAATCTCGGCGTTATTGTAGACATCAAGTTTTATTACTGTGATATGATAGTAGAGCACACCTTTGAGCGCAATTTTCGTTATATTTATCGTAGAAAGCTGTGTTTTTATCCAAGTTGTGATACCAATTTTAAATTGCTCTGGATCCACTGCGATCGACATCTTAATGCGAATATTCAGAGTCATTCATGAAACTAGGGCCAGTTTTAAGCTGCGTAACACATGTTATAAAGAAGTAATAAGATTATCAGTTATAAACGGTGTTATCTTTCACCTAGAAGGGAAAATAAAGACAATTCAAACTTGGTAGCCCAAGATTTGTCATATTGTAATGGTGTTTTGACCAGGTCTTGAAATTCACGTGTTTTCCCACATTGGAATCGTTCTCTTTACAAAACGATAACTTAAGTAAAGCAAGCGAGAACGGAGTTATCGTTGATCTTAAAATTATTTCGTAAGTTAAACTCTTTTGTAACAGTTTTAAAACAGTTTTAAAATGGAGTGCTGTATAGTCCAAGCTGAGCAGTAAAACATGGTTTGTGTTAACCCTTTAACCTCTATGAGTGACTAAGACAAAATTCTACTCACCAAATCAAAACAATATCAAACAAACAAGTGATGAGAATAAAGAAAAATATCAGATAGGGGATTATTAGATGATTCAACACCACATTCTCAGAACTAACATCATAAGAATTGTTTGGCAGACAGTAAGGAGACTTACTAATGAGATCTTGAAAGTGAAAGGGTTTAAAAGGCCTTGTCTGTGTTTTTTTTTCCTAGATGTATATATTTCCTTATTATCACAAACTACCTCTGTTTCAGCCAATGTCCCATTTTATTCCAGAGTTTGTGAATGGTATGGAAAATGGAAAAAGTTACACTGCAAAACTACATGGAGTTAAAATTAACTGTTGTCATTTTTCTCAATCGTAGGAATTTCCCGTGATTCTTGGCATAAGAGGCGCAGTACTGGTGGTAAGAAAAAGGCAATCCGTAAAAAGAGGAAGTATGAACTTGGCCGACCACCAGCCAACACCAAGGTAAATGCAAAATAGGGTAATTTAGTGTTATCAACTGAGTTTATAGCATAAATTGGCCACTGTAAAGAGTTTCAAAGCTGACATTTGGAGTATCAGCCCTTCGCCATTGGCTCTGACATTGGGCTAAGTTCAAAATGTCAGCTTTAACCCTTAAATTCCCAGAACTGACTAACATGTAACTTCTCCCTTTGATATTCATACATTATCCAGCACACAGTTAATGAGAATACTCTAACTTATTAGGTAGAAGTTGTTATTTGAATTTATAACAAATTCTGTAAGAAATTTACAAGGGAATTTGTAGCAGCTAGATGGGAGGATTAAAAATCAGATCTTGGGAGTTAAAGGGTTAAAACTCTTAATGGTGGCCAATTTACATCATTAATTCAGTTGATAATACTAAATTAGCCTGTTATACACTCCTACTCAGGGCTCAGACTCAGCAGTGGTCTATAAGCCAATTACCAGTAGATTTTGAATTTTAGTTAGTGGATTTTTCACATTTACTAGCAATCTTGTTAGTAAATCCTGACCATTTACTAGCCAGTTGACTAATAAGTTCAGAAGTCAAGTTTGAGCCCTGCCACTGATGCTACACCACAGTTTCTTTAAAAACTTACCCCCTTTATTTAAATGCAAAATACTTCACTGAGTTTGGTCGGTGCATTAATAACAACAGCTGACCATTTTCCCACTCAGTTGATTATTGCCTCTTCTGCTCTGCCCCCAACGTTGATATGAAAAGAGCAGAATTTCTTAGGAAACTCCCACATTACAGTAAATGCTGCAAATTTGGGGGAAGTCAAGATAAGGGGTTAACCTTTAACTACTAAGATCTGATTGATAACTCTTCTCTCTTGTTGCTACACATTTCTTTACAAATTAGTTGGGAGAATTTGGTGTTAAATCAAGAAACTTCAACCTGAGAAGTTTGAGTATTCTCATTACCTGTTTACTGGAAGATATATGGATTTTATTGCTTACTTCTGAGGATTAAAATGTTACTAACTTATATTGTGTCTTTTGCAGCTTGGAAGCAAGCGAATCCACAATGTGAGAACTCGCGGTGGAAACCAAAAATTCAGAGCTTTGAGACTGGACACTGGAAACTACTCATGGGGATCAGAAAGTATGCTCTTTCATCCTTTCACTCCAAAGATTAGAACCTAAATTCTTTACGCTGTGTGTGATATATTATTTATATTACAATTGCACAAGATGAAAATAATACAATCATTTTCACATCAAAGGTTTTGCACTTGCCTTTAATTAAAACCAGAGGCTTAAGTCATCATGGAAATTCACTTTGGGCATCTTGTAAATTGCCTATTATGCAGCCCTTCAGGAACCAAGGCCAAAACTTGACACAATGGCAGTATGATGAAAGATTATGAAGTGGAAGAGTGTTTTTACCATCTTGGTAATCTTGTCACTCTTATGACCATTTGTCATAGTTACCCTGACTGCTCAAAAATGCAGGACTGACACAAGGAAAGTCATCTTCTCTTATTGTATGATCTCTTTATGCATCTTAAATGTATGGAATTAAAGAATTCTGCCATCACCTTCTTTAGGTGTTACTCGCAAGACTCGTCTCATCGATGTTGTTTACAATGCTAGTAACAACGAGTTGGTACGAACCAAGACTCTTGTGAAGAACTGCATTGTACAAGTGGATTCCACTCCTTTCAGACAGTGGTGAGTGTGAATGTTGTATTATGATTTTGTTTTTTTTCCTGAGAGAAGTTAGCGGAGTGAAGTTTCAGCAGGAGAGATGATGATGCTAGCAGAGTTTCCACTAGTTGTAACTAAAGACCATTTACTGATTTTAGCTCACCAAGGAGCTGTTGAATATTTATTATTATTATTATTATTATTATTATTATTATTATTATAATGGGAGCCACAATTTTCTGTTTCTCAGGTATGAGGCTCATTATGGCATGCCCCTTGGTCGCAAGAAGACCACTAAAACAGTATGTACTTTGTATCACCTTCTATTCATCCTTTGTCCTGTAGGGACCCTTTGCCTGAGAAGACGTAGGACTCACCTTGACATATGCCTTTAATGACAATGAGGATTCCAACCTTAATCCCTCAAATATTCTAAATCCCTAACAACCACATAGCTAATGCAAGGTGCACATTAAGTTAAGTTTTGTACCTGCCCAGGCAAACAACAATGGTGATTCCAACAATGAGGATTCCAACATCAATCCCTCCAATATTCTAAGTCTCCAACAACCATGTAGCTAACACAAGGTGCACTTCAAGTTAAGTTTTTTATCTGCCTAGACAAAAGGTCTCATTGGTATTCATAGTTTTCTTCATATCTTGCTCTGCTCAAAAGATGTCAAACAAAATTAAAGGTGAATAAACTCTCCTTACAATCAACTTTACAATAATACCCAAACATCACAAAACCAGGTGCCCATGTGGGTCAGAAAATTTATATGTTAAGGATTACATAACACAATGTTAACTGTGGGCTTCTTGATGTACAACAAAAATCTCCCAAGACGTGGTGAAGCTAAAGTGTCAGGAGTGTAGGAAGAGTCTTGATTTAGACCCTGGTACTCAATGGGTGGGATTTCATTTCAGGTGGAAACAGATGAAAGTGATGTGTTAAACAAAAAACGATCACGTCACTGTCAAAAAAAGATGGAAGTACGTAAAGGAACAGCCAAGATTGCACCTCTGCTTGAGGAGCAGTTTACCACTGGACGATTGTATGGTAAGAGAATGTCTTCTGGGTCAGAATCTCAAACCATCTGAGTAATGTCATGTTCAGAAATTTCACAAAATTATTGCAGAGTATGATTGTCAAGGCATGAGGAGGGCTGTTGTTGGTAGCACTGACTGACAGTTTGGGAACTTAGACAGAAATCATCATCAGACTTTAATGACAACTTTCGTTGCTACAAGTCAGGAAAAAGGTGGAGAATTTCACTTTGGGTCTGGGAAAATTTACACCTATGAAAGAAGTCAGAGAAAAGCAAATTTTACAAGATATGAGGTTGTTTGTGTTGTCCCTTGTGTCGAGAAATGGTGACACATTCCTTTCCCTTGGCAATGGAAGTCAAAAGTGGTTTGTAAATGCAGGGGTACATTGTTGTCGTAGTCTTCTTTTTTCATTGTTTTTAAACATTTTAAATTCTTTCTTCTACAGCATGTGTGTCTTCACGACCTGGCCAGAGTGGACGATGTGATGGTTACATACTTGAGGGCAAAGAACTTGAGTTTTATGTGCGTAAAATCAAGGCCAAGAAAGCGAAGTAGAAAGTCCAGCTCTGAAATTTGTACAAACAACAAAAATAAAAGTGCATTACATTTGACTGTGCTAAAAACTATATTGCCTGATTGTTTTGTTTTGATGGACATGTCCCAAGTGGTGTATATGGAATGCAATAGAAAGGAAGTAAAACTTTGCCAATCTGGGAAGATATCTTTCACCTATGGTTGCAAAAACTGAATTCCTGAAAGTTTTTGATCGAAAGATTCATTTACAAAATCAGTTTGTAAATTTGTAGGATTTTTGTGTGCCTTCTGGTAGTGTTAATTTTTCAACAGATTGTGTTCAGAAAATGAGCAACTTGAAAGAATCAGTCTACCCTTTTTTCCAATCAAATTTTACAGGTCTCATCAGTCCGCGAACACCAAGAGAACATATTTGTCCGTGACAAAAGCGAGCTAAACATTTCCAACTTCCTAGAGGAATTAGATTGTATTGATTGGCTCAATATAGACGGGTATAATGATCCTAAAATCTGCTACAGCAAATTTCTTGAGCGATTAAAGTTACGAAACACATTTTCCTTTCTTAAGGTCGGGTGGATATCCCAGGGCTTACTTAAATTTGAGAAAAACAAACTATACAAGCAGTATATTTGTTGGAACGAAGGAAATATAAAACTTATAAGAACAAACTGAATTTACGAATCCTGAAACGTTTATATTATGATAAGAGGCTAAGCGAGTCAAAATCCAATTCCTCCACCTAAACAGCAAGAAATTGAGACCTAAGCTCACAGCCTGGATTGCTAGTCGATTTTGTCATTACTTCAGCAATATTCCTGTAAACAAGAATTCAACCTACGACCTCGTATAAGAATTTTCTTCCTGGTCATTTCCCTCAGTGCCAACTCAGGAGGAGATTATAGATATCGCACAGGCGGGAAAATAGGACAATATTCAAAGTTTTTGGAACGAATGATTTACTACCGTATTAGAATTATCTCAATGACTCCGATGTCTTATGTGATAATCAATATCTTTAGAAAAATCGCTCCCTAGCCTTGCTTATCGATTTTGTGACAAAAATTTCTTCTGCATTTGATAGAAAAGAACATGCCATTTATTCCTAGATCTTTCGAAAGCATTCGATACGGTAAATCACGACATTCTTTTGAAAAACTCAATCATTATGGGATCCGTGGTCTGGCACTAGAATGGGTCAAAAGTTATCTTTCTGAAGGACACAATTTGTCGAATTTAATAACGTTAGATCTGCCCACGGGGATTCCTGTGGGGTGCCTCAAGGTTCTATTCTTGGTCCCTTATTTTTTATCCTGTATGTTAATGATTTGAACAATGCTTCCCTGCTTGATGCAATCTTGTTTGCTGATGATACAAACTTATTTATCTCCCATAATGACCCTGTTTACCTAATTAACACATTAAATAGAGAATTAAACAAATTGTCAACCTGGTTTTTAGCAAACCCTTATTTTAATTGGAACCAGACTGCAATCCTTTGAAGAAGCCTATTCTTTAGCTCAAGAAATATTTGATTTGCAAATAAATTATCCAAAAGTCACCTTGATTTAAGCAATTCTACATACATTGCCCATACTGGCCCTATTTTAAAGGAACTTAAACTCTTAAAATTTCATGATATCCCGTTTCAATTAGGTACTTTTATGTTTTCATTCAATCCCTAATTATAACTAAGGCCTTAACACCTTAACACTTTACACCCTAACATCAGTATGCCTATCCTCCATACTTTTCTCTACATGTTTCCCAAGGTGCTGACAAGGAGAATTTATTTTCCAATCAAAAGGTTCCTTCCCCAGTGACCATTTCATGACCTGAATTTGTGATTCAGGAGTAATATTGTAGGCAGAAATTAGATGCTTGTCAAATACATTTCCTGTGGTACTCTCGAGGAGGAATTGTCTATCAATCAAGAGCTCCTTAAGTTGGAAATCGTCTCCTTTAATTTGTTACTCAGAGGTGATAATGTACGGAGAAGTAAGATGCATGAATCTCATGCATTGAAGAGTAACGAAAAAATTGGTAACATCTGAGGCCCGTCACACCCTAACATCAGTAAGCAAATTCTCCTTACTTTCCTCTACACTTTTCCTGTGGTTCTTACAAGGAGAGTTTATTCAACAATCAACCCTTCTCAGATTGATGATCATTTCCTTTATTCTTGTGATCCTAACTGAGGATACACGAGTGTTACTCAAAGGAGAAATTAGATGCAGGTCACTCTAAGGGTCTGAAGGGTTAAGATAAGCAAAAGAGACAACTGAATCATGCAATCAGTGTATTTAATGTGTTACTTTTGGTGAATACTACATAGCTATTGTGTTCTCAAACTACTAAAGCTGAGGTAGACTGGCTCGGAGAGAATTCTTGTTTTCACTCCATGTTCACACACTACTCAAAGGAGAATGCTCTAGAGAAAAATTTCTATCTTCACAGTGGAGTACAGTACACTAAAAGCTAAAGGAAACTAAAAAAAAAGTATTGTCACCATTATTTCAGGGTAAAATGAACTTCTCAGAGGACATCAGCCTTAAAACTGTTTAAAACACGCCAGTCTTGACAGCAGAGTACAGCACACTGAAGCCCAGGACTGCAGTACAAACTGAGCCACTTAAGAAACCCAAGGCACGTGGTGCACTGATGCCGTTCAAGTAAGCTATGGTGTGCAGGAACCTAGCTCCTGTGAAGATGCGCAAACACCAAATGCCTCTTGCCACAGGCTCACCAGACAATCCATACAACAGGGCGACAATCATGAAGATTGGGATGTTCTCCAGATCATTCAGATGGGCTCTGGAATTGAATCAGTAAAAAAAATTAAATTTTACTCTGCAACTCCCAAGATTCATTTAATCTGTAAAGCATAATTATTTTCCAGAGCAGGAGCTGCAGCTGTGTAGGAATTGATTTTGAAGTGGGAAGGATTCCAGGAAGCAGTGATTGTAGGGTATCATAAAAGGCCAGATGGGAGTCTGCAGGCATCCTCCCCTGGAAAATTTTAAAAATGAGGTGCACTTTAGAACACTTTTCAAGGAATAGTTTCAAGTCATTTTCAAGCAATCTTGAAGCCACTATTGAATTGTTCTGTAAATTACTCCAAACCACTCGCACTGCTACCAGTGCATTTATCTTCTTCCTTATAACCAAAAAAATGGGAGGGGAAGAGGGGCTGGGCTCCCTGCCTCCCCTCAAAACAATTGCAGCTACACCTCTTGTAAGACTGGTAAATAGCAAGGTAAAATCTGAGGGGGGGAGGGGAGAAAGAGAGTTTAGAGGTTGATTAAATAATATCTGAGGTGAGATATATACCTGCGGACTCTTTCCACATCAGGATTTACAGGCACTGGTTTAGTGTTGTCTTTACCATAGTCCTCAGGGCTTGGAAGAGCCTACAAATAGAAGTGTAATGGTTTTTTATCATTCAGCTATAAATACAGCCCTTGGGACTGTCTGCAGATTTTGTTTCTTGAATTACCAAAAGGTGAAGAAAGTCATATTAACAAACACACTAAGACCCCAAAATGTCACCCAAGAAACTCTTATTGTACATTTAGAACCTAACATTGCTTTGAACACTTAAGTCAACATAAGATCTCAATATTTTATTAAGTTTTATGAAACACACACGAACTACCAATGTCGATAGAAAGACAGTGACAAAATTTTGAAAAAGTTAAGAACAGATACCTCAAAACTTGCCACCCAGAAATCCCTTTCACTCCCACAATCTCATTAGTAATTCTCCTAACTGTCTATCATTCAATTGTTATAATGTTAGTTTGGAGAATTTGGTATTTGATCATCTTAATTCCCTGATTTCTATTTTTCTTTTCTCTCATCACTTGTCTGCTTGATAATGTATTGATATAGTAAGGCAAAAATTCTATTTTGGTCATTTTTGGGAGGGAAAGGGCTACGACCCACAAAAAGAAGGCCACCCAAGGAAACTGATGATTAAATTAAATTGTGAAGTACAGAAACAGTTCTTTACTTCACGTTGAATCACAGCATAGGAAGCGAAGGAAAAAGGGGTGGGGAAGGGGGAAAGGGGGGGAGGGGGAGGGGGTAGAGCCCGTCCATGAGAAAATTGGGGCGAGGAGGGACTCAGCACCGCCACGTTTCAGTGCCGATGATATTGCTAGCTCAGCTTGAGAGAAATTTGGCAAAGTATTCATTCTCGTAATCTTTTAAAATCGTTGCATTAGTGTTTTGCAAAATCATAATTAAAAGTAGTTAGCCTTTTCTCCAATTGAACAATTGCGGCCTGTGTTTAAGTAGCGGACATTAAAAAAATTGTTGAAAATTTTTTTTTAGGGCACTCAAACTGCTGCGTCATCTTTGCAGAGGCACTTGTTAGTCAGTCCTCTTTCAGGTCCTCGTTGTTCAAAGCGAGCTGTAAAGCTTTGGCTATGTCGGCGGACGTGAAATTATACCCACTCGCAACTATTTTTGCAACAGTTTCCATCAGTGGCAAGGTAAATGATAAACTAAAACCACGCGCGTGTAAATAAGTTTCTCGAAATCCACACTTGCGTTCGTTTCAAATCTTCAATTATGCGAACTCGCCAGGAAAATAATTTGCTCTAAATGCAGTCTCCAGCCTTTTGCTGTTTAATTAAATAAGGTCATTGATTAAGAGGCTTTAAAGAGTAAAATTGAAAATAGACCGACGGGCCCATTGGTCGATCGATTGGAGCCTCGAAAGCGAAATTGCTCAGAAGGTGACGAATCATGACCCGCCGATCAGGGCTCGAACACGAACATGTCACTCATGAGTTCTGCACGTTATCCGGTCGTTCCTACATCTCTCGTTTTCAAAAATCAAGAGTGGTCATAACTAGAGAACAAATCTTTTGAAAAAAGTCACTGAATAAGACCTGATTCGTGGTCATCATGCATGCTAGCTTGAGTCATACATTTCACCCTACACAGCAGAATACATTTGAGTTGATTACAAACCTTATTCTGTATTCGATGTCTTGCGGTTAAAAACGACATCACCCACGTTTTGAGCATGAGCAAAGAGCCATAGAAAAGATAGGCTGAGAGGAAGCGATCGTCCACAGAAAGAGGCACCATTTTGAAAGCTTGAGACCGTTGCTCTTATGCAACTTTAAACGGGTCTTTCACCGTGCGTGATTGTCACGCAAGGTTATGCTGCATAGTTCCAGAGGAACATTTAACGACAGACTCGTGTAATTTTGTCGTCTTTGAAAAATTTACCCGCGCTTAATAACACCAAATACACTCGAAATCATGTTGTTACCTATACAAATTCAGTTAAATCAAACGTATTTTCAGTGGTATTTTCATGTATATTTATTACTCTGCGGTTATTTATTCAGTTAACCCCGATTTACTTCCTCGCGTTTCGCAGCATATCGATGGCCTCCGAAAGAAATCCTACAAGTGTTCTACTGAAAGAATCTTCCAACTTTTATCATCCAGTCGGATAAGCCCGCGCTTAATGACAGCACACTTTTAAACAAAATATCTGAAATATGCTTTCAAAGAATTAGATTAAAGATGCAAAATTTCCAATTCTTCAGATTGACATTTTAACCAGCTTCTGTTCGACGAATTAGCCCACAAATCTTACCTTGTTCGCCATGCGCTGTCTTACGGTGAAAAATGACATGGCAAAAGTTTTGAGCATAAGCCCAGAGCCATACAAAAGATATGCAGACAGGAAACGATCATCAACAGTCAAGGGGACCATTTTGGAACTGGTAGAAGGCTATTCTTGCTGCTTTTGTCTGTGGTTTGTCATGCAAGGTCGCACGTGGGACCTGGTAACTAGGAGTTGATTCAAAGCTTGCGGGGTGCAAAAATTTTTTTGGGATCACTTTCTGAAGGAGCTTAGAAACCAGGCTCAACTCAGTAGCCAAGCCTACTGAATTTGTGCCCAGGCCTTTGCTTGCTTGCGTGACCTTTTTTGCCATTAGCTTATGTCGTCACATTGGAGTATACAAGAAACATCGGCGTGTAGTAAACACAAACTCAAATTTTCACAGCAGTAAAGTGAAAAACGTTTTGAGACCGAAGGTAAGTAAGTATTTTAGTGTTTTTCAACCTAAATTTAGTGTTTTGCTTTGTAATTTTACAACGTACAGTGAATTGTCAAATTAATAACTCGAAAAACCTTCAGCCAAAGTTAAACTCTTTATTGATAACCTTATACTTTCTTGATCTGATATCCCAATTAGCGATAACACCAGAAATTATTTGCTTTTGTGATATAAAATATATAACTTGTTAAAGTACGTTGTCACAAAATAATGCACCAAGCAGTAATTAATCTGAATACGCAAAACTTTTTTAATGTTTAAATTGTTCCCTGGACAGCCTGGACATCCTGGACATCTGAGGCAACTGATAATGCATTTTGGGAGTGGTGGGGATGTTTGCTTCATAGTGGCTATGGCTGTACCTTTCCTTGAATCTGCCCTGTTGTTTGTGATAGTTTTTTCCATACATTGTATGTTATTTTTTTCAGAAAATCTAAGTCTGCTAGAAGAAAAATTTTTTACAGAAGAATCATTTTCCTATAACGTGTACAACTCTTGCTTAAATTTGCAGTATTACTGATATTTTTATGATAACAGAATTGTCACAAAAACTATTTGACATTAAGGTGGTGTTGAAAACTGCATTGAGGTCTACTGAATATAGTTAAAGTACTGAATTTCACTCTATGACTTACAACTACAGAATATGGGGCTTTTTTATGATCATGTACCCCCAAAAAAAAGCTCTCTTGGCTCATTTGCATCAAGCCACCATATATAATGCAATCAATGTCTTGTTTTTTATATCTTGAGTCAGTGCGGAGTTAGAATCAATATTTGAATGTTAATTGTAATCATATGTATCCAACTGAATGTATTTCTTTCATTACCTTTCCACTGACTGCCAAACCAGCAAGCCTCGAGGCATTAAACATTGAGGACTTTTTAAAAGGCCCTGTATTGTATACATGTAGCTGCTTTGGGGAAGGGGAGTGGTAAAGTTTGAAACAATTTGTAATTTTAGTAGCTTTGACATTCCTAATTTCTTGCACTGGAAGAAAATAGTCTACTTTGTGCATTGTAGTTTATAGTGTTAAGCACTGTAGCAGTTATCAAAAAAAACAGTTGTATTTGTGTGTCCTTTTGGTGTTAGGTTTAATGCTATTAAAATTTGTTACCTGCTACAGTAATAAGATGATTCCAGCTCCACTGGGTTAGAATAGTCCTTCAGGAAGCTCTGTACAGTACAACCCTTAAGAATGAATAGACAAACACCACTAATGGAACAGGATAAATGTGTGAATAATACTGATTAATAAAGTGTGTGATTGGGTATCAGAAATACTATGGTAGCTTGTCTTTGTGATGAGTATTTGACTTTTCTTGTAGTTATTGGCTAAACTAAAAATGTAAATGTTGGGTGCAAATAGAACTGTTGTCATTGTTGTCAATGTCAATGTTTATGCTCCCACATGCAAAAGAAAAATATCAGGGTGGAAGTGATTATTATAGAAATCATTTTGACCACAAAATTTACTTTTTGTAAGAAAGAATGTGTAGTAAAGGTGTAGTTCTAGAAAGAATTGAAAGATCAACACACTCCCTCCCCAAGTAGGATCATTGAAAATTCCAGGGGAGAGGGGGTCCAAAAGTGCCAAAATTTTTTAAGGAAATGCTTGACATGAAATGAATTTTTTCAAGGGGAGGGGGTTGAACTCTGCCCCCCTCAAAAAAAAAAAAAAAAAAAAAAAAACAAAAATATCCATGTGGCAGGGACACCATTCCTGGATTTAATTTTACTGTCTACAGGTTTGTGATTGTAATTAATTTAATCCACAGGAAATTGGCATAGGTGACTGTGACCTTGTAACTATAATTGCCCCATACCTTTGTAATATGTAGAGGGAGAATTGTTTCCATTGTAGTGTTTGAAGTAATATTATCACATGATGAGCACATTACTTCACTCCTTAACTCAAAGAAAAAGGATTGCAGGAAGGAGAGATTACAGCTGGCAGGTATTAACTGCTGAGTCTGGTACTGGCTTGCAGTGTTTCCAAGTACTCTACAATATTCCTGAAAAATTCTGCTGCACGCTGTTGTTGGCCCTTCTGAATTTGGCTGCTAATTTGTGGCAGACAGGATACCAATGTTGCTGGGTGAACTGTTCCAGGTGCAGTCTTATATGCATTCACAAAGTTTAGGGTGCTACACAGCAAACACATCTGACCTAGAGTATTTAGTGGAACATACCAGAGAAGCCTTTTTGTTAATGCAAGACCTCAGTGGTGCACAGTTGTATAAAAAAGTTTTTTCTCTTGTGTGAGGCATAGTCAATTGAGGAGTTACCAAGATTATCAAGTCAATATGGTCCAGAAACTACTCATTTGTCCAGAGGGTGGGGCTGGGGGAGGGGGATGGGGAGGGGTCGAAAGTGTTAGGTTTGCGTACCGTTTTCACTCTTTGCACTCCTAGTACTCGTACACGCACATTTTAGATGAACGCGCAACACAACAGTGTCAAAAAATAATCGAGCAAAGAACTACGACTTGCAAAGCTTCCAGGACTAATATAAATTTACCGCCATAAACAGTGAAAAGGCCTTAAACATTTTACTCGTAGCTCCGTACAAGGTACAACTTCCTGTGACGTTCTAACAAAATTATCACGTTGTCAAATACGTATTTTAATATGACTGATACCAGTTGTTTCATAAAGTCGAAATAAGCTTAATGTCGAGAATAACTAAGCGGATTACCACACTAATGACGAATTTTGTGGTTCATTAAAAAGTACTTGGTTCAATTACACAGTTCACCGATGGGTTGATGTTGTTTGCCTGCTGGGATTTTATGTCTTCCACTCCAATATCAATGTTATTTTGACGTGCTAAAATAATATTGAATACATTTTCGAGACCTGTTTTAGATGAGGTGCACTTCTTGCGATTGTGCTGCAATCCAGTGAGCCCTTCGGAAAAACATGTCACTCAGAGCAGAGCTTGCAAGACACTATTCAGAAAGCAAGTATTTCCAAGGTTTGAAATTCCCTTTGGATCCATTTGACCGTGAGCAATGTTTAGAATTAACGAAGAAAGTGTATTTTAACCAAAGGCAGAAGATTCGTATATGTACGGAGCGGAGCGAGATAAGGTAATATTATTTCCCGCGAAAATTACACAAAAAAAAAGGTAATAGATAACTTCCCATTTGTTTTTCTGGAAAATTACAACAACAAAAAAAAAAAAGGTAATAGATAACATTTGTTTTTTTCCCGCGCAAGTAACAAAAATGTTTCCTTCCCTGTCCCCCTCCAACTACACTTCAACCAGTCGGGGGCGGTGAGTGAAAAATTGTTCACGTCATCAAAAGGCTTGGTTCCCTAATTGAGCCTGGTGTCTAAGCTCCTTCAGAAAGTGATCCCAAAAAAAATTTTTGCTTGCGGGGTACTTGATGACTCGGCAAAATTTTCTGTTGTAAATTTGGGAGTGTTGTTCTGATGGAATCGGTTTGTTTCGAGTCATTTTTTTTTAAATTAAGATATCTACAATAAGCCTCGTGCTTGCAACTGCATGCCATCATTGTCATGATGCGTACAATCATTACAGTGATTACACCATGGTAAAAACTGTTTAAATCCGAAATAAAATCCTACACGCAGTCAACTGGAAAAGGTTTCTAACTCTTACCGTCTAATCAGAAAAATCCTTGGCTTGGAAAGCACAGTTTTTTTCAAACCAGCGTTGGATATTTAATTAAGTGTTCAGTTATTGGCACCTTTTCAAGTGGGTTATCGATAGTCCCTCAAGTTTCATGCATAATCTCACCTTATTGCCAATGCGATGCCTCGAGGTCAAAAAAGACATTACCCACGTCTTCAGCATAACCATGGCGCCATAAAAGAGATAAGCAGCAAGGAAACGATCATCCATTTTAAGTGTTATCATTTTGGAGCTTGTTGGTCGAAGAGCGGAGGGTAAGCTCAAAGCGAAACACCCCCCGCGAACGACAGAAGCAACGTCTTTGTCACGAAATCACACCACTGTCACGCAATCTTTCTGCTTTACCATTTTTTTTACGTGGCCTATCTTCTGTCAAACAGCATCTTTTTTCATTTTGCAAATGATATTCAAATTCTAACCATTGGCCATCCTAACTGCAAGGGATTAGCGGCGTGTGACCTCTGGGAGATGAGATTGCGGACCTTCGTCTCTCTTTTTCTGCAGCTTAGCTCCACCGCCCAGATCTTCATAAATTTCACAACACTATCAGCCAAGATGGTTACTTCACGCGTTCTTCTCCCGCGTCTATCTTCCTCGCCACTTTAGAGTTTCCAAGCCAAGGACACATAAGCGAATTGCTTCCAACACGAGACCGCCAGTTACTTTTTTCCCGTTGGATTGTTTAGCCTTTAACTCCCATGAATGACCAAGACAGAATTTCTCCTTACATTATCAATACAATATCATGCAAAAAAAGTGATGAGAATAAAGAAAAATCTTAATCAGGGGATAAATAGTTGATCCAATACCAAATTCTCCAAACTAACATCACAAGAACTATATGACCGACAGTAAAGAGAATTTCCAATGAGATCTTGGGAGTTAAAGCGTTAATAGATGTTGTCTGCCCATTCGATACGTTCATCATCATTGTCACCGTCACCGTCATCATCATTGTCACCGTCACCGTCATCATAACCCACGTCATCATCAAAGTCGTAGTCATTTTCATCGTCATCGTCGCCGTCACTGTTGTTAATTCGCTTGCCACTCATTCTAAGATCTCTAAACTTGTAAGTTTCGAAGCCAGGGATACTCAGGTATATCGTTTTTTAGCACGACAGCGCCATTTAATATCCTTTTTTTCCCTTTTGATTGTTCAATAAGTGTTTTTTGTCCATTCGATACATTCATCATTATTATAATCATAATCAAAGTGATAGTCATCGTCAGCGTTATCGCCATCGTCATGGTCATCATCATGGCCATCGTCATGGTCATCATCATGGCCATCGTCATCGTCATAGCCATCGTTATCGCCATCGTCATCTTCATGGCCATCGTCATCGTTATCGCCATCGTCATCGTCATGGCCATCGTTATCGCCATCGTCATCGTTATCGGATCGTCTCGTTTCCGTCATCATCATCGTTTACATAATCTTCACCGTCATTGTCGTCCTCGTCATCGTTATCGACTCCATAGTCATTGATATCGTCCCTATCGTCTTCCCCCTGATAACCATCGTCATCACCGTCATCTTGTATGCCAAAAATAACTGTTCAAAGCTAGTTGAACGCATAAAATGAAGGATAGCCGAGAAATTAATTTTGGACGCACATCTTCTCTAAGAATCAAAAGAAGGTGGGGTTCTCCATCTCCAGTACAGCGCAAAAATAGCTGCTTGGCTTGCAGAGAAGAAAGAGACTGGGAACAAATGCATTCTTTACTGATATTTCTAAAGAGAATGAAGAAAGATCCCTTCAACAGAGGATTCGTATATTTGTAAACAACACTAAAATTTTAAATTTCTTGAAATTAATGTACGAATAAACTGATATAAAATAACACTACAATTGCTATTCAATAGTGTGATGGTTAAAAAAAGTACATAATATTGCTTTTAATAAACTATATTTACGGGTTCATCTGAACACTAAAATACTGCAACACTTAGCCTTAACTTAAACCGTAAGTACGAAAAAGGCTACGGAATATCTGATGCAGAGGAAACTTCCACAATCACATACCCGAAAGACCTTTATCCTTGTTAATAAGAAGCATTTCTTTTTCAATTATGAGATTTCCAAAGTTTGGGGGTTTACATGACCTCTTGTCCGCCTAAGTGAGGTGTCCATTCAATAGTGGGGTGCGTTCGAACTTCGTTTAACTATTGATATATGTGAAAAATAAAAAAAATCTGCTAGTTTAAATATTCCTCTAGATAGTGCCGTCTAACAAAGTGTGTTGTGCTTCTCCTTCCGGGCAGGTTAAGTGTGCGCATGGCAAATAGGAGTAGTTTGGAATGGGTAAGACTACACGTCATTTCAAGAGTGACAAGTTTCGCTTTCAAGTTTTTCTCTTTCACTCAAAATACTGTAAATCGTTTATCCACGAGTCACGCATGCAAACTTTTAAATAAATATACCCTACTTCTGAGATTAAAAAAAAAGACGATTTCCAAGGATAAGCCTATAAGAAGTAAAAATTATCTTTGGACACTGGCTAATCGTGTTAATACCTTAAAAGGTTCATCTTCTTTCTACAAACACAGTTTTGCTAAACGCTTTAGCCTAAGGAGACATCAGCATGTACATTCTCCATACAATGTTTGTGTAATGTCAAACATATCAGTTATAAGAATTGAGGAACTGGTCGACTGGGGAAGGTTGTTGGAATGTAAAACCATATCCTCTTTGTACGCTGGCGAAACTAAGGAAAATTCACTCGTAGATCTCTTACTTTCAATCATAGCCTTACACCATTTGATGTACTTGACTCCAAACGTTTCCTATCTCGAGGAGCAACTAATTCGTAATGAGTTTCTTCGACGTTATCGTCATTTGCGCATGCTTCCGTTGAACTTGTCACCGTGACTGAGATGTTCGCTGGCGCATTACAGACCTCCAAATGCACAGGTCCCGCGCTACCGCTACCGGACGCATTTGACTTGTGAACTGGTTCTGGAATTTCCGCATAATCGTCGCTCGCCGAGGTTTTGGTTATCGGAATAACTGGTTTTAAAATGGTTTCAACAAGTTCGTAGTCGCCTGACGCGGATGACAATCGGTTAGAATCGTCTTGAGGTATAAGCAACTCTGTACTAGGAGTGCGGTCTCTCTGGCCAGCTGTAGCGACTTCATCGTAAAGGTTATCAGTGTTATCTGCAAAAAGAAAGTATAGAAAATACCATAGTAATCATTTCATCTTTGACAATGGCTGAATACTCAAAAACACATCTTGCACGCCGTTTCTCAAGTCATTACATGATTTATCGCCCGTCTGACGGTCTGTCTGTCGGTCAGTGAGTCTGTCTTATAGTCTCTGTCAGTAAGTCAGTATGTCAGTCAGTCAGTCAGACATGAAGTCAGTCAGTCAGTTAGTATGTCAGTCAGTCAGTAAATATGAGTCAGTCATTCAGTCTGTCAGTTAGTCAGTCTGTCCGCCAGTGTTTGTATTTCAGTCTCTCTGTCTGTCTGCCACAGCCCGTGAATGAAACATTTGACGAACTAAGATTTCGTCTTCTTTACCTGGAATTCTTCCCATTTCAATCTTCATTTGTCTTGACGACACGTACGCAGGGGGTAGGGGTGGGGGATCTTCCGTGTCATGTCTCTCCTCCTCAGTATCTCCGCTACTTTCTGTATCATTACGACGCCTTGTCTTCCTGCTCAAGTCCACTTTTGCGTAAGTATCGTCTCTTGGCAAAGTGGTAGCCTTGTTTGCTTGTGTAACCTCGCCTTTTGCCACAGCCTCGCCTGTTCTTGACCGCACCACATGAACAGAATTGGCGCGTTTGTCCATCTCCTTCCTACATCGTTTCAATCCCGTTGTATCACTCTTTGATCTGTTCCTTTCAGAATCTGCGCTGTTTTCGGTGTCTATCATTAACTGGAATACTTCTCTTTTGTCAACGGATGCGTATTTGTGATTTTTATCAACTCGATTTTCTTTTTGTTTCTCGACATCTTCATACAGGTTAGAGACTTCCAAATCATCCTCTTGCATGTCATTTTTTATGCTGGAATAAGGATCTTCCGCATCTTCGAGGGCCTCTGACATTTCTGCTGCCTCTTCCTTCAGTTTCAAGTTCTTAATTCTCGAGTAAGGATCTTCTGGATCTTCCTCAGTTTCCTCAGCAACCGTGTCTTCCACGTTTTTTTCATTCGTAGTCTCCTTATTTTTGGATTGCTGCACTTCAGCATACAAATAATCAATCTCGCTCTTATTAAAAGCAACAACTTCGTAATTCCCGCTGTCTTCGCCCATGTCGTGATCAAGCGAAAGAGCCCGAGGTTTTCCGACTTTAACCTGGACAGTGTCATATGCATCGTCGGATGGAGACGGTGGATGGCCCTTCACTCTCTCCATGGACTTTGTCTTACGCACTTCAACAGTCTCATAGTTGTTATCATCTTCCACCTCATCGGGAGCAGAAAAATGTCTTTGGGAAATGGGAACAACCGGAAGTGGAGGCACTGAAGGCCCCGGCGGAAGCGGAAGTCCTCGAGAATGCCGTTCTAGGGTTGGCGTCTTCTCTCGAGGCCTTTCAATGGGACTTTCATGCAAAACGTGTTTTTCGTCTTTATCACTATCCGAAGAGCCCGTTCTGCTCTTTGTTTTTCCAGTTTTTGTCTTCGTCTCTTTAGATTCTTTCCTCGATCTGTGTTTGTGTTCCTCATCTTTGAATACATCAGAGGATCTATCCGTGGCGGAACTGCTACCACTACTTCCTTTAGCAGACCGAGTTCTCTTCCAGAACCTGCCTTTATGTTCGTCATGTTCATGTTCACTGCCTTGTTTGCTCTTCGAGATTCCAGATTTTGAGCTGACAGTCTTACATTCTACAGTTTCATACTCTGACGACGTAGTACCCGGATGCACAACGTCAACGTCCTTTGGAGGCACGTGCTCCGTGCTGGGCGGGCGTGGCTGCGAGTCAGATGTGTGCGCGACAATCGCCGGCTCGGGGGGATGCGTGCTGTTCGGTGGCACGTGCTGCACGTGCTGGACGGTCGATGTACTTTCAGGAAGCTCATTGTCTGAAAGGGGAATCTGTGATGTGTGATTATTCTCCTCCACCAAATTTTGGTCCATCTTTTCAATTGTTCCGATATCAATTTTCGACTCGTCGACGACTTCTTCCTCTGGCTGTTGTTCATCTGGCAGTACCTAGAGACAAAAATAACAGAATAAGAAAAAAACTATGGCAATATTTCCGCAAAACTCCATACTTCAGTATGCATGCAGTTATTTAATTAATAATGTAGATGAAAAGATTAAGCGCGTTTGATCGACTGAAAACGAGTGCATTCTCATGTAACACGAGGGCAAAGTTGTAACACGAGTGCAAATTACAAATAGGACGCGTGCGCACTGCCAAAATTTACGTCTCTCTTGACTATATGTGATTTTTTTTTTCATGTACATTATTAACAAGTAACAACATGATTTCTCGTGTAGTAAGCACTTGTAAATTCTTCAAAAACTACAAATTACATTTGCCCCACGGGCTCGTGCAATTTTGTTGTCTTTGGAAAATTTACAAATGCTTATTAACACCAAATTGCACTCGAAATCATGTTATTACCAATACAAAAGAAGACAATAGTTTACGCGCTGGACACCTGGTTGAGAGGTCGGGGTTTAAAACGTATCCGGTCATTGTGCACCGATCTTGGGCAAAACACTTGAATCTTACGGAGTCTCTCTCCACCCAGGAGTAAAAATGGGCCCAGGCAACCTGTCAGGGAAAGCTGACGAATTGCCGGGGGGGGGGGGGGGGAACAGGGATGATTTTACTTTTTCTCGCTGGTTCCTCTCAACATTGAAATTTTGTTCAGTTCATCAATCAGTCAAGGACACTGCTTATAGAGTTATGAGATGAGAAGAACAACTTTGACATCAGATGTAAAGTCAAGACTTTATCAAAAGGACGTTCTCTACCTGGCGCCGACTTAGACGTTGTTGGCAAGAGACAAGATGAGGTTTGGCATCCGATCTGAAGATTAAAAGTTAAAATCTTCAGTTAATCCTTTAAACCCTAAAAATATTGGCATTTAAATTCTCCCAACAATATCATCCTGAATTACATACAAAGGTCACAAGAATGGAGGTTTTGATCACCAACTAAAGAAGCTCTTGATTGTTAAACAAATTCTCCTGGTTGGCACCTTAGGAAACCCTTGCATAAACTGTAAAAGTATTTCCATGGATCGGCTGACGCACCCTTTAAAATTTTTCATGTTCGTTTTTTTCCCTCTTTCTTTCTGCAAGAGGTGTGGCATCCCTGAGGTACCCCTTATTAGTGGGACATCCCCATAACGTCCATTGTGATCCTGGCCCCTTTTCCCCTATACCTGGCTACTTACTGAGACTATAGAAGTAAAACAAGATAATTTAATTTATCACCTGAGTGGATATTGTAAATTGGCTTTTGTGAAGAGTTTCATGCTTACATTTCAAGCATTAGCCTTGCATCCGAGCAAATGGACAACTGTTAAAATATTGGCTCTGATGAAAAGGCTAAAACTCGAAATTTTAGCTTTGAAACTCTTTGCGGTGGCCGATTTACATTATCAACTCAGTTGATGAAACAAAATTATCTTGAACTATACTCTCCCACTGACACAGCAGGGCTAAAAATTGGCAGTCACACAGTCGCAAGTTAAAACTGACTAGGGCCACCAAAAGTTAAGGTTTTAATGCCCGATGCGCGACTATGCTACAGAATTTCAAAAAGTTACAATGTAAATTATGTTAATTACAAAGTTAGAAAGAAAACTCAATATGTAGTTTAACTGGACCACCTCTCTCTTCATTTCTTTGCCTGGACTCTAAGATCATCCATTTTAGGGAAGTTTTTAGTCCTGAAGTGGAAATTCTGAGCTGTTTTAACAGTGATTTCATGAACTTGTTCTTTTCTGTTAGTCAACACTCCATTAAAAGCCATGGGGCATTTATTCAAGTTTTTCATTTTAAACTAGAGGAAATCAAGGGCTACTTCATTTTGGGATGGGTCACTAAGAATTCAAGAAAACTGGCCTGACTGGCCACCAAGCACTGGGGTTAATTTTTAGCCCTGACACAGCACCACAGTTTTTTTTAAGAAAAACCACCCCCTTTCTGCATTTACCTATAGAAATAATCAAGTAAGGGGTAAGCATGCGATAGCCTCTGCTAGCTGAAACATGGCTGACTAGGGGCAGAGTTTACCAACAACAAAAAAGACATTAGTTATAGTATGAAATATTCATGACCTTTAAATTGTTAAATTTGAAAATAAACTTACATTGACACATCATCTTTGTTTTCATTACAATCAGTGCACAGACTTCCAGCCAGAAGAAGAACTGCGATACCAGCTGATATCAGGAGGAGTGGCTTTAGAAATATGCCATCATCATCATCCTTCTGCACGTCACCCTGATCAACACTAAGAAGGCTTCTGTGCTTATGCATAACCCCTGAAATCAACAGTACATGTCTCTTACAAACTGAGTTTGAGGTCTGTATTGTAAGTTACGCACCATTTTTTTTCTACTGGGATATATGGTGTAAGTGCTAAATGTGCTGGCCATAAATTAGAGCAGAAAAAACAAGGTTTCTAACTTACTATACAGACCACAAAAATGAGGTTAGTAGGACAATTATTTTATCTCTGGGTTAACCTTTTAACTCCCAGATCAAATTTGTAATTCACCTTACTGTAAATCATACAATTCTTATAGTGTTAGTTCTGAGAATTTAGAATTGGATCAAATAATTATCCCCAAATTGATCTTTTTCTTTATTCTCATCACTTATCTGGTTGATATTGTGTTGATATTATAAGGAGAAATTCTGTCTTGGTCACTCATGGGAGTTAAAGGGTTAAAACATAGACAGAAGATTTCAATTAAAAGAAACTTTTGAATTTAGCATGCCATACAGTGAAATACAGCCTGCTAAGTTTATCTAGTATATAGCGCATATACTAAATGAGCAATAAAATAACATTACCCCTTTAATTCCCAAGATCTCAATAGTAATTCTCCTTACTGTCTGCCATACAATTCGTATGATTCTAATTTGGAGAATTTGGTATTGGATCAACCAATAATCCCCTAATTGATATTTTTCTTTACTCTCATTACTTGTCTGCTTGATATTGTACTGATAGTGTAAGGAGAAATTCTGTCTTGGTCACTAGTGGGACTTAAAGGGTTAAAAAAAACATAGAGAAATGTTTATTCATAAGTCAATAGCCAACTGTTAGCACCCTAAAATACAATCTATAGCATGTGCAGCTGGAAAGATGAAATCATCTTTAGATCATTTGGATCAATATCAGTATCTGGGCAACTGCCCACCTACCCATCCCCTAACTCAACAACAGTCAATTGATAACAAGTTAGGGTTAACGTTGGGTTAGGGGAGGGGTAGGTGGGCAGTTGCCCAGATACTAATATTGATCCGATCATTTTTGGTGAATAACCCTTCACCCCCTAACATTGGCATTCGTACCCTCCATACTGTTCTCACTCAATTACTTTGGTACTGACAAGGAGAATTTGTTTGATAATCAGAAGCTTCTTAAATTGGTGATCATTTCCATTATTCCCATGATCTTTACATTTGATTCAGGGGTAACACTGTATGTAGAAATTAGAAGCCAGTCACTCTTTAGGGTCTAAGGGATTATAATCCACTTAAATATATTTTTCTAGATCTCATTAATTCTCTGCTTGATATGGTATTGGTAAAGTAGGGAGAAATTCTGTCTTAGAGAATTCTTCTGTTCTGTCTTAGAAAAGGTTGTGGTTATTCATCGCGGTGAATAACAATAAAAAGCTAAGTTTTTCGTTTGTCTCAGATGTAGTCACATGTGATGAAGGTCGCGACGTTTTGACTGCATACTGCTAGTCTTCTTCAGGCAATGAGGTCAACTGGTCATGCGAGACTAGTCACACATGATCAGTCGACCTCATTGACTGAAGAAGACTAGCAGTATGCAGTCGAACCGTCGCAATCTACATCACACATGACTACATCTGAGACAAACGAAAAACTTAGCTTTTTATTGTAGATTCTGTCTTAGTCACTCTTAGGAGTTAAAGGGTTAAGAGCCCTCCTCTAAGCCCCCTTACATCTTAGGCTCTCTTTCTTGAGAAAGGGCCTCCAAATTTAAACAAAGGGGGCCTCTGGACCCTCTTTGGCCAATTACCAGAATAACACCTCAAGTAAAATTGGAGTTGTATTGTCACAATACACAAATGAAATACCAGGCGTGCTCTGATTGGTCAAAAAATGTCACTTAAGGTTCCAGTATCTGGAGAGTCTCCGCATGCAATGATAGACAAATTCATTTTGACTCAGTCATGTATCTTTTCAGACTCCTTACATACTGATAAAAACTGAACAGCATGGGAACTTTCATTTATTTCATTTTCAACATGATGGAATGTGACCAGTCAAACTGACTAGCAAGATGAAAGGTTGACCAGTCAAATCCCCAATCAGTGCAAACATTGTTCTTTGACCCACCATTATTTCGAGCCCTGATTAAACCAACAGGAAACTGAAAAATGAACCTATTATACCAACAGGAAACTGAAAATCAAATTTACCTATTATTTGTTTATACATATATACTGTATCAACCCACTCAAAAACGAATTCATGACTCAATTCTTCCGAGACTTTGCAATATCCTGGTGGGTTTTTCTGATTGAAACTGACAGAGAGCACTATAAAGGTTATAAGATTTTGATTCAATATACGTTTGCATATATTGTAAACGGGATCCAATATATATATTTATAAATGTATATCTGTGTATAAAAGCGTCTATCTGGATGGCAATGAAAATCGCTAATCAATATATTAACATGAAACTCTTAAGAACAATGTCTTTCCTTCGCCTGGCAGAAAAACGGGAGCTAGAATCGTGCAAACTCACCTTTTTTCGATGATGGAAAGCGAATGCAACCATGAAACTTCCGGTTTGCGCAAACAATTTGAATAATGGAATGCACATCGTCCGAGAGTCGTCTTCGATCTTTTTTGTCAACAAAGATCTAAATAATGCAAACAACAGAATACTTCTGGAATAATCAGTTTAAAGAGAAAAGTAAACTATGATAATAATTCGCGATGCGCATTCTTGCCGATGCAGTATACCATCAACTCAATTATATGAGTGTCCGTTTGAGAGGATGGATTTAAACGTAAGTGGGGACAATATACAATTTTCCGCCTCTTGCTAAAAATACATTACATATGAGTGATCGCATAAATGAAAGTTGATGTAAGGAAAACATACCCTAAATTATGCTAATCCAAGTAGGATGAAACGTTAGAAGCTATTTTTCAACGGTAAATAAAGTAGATAAATTTGAAAAGGAATGATTTCATACCTTAAGGAGTTCGGGATTGCCTTCTGTTACTCGAACTTCGATGCGGTCGAATGATCTTTTTTCATTTCCTGTAAGCTTCTTCCATTGCGCAGCGCCATCCCTGAACTCCAGATCGCATTTGGTGCTATTAGCAACCACTGTTGCTGTATCCTTGTAAATCAGTTCTAAAGCAATGCGTGAATATTCTTTACTGGCGGCATTACGCCCGAAATCCAAGCCGCATAGAGTACTTCCGTCAAATCTTTGTTCCATAGGCATTCCAGAGACGGACGGCATCCATTCACTTTCACCGAAAAAAATCAAGATGAAAATCACCCAACAGAGCTGGAAACACCTCATTTTTGTCTTCAACCGCCAAAATGTAACTTTGATTATATTTTACAAACAGAACCAGGCGATCTGAGTTGGAAATCTTCACGCGCTTGCTTTACTACCGTTTGCCATCTTTGTGTTATGACTACGCTAACCGCGCCGACCTGGTAATTAGCAGACACTCCTTATATCCATGATCACTTTCGGTCACGCAGCACATGTTTCAAAGTTTTCAAAATGTCGTCCGCTCCAAGTTCTGCCGAGTTACTACATGTTGGAGGTGAAAGAACCACCGGAGAAAGCATACGAAACCAAAATGGTAAGACAGAAAGAAAGAAGTGGAATATATCTCTGCTCGGATGTATTTATTTTTTATTTTCTTTGCAGTTACCGCTGTTACGGCGATCGCAAACATTGTCAAGAGTTCCTTAGGTCCTGTTGGCCTTGATAAAATGTTGGTCGATGATATTGGGGTAAGAGTTCTCTTCAACGTTCACTTGTTATGTAAAATTTATCAATTATTAGATATTTTGGCCTTTAAAAAGTAGATTAAACGTGAGACGTTTCTTACAGCTGATGCAGCAGTCTTCCTTAAAATAGCTATGTTTGACAAATTACTGAAGTTTGCCGGTTCAGTACACTACTGTGGAACATGTGTACTGTACTGTATAGGCGAATATTAATTTGCAACATATGCTCCAAGTACTTTAAACAACTTGACTGACTTCAAAGAAAATTTCATTGAGACCTTATTTCTAAATACTAATTCAAAGGGTTTTTTTTCAACTTTATTTCTATATTCAATCGATTGACTCGCTATCCACACCTGTGCCTAGTTGTTCGAAGGCCGATTAGCGCTAACCCTGGGTTAAGTTTTAGCCTGGGTTTCTTTATTCCCTTCTTTAAAGGCCTATTTCAAATAATTTCTTCAATTCCTTTTAGAAAATTCAGACAATCAAATTGTAGGCAAAAATAAATATGCTGAATATTCTTTTAAAGCTTTCAGATCTGAGGTCAGATTTCACGCTAACCCTTGGTTATCTTAACCTAGCTTTGAACAACTTGGCCCTGAAGATTAAAAGCTCGCGTAATTTTCCTATAGCAGATACAGTAGTCTTCCTCATGCTGCACTTTTACTACAATTTAAGTTGAATCTTTTTTTCAGTACAGACGTTTCACCTTTTATATTTTGCTTTTTTGCACACTGACTCCCTTAAATTCTGTGAACTCATTCTTAAGATACAGTTGGTCACTTAACAGGAAAGAAGAAAAATTGAACAAAACTATGGACGGTTCCTTTGGATTTAGGCATTATAATTTAATAATAAATTCTTTCTCCATCATTTGACTAACCCATTTTTTGGCAAAGGTTACAAACGAAAAAAAAAATCTTGGATAAACTGGTGAGCATGTTACATCAGAATTAGGTGATGAAAATAATTAGAGAGGGAACATGCACATCCTGGATTTTCTTCAACTCAATCTCTCTTTACAATTTTTTTTTTCTGTTCCCCTTTTTTTTTTGGTTCAACCAACCAATGCACTTTGAAAAGAGGGAAGGGAATGGAAGAAAAAACTTGGCCTAATTCAGAGATATTTTTGTAGGATGTTACTGTGACAAATGATGGAGCCACAATATTGAAGCTGTTGGAAGTTGAGCATCCTGCGGCCAAGGTTCTCTGCGAGCTGGCAGACCTTCAAGACCAGGAAGTTGGAGACGGAACAACCTCAGTAGTTATACTTGCTGCAGAATTTCTTAGAGGAGCAAATGAACTTGTGCGTCAGAAGATTCATCCTACCTCCATCATTAGTGGCTATAGATTGGCTTGCAAGTAAGTGCACAGGGTTTTTATGTTCTTCTTCAAATTGGAGACAGATGCCAACCATTTTGCTTTCTTCAGGGGTCTGATTTTCTCAGTGTTTTTCCCCCCTTTTTTTGTGATGAAAACTATATTTCTGGCTTCAAGTTAATGATTTTAGTGTGCCAAAAAGTTAAACAAGAAGCTTAGATCCTTTTCCCTTAACCCTTCCAACTCCCAGAAGTGACTGACATGTAACTTCTCCTTGCCATTCCAATAAGTTATCTTGTAAACAGGTTATGAGAAGACAAAAGCTTAACAGATAAGACCAAATTCTCCAGTCTTATTAACAAGGAAAATTATGACAGTTTGAGGGTAGAATTACTTGTTGGATCTTGGGTGTTAAAGGGTTAGTTTGGATTTTGTTCTAGTTTAGATTCTTTATGTCAGTGAATTTACCTCTATTACTTTAAGTCCTCAGATTTGACAGAAATCCTCTTCAATTCTTTTCAAAATGTTTGATGTAAGGGTGATATTGTAAGAAGAATTTATATAATAAGCTCAGTTATGCACACATTCTGATTGGTTCTCACTTATGATCTATTGGAGGACAGACGTATAGATTACATGGTAACCAGTCAACTCGCCGACGCCAACTCGCCGACGTATAAAATCGAGTAGAGACGTCGGCGAGTTGGTCGTCAATCCAATACAACTTATTAGAAGTAAAACATACAGAGAAGTAAACGAAATTTAGTAAAAAAACTCTGGCGAACATTGGTGAACATCAAACAGAAGCTTAAACATCGGTGAACATTGGTGAACATCACCAATGACTATAACAGCTTAAGACGGGAACGAGTTATTGTGCGACAACAACACCGTAAAGACTCATCATGTCAATCGCTCAGATTTTTTAACGAAAACTTGGCTTTCTAGACGAGATCTTCAGTAAAATGCAATTATTTTTATTTGCAACAAAGTTTATAAGGATCTTAAGGCGAATAAAGCGAAGTAAACCTCACCAACGACTCTAACAGCTTCAGACGCGAACGAGTTATTGTGTGACAACAACACCGTTAAGACTCAGCATGTCAATCGCTCAGTTTTTTTAACGAAAACTTGGCTTTCTAGACAAGATCTTTAGTAAAAAGCAATTCTTTTTATTTGCAACAAAGTTTATAAGGATCTTAAGGCGAATAAAGCGAAGTAAACATCACCAACGACTCTAACAGCTTCAGACGCGAACGAGATAAATTATTGTGTGACAACAACACCGTAAAGACTCATCATGTCAATCGCTCAGATTTTTAGACGAAAACTTGGCTTTCTAGACGAGATCTTTAGTAAAATGCAATTCTTTCTATTTGCAACAAAGTTTATAAGGATCTTAAGGCGAATAAAGCGAAGTAAACATCACCAACGACTCTAACAGCTTCAGACGCGAACGAGTTATTGTCTGACAACAACACCGTAAAGACTCATCATGTCAATCGGTCTTATTTATTTAAGTCAAGACGCTTGGTAAAAAGTCAACGCACAAATATATTTTTTGGTCTTACTACTCGTGTTAAATGCAATCAAAAGTGACGGTTTTCTGTGGAGAGCCTCGAGGCGATTAAAGACCTTGTTTTCTGGCGCACAGCTGTTTTCAAACGAGGCGCTCATTTTTTAAAACCAACATGTTTACCTAACACTAGGATCCCTCTTTGCAAAGGCGCCGAATTCGTGTAACTATGTTGATAATACAAGATACACTGATCAAAGCAATGATTTCTAGTTTTTGCAAGAGCATGTATTTGAGTTATTTTCGTTTTCAATCAAATGCGTGGCAAGATGAGGGTGTGATATTTTTTCACTCACAAGTCTCACAACGAAGAAGGTGCAAGGTTTTTTATTTACTTTTGAAAAAAAAGCAGGTCTTGCTTAAAAGCAAGTCTCTCCCATTAAAAACTATCAGAGTTTTACAGCAGATTCTAACAATCTTTGTTAAAAGTAAGGAGCTATCAACAGCTTCTCCAAATTTTCGGAGAGAGCAGGCGCTGGCGCACAGCTGTTTTCTAGTTTTCAATCAAACGCGCGGCAAGACGAGGGTGTGATATTTTTACTCACAAGTCTCACAATGGAGAAGTTACGAATTTTTTTTTGTTTTATATTCTCTTTCGGAGAAAAAAAACAGGTACAGATAACTTTCGTAGCGCGAAATTTGATTGCCCAGTAATTTGAAAGATGAATCTGACAGCGTCAATGACGAATATACACGTAACCTGTTGAGCAAAAAAAAAAAAAAAAGAAACAAGCAGGACATGACGATGCAAAAAAAATCTCAGCTCCTGCTAAAAAATTGTGGGAGGAGATTATTCAGTTTTTCGTGCTTACGAAGCGCATTGTTCTAAATTTTCTGTCCAATGTTTTTTTACTAAATACCGTTTAATTTTCTGTATGTTTAGCTTCTAATAAGTTGTATTGGATTGACGACCAACTCGCCGACGTCTCTACTCGATTTTATACGTCGGCGAGTTGGTGTCGGCGAGTTGGTCCGTTGGCGAGTTGACCGTAAACCGATTACATCATCATTAAAACTTTTTTTTAATTCTTTATTATATAAAAAAATAGATTCCAAGTTGCTGTGCGTCTGTTCAGTAATAGATCACAGAGGACTTCAAAATGTAGAAAGAACATCAGTGACACACTCGGCTGTGCCTTGTATGCCACTTTTTTGTTCTTACCTCATTTTGACATCCTCTGTGATCTATTACTGAACAGACGCATGGCAACTTGGGATCTATTTGTTAATTACATGCCAGGGTTAAGTACAGACTTTCTTATGTGATTGACATCTTGTGATTAACTTTCAGGGAAGCATGCAAGTACATCCAGGAAAATTTGACAATTAATGTTGGTGAGCTTGACAGAGAAAGTGTTGTGAATGTGGCTAAGACGTCATTGTCATCAAAGTTGATTGGCCAGTCATCAGACTTCTTTAGTGAGATGATTGTCAATGCTGTCTCTGCAGTGAAGCGAGCAGGAAACAAGGGTGAAGCCAAGTATCCAATTAAGGCTATTAATGTGTTAAAGGCCCATGGAGGAAGTGCACAGGAAAGTGTACTGGTGGATGGGTATGCTCTGAATTGCACCATTGCATCTCAAGGTATATAATACAAAAATTTCTCATCAGATCTAGGATTGCAAGGGATTTAAAACTTCTTATAGCAGAGCTCACAAAGTGTAGCCCTATAATTATACAAAATAGTAGTAACCCATCAAGCTGAAAAAATTTGGATGTATGACCGTACGACTGTACAAGGTGTTACTTTTAACATGCATGGTCAACTGTACCACAGGCACGCCAATGCCACAGCTTTGTCCAGTAGTCCAGTGGTCAGTACACTGGGCTCAGAGTCAGATGACCCAGGTTCTAGTCCTGGCTGGGGCAAGATGTGTGGGAAAAAAAAATGCGAGGTCCACTTTTAGGCTTGGCTAAATCTATATATTATTACCTATATGTATTGTATTGTATCCTTGTATACCTTCACATAAGTGGAGATTACTCGTTGGATTAGGTAATTGAAGCTTGAAGAATTTGGTGGAGATTTTGGAATTATAATGTGTTGGGGTTTTTTTATTTTCAGCTATGCCTAAACGAGTGGAAAATGCTAAAATTGCTTGCCTGGATTTTAGCCTTCAAAAAGCCAAAATGCATTTAGGAGTCAGTGTTGTTGTAGAGGATCCCGAGAAGTTAGAAGCTATAAGAAAAAGGTGGGCTGTCCTCTGCCCATGAGGACATGACTTATATCTTTCTTGTCTTGTCAAGATGTTTTTATTTACATGATAAACTACTATTCCAGGCCTGGAGAAAAGTCTGAAATCCAGCCTGCACATAAGCATTGGATTAATTTGTGATGTTTCTGGGGTCTTACCCTGCTTTGGCCAGTGAAAGCAAATGTTACTTGTTTTGGACAATCAGAAATAATTTTTCCCAAGCTCTGTATTTAACATTTGCTTCTTGTGAGAGGGAATCCTCTTTGACCTTGAAAAGAAAAAACTTCAAAGTTCTTGCTATGTCCTTAGCTGATTCCTTCCAGGAAAAACTAGTGGGAACCTGTTCATATGGACTATTGATATACAAAAGGAAGGGAAGAAAAAAAAAAAACTCTTTTTAACTACTGACAGCAAAATTGTATTCAATATGCAGAGAGGCAGACATTACTAAAGAACGTATCCAGAAGGTTCTTGGAGCTGGAGCCAATGTTGTGTTGGTCAGTGGTGGCATTGACGATCTCTGCCTCAAGTACTTTGTAGAAGCTGGTGCCATGGGTGTCAGGCGATGTAAAAAGGCTGACCTTAAGAGAATCGCAAGGGCTACAGGAGGTTAGTTTGTCTAGGAATTGAAATTATTTTGCACATTGGCATTACACTTTCCACTGTATGATATTTTGACATTTTAGGCGTCATCCATCCGCACAAACGGAGGAGGGTCTGGGTCGGGTAGCGTAACGAACGTATTCTCCGCGTGACCCGCCCCAGACCTCCCACGTTTTCTATTTCGCTCCCTTTTACCGAGAGGGTGGCAAAGGGTTAATACGTGAGGTGTGATTAAGGCAACAATTTAATTTGAAAGGCGAGCGTGATTCGTGAATCTATGAACAAAAGTGAGACGTGACCAGTGAATTTTTTCTTCCATTTTTGAAAACCTCAATTTTTCTTAGAAAGTCTCACACAAGACAAATAGTTGATGTTTCCTTTTTAAATTCGCGACGCATGAAATGCTTTTTCAAGTATCGTGACGCGTGAAATGGGGTCCGCACCCCCTCCCCACCCCCACTTTCACCCCCCTTCCCCTCCCCCTTTGCTACCCTTAACTACCTGAACCATTGGAACAGGATACTAACCTGTTGGTTGGCCTGTTTGTATCCTAGCAACTATGGTACTGACCTTGGCTAATCTGGAAGGTGAGGAGAGCTTTGACGCCAGTATGCTTGGCTCAGCAGACGAAGTTGTTCAAGAACGAGTTTCTGACGATGAGTTGATTGTTATTAAACGGTAAGGGAACAAGCCCTGTTGTACTGTTTAGGTGTTAGTTTGTAAATCTTACTTAGAGCATAGAGATGTAAAGAATTCAGTAAAAATCAACGATAATAACAGCGGTACTGTAGTCTATGTAGGTTGCGAAATGGCTCTCATTATTATTATTACTGCAGCACGCGCGTTTCCCACCCGCGGGAAGATTGGAAACGAGTCGGAGAGAGGTTTGCCAGGGATCTGGCACTGCAGACCTCTGGCCGGCTTGTTTTGCTCAAAGCCCTCATTTTCCTGCGAGCGAAGAAACACTCGTGCTGAAGCGCTGATAACGACGGCCTGCTCGCAGATAAATTAACCCTTTACACCCTAACATCAGTATGCATATTCTCCATACTGTTCTTTATACATTTCTAAGGGTGCTGACAAGGAGAATTTGTTTAACAATCAAAAGCTTCTTTCGTTGGTGATCATTTCCTTTATTCTCATGACCGTAATGTGTGAGTCAAAGGTGGTATTCTGGGGAGAAATTATATGCTTGTCACTCTTAGGGGTTAAAGGGTTAAAAGGAAATTTTTTTAATTTTTGTTAATTTTGTTAATTTTATTAATTTGTTTTAATTTATTTTGTATTTTTTTTTCTTCAGGCCTAAGGCTCGTTCAGCGTCTTCGATAATCCTCCGAGGTGCTAATGACTTCATGTTAGACGAAATGGAGCGTTCCATGCACGATGCCATCTGTGTTGTAAAGAGAGTCCTCGAGTCCAAAACAGTCGTCCCACGGGGGAGGGGCAGTGGAGGCGGCTCTGTCGATCTATTTAGAGAACTTTGCTACATCACTGGTAAGGAGAAAAACCCTCCCCTCTCATTGCATCTTGTCTTCGTTCTTCGTGATAGCCTGCAGTGCAGGCGTCTTATAGGAGCAAGTTATCGTTAAGAAGCTTGCAATCGTTTATTCAACCGGCCATGTTTGATTTGACACTCCCCAACCCCTCTCCTTTTTGACTGTCGACCGTCGACCGTCCCCTTGGCACAAATTTTTTCTCTCCTCAGATTTCCGCTGTCATTAAAATAAATGGTGGCGGCCATAATTTTCGCTATGAAAATACTAAGTACTCGCTCAGCAAAATTACGCCAGCTCTGCAGGCTATTGCTGTGATTCTTTATGGTTAATATCCGTCATGATCTGCTTTATAATCAGGGATCTCGAGAGCAGTTGGCCATCGCTGAGTTTGCCAACTCACTCCTTGTTATTCCCAAGACGCTGGCAGTCAATGCGGCTCAAGATTCAGCCGAACTTGTGGCTAAACTCCGCGCCTATCACAACACGTCGCAAATTAACACAGAGAGAGCCTCCTTCAAATGGTATGTGTGTGGGAGATTTTGATTAAAATTTTTTAACAAAAGTTATAAGAAAATATATCGGGGAATTTCCGTAATCGTCCCTAAAAACTTTTAGCGGAATTTCTCTAGAACGTAAGCATAATAATGGCGATTGCTAAGGCACAATCTTCTGTTTTTTGGTTTGCATATGTGTGACAACTGCAAGAGGGCAAGTTACGCTTAGAAAATAGCCGGTCAGACTGAAGGGAAACTGCTTAAAACCGCTATTTAGAAGCAAAATAAGAAAAAAACAGCTACACGCGAAATTGCTGTTCCTTAAATTTCGTTTAAATGGTTGCAAATTAGTGTTTTATACGAATTACGGTCAACTCGCCGACGGACCAACTCGCCGACGCCAACTCGCCGGCGTATAAAATCGAGTAGAGACGTCGGCGAGTTGGTCCTCAATCCAATACAACTTATTAGAAGTTGGTGAACATTGGTGAACATCACCAATGACTATAACAGCTTAAGACGCGAACGAGATAATTATTGTGCGACAACAACGCCGTAAAGACTCATCATGTCAATCGTTCAGATTTTTTAAAGAAAACTTGGCTCTTTAGACAAGATCTTTAGTAAAAAGCAATTCTTTCTATTTGCAACAAAGTTCATAAGGATCTCAAGGCGAATAAAACGAAGTAAACATCACCAATGACTCTAACTGCCTCGGACGCGAACGAGTTATTGTGTGACAATCATTGGTGATGTTCACCAATGTTCAAGCTTCTGTTTGATGTTCACCAATGTTCACCAGTGTTTTTTTTTACTAAATATCGTTTACTTTTCTGTATGTTTAACTTCTAATAAGTTGTATTGGATTGAGGACCAACTCGCCGACGTCTCTACTCGATTTTATACGTCGGCGAGTTGGCGTCGGCGAGTTGGTCCGTCGGCGAGTTGACTGGATACCTTTTATACAGGGTGTACACTACAAAAATCATAGTGTAAGGCATGATGAAAATTACCCAAATACAGCAAAACAACACCTCGAAGAAACAGCTGTGCCCCTTAAAAATACTTCTCGATAGTTTTGATTAAATGGCTGCAGTCATTTTTTTAATCTGGCCATTTGACATGGAATTAAAGTTCTTGGTAGTTTTAAGGTATTAAACCCTTCAACTCCTAAGATCTGATTGTTAATTCTCGCCTCTAGCTGCAACACATTTCTTTGTAAATAAGTCACGAGAATTTGGTGTTAAATTAAGGCTACTAACTTCTACCTGATAAGTTTGAGTATTCTTATTACATATTGGCTGGATAATGTGTGGATGTTTCGGGGAGAAGTTACATGTTAATCACCTATAGGAGTTAAAGGGTTAATCAATGTCTCCTTTTTTTCCTCTCATGCTATCCAGGATCGGTTTGGATCTGATTGAGGGAAAAGTGCGTGACAATTTAAAAGCAGGCGTTCTAGAACCTTGCATCAGTAAAATCAAGTGTCTTAAATTTGCGACAGAAGCCGCCATTACAATTCTTCGGATCGACGATATGATTAAATTGAGACCGGAGAAAAAGGAGGAGAGTGCATACGGACAAGCCATGCAGCGCGGAGAACTGTAGACAAATGGATATTATTAGGAACACTATAACTTTATTAATTTGCGATTTTGATATTTGATTTGCCAAGAGATAAGCACGGATTCCCTGCAGTCCTGATCTCAGCTTCTTGGATGGTTTGCCAAGACAAATGAACACAATGGCAGTTGTTAGATCGTTGAGGTGTTGAAGCTCACTGTTGCTCGGTAAATTTTTGCCTTCCCGGGTACGTGACTGTTTTTATCCAATCAAAACGTGCGGGCACACTTGAAAAAGCTTTAAGGGTACGTACTTGTTTTTGATCGGTCAAACAAGAAAAAAACTTAACGCTAAAGCTGTCGATTAAAAACTGTCGGGTAACATCAGGTTCCTTCCTTGCGTCGAAGGGAGATGACGTAAAGCTGCTCTCATCGAGTGCTAACTTGTAAGGAATGAGCAAGTCCTTCAGTGAGTTTAGTGTGTTAAAGTGGAACGAATTAAAGGTTTCAAAACGATCCTTTTTCTGTTATTCACAAGTGCCCTCCCCCCACCTCCAAACCCGCGTTGTTTCCCGACTCTACTTCCCCCTCCTTCGCCCCCTTTCCCCACTCTCCCCTCGTCCGTCCCCTTCCCCACTCTGCCCCTCCTCTGCCCCCTTTCCCTCCTCCGCCCCCTTTCCCCCTCTGCCCCCCCTCCGCCCCTTTCCCCCCTGCCCCCCCCCCCGCCCCTTACCCCCTCTCCCCTCTCTTCCGCCCCCTTTCCCCATCTCCCCCCCTCCTCCGCCCCTTTCCCCTCTCCTCCCTCCTCCCTCCTCCATCCCCTTTTCCCACGCTCCCCCCTCTTCCGCCCCCATCTTCCGCGTCTCCTCCGCTCAACTACACATTGAGGAGTTTCCTTTTATTCCGCATCAAGGACGAGGTGAACGTCAAGGTTAACCTCTAATAACAAGTATATTTACTCATTAGGTGTTTTTAAGAGTACATGCACCCTAAATGGGCGAGGGTTGCGTTATATCGTTATAATCATGCCGCGCGAGGAGGTTGTAGCAGAGGCGCTGAACTTTACTTTCTGAACTAGCCACACCTGACTTCTCTTTAGAAATGTAATCCTTTTTTAACCTTTCGCACCCTAACACCAATGTGCAGATTCTCCTTACTGTTCTCCATTCACCTCCTAAGGTGCGGACGAGGAGAATTTGTTTAACAATCAAGAGCATCTTTAGTTGCTGATCATTTTCTTTATCCTCGTGACACTGATGTTTGATTCAGGGATGTTACTGTAAGGGGAAATTTGAAGCTATTCACTCTTGGGGGCCAAAGGGTGAGCACTTCCTTGCAAACAAGTTCCTACAGAGTATCTCTCGTCATTCAGTCTTTGCTTGAATCATGCGCAGTTTTATAGATTGACCACGTGATTTACGTCTCATTGAGACCCCGATCATAGTCTCTGTTCTTTAATGCGTGACAAGTTGGAAGTAAAGAAAATAACATTTTCGTTTTTAATCTGATAATCACCCGAGCAATTATACTAAAACTATTCGCTTCAGGCTCAGTGAATAATTGTTTATTAGGTTTGTGTTGCTCGGAGAGTCAGAAATGGCTAACAAAGTATTTAGTATTTAGTAAATGCTAATGAGGCAATAAAAGCGGCCAATGAATTTGACGGAGGACTAATGGATAGATTCATTATTCGGTAAATACATTTAGCATAGTTTGCAATATTGAAGTCTTAAATGAAATGAGAACAGATCAATGCACTCTGAATCTTACCATTTTCGGCAGCGTTAGTTTTCGTCAGGGAGCCTGAGTAAATTTATGTTGCGGTAGTTCTTACGGTGAGTAGAATCACATAGAGGTGTTATATCTTCAAATGTTGGATCACCTATTGCCTGGGTTGCTACGATAACCGGACTGTAGTCTGTAGATCATGATTATTTTGAGTCCTTTTTCGCGTCATTATTAGAAAGAAACTTCATAAAAAATAGTTTGCTAGAGTAGTTTACCAACGAGGAACTAAGTAAAACCAAAAAGGGGTCAGCATTGTTTGGTACTGAACAAAAATCAACGTGGATTTCTTTAACGAACCTGAGGTTCAGTTTTCCGGACTGTTCTGTAATTCCTTTTAAGTTTGGCAAAAGCCATTCTGAGGGCTATATCTTGTATGAATAGAGGTTCTATTCTCTCATTGCAACAAAGCTAAAAGCGGGCCGAGGTCAGCGCACCTTCAGTGCTGATTGACAGAGTTAGCGTTATGGATGACCAGAGATTCTCTGAAAATCTGCAGGTGCTGTCATGCCTCCATTTTCGATTTTCAAAGCGCGTTTTTCTGGTGGGGACCATTTTGTGCACGCAGTTGAGAACAACTGCACCAAGAAATAATTGAAATATCGAGGGCATAGAAGATCTTCTTTATTTATTTAGCGATTAAACTTAACACTTCTCAGATGAGCTTATTGCAGACGACAAATTTTTTATTCCACTTACGATTTGTTTGGGGGCTTAGTAAACTGCACAATATGCTTAAAAATGGATAATTGAATACGAACTAGTCGGAATTTTCTAGGTAAGTTCTTCTGGTGAATATTCATGGTTTAATATTTGCATAATTTGACAAAACTGTTGACGGGAAATGGCTTTTCTGAGAAACAGCAGCTGCACCAACGAAAAATGTGTTGAAGATAATTGCTTTGGCCCATGTCAACAAAATGGTGTTTCTTGGCAAAAAGGACTCATTTTATCCCAAACACAGCACGTACAATGGCGAATTTTTCGGTCATCTTTGAGTTAGCTGTATAACGAATACTGATCGTCATTATTTGTGCAATTTAATTCTGCCCGTTGTTTATTCGTGAGCACCTCTTTATCTCGTGATTTTATGTCAGTCACACTATGAGGTTCAGGTATGAACCTGACATTCACTCTAACTTCATTCAGATTTTGTTCGAAATTATGTTTTCAATTAAAATGTGGAGAATTGCTGTTGTTAAACTGTATTTTACCGTAATTGAAAAAAAAGTGCAACACTATCATTGGGATTTGCATCAATAAATTTTACTGTGCTTTTATAGGAAAATATCAAAACCTCGAAAATTCATTCGTGGCTCCATATTTCAATATTTTGGAATTGAATACCTTCTAAAACTAGCAAAAATCAGCATTTTATTAGTTTTGTCGTGCAAGCATGACATTCAGATCAAATGTTTTGGAACACATCCATGAAGGCACGTCTTTAAATTATGTAAAAAACTTTTTCATAATTTTTTTTATTTGTATAAGTTTTGAACCAACAGAGCTCTAGTGACACTTTGTTTTCACCCCGTTTAATTCTTGAAGAAAACCCCGTTTAAAATAAATGCAAAATAAGATATATAAAAAGAGATTTTGTAAACAGAAAAAGACAATAAGTTTTTGAGCTCGGTAAAGAAATAGGGAGATATGTTTTTTTCGTCTAATCACGAGCGTAGGACAAAGAAAAAATTCTGAATCCTCATGAGGAATCGAAACCTCAGGATTGAGGTTCGATTCCTCTCAGAATTTTTTCTTTGTCCCGCGCTTGTGACAAGGCAAAAAATGTCTTTCTTCATAAAAGAAGTTTTGTCACGCAAGCATGACAGTCATTTGAAATGTGTTTGGACACATCCATAAAGGCGTATCTCTAAATCGTGCCAGAATTTTGTTTCGTTTTGTTTTTTTGTTTTTTTTTTCATTGTTTTTTAATTATAAGTGTTTTGTGCTAGGCTAGCTGAGTTCTACACTTCGTTTTTTCACCCTGTTTATTCTTGAAAAAAGAATGTTTGGAAGCAAATGCAGAATGAATTATCATTGTGAAGCAGAAATTATCTCCAGTTATTGATCCTCGCATTATTTGATTTCCTCAGTTTTGAGGCGCGTGTTTGCTATCGGCCTAATAAATCACTTAAGATGTCTCCTTTTCAAAACTTTATCATTTCAGCCGTCAACCTTTCGTCTGGGGTTTTGTTGCTATAACACCTAAGCTGTGAAACTGTCTAGTCGGCACCAAGCTCAAAAGGATGGGGTGGCTGGGTTAACCCCTCTTGTAATTTGCCTACATCTGACCACCTTGGCATAAACTGACCACATCCTGTAGGTTTTACGATCGATTCACAATTTCTCTTCAATAAGCATTATTTCTTTTGTGAATTAGCTACGAAAATTCGATGTTTTATCATGGAGATATGGACATGTAGCTTCGTGACTCAGTTGGTATTTGCGCCCAGCTAGTATCTGAGAGGCACGGGTTCGAGTCCTGTCGAAGCCCGTTTTTTTTTTTTTTCTTTCAGCCGGCTTTCCTGCAATATTTTTTGTTGCAGCTCGCTTGCGACGATCATTTCTCTTCTCATTTCTGATATTTCTCTCAGTTGATAGGTGAAGAACATGGAGGGAACACGTCTCTCGCCTAACCTGTCTTCAACCAATCTCTCTCTCCTAAACAACACAGACACCACTCGAGCCTATGTGTTCGTTCCTGCAAGTAGCACTACAAAGCTTATCATTTTCCTGCTACTGGTTGTCGTCGGAACAGTTGGATTTATCGGAAACAGCCTTATTTACTTCTTCATATCTACTAAGAGCAGAAGATTCTCCTACTTACAGTCGTCAATGTTCGTCAGAAATTTTAACTTCTACGTAAAGAGCCTAGCTCTGTCTGATATACTCTCCTGCTCGGTCTCTCTTCCCCTGATTTATATTCAACTTATGTTTGATGTGTTCCAACAAGGTTGGCCTTGCAGGATTGTTCGTTACCTAAACTTGCTGTTCCCTTCAGTTACAATTAACAACTTGATAGTCATAAGCACGGAGAGGTATTTTTCAACTCGACCCATTCCTCGCTCTTTCAGCGTCTCGTGCGTTCGTAGACTGATTTTTAGCGCATGGGTTGTAGGTTTCATTGCGGTGATTACTCCAACTTTCACCTTCAATGACGTAAGATTCGATCTGGACAACAACCGTTACACAGTCGTTTGTAAAATAGACAACACTTACTTGCCTTTCAGAGTGATATTTGTGAGCTATGCAGTACTTCAACACGTTCTACCGAGCATAATTTTAATCTGTATTAATATTTCACTGATAAAAACCGTTTGGAGCAGGAAAAGAAGCCGGCTTATGAACATTCAGATGAATAACGCTATTCGGGCGAAGCTCAGAGCTGCTAAACGGCGAGGGACATATCTACTGATTCTGATAACATTTGCCTTCATAATTCCATATTCTTGGACATTATATTACGCTGTTTATGTCATGGTGGTTAATCCTACACTTGATTTTCAATTCGATTACCGAATAAGATGTCTAAGCATCGTACTGTTCTTTACAAACAGCTCCCTAAACTTTATGATATACCTTGTACAAATGAATGATTTCAGACACTATGTAAGGAAAGTGTTTTGTAACAAAGTCAGTTAGAGTTGTTCTCAATCCAGAAATGACGTCACTATCCACGAGAAATGCAAATAAAACCAATAGGAACTCTCAGAAAATGCACGTGACCAGCGCCAAATGATATAAAAACTCACGTGACCAAGTCATAAATGTTTTATCAATTTTGATAAAAATTTTGATTTTTTTTCAATGATTTTATAATTTTTGTAAATATTTTTTGTGATTATAGTGAATAAAGAATATATTCCTTATCAATTTTGATTGTTTTCTTGGGACCAATCACAGGGCACAATAAAACAAAGCAAGGCAACTAATAAGGAAATGATGGAATGAGGCCCAGTGCGTTATCTACAAAAGAAAATTATTCTAAACGGGTCACGCATGCAAATTAAAATTAGGACTGCTGACAAATATATTACTGCAAATGAAAATATAGAACCGCAAATTAAAATATTACTGCAAATTCCAAAAATACATCACTGAACACAAAAAAATAGAGCTAGAAATTACAACCCATTATTGAAAATTTAACTGCAATTTTAATAGTTGATTGCTGCAAATTTAAAAAATTTTCCTCTGGCAATCATCAACAACTCTACGGATTAAACCATTCAAATGCAACCAACCATTAATGATATCCCATAAGTAGTTCTGGTATCTCCAAATCACTACTAAAAATAATAAGGGGGTTACATATATTTACAACAGCACTACACATATCAAATTTGTAACAGAATAAGTAAAATAGAGTAGTTTGATCGTTCGGGTGAGTGTAGTCTTGAGAAGGACTTTTGTCGGTAGTGGTGACTGACGTTTCGACAACCTGAGCGGAAGTCATCGTCAGATTCAAGTGAATAGTTGTTGTCAGTCGAATGTTCTTAGTCCGGTTTCTATAAACTGATTGGTCAGTTTTGCCGTGATGTCATTGGCTGTAAGACTCAAGTAATTTGCATTGCAAATAATCCTGTGATTTAATGGATATATTGCTTTTGATTCACAACCCGCGGCAATTTACTCGTGACCTGAAAAAATTCATCGGCGACCCTCAACAATTTAATACGTGCGCCTTACTCAGAGTTTCCCTCGTCGCGCTGATATCAACGTTTTTATTTCACTGATTTAGTTTTGACTCGTGCGACGGAATTCGCCTAAAATCAGGGACGACTTGTAGTTTACCTATTGGATAATCTCTCCCTCACCAACACCAGTTTAAAGGCCCATCTAAAACCTTATAGCGGAGCTCGCGTAGCCCCATAATTATACAAAACAGTAGTAACCCATCACGCCGAAAAAATTTGGATGTACGACCGTACAAGGTGCTACTTTTAACATGCGTGGTCAACTGTACCGCGGGCACGCCAACGCCATGGCTTTGTCCAGTAGTCCAGTGGTCAGTGCACTGGGCTCCGAGTCGGACGACCTGGGTTGTAGTCCTGGCCGGGGCAAGGCGTTGTACCCTTGAGACGTGCGGGAAAAAAAATGCGAGCTCCGCTTTTAGGCTTGGCTAAATCTATATATTACAATTATGTAATATATATATATACAATCACTCTGGGCAATCAAAACCCAGGGTAATATCACCAAAGGGTTCATTAGAGCTCATAGAGGGTTTTAAAATTGCGTAAGATCGACATCCATGTTGGAAAATGCGTATGACTATATCAAAGGCACCAGTCTTGATAAACCACACCACACACCTCGGCATCGCTTCTGATTTTATTTTATGATCATCTAACTTTTTAGGAAAGCGGTGGTATTGACACTCCATTCAAAATTACTCTAAGCTCTATGTTGGAGAATTGTTTGCATATTTTCAAGTCTTGTTTGCACAATTAATTTTTTTATTTATTTTAAATTATTTACTTCTTTACCTTATAAAGTATTAGCCTTGGGTTACATATTACAAGGGTATTTTCATATAAAAATTCAATTTTCTATTATAGCCTTCTATTTCATGAAGGTTGGTCAGTGCTCTGAAGACCTTAACCACAGGCAGCCCAAGCTCACGTCTCGAGAAAAAGCCAACGATTAATTCATGAATGCGTCTTGCGTTGTGTGACTCGGTGTTAAGTTTCGAGAGGAACCGTTGAAAATTTGAACACGTTATAAGGAATAGTATGGGGAACGAAATATGGTCGACTTACAACGATAAATATTTCGAAATATAAATATTTTACACGTAAAATCAATAACATCATCCTGTGTGTCCATTGTAGTTTCCGTCGGTTTCTGCTGTTTTAAGCTTGCTTTACCATCACTGTTATTCCAGTCAAAAGACTGGATAAGTTTGATAAGTTTGATAAGTTTGGGGCGTGTCAAAATTCTGGATCCTGATTGGTCAAAATGCATCACCTGGTACAAATATGGCTTGGTGATTGGCTAACTCCACTTTATCAGCAAACCTTGCATCACCTCTTCTGTTTCCGTTGCAACGACAACATGCAATTCCTCCAATCAGCAATAAAACTACTGCAACAGCCACAAAGGTAACACCAAAAGTAGCCTTAATTTTGCTGCCTGGTCCTAAGAGTAAGACAAGATATGAACACCCTAGTTACACCTTCATGGGACTGCCATCCAAATGTTGACATTTAAGAGGTGTTTGTGCGGTACTGTATAATTATGTGATGTTTACATTACAATGTACGTTCACAAATTAAAGGTCGACCGCAGCTAAACAGCAAAATGCACTTTACACTTGAGAATGATTCTCCTTCAGACTTGAAATTATTGTAAATTGAACTATGCTAATTAAATGAGGGGGGCAAAAAAATAAACATAAACCCTTTCACTCCCAAGATCTAATTGGTAATTCTCCTTACTATCTGCCATACAATTCTTATGATGTTAGTTCAGAGAATTTGGTATTGGATCAACTAATAATCCCATAATTTATATTCTTCTCTATTCTCATCACCTACCTGCTTGATATTGTATTGATATTGTAAGGAGAAATTCTGTCTTGGTCACTTGTGGGAGTGAAAGGGTTAACTACCTGACTTGATTCTTAACCCTTTAACTTCCAAAAGTGATCAACCTCTAACTTCTCCTTGTAATATTCATACATGATCCAGCAAACAGGTAATGAGAATATTCAAACATATCAAATAAAAGTTGTTGTCTTGATCTAACAACAAATTCTTGTAACTCATTTAAAAGGAAATATGTAGTAGCCAGAGGGGAGAATTGACAATTAGATCTTGGGAGTTAGTGGTTTAAACAGGGTTTTAACAGTGAAAAAATTCCAAATGCTCTGAAGACCTCAACATGCCTTAATTGAGTTCAAAATAATTTAATATTTTATCCCTTTAACTCCCAGAAGTGATTAATGTAAAACTTCTCCCAACAATATTCATACATTCTTCAGTAAACAGGTAATGAGAATATTCACACTTATCAGGTAGAGGCTGCTATCTTGATCTAGCACCAAGTTCTCATAACTAATTTACAAGGAAATGTGTAGCAGCTACAGGAGAGAATTAACAACCAGTAAAAGGGTTAATTCGATTTTACTTGAACTACCAACATCAATTTTTCATTGAAACTCTACCTTTGATTTGTGGGTTGTCGGACATGCCTTGACCACCAGGAGACTCAGTGTTGACTACAGATGGCGTAACTGCCCCAAAAAAGAAAGAAATTGAAACAGTCATGAAAAAAGTCTAACATTTTTGGGGTTTCAAATCAAGTTTGTAACTTGAATATGAAAGCCATCTTCACAGTAATGAACACTACTTGAGGAGTAGTGAAAATAAGGCCTGAAAAAATATTCAGACCCGTACGGGATTTGAACCCATGACCCTTGTGATACCGGTGCAATGCTCAGGAGAGAATTAACAACCAGTAAAAGAATTAATTAAATTTTACTCAAACTAACAAACATCAATTTTTCATTGAAACCCTACCTTCGATTTGTGGGTTGTCAGACATGTTTTGACCACCAGGAGACTCAGTGTTGACTGCAGATGGTATAACTGCCCCAAAAAAAAAAAAATTGAAACAGTCATGGAAAATGTCTAACATTTTTGGGGTTTCAAATCAAGTTTGCAACTTGAATATGAAAGCCATCTTCACAGTAATGAACACTACTTAAGCAGTAGTGAAAATAAAGGCTGAAAAAAATATTCAGGCCTCTACTGGATTTGAACCCACGACCCTTGAGATGCCGGTGCAATGCTCTACCAACTGAGCTAACAAACCAAGAGGGAGCTGGTCATTATGTTGGTACCAAATAAACCCATGAAGGGGTGAATAAACGACTGTGCATATATGAAAGTCATATATTTGAACTGCGGATAAAGATATAAATATGTAAGCGATCTTCTTGAGCAGTAGTGAAAATAAGACCTGAAAAAATTCAGACCTCTTAAATTTTGAACCCATGACCCCTGCAGATAAAGAAGTGGATATGTAAGCAACCACAGTACATTTTCAGTCACCTACCTCTTATAATTTTGATGTCTTGACGATTACAGGGCGATGGGCCCGTCAACACATATTTCAGAGTGAAGTTCCAATTTTCATGCCTGGAAGGATCTCTTATCTTTAGTATGATAGATGATGTGTTGCTGGAGAATTCTAATCTCTTGTTGCAGAATTCCTTCAGACTTGGATCGTCTATAAATTCACTGCAAGTCATGTTTAAGGATCCTTTAGCCAAGTATGCTATGATCTCTGAGTTTAGGAAAAGGCGATAGCCACGAAGCTCTTCACCACTAGAGGATTTATTCCAGATAATTTGGACTGGTTTCCCCTCTTTGACATCAAAGTATTCTTTTGAAACTAAAGAAGATAAAAAATATATATATATATATTTTTAAAAACATAATTTCACTAATCCTTTTTAAATAATTTACATTCCTGATAAATTAATTAGTTAGAATATAGTATCCTCTCAATATACCTAACCACTGAAATAATTTTAAAATGCAGTATTTTAGAGTGATAAATACTATCAACCTTTCACTAAGTTCATAATTATAATAACTCTCAACCTCACCAGCCATAAAAAAATAAAAAAGAGATCATGCAAACAATTTTTTAGTGGCAAGTAAATAAACCATTTGCCAAAGTATTTGTCCACTTACTCATATTGAGTCCTTTCAAGAAACCACAAAGTGTCTACATCAGAGCTCCAAGTTTCATGTATTACGTGTGAAATTAAAACACTCAAGCAAATTCAATCTTACACTCTCAAGCTGAAGGCTTTTATTTATCACTCATTAAAACAGTTGATTTTGAGATAGAAAACTATCACTTTTGTCACCAGTGAGTGCCCATATAATTAATTAATCCTCTAATTGTAATTTACTTCTTGTTCCCTTTGTACTTGCTTTGAACACTTTCCAAAAGTGGAAATTCTCAATTGGAATAACAGAATGTAAATCTTAGCTTCTTCATTTTCATGCTAATTTTTGGCTGAGCATGCCCCACACCCCTCCCCCCCACCCTACACCCCACCCCTTTCCACCTTTCAGTATGTAATGCCCATGGTATCACACTCTTTGACAGAAAATCAACTTGAGTTAGAGCTCTGTCACATACAAGTACTGCTCACACCTAAGTCTAATTAACACCAATTGACTTGAGAGGTAAAAAAAATACAGTTAGAAGGTGTAAACACAATAGTTCTTTCAGATAGCATTCTTTTCAAATGCAAGTGCCCAGGATTGTGGATCATCTTAAACCTTCAACCAACATAATGTACCAACTTTAAAAACAATATTAATTAAACAAACTGTTTTAAGTTGATGTTGGCATCCTAATGTAATCTAAGCTCACCACATCGATGTGTCTCGTGTTGGCCTGCTCCTGTTTTGGTTTTGTTCGTATTGCTTGTATTGCCTCCCGCTGAAAAGGGTAAAAGATCAACACCTTGATGCTAACATTTTGATTAGGATACATTTTTACAATACGACCCCCCTTTCGATCTTGTCGTGAAAGTGAGAAAATAGCCCGGCAAGGCATGAATCTAACGAAAATACAGTGATTACACTTAGTAATTGAACGGTAAGATTGCTGACCCAACAGTAAACCCTGTTCGGTTTCTTGTGAGGGTAAAATTTCCGCACAGCCTCATCCTACATTATGCATTCAGTTCTTGGATAAAGAAAACAATCCCAAAAAAATACATTGCTACTGGGAAAACAGATTTGTTTTACAATAGTCTGGGGCTGTGCGGAAATTTTATCGGAAAATAATACGCAGGAGTCAGCCAACAAACGACATACGCACCACTAAGATCTTAAGTCCTCCTCATTGAGAGAAATTTAGACACAAATTATGTAAGTTTACTTACCCTGGAGCACCATTAACGATAAAATAACGTATAAGGTGAGATAACGAGCCATAGTAAACATGAAATTGGCAAAATAACTGGGAATATACCGTAATAGAATCCTTTCAACACAGTTCGTCGCGAAAGTGGCCAATGAGAATCAAAAGATCACCCATGTGATCTTCAACCACGTGGTTGTCCTCGTACTTTGACGTCATTTCATGGCAGCGTAGTATTCAGGCAGGCTATGAACCTTTCGCTGTGGTAGATTGAGAACTTCATCTCTCAGTCTTCTCATGAAAAAAGTAAAAAAAAAACAAACAAACAAATGAAAACTGATGAGTTATTCGCTGGTTGATAAAGGTCGTCCAAGATAAAACGGAAAAAAGTAAAATCCAGTCGCCAAGGATTATGAAATAATCAAGACCAGACTTCCGTAGAAAAACCACTCACCTACTATTAAACATGCGCCTGAAAAAGAGACGATTCTTGCCAATGAACTTATGGGAGGAAAGTATAGGCAAAAATTAAAGAAATGGAAATTTACCTGAGCTTCCGACTTCTGCAGAGTCTGAGCCGTCCTAGGCCAGATTTAAATGAATCAATTGAGCAGTTTCTCACAATTGCGAGTCACCTTCGGGAAAGTGCTGGAATACTTGATCAAACCCAATCGTGTACCCCAGTGAAAGGGTGTGGATTTGAGCCCGATTTTCGAGAAGGTCAAATTGGATGTACGTCGTAGTTTGGAGCCTTTCAAAGATTTAGGGAAGTTAGAACTCCCAGTGACAAAAACAATACATTGCCTATGGGGGCTGAGTTTTAACCAATAAAACTCACCCGATCGATTAATCGCTGAAATGAAGGATAGCCAGTTGAAAGAACTCCATGGGCAAGGCTGCGGTTTCAATTCTTTCTGAATCTCTTCAGTTGCCTCCAAACAACCAATTTGTCTTGGAGGAATAACAGGAATCACATAGGCTAGCAAACACTTTTTAACTTTCAAAGGAACAGCAATAGTGAATACCCATTACATTCCATATTTAACTTAAAGGCACCTCCAGATTATAACCTTGAAGATGACCAGGGTAACGTATAAGCAGCATCGATCAACTAAACCTCTGTTGCAAAAGAACTTCATATCTATGGTCTCATTTAGGTCAGATCCTTTGAATCTCAGACGATTTCGTCTTATTTCAGAAGGTTCTGCCTTATCTGGCTACAATGGTTCCTCTGATTTTGGGCAGTTCGGTTCAATCTCAGTCAATCTCTTTTCATTTCAGTTCCATCTGCTTTCGGACTGTTCTGTCTGACTTCAGATGGTTTCGTCCAATTTTCAGGTTTCTGTTTCTGATTTCAAAGGGGTTTCCTCAGGTACTGGTTGAATTAATTACACCAACTGCAAACAGTTGCATCTACTTTCTGTAAGGACAGCTTGAGTAATTAAGTTGTGACTGGTCAAATTAAAAGCTATAGAAAAACTTGTTCGACTTTTATGCTCGAAACATTTGTGTAGTCACCCTTTAAAAACAGCAGTGTTTCAGGTTGATTCCTCCTTGTGATTTCAAATGGTTCAAGCCCACTTCAGACAGTCTACTCTGATCTTGGATAGTTCCATCCGGTTGTAGATGGTTCAATTTCAGATTACAGACCTTTCCGTCCGCCTTTGGACAATTCCGTCAAATTTTGAATGGTTCCACCTAATTAATTAATTAAAAAGGGTTTATTAAAAGTATTTTGGACAATTCCGATAATCTTACATTTGACTTTAAAATTAAAAGTCTAAGGGGACTCAAATTTTGAATGGTTCCACCTAATTTGGGGTTGTTCATGTCTGATACCAGAAAGTAGAAAGAATTGGGTTTCGACCAAACAGAACTCTGATTTACAATAATTATAATAATCATAATTTTACTCAGACAATCAAATAAAGCTTGTTGTTAGTTCTTTAAACAAAACATTTTTTGGTATCAATAAAGTGCAAGTTTAAATTCATAGAAAATTAATTCTTGACTTAACAACACAATATAAAAATTCCATTTATTTTTTATTTACAGACTCAAACTAAATGACTAAAACTTCCATCAACAGAGTGTTCTTTTCATCTTTTGCTGCCCCCCATACAAGGGGGTGACTTGGGTAATGTCTTTGTGCTACTTTCCCACTGTTCTGGAGTTTTGGCCTTAAAAAAAAACAACAGCAATATAAACAATTATCTTGAAAATCAAATAAGAACAACTGAAGGTGTAATGCACTGTTTCTCTTAACCCTTTAACTCCCATGAGTGACCAAGATAGAATTTCTCCTTACAATATCTATACAACATCAAGTAGACAAGTGATGAGAATGAAGAAAAATATCAATTAGGGGATTATAAGTTGATACAATCCCAAATTCCTCAAACTAACATCACAAGAACTGTACAGCAGACAGTAAGGAGAATTACTAATGATGAGAATGAAGAAAAATATCAATTAGGGGATTATAAGTTGATACAATCCCAAATTCTTTAAACTAACATAACAAGAACTGTACAGAAGACAGTAAGGAGAATTACTAATGAGACCTCCAGAGTTAAAGGGTTAAAGGTCTGTCTACAGTTCTCCTTTTTCTCCCCAATGGTCTAAAGAGGAAGTCCACAAAAAAAGCACACAATAAAGAACCTATTTTATCTCTTCTCATGCCCTACCCCACCACAGCCCTTTGCATTTGGGTATTACTTTGCCTTCTCAAAGGGGGGGGAAGGGGTTCTGATCCTGCTTTGCACAAAAAAATTTTGAAGAATTTATGTATCACATAGAGAAAAGGAAAACTTCAATCTCTCTTCTTGTGTACAAGATTTCAAGGAAATCTTGAGGTTTTCACAAAATGAAGAAAAAAATTCATGGGTCCCATATATTTCAAGAGGCAAACCACACCTCATGCTAATGCATAAATTCAAGAATCATGCTCGCCTTTCATAGTATCTTAGTTATTTTGTAAATAAAGATGACTTGCTTTGGCAGATAAGTTTATCAACTCTAATCACCTGCTTTCTTGCTAATATATTTATATTGTCAGGAAAAATTACATATAAATTGCTTTCAGAAATTTAGGAGTTAAATTTATTACCTGTATAGACAGAGCATGGACCCCAGTGGCCAACTCTTCCTTTAGGACTTCATTGACCAATCTGTGTCTCTGTTAACCCAAAGATACAAGTGTAAATTCTCCAAACAATCTCTCATATATTGTTTCTAATTTTAGGTCTGAGAATTAATGCATCATTCAATTCAAGCTTCAACATTCCTCTCCCCACCCCCCATAACCCTCCTGGCATTTGAACTTTTTAAAGATTGGCTTGTTCAAATGCCTTACCCAATTTTTTTGTAAAAAAGGCTTAATGCTTTTTTAAAACTCCCAAGATCTGAATGTTAATTCTCCCCTCTAGCAGTTACACATTACCTTGTAATTTAGTTTGGAGAATTTGGTGTTAGATTTCAACAACAACTTCTACCTGATAAGTCTGAGTATTCTCATTACCTGCTTGCTGGATAAAGTGTGAATACTGTGGGGAGAATTTACATGTTAATCACTTCTAGGAGTTAAAGGGTTAATCAGTGCACTAACCAAGCTTTAAAACCTTGACCTTATCGGCCTTTTCTTCTGAACCATTTTCTCATGTAAGTGGTCTATTTACCTTAACCTTTTCAGTCCTGCAAGTGACTAATGAGTAATTTCTCCTAACAATATCAATACAACATCAACCAAAAACATAATGAGAAGATAGAAAATTATCAGCAGGGGCACATTATTTGATTTAACACCAAATTCTCACAGCTACAATCATAAGAAATGCATAGAAGACAGATAGGAGAATTTGTATTGAGATCATAGAAGCAAAAGGGTTAAACACCTCCACTGCTGGAAAGACTTGACACTTTTGGTCCAACTTCCCCACCCCAGTCAGGCAAGGTTCAATTTCCCCTCAATGGGGGGGGGGGGTTTGAAGCTTAAAATTGACCTGTGCATAAATCAAACAAGTGTCCCTAGTTTTAATTTTTCTTTCAACTCATCACAATACTGCTTGAAAATGCATTGATATTGTAGGGAGAAATTCTTTCTTTGTTGCTCCTGGGAGTGAAAGGGTCCAATGATGAAAAGATAGATTTAAAATAAGCTCATTTGCGATTACTATTTTCACAGTCGTCAAATTTAATGACTACATTATCTATAAATTATAAATCTCAAGCTCTCACCACCACTTAACCCTCTAATCCCTGAGAGTGACCAGTATCTAGTTTCTCCTTTCAATATCCCCAATGAATCAAACATTACAGTCATGAGAATACAGGAAATGATAATCAACTGATTACAAAGAACCACTTCATTGTTATACAAATTCTCCTCACCAGCACATTAGGAAATGTATAGAGAACAGTATGGAGAATATGCATACTGATGTTAGGGTATAAAGGATTAAAAACTACAACAGAATCAAAATGATTTCCTACCTGAATTAACGGTTTGTCATTAAAATTTGAAGATACCACCACAACCTTAAAATGGGTTTCTGAACCTGAGAAGTTCCAAAAAACACCATTTACATTAACTCCTTCACAACTTTCATGATGTACTGATTATGTCACCCAATTTTCATGTTGTGCCTACATGACGTACTCAGCACATTAAAAGTTGGAGAGTAACAGTCAGATCTCCATCACTGGATATATAAAACAACCTTGCCTTAAAACTCAAAACAAGTTAAAAAATTCTGAAAAATGATAAATTAATTCGCGTTGGCATTAGATCACTCAGTGTGATTGGTAATCAAGGGGTTAACCCTTTAACTGCTAAGAGTGACCAGCATCTAATTTCTCCTAACAATATCACCCCTGAATCACATATTAAGGTCATGAGAATAAAGGAAATGATCACCAGAGAAGGAACCTTTTGATTGGTAAATAAATTCTCCTTATCAGCACCTCAGGAAATGTATAAAGAACAGTGTGGAGAAGATGTATACTAATGTTAGGGTGTAAAAGAGATAATGAACAGCTGGGATATACTTTGCCTAACAGGTTATCTTTATGTTATTACTCTGATCCAATTTCGTAATCATGGCTTTTAGGGTTTTAACCCTTTAACTCCCAAGATCGTATTGTGAATTCTCCCCTCTGGCTGCAAGACATTTCTTTGTAAGTTAGTTACAAGAATTTGGTGTTTGATCAAGGTAACAACTGCTACCTAATAAGTTAAGGTTTCTCGTCCCCTGTTTGCTGAATAATGTATAGATGTTGCTGAGAGAAGTTACATGCCGATCACCTCTGGGAGTCAAGGGTTAAATTCATCCATATAAATTGTACGAGCTTCCAAGAATATTTGTATTGCTATATTTAACAACTAAAAGAAGGGTACGAGCTTACTGTCAACAATGAAAGTAAAGCTTACCTTTTGGAACATTATGCATGTAACTTTCATTCATTACATCTAAATAGACAGGCTGTAACAAAAAAAACATTGTAACACATTGCTGATTTTGCACTCATAAACATACTCAGAAGTTAACTGTTTGACTCCTATTAGTGACTGGAATCTAATTTCTTCCTACAATATCACTCCTGAATCAAACATTGAGGTTACGAGAAAAAAGGAAATGATCAGCTACTAAAAAAGCTCTTGATTGTTAAGCAAATTCTCCATTTCAGCACCTTAAGAAATGTATAGTGAACAGTATGGAGAATATGCATACTGATATTAGGGTGTAAAAAGGTTAATAAAACCAACCACCTTAAGTACCTTGAATTCCTTTGTTAGCTTTTCGGTAATTGATTGTTGGACTGACATCATGGCCTGATTGGAAAAATATGAAATAACACAAAAGAGGATTTGTATAATCCAATTAAAAAAACCTGCAAATTAGCCAATAAAGCTGATGATGTCATTTATGAAAAATATACTAGTTTTGGCAGGAATTAAGAGTTTATAAGAGACTCTGGAAAGAAGTGGCCACTATATTGTTGTGAGAACAAAACCGAACTTCATACCAGCCTCACATAAGCTCACCATTCATTTCAAAGGATCTACCTTGCAAAAGAAAAAAAAACCGACATAATTCCATAGTGGGGGGAATTACTGCACTCCCTCTCCCTACCCACCCCATCTAAGTCTTTCCATGTTTAGCTATGAGGAACCAATCCGTTTTATGAGAATAATTGCTTAAGTTAGTGAAAGTTGTATATACCTGAGATGCAGTTGATAACAGATTTTTATTTCTTGGGTGTACAGTGGCTCGAAATATCCTAGCCAAATTACCTGAAAATGGAAAGCAGATGTTTTTTTTGGGGAGCTACTAACTTCATAAAGATCTCAGTTACTTCACCACCACCCCAACCCCCCCACTCACCTAAACGAAGACCCCCCTCCCCCCCACACACACATTCTGACTTTCCCTTTGTTGATTGTTCTGTGTTGATACTACACCACAGGGCGGTTTTTAGTCCGCTCTAGATCATCTCATTATTAAGCGTTTTGACTTGAAATCCAACCATAGCTTGCACTGAAAATCTTCAAGGAGAAGGAGTCCTTCTTCTTCGAATATTAGTGAAATTGACGGAAAAGTGATGCTAAAATAGCCAAGAATTAAATTGTAGAATTATTAAACGATGTCCACAGCTGTTTATTTCAACCATCTAGGACTGAAAATCCGTGAAAAGAAAGTCCAAATCGATCTCAGATTTAACGTAGCAGAGACCATCTGTAGTTCAAGATGAGTACCTCTGATCATGGATAAATGCTTTGTCGAAACACTTCGAAAATGGTTTCTACCCCAGCACAGAACGATCGACGATAGAATGTTTAGATCGTGTCGCCTTGAAGCAAACTGGCAAAGCACTATGGGTGTTACAAAGATGACACAGGCAGCCCAGTATAACCTTGGAGACTTATTGTTGCCAAGTGCACTAGTAAGGGAAAAGCGCACGTGCTGGGCTGACATAAAATTGTCGAAGTTTTTCTCTGCGGTGAACCCGCCTTTTCCCCCGGAGTAATCGATCAACGGGGCTTCATCTGTCCCATTTGAATATTGCACCTAGAAGCAGAATGGTCAATAAAGATTTATCAGCGGTAACTGAAATCTTAATTTTTAAAATTATGAATGGCTTAAGAAAGTGCTACCTTCCTTAGGGAATTCTGTTTTATAAAGACTTCTCGTTACCCAAGCGTGTAATGTAATCAGCCTTCAGGAATGAATAAACGTGTTTTACTTGTGCTTATAATGAGGGTCCAGTTCAAAACATCACGAATAACAAAAAGATAGTCAGGTAACTGGCAGAATACACAACAACTGTGAGAAGTTTCTTGGAAGTTTTCCGTAACCTAGCAGCATGGCGGATCTTTATGTTTCTTCACGAACTCCTGCAGTTCTAACGCACCATAGCGACTGAAGTCATCTAAAGCTTAAACAAGTTGGCTAAGAGGACTAAGAGAGTTCACCGGCCGGAAAATCTATTCTGATCAGAACATATGGGTGATAAATATGGATGATTCACATAACTAAAAATAACTTATCAATCCAAAGTAATCGTAACGACATTGTAGTTTCGTCCTTTCGATCTCTCGAGAATCTCTAGCATACTTTGAAACGCTGAGTATGGAAAACTCTGAAAGACTTGAAACAGATGAGGAAGCTACGGAATTTGTTCATCGGAGGGGCTCGTTGCGAGACTCTGAATCCTTCGATCACAAAGAAGATATTGAAAACCGGCATTTTGAGAAAATCAGAGAGCTTCGTTTTAAAATCAGTGAAAACATGAATAACAATTCTCTGAGCCAAGTTGGGCGTAATGACGACGCTTTTCTGTTGATGTTCCTGAGAGCTCGACAGTACCTTGTGGACGAATCATTCAAACTTCTGTCCAATTACATTGAATTCCGCCAAAACAACGTTTCTTTGATGGAAAATCTATCAGCATGGGAGTTGAACCACGTGTTAGAAGACGGCCTTCCATGTGTTTTGCCATACACTGATCAAAATGGCGCTAAACTTATTGTTTTCTTCGCCGGCAATTGGGATAAAGATACTTACGGCACACTAGAGATTTTGAAGGCATTCATTTTAACCATGGAACGCTTGATTGATACAGACGAGGCGCAGCTCAATGGAATCGTAATAATTGCAGATTTTTCAGGCTGGAGTGCTACTCACACGTCCAATTTGACCGTTTCTTTTATTCGTCAAGTTTTCGCCATGTTCCAGGTATGTCAACTGAAATGAAGTCTTAAGCAAATGAATAAAGGGGGCAATTTTCTAAAGAAATTTTGTTGCTGCGTCGGTGGGGGGGAAGAGGTGGTATTTTGGAATTGTTTGGTTTTATCATTGTGATGTAAATTGACCGTCGTTAAGAGTTTACAAAGCTGAAGTTTAGAGCGTTAGTCCTTCGTTAGAGTGAATTGGGACAAATTGGCAGATGCCGTGACAGCTTTAGCTCAGCCCCATGTTTTGTTTCTTTACTAAAAAACGCGCCGAGTGCATTGTTGAATTATAAATGAACGCGGGAATTTTTAAGAACACGAGAGAAGTGCAGAGAAGCACGATCCGAAGGCGAGTGCCTCTCGCACTTCTCTCGTGTTCTTAAAAATTCCCAAGTGCTTATCTAACTCAACAATGCTCGAGGAACAAGCTTGTTTATTTCTTTTGTAAAATGTATTTTGAATTGTGCGATGATGTAGGCTGCATGCATTAGATCTCAACAGTGCACTCGTGTGACGTAAGGCGCGTGTTTTATGGAAATATAATGAACTCGTTCTGACCAATCACGGCGCGCACATTTCTCTGAACATTTTATAAAATCTGATAGAGCATGCTCTTTCAACCATTGACAGCGCGCGTTATATCCGAACTTTATTATAATAAAGAAGAGGGCTGGAAAATAAACCTACTTGAGCTCCGCTTTTAGGCTTGGCTAAATCTATATATTAACGAGTTTCGTATGTATCTTTATCTTAGGATCACTACCCGGCGAGATTTGTCGCATTTCATTTTGTGAACGAACCCTGGTATGTAAAGGCTGGACTAACTTTAATGAAACCATTTATTCAGGAAAAGATGTGGAAGAGGGTAAGATTACGAAATATAGTTTACACGAATACTTTTAAGAGGGCGAATCCTCGATAGAAAGTCAAACTTAAATCGAATCTCTCTGGTAGAGAGGCGCTCAAGAAGAAAACAACTCTAGCAGAATTTAGTAAGTAAACGTGGCTCCTTCTTTGTGTACGTGTAGAAGACACAGGGATGCGTCACAATAGAACACCGCCTTAACTTAACAATTTCATTGTTTTCCTCGTTCTTTTGTCTTTCTGTTCTTTATTGTTTTACGTCAACTGCATTAGATTCTAATTCTAGATTCTGCATTAGGATCGCTTATATTCGTTTCTTCACCGCAGTGCACATATATGATTTTCATATATTTCCAGTAATTATTCACCACTTGGAAGGTTTGTTTGGATCCAACGTGATAACCAGCTCCCAATTGGCTTGTTAGCTCAACTGGTAGAGCGCTGCACCAGTATCGCAGAGGTCATGGGTTCAAATCCCGTACAGGCCTGAATTTTTCTCAGGTCTTATTTCAACTACTCGTTCAGTAGTGTTCATAGCTGCGAGGATCGCTTATATCCGTAACCGTAAACCTGTTAGTTTTAACATCACAACTAGAAAGGCTCCATTCAGTCTTAAAAGGTTAAGTAAATTAATTCCTAATCTCCTACCGTGTAACTAACTAGTTCCACAAGTACTTGGCCGTAAAAGGTCTGGGTACGAGACTGCTTTGAAAAATTCCTTAAATGACTTTCCATTTCTTAAACGGTCAGTTTTCCGACTCCTTTTAGATACACTTACATGGTAACAATAAAGCGACACTTCACGACCAGTGTCACCTGGACACGCTGCCGGCGGAGTTTGGTGGAAATAAGCCTGCAGTGGACCGCACGTACTGGGCACGAGTATTACTCGATTTGGAGAAAACGAACCGAAATCACGTGTATGGAGAAAACCCATTCAAAGGGCTGCTTAGCATGGATATTGACAAGTAAGAAATCCCTCACGTGATTAACACGTGATCATTCAGCCTTGGTGAGAGAGAAAACCTGGGGACTTGGCTTGGCGATCGAGAAGCGCTCGTACAAGTTTGGACGACCCTAATTTATCAGCGGAAAGGATGCAGAGAGTAGAAAACAGCTGTTGGTTTGCAAATTCATAGAGTGGTGGCAGTTGGGAAATTCTACTAAAATTGTAATATATTATCTGAAAAAGAAAGATTTCCTGAAACCAGTGGTTTTAGAACATGCAAGAGAAATAACAAAATTTGATGTTGTACGAAGAAATAACTTCATTTCGACAAATTGCTATGAGAGCCAGTGCACTAAACTCTGAGTTAAGAGGTCTGGGTATCGGTGTTGTACTCTTAGGCAAAACACTTTGCTTATACAATGCCTCTCTACACCCAGGAGTATAAATAGATACTGCCAGATTGTTGGTAAAGCCTGATGAAATGCTAGGATGGGGGCAGAGGGGGGAAATGAAGAGTGACCTGCAATGAGTTGGCATCCCTGTCTGGGGATTAGCAATTCTCTGGGACCCAGTTGTATAAAGGACAAATATTGTTATCCAATTGATAAATTGCTCTCTCAGGTGATAGAAAAAAAACAACTGTGCCATCCATCCAGTAAAGATTTATCCAGTGGATAACATTATCCAAGCTTTGAATAAACAGGGCCTGACCTCTTCATATTACAGAAAGTGGGATACACGCCAACTGAATGAGTCACTTTGATTTTACTTTCGAAACTTCAGTTGGAAAAGTTAGCCACATAACAAACTTTTATTGAGCTCTTTCAGAATAAAGTCACCTTGTTTCAAACACTATCTCAGTTTTGTGTATTTTTAAATGAAACCTAGTGATCCTAAGTCATCTGCACATAAGGATATGACAACTTGCGCTGCTTACAAACCAGGCAAACTGTTGCAATGGAGTGGTTGATGACTTTGATTCCACTTTACATCTGGAAAAATTACCCATCAACAAACAGAATTCTCCACATGTTTGAGTCCTGAAAATGCAAAATTGAACCTACAGCCTTGCTGTATGCAAAAGATTTTTCACCAAAGCAAAGGATAGTAACTCCTTCCTGCAGCTAAAAAATCTTTAGCTGCACAGGGCATGTATGCCTGTTCTGCTTGCTTTTTTAAGCATGTGAATAAGTTACTCACTGACTGGCAAGTTAAGTCTGACATAAAGGTTCTAAAAACTATCAGCCATAAATTTGTGCACAATTTCTGCAGCATCTAAAAAAAGAGCTTGTTGTGTAAATCAAAGATATTTTGCTCTCTTTGCTGCAATCTCCCTCTCAGTACCAAATTCATAATATTGAGGTGCAAGGGTGTAAAGCCATGATGGATCAATCTTGGTGATGTCTCGCATGTATTCCTTGGAAGTCTGGAGCACTTCATGGTATATCACCCACTGTGGTGGAGTTTCTGTGTACAAGACAGATGTCGGGTGGATGTAGAGTGGATGGTCATCTCGCACAGTGCGATACGACCCTGATGGATGTAAGCGTGCAGCATTAGCAAAGAATCCACTTACGATGCACTGACAGATTGAGTCAATGTCTCCATCACAAGAGACTAATGGCACTTTAAATTGTAAAAGGAGTTTCTTGAACTGTTCTCGGATTTTTACAGCATGGCAGAGTCCTTTGTAGTTCAGGAAGTTCTCATGACACCACTTTGAGCTTTTCTTAAACTTCACAAAGGCTTCATAAACATTCAGTAGAGTTATGTGATCTCCTTCATAAACAGAGAACTTTCTCTTGGCATTGTCAGCTGCAGCTTTCTGTTTGCTTGGGCTGACAAAGACATTCTGTATCTGCAGCATGGCTGCAATTATAAGGATTTCTTCTGAACAACCAAAATCTCCTGATGACAGCAGCATTTTGGCTATCATTGGATCTGTAGGGAGCTCAGACATGTTTACTCCTAAGGGATCAGCTAACTTTCCATGCTGGTCAATTGCTCCAAGAGCATACAACAGTTCCAAACCACGTATCACACTCTGGGCAGGAGGACGCGCTGGGAAATTGAACCGGAGAATGTTGTCAATCCCCATGCATTTCAGCTGTAACATGACAGATGCCGTGTTACATCTTTGCATTTCAGGCACAGTAGATGGTTTAAGACCATCAAAATCTTGCTCTGTATAGAGTCTGTACACCTTCCCTGACCTTACACGACCAGCCCTGCCAGCGCGCTGTTTTGCTGAAGCCTGTGATACCGGTACAACAACTAAACTTTCAACTCCGACTTTGGGAGAGTAAGCTCGCAACTTTACAAACCCACAGTCAATGACATATACAATTCCGTTTATGGTAATAGATGCCTCAGCAACGTTTGTGGCCACTACAACCTTTCTTGTATGATGGGGAGTTGGCTTGAAAACCAGCATTTGCTCTGAATGTGGAAGACCACTGTACATAGGCAGTACTTTAAGGTACTGAGAACCCTTAGGCTGTTCTCTAGCTCTCTCAATCAACTGAGCAACTACAGCTTCTACTTCATCTTGGCCTGTGACAAATGCAAGTATGTCACCATGGGCTTCCTCTTTGTGGATTCCCATGACAGTATCCACTATTGCTTTTAAATAATCAGGAACAGGGCTTAAAGTGTAATGTATGTCTGTGGGATACGATCGTCCCTTAACTGACAAAATTGCTGCAGTATCCTTGCTGCGATCTTTGGTAATGTTGGTGTTGAAAAAATCTCTGAACATCTTTGCATCAAGAGTAGCAGAGGAAACGATAATCCTTAAATCTTTTCGCTTTTTCTTGATCTTTTTCAACAGCCCTATCATAATGTCAGTGTGCAGTGTCCTCTCGTGAGCTTCATCCAACATGATCACACTGTACTGTGATAACAAAGGGTCACTCATCGTTTCCCTCAACAACACACCATCTGTCACAAATTTCATACGAGTAATTTCTGGATTGCAACAGTCGTCAAATCGGATTGTATAACCAACTTCCTCGCCAATGAACGAACCTCTCTCCTCTGCGACTCTTGATGCTACAGTAACAACAGCCACTCTGCGAGGCTGTGTAATGCACACTTTCCATTTCCCTGCCGTCCAGCCACTCTCATGAAGATACTGAGGAATCTGTGTGGACTTTCCGCAGCCTGTTTCTCCGACGATTATAACAGTTTCGTATTTCTCTAAGAGATATAAGATATTCGTTCTGTGCATAAAAATCGGAAGCCTCTGCCTTTGAAGAGAAATGGATAATGAGCTGTTTGGATTGTAAACAGCTGCAGCTGTAGTGTCGTTATCATTAAGTGGTCTTTCTGTCGCGACATCACCGCCAGGTTTTTCAGTGTCTGGCTTCCAAAAGCGTGGTTTAAAACTTGCCGAGCTGGCCGCCATTTTGGTTTTACCGCCGATCGAAATGTTTGCGCACACTCAATTTGGAATACCGCTACATAATTTGAGTCAGGGCTCAAATTCAGTAAACGCGTAAAGTCGCGAGGATTCGCGTTGATCCACTCGAGCTGTGATGAAGTGAATTTGTTCAAATTGTCGTTTAGAAGATGGCTCCACCTCGAAAAAGGGTGACTGGCGATCGAAAGAAGAGTAAGTTTGTCGATGATCTAATTTATAAACCAATTTTTTGAGAGAAAGCTGCATACTTTGCTGAAAATTCCTGTGAACAGCACGCAGGAAGCTGCAGAAATTGTATTGAATCGTAACGGTTGAACAATTAAGGGCAGCTGTCTAAAAATTTCTTATCAGTCCAATTAGTTACATATACCTCAGACATGTGCAAAAGGTATATATTTCTTTTTATAACCGTAGCAAAATTAAGCGTGGAAAACTCAGAAATAAAAACTATTTTTATTTTAGCGGCATATCAGGATTATTTGATGCATTATCGTACACACATTCATTAATTAAAATTAAGAAACTTTCACAACTATTCATTCGAATATATAAAACGTTGGTGTAATCAGTAAACTATAACAAACACTATTTCAGGAGAAAATATTTTTCATAGAGATAAACGATTCATAAAGATATTTTTTGTATGTTTTATTTTTTTGAACATAATAGTATACGTGGCTCTTTAATTTACCTAGACAGGTGTATTTGTCAAATCCTAAATGGTGATTAATAATTCATTAGTTGTCAGTTGAGATAAGGACTGACAATATTAACTGTTTTCTTTATTTCCTGGTATAGTAGTGAAATATACAACAGGATATGGGTATTTTTTTTGAGAATTATAATCTATAAACTTCATTTAGCTTTCTATGTTATTTTTGTCATATTTTTTTAGTGTGAGTATGTTAATAAACATGAAAAGTTGCAAAACTTCATGACAAACCAGAATCCTTTCAAGAATTTTGCATATTAATTTTATAAAATTGTCTTACATTTTAACCCTTAAACTCCCATGAGTGATCAAGAAAGGATTTCTCCTAACAATATAAGTACAATATCAAGCAAACAAATGGTGAGAGTAAAGAAAAATAAACAATAAGGGGTCATATGTTAATCCAATCATAAATTCTCCAAACTAACACCATAAGAATTAATTGACAGACAGTAAGGAGAATTACTGTTGAGATCCTGGGAGTGAAAGGGTTCATGGGAAAATCTGTTGGATGTAAACCCCTAGTATTGACTAGAGTCTAATATCTCATTATAATATCACCCATAAATCACACATCAAGGTTAGGAGAATAAAAGAAATGATCAAAAACTAGAGGAGCCCTTGATTGTTAATCATATTCTTCTTGTCAGAAAATTCTTAGAAAATTTATTGAGAACAGTTCAGAAAATATGCATACTGCAGATGTGAAGGTGTAATTAATGACTATCTCATTTTCATATCCTAGATGTTAATGATTCTACAACAAATAAATCAACGAAGACGTCAAGTAAATCTAGGGAGTCATCAAATTCTTCAATAATCAAGTGGATTGCTTTTGCAAGCATCATCCTAATCCTGGTATCACTTGTTGTGATATATTTATTCGGAAAAAATCAAGAGGACTCAAATTTAAATCAGAACTCAAGGCAAATCTTCAAAACAGAGACAGGATCACCTGAGAAGACAAAAAAGAAAACCAAAAAACCAAAACCATCAGATTCAAATGAGGCCATAACCAACAGCTATGATAAATCCATCGTGAAAGAACTTGACAAGGCACAGAGTATTTTAGACAAGAGTAACATAGCAGATGCCTTACAAAAGTTTGAAGCTCTGACAAAGAAATATCCCAAGAGTCCAAGAGCTATGTATGGAAAGGCACAATCCTTAGATAAGTTGTCAGAACTAAGGCAAAGCAATGATATTCTTCAACAAAGCATAGAGGCTTATGGAAAAACAGCGGACATGCTGAACTGCCCCATGGAACTGAAACACAGAGCAGTGCGACGTCAGGCTGATAGGCTTAGTTTCCTGGGCAGGTCTAGTCAGGCAGCAAATGCTTTAAGGAGCCTGTTGAATGAGTTCCCAGGTGACATCAAGGTCATGAATGAATTGGGTGTGCAGTATTTGATGACAGGAAAGAACAGGGATGCAGAAAATATCTACAAACAGGTGAGTTTGGGAGTTAGTAGTGTTTTTGGATGAGGATGTTGTTGAAAACCTCCCACAAGAACCTCCAAACACAGTCAGTGTCATTATGATAATATCATTCTTAATTAGTTATGGAGACACCAGTAATTGTAATCTGGTTCCTGGAGCATTCCCCTCCTTTAACCCCTTCACTCTCAAGATCTTATCAGTAATTCTCCTTACTGTCTGCCATACAATTCTTATGATGTTAGTTTGGAGAATTTGATATCAGATCAACAAATAATCCTGTATTTGATATTTTCTTTATTCTCATCACTTGTCTACCTGACTGGTATTGATATTGTAAGGAGAAATTCTGTCTTGATCACCCATGGGAGTTAAAGGGTTAATCAACTTATTGCTAAGATTAGGGAATTTATCAGCCTGTTTGATTAATAGTCTCTGATGGAAAGTTTTCATTTTTTTTCTTTCTCAGGTGATAAATATGGATCCAAGAAATGGCTTTGCCCAGTCACACTTGGGCTTTATTCTTAAAACTGATCACTTGCGGTATATTGAAGCTATCCCTCTGCTACGTAATGGGATCTCGAGTGGTGAAGCAGGTGCTGATGATGGAAGATTTTATTTTCATCTGGGGGATGCTTTTACTAGAATTGGAAGACCAGATGAGGTGAGAAACCTTGTTCTAACCAGGTGCTGGGTCACACTATGCCAAAACTACCTTAAGTTTTGTGTAAAAAATTTAGTTCTTTTTTTCCCAGACAACTGAAGATAGTTTGTGTGTTAGAAAAAGTTGATTTGTTTGTCCATAGAATCTAATTTCCTTTTTTAGCCAACTGATGGTGCATTGATTATCGCATGCAGTCCAAAGTATGTAAAGAAACAGGATGTTGATTGATTTCTCTTGCACAGGCTTACAAAGTATATGAGGAAGCTGCAGGAAAAGGAATATTCATGTCTGCTTTACAACGTTCTTTGTACAATGCAGATACACCGCTGACCGCACAACCGTGGTGGACACCAGAAGAAACTGGATATGAAAGAGCCATTCGGTACAGATATTAACCCTTTCATTCTCAAGATCTGACTGTTAACTCTTCCCTCTAGTTGCTACACATTTCCTTCTAAACAAGTTACGAGAATTTGGTGTTAGATCTCTGGATAACAACTTCTACCTGATTAGCTTGAGTATTCTCATCACCTGTTTGCTGGATTATGTATGGATATTATAGAGAGAAATTATATGTTAATCACTTCTGAGAATGAAAGAGTTGATTTACAACCTTTATGAGCAGTTTGATTGGTGATGGTGAAAACTACTCTATGGCTGGACTATGACACAGCATTTTACCTTGGCCAAGCAAAATATCACATACCCCTGAGTATTTTCAAGGAAAGGCATTGAGCATCACACTTTGATTCTCTCTTCAATTCTTCAATTCTTTATGGCTGATGCCCAAAAATTCAGTTCAACAAAAATCACTGACTCACTAACCCCTTAACCAGTTGAGGCTCAGAAGTGATTAACATGTAATTTCTCCCCATAGTATCCATACATTATCTAGCAAACAGGTAGTGAGAATACTCAAACTTATCAGATACGAGATATTATCTTGATGGAACACCAAATTCTCTTAACCAATTCGCAAAAAAATGTGTAGCAGCCAGAGGAGAGAATTAATTAACTATCAGATGATGGAGGTAAAGGGTTACTTAACCTACCTTTTTTGACTTGCATATGATAATCAACCAGGGCCCAATTGTATAAAGGTCAGATAACACTATCCATCAGATAAATTGCTATCTTGCAGATAACTGGTGGCAAAACATATAGCGTTATCCACTGGATAGAGTTTTATCGAGTAGATAGCGTTATTCAACCTTTGAACAACTGGGGCCAGTTCCATCTTCTTCACACTCCTTTAACCTTTTAACTCCCATGAGTGACCAAGACAGAATTTCTCCTGACCACATCTATACAATATCATACAGAAAAGTGATAAGAATAAAGAAAAATATCAATTATGGGATTACTAATTGATCCAATACCAAATTCTCCAAACCAACATAATGAGAATCACTTAGCAGACAGTATGGAGAATTACCAATAATATCTTGGGGTTTGTCATTTATGAAACAAGGAAACTTGAAGCCAACTGGGAGGTCATCAAAGATGAAGGAATATCATTGCTAGACCAAAAGTCAGGAGGGTTTATACCAGAAGAAGAAAATCTCAGAGAACAAGGAGACTGGAAACAGTTCACTTTATACCAACGTGGCCGAAAGAACGCTGCAGCTTGTCAAAAGACACCACAGACTTGTGCTATCATCGATACCATCAAAGATGCCACCAGCTGTAAGAGAGGACAGGTATGTTTGGAACAACCTGGGGGTGAGGATCAAGAGGAGATCATGTTGTCTACTCACAATTTGAATCATTATTTGTCTCGAAAATAAAGTAAAGTGGTGTGGAAAAAGTCGTAAATTTTGTACATCACAATGTGAACCAAACCAGGGGAATGTTCTTATTTTGCCACTAGTAGTGTGTGATCATCAATTTTTGTTGAAGATAAGTTTATTTTAGGGAATTGTACTTCACTTTTTTTTTTGTTGCTTAGATCAAGTATTCTGTGATGCTACCTGGCACCCATGTCTGGCCCCACACGGGTCCTACAAACTGCAGACTACGCCTTCATCTTGGACTTGTTATTCCCAAAAATGTGGCTATAAGAGTTGGAAGGGAAACAAGGTAATAATGATGATAATTTGTTGTGTTTGCTTACTTGTTTGAGCTGGCTGGCTGGCTCACCGACTGGGTGGCTGAATGACTGACCGACCCACTTACCAATTGACCATCAAACCCACTTACTGGCTGACTGAATGAATGACCAAATGACTGATGGACTGACTGAATGAATGACGGACAGACTGTCTGACTGTCACACTGATTGACTGACCCAATGACTGACTGAATGACAGAATGACTGACTGATTGACTGACTTATGACTGACTTACTGATTGAATCATTGACTGAATATATGACAAAATGAATGACTCTTTGACTGACTGACTCACGGAGTGAGTGATTGATTGACTGAATGACTGAATGACTGAGTGACTGACAAGAGTGACTGAGTACTGACTGAATGATTGCGTAACTGATACAATGACTGACCAGGAGAAATGAGTGATATACTGAAGGAGTATGCATTTTCTCATGTTTATCTTCCTTGTTCTTACAGAACTTGGGAAGAAGGCAAAGCACTAATCATTGACGACTCTTTTGACCATGAAGTTTGGCACAATGGTTCAACTTTTCGACTCATTCTTATTGTCGACTTTTGGCATCCAGACTTGACACCTCAACAAAGAGCTTCATTATCTCCCATTTAAGCCCAATTTTTACACATTTTTTAAGGTTGGCACATGAAGATTTGCAACAGTCTCAATGAGGAACTGTTTACAAGGGTTTATGGGGAACAAAGATGAACACCTTAACCCTGTGACTCCCATTGGTGATCAAAAAAGAATTTCTCCTTACTCTATCAAGACAATGTCAAGCAGACAAGTGACAGGAGTAAAGAAAATTATCTGTTAGTTGATCATAAGTTGATCTGATATCAAATTCTTCAAATTCACATCACAAGAATTGTATGGTAAACAGTAAAGATAATTATTTATGAGATTTTGGTAGTGAAAGGGTTTAAGTGGTAAACGCGTTAAGTCTCAGTTCAGTATCTGGCCTGTTCCAGCTGCTCAGTTGCTAAAACAAAGCACAATAGGATCAATATCAGTATCTGGACAACTGCCCACCAACCCCTCCCCTAACCCAACCTTAACCCTAATTTGCTATCAATTGACAGTTGTTGAGTTAGGGGAGGGGTAGGTGGGCAGTTGCCCAGATACTGATATTGATCCGCACAATAATAAAAAACGCAATAGTAGTAGAGGAGGAAACAAAGAGGGAGGTTTTGGTGGGGCTGCATAATGTTCTTTACCCAAGTATTCCTTGTGTTTTCACTTCTCTGCTACTATTACACCATTTGCTATTTTGCCGTGTTTTACAAACTGAAGGCCTAGAAAAGGCTCTTCATTATCTGTTAAACAGGTGACAGCTTAGCCTGATGATGGACAAGTACAAAAAAAATCAATCAAAAGGAGATTCATTTATTGATCCTGCTTTGCCTCTTTTACTGAGTTTTTCCTGCTCTTGCTTCCCATTGAATTTATTGCTTTTTAACTCATTTTAGACATGGAAATAAAATTTTCACTTTTTTTCTTGTCCTCAATGAAAATAAAATTGTTAGAAAGTTTTGTTATGTAGGCTTCTAGTAATTTGAAGCAAATTAGAAGCCTTTTCCATCATTTATCAGTTTTGTTGGAGATTAAGATATTTTAGCATGATTTTAGTAATATGTAATGATATATTTTGCATATGGATTGTTCATATCAACAGGAACAATGTTGAAGGACAAGATTTAAATCTGTCAGGATGCACTGACCGCTAAAAAAACACAACAAACCCAGACTCAGCTTCAACAGTTGCTGGACATAAAAAAGTTTTGTGTCAAAGTGGTTTATAGTGTGTCCAAATTAAATGTAAGCTTTGTGATCGAATGTGATTTTTATGAATTATTGTCCACGAAAAATGAATTTTCTAGTAATCACACCTTTATACTTGAACAGATTTTGTATGTTTATCAACTTGTTAAATTCCACAACTTTCCAAAACCTTTTCAAGGACCTTACTGTATCTCTCATGTGCAGTATGATCAATCAGTTTAGCAGGCAGTATTTCACTGTATGGCCTGCCAAATTCAGAAGTTTGTTTGAATTAGAATCTTCTTCTTTTTGAACCTAGAGATGTAGGATACCCTACTCTATTACTTTTGCCTTTTCCCCTTTCAGAAGGCTTTCAATATACATTTTGATGTGAGAGGATACATGTGTTGATGTCCATACTTTAATTGATAAATTTTGAAAGTTTTAGTCTTTAGTTTCCTTTGTTATTGATGCTGGTTTTTTTTTTTACTTTTTTGCATGTAATTTTATTTCTGTACTGATTTTCATTGTTTGAGCATATGCATGCTCTTCTGGTCATTTCCTCTGTTCAGTCAAACTTGTTATTGAAAACTCTATTTTAATATTTGTTTCCCTCCCACCTCAGCTTTGCTATTTTGTGAGTAGGAATTGTTAGATATGTATTTTGATTGCTAAAATAAAAAGATTTTGTTTGTTTATTGTGTTTTGTTTGTTTGTTCTGATACCGCAAACCAATCAAAACTTTACTCAATTGTTTAGGGAAAGTTTATTGCAGACTGTTTTGTCCTTGTTACTTTAGTTAAAAAGATAGCAGGTATTTGTACAGCAATTATCACAGCTAGTTATCTGCTACAAAGCAACATGGTGATCATAAGAATCACAGACTGATTGAAAGTTCTTGGAACAAATTTCATGCTTGTGGTTCTTATTTCAAGTCCCTTTAAAAACTGCATCACGCTTCCTGACACAAACACACCTACTATGATTCTTAGGGCATGTACAATGTTTAACAGTGACAGTTCTCAGCTTCTTTCTGCCAATTAACATCAAAACAAAGCTGAATTCAAAGACACTCTAAAATTTTTCCTTTTGTGTAATACTAATCCTTCACACCTAGTTTGTGCACCAGTAATCCTTTTCAACACAAAATGACCTAGATATTTGCTTTTGATTTTTGCTATCAAATTTTTAATTGAGTAAAAACATTGTAAAAGTAATTTCCTGGTTCAAATCCAGACAGTGATCTTTCCAGGCCTCTGTAAAACCAGGACCTTCTTTGTCCTGTTTCACTTTAAAACTACAACACTGCTGCACCACAACCTGCACGGCAAATGTTCATGTCCTGTACAAAACGCCAAGTGTCAGTTTCTGGATCGTACACTTCAACACTGGAGAGCCTGTGTGCACCATCAAATCCACCTAACACAAAAATCTTGTTGTCATACACCGCCACCGATGGCCAAGCCCTTGGTGTGTTCAACGGCGCAACCGGCTGCCACTGATGTGTCTGTGTGTTGTATCTTTCTGCAAGATCAAAGTAATGATCTGTGCTTCTGTTTCGACCTCCAAGTGCATACAAGAAGTTGTTTAGCGCTACAAGGGACATGCCAGAGCGTGCTTTTTCAAGTTCTGTTACAAATGTCCATGTGTCTGTATCAGGGTCGTAGCATTCAACACTTGCTCTATCACTGTGAACACCTCGATCGTAGCCTCCAGCAATGTACAGCTTCCCTTTGATGAAAAAAGATATGTCAACCTTTTGACTTCCATGAGTGACCAAGACTTAATTTTCTCTTAGAGTATCAATACATTATTGAGAAGACAAAAATGAGAAAAATATGAACTATGGGATTCCTAGTTGATCCAATACCAAATTCTCTGAACTAACATCAAGAGAACTGTATGGCAGACAGTACAGAGAACTACTAATGAGATTCTAGTGACCCAAAAGTTCAGAAATCAGACTTTTAGGCCATAACATCTTACATAAAGCCAAGCATAGTTCAAATAATTCTGCCTATCTAATGTGACAAGCAGATTTGAAATCAAATTTGAAAAAAATTATTGACAAGTTATGTAACACCTTGGAATCTCAAAAAGTGGTTTGAGAAAAATTTTTTAAATACTTTCCATGGCAGAGATAGCAGTCAATAATTTCTGGAGTATAGTTTTTTCTTAACCTTTAAAATCCTAAGAGTCACCAACAATTCATTCCTCCTTGTGGTAATAATGCTGAGTTGTTTAAGACAATCACAAGAATTAAGGAAATGATCATTAAGCTAAGAAGCACTGTGTGTTAAACAATTCTCCTTGTCAGTGCCGAGGTAAATGTATAGAGAAGGGTGGGGGTGTATAGGGTGTAAAGAATTAGGGACGAAAAAGTTGTACACAAACCATCACAAACAGCAACTCCTGCTCCAGATCTCTTCCTTCGCATACACTGCACTGTACTCCAGTGATCTGTCTTTGGGTCATATCTTTCAACATAGTTATAACTGCATGTTCTGTCTTCACCTCCCAGGGCATAAACGTAACCATTTAAAGCTGTCACTGCAATAAATGACCTCTGAATGGCAATATCAGCCAGCGAAATCCACTGATTGACTGCTGGATCATAGCACTCAGCATGTCGCACGTACATGGTGTCATCATGAGGAGCACTAACTGCACACTCGCCACCTACTACATAAAGAAGTCCATTGAGGCTACAAGCTCCAACTGCTGTTCTGGGATATTTCATGTTTTGCAGCATAATCCATTGGTTTGTTAATGTATCGTATCTCTCTAAACTTGAAAGCTGGCAATCAATACCATTTCGTCCGCCTATGACATAGACAGCTTGCGGCTGAGCTCGAGGTAGTGTCATATACCGAGGCAAATTACGAGCGCTCTCGTTAAGAACTTTAGCCAATAGGAGCTGACAATCAGCATTGTTCTTGATAATTTTAGATGGAAACACTCGGGCTTCGAGAAATTCGAGAGTTAACAAAGGAAGCCTAACGTGACTTAGAAGCTCAACCGCATAATCCTTTCGTCGACAGAAATCGTTTAAAATCCACGCCTCCACAGCTTCGAACACTTGATTCTCAGAACGTACCTGAAGAAGGTCTTCGCGAAGAAGACTCCTCAAGGCTTGTTTTGGCATTTGTAAGAATTCCTCACCCTTCGCTACATCCAAGAAGTGTTGGCGTACGAAACGATAGGCAGCTTCTTCGAGTTCTGAACACGAATACAGATCTGCAAATGCTCGGATACCGAGACAGTTCGTAGCATCTAGGTGTGTCTGAAGAAAACCACAACAAACTGTTCTTAAGCTCTGCAGGTTTAACAACGAAGCAGCCGATAAAAGTGCTTGCACGTTCTCCACAGTGACATCGATGGCTCCAGTATATGCAAAATCGAGTAATCCGTCCATGACACTCGCTTCAACGCCTTGTAGTTTAATGTCTTTCATGCCACTTTCCAACATACCATTTGTAAACATGGCTCGTAAGTAAGAACTGGCTCCAGCAAGGACAATTCTGTGCGCGGGAAATTGGCGACCATCGACATGGAGAACCACGTCACATAATTCACCTTTTCTTCGCAAATCGTTCATAGTTTTCAATGCATCGTTGGAATGCAGAGGGATATTGAACCTTCGATGCGCCGCCATGGCGTGGTTTGACAGGTTCTCAATTTTCTTGGTAAGATTTTCACGGCCCCAACATCATTTCACTTTCGTTGTTTTCCTCGATTCCCCTTTCGTAATGTCCAAAATAAGGGGACATCTGATTGGTTAGTTCGCGTAATGTGCCAAAATAAAAGCGTAATTGATTGGTTCGTAATCAAGTAAATTATACCTTACCGCTGTACTAGCATTAATATCGTGGACTCGGGTGTAAGAACAGAAACCCTTCCAACCAAATCACGCTACGATGTTTTTTACAACGAGATTTTCATCTATTTAAGTTTTATTTTTTCAAAACATGATTTAATTCGAAAAAAAAGATAAACCATTATTTAAAGGGTCAAATAAAAAAAAAATTGAAAAACAAATTTTTTGAATGAGTTTCTATTTTATCAGTGGGCTGATGGAACAAGAATGTTCCCATTTTACTTTTTCAACCGGGCGGAAGGAGCCGCGAGGCGAACGCGAAACGTGGGTGACACACGAATGTCCGCGCGAGGACCAAAATTACGCTAGTCATGTAGACTAAAGGCCATGGGGAACAACAAGGAACAGAATTAAAACCTACCCCTCCCCTAACTCAACAACAGTAGGCCGAGACAACTTAGGGTTGATATTGCTAGGGGAAGGGTAGGTACGCATAGGTGCGTAGTTACTCAAATACTGTCATCAATCATAAAGATTTCTCAAGTTTATGCCAAAAATCGTTTTTTTTTTAAATCTATTTATCCTAATTAGAATTATTCATTTTAAATAGATGATTTTAATCTCAGTTTTTACCAGAAAATAATTCATACTGTTTCTATTTTTTCATGTGTATTTGCTGTAATGTTATTTAGCTTTGAGTCAGATGATGTTTTAAAGTAAGTCCAATCTAAGAGTTTTATACTTTCTTGTATAGCTTGATTGATTTAATTTTAGATTTGTAATTTGAGGGTCTCAAGCTTATTAGTTTCTTCTTGAGTTATGAACTCTTTAACTCCCAAGATCTGATTGTTAAATCTCCCCTCTAGCTGCTACACATTTCCTTAAAGTAATATAATATTTCCATTCCTTTTCCCGACACCAATATAAGGAAACCCTTACAATATTTCAGATTAAATATAGTCCCATTTTTATCGTTTAACAAAGTGTTAACAATTGAGTTGAAAACGTAAATTGGCCACCGTAAAGGGTAAAAAAGCTTTTCGAGCGTTTCGAGCGTTAGCCCTTCGTCAGAGCGATTGGAGGAATTGTGGGTTGTGTGTGGGTTTATACGCAGAAAGTGGAGCTACACTGTTGGTGGGAATATGGTAACGAGAAAACAGGAATAAATTAGTTGAATGAAAAGCGCTCGTTGATACCGTGGGGATTAAGAGTGCCGATTTGGAAGATAAATTTTTGTTCTATTGTTTTGCGGCTTTCCGAACTGCCTAGATGTAAGGAAAGGCCGTAAACTGCCATATCTTGTTTGAATGATTAGGGAGATTAAAGTGTCTAGCGACTGGTTTGGATGCGTCCTTGTCATTTCTTTCCACGACGCGAAGGTGTTCTCGGAATCGGTCACCTAGTCGTCTTCCTGTTTCGCCAATGTATAACTTATTGCAATAGGTGCAAGTAAATGACATTGGCGGAGGTACATGTTAAGTTATCAGTGATCCTAATGGATCTCTTGGGTCCCGATATTTTCTCTACGTTATGAATGAAAGGACAATTTTGCATCGTGAGCGAGCGCATTTGAAAGTTCCAGATTGGTCATTGGTTTGAAATGAACTTCTGACCAAAACGTTGCCTATGTTTTTGTCACGTTTCAATGAAATAAGGGGGTTGCGAAAAGATAGTGCCAGTCTCTGAATCGTTTTGGAGTAATTTAAAGTTTTTTAGAATGATAGATTTAACCGCGTGGTTGTGAGGGTGAAATGTAAGAGTGAATGGAATGCGTTCAGTGTTTTCCTTCTTAGCCATTCGTAGTGCTGACTGTCGATCAATTTGGTGGGCGCGGTGGTGGCCCGCTTGAACGACAGAAACAGGATAGCCACGTTTATCAAAAAACTGGCACATTGCCTCTGATTTTTCGGAGTAACAATGTGAATCTGTAGGTTTGTAGTAAACACTAGTGCATAAACTACAAACCTACAGATTCACATAGTTACTTGTTTGTAGTTTATGCATTAGTGTTTACTACAAACCTACAGATTCACATAGTTACTTGTTGTATTCATCTTCACATCCACCACATGTCAAGAACTCCATAACTTTTTCCCAAACTTCGTCGTTTATGTAGCGACGACTCTGATTTTTCCGAAAAGAGTGTGATGTTAAGTCCGTCAAGATAAAAAACTTCTACAATTTCTACCTGATAATTTAACTTGATCGGTTTAAGATAAGTTTACCTGTTTGGTAGATAAAGTATGGATATTTTACGGAGAAGATACACGTTCATCAACTGTCACTTTATAAGTTCAATTAAGATCTTACAATACCTTGCTTATGTAGTTTGAAAGAGATCTACGGACAAACTGAAAAACTTTACCAGGAAAGTGTTATAAAGTAACAAAGATTATTCTGAGTATACAGAATGGAAAAATATAAACATAAATATGAAGAACAAAAGACAACTTTTCAGTGCGCCCCACATACGTTCTATCACAGGAGGCCAATGGTAACCATGTACGTGTCGATTAACTATGATAACAGATGAGCATTCATTTCTGAATCCTTTACATCGCTTAAATTTGCCGTCTTAAGGCTCAGAAACAGGTAACAGTAAGTCTACAGTGTTGTCAAGTGAAACTATTAGGCGCACTTTGTTACAAAAGCATGGAGATTTTCGATATTCCATCGCCTAGCAATACCCTTCCTTCGAGCCTCGAATAATACCCCTGCAAAAACCATACTGGTGGCCAGGACTTTAAGAATATAACTAATATAACCCCAAAAAACTTAACTTGGCCAAACTGTTTTGATACAACCTCAGAACCAAACAGACGGTGAAAAAAAAAAAACTTGAAGGCAGGAGAATCAAAAGTGCGAATTTTAATTACATTTCATTTCAAAATTCTAATGTAAATGGTTTTTCTGGAGCCTGGGCGGCCTGCGGTGTCTTTCAAAGAAGGTAGTAATTCTCTTGCGTTTGCTGTTTTGTTTAGCAAATGCGGATGATAATTTCTACGCAGGCAAACATTACCCATCGCAAAATTTCTCTCTTAAATATCAGTACTAAAATATCAGAAAAATATCAATTAGGGGATTATTAGTTGATCCAATTCCAAATTCTCCGAACTAACATTATAAGGGTTGCTTGAAAGACGGCTAAGGAGAATTGTTAATGAGATCTTGTGGGTAACGGGATTAAATTTGTGACGTATCTCCCGGTGAGAAAGGACCGCTGAGCGAGAAAATGTTTCTTTTCAAATTCTTCTGACATTGTTATGAATATATACAACACAGATTTCTGCCAATATGTTTTCGTTGCTTAGTGAGCGGGCAAGTGTGTCACTCTATTATAGACCAATGATCATCACAGTTGTATGAAGAACTGTAGTAAATAAATGCACCCGTGCAAGCTTTGCTGCTTAGATAAGAATTACTGCCGGCGTGGAAACGTTTTTCGTAAGTTATTCGCATTTTCATTATCATCTGATGATTTTTTTTTATACATGAAAGTCAATTCAAGTTTAAAGCGTTTAATTCATTACTATGTCTTAATCTACTACCTCGTTATCCAGGTTCCTACTCAATTGTAATTTATATGCCTTCTCTTTGTCCGCAAATATGGCCTCAAGTGCTGAAGGAATTTTTTTAAGTGTTGTCGAGTCAGATTATGGCTCGATATGTTTCTGTACTCGAAACAACATTCGGGACATGCAGGCGGGTTGTTTTCTTAAATTTTCACGCTGGTCTTACACGTGGCTCTGTGCCTAGATGTTCATATCATTGATCGGGGTTTCTTTTGAGGGAAGATCACTTTTTATTCCGGTTAAGCCTGTTGCATATAAGTTCACGACAAAGCGAATGCAGAGAACTGTGTTAGGGAAAACTTAACAAGTCTTATCGACGTAAAGAACTATTTAAAAGTTAGAATTTTTATGCTAGAAAAAATTTAGAATTTAGTTATATAAAAATTCAAACTGAGCCTTTGCATATGTTAATTCTTGCGGTATGTCCACCATAAGTATTCAATTCTTATTAGAATTTAATGTATGCTAGGCTACGAAGAACAAAAAAACTCTTCTATCAAAATATAGTTACTGTTGCACCTCGTTAACTGAAAAAAATTCGACTCGACCCTAAGCTAACTCCATCGAAATCTCCATGAGGAGGAATTTTCAATAATTCAGTTTCAGCTTTTCAAATCTCCTTTTGCTAGAAGTGCTTTTCGTTTCCCAAGGCAGCTCAATCAAGCAAGGTAACACTGCAAATTATTTTGTCGTGGAAACAGAGAGTTCATCGGAAAAATGTGAACCGTTATATTCATAATCAGAAGAGCATTTTTTGTTATAATGTTACAACCATACCCACGCACAATCAGTGCTTTCGACTTTTTTTTTAAAAAGTTGTAAACAATATATAAGCGATAGCAACAAAACCGCTTTCTTTAAAATTTTTACTAGTTCAAAGCAGTGGAATTCTCGAAGGGCTGACAAATACGTTTATATTATAGTAAAAGAAATTAACGACCTAAAACTGAAATAGCCGAAAGAATCAGCTGACAATACCGCAGACGGCTATCAGCGTTCACATTTTCATGGTAAGGAATCATTGAAAGATCTGGAATTGATACTGGAATTTGTTAGGTGAGTCTTGTCTCGCCCTGTTTAAATATTAGACTTGTGTATGTGTAAGGAAGTCGGATTTGTTCCATTTTTTCACTTCAAACAGAAATGCAGGAAATTCCCAGTTCGAAACACTTACTTCGGTGATTTCCTCTTGGCCAACGTGGATTAGGTTAGGAAATTATTCTTAAGTGTTTTAAGACCTGAATTGTTTCAGACCTTGGTAGGTTTTATTTTCAAAGTCACATGTTGAAAATAATGGGCTAAAGGATAGCACGATTCTGTTTCCTCGACTGAAAAAGAAGCGTGGATCTTGTCATTTCCGCTTTCGGTCAACGTCAGAAAGCATGGATAAAAGTCGCCTGGTTACCAAGCGCAACAGAGGTACATGAGTTTGTGGGGCGATTTCATGATAATTCTAATTGAACCGTGGTAACTTGAGAAAGTTTTGCTTTTCCAATCGTATTTGACAACGTTTTAAGGCTAAGTAAAACGGTTAAAATGAAATCGCTGAACAGTTTTTTTTAGACTTCCCGCTAATGACTAGTGATTCTCAAGCGATATCGGCCAAGCATGCTCGAACACGCCAGATAGTCTTTTTTTCCGTTTATAATAACATGACTCACCAAGTTTCCTTCATGCCCATCGCAGTCAGATGTTTCCTGTAATCAGTCCCAGTGCGAGGAAGAATTGCAATTTATAGCAAGAGGGAAAATGTATGCTTTCAGTTACTCATCTGCTGCGCGATGCCTGTGTAACGCTGTCTGATCAATCTGGTTTGCTTTTTAACCTCTTACACGCTAACATCAGTATCCAAATTCTCCATACTGTTCCCTATACATTTCTTAAGGTGCTGATAAGGAGAACTTGTTTAACAATTAAGGGCTTAATTCTCAGGTTGATGACCATTTCCTTTATTCTCACGGTGTTAATGAATGACTCAGTAGTACTGATTACTGTAAGGAGAAATTAGATGTAAGTCAATCCTGGGGTTCGTAGGGTTAAGAGAGGAAATGAAGGAAAGAGACAGGATCTTTCTGCTCGGTTTCGAGCGATTTTGGTTGAGCTAACGGAGAGCTCGATTCGGGAATCACGGGTTGCTCATCGAAAGTAGAAGCTGAGCTGTACCGTCACTATCTAATCACCAAAATATCCTAACCTGCCTGAAATAGATCTTGACGCAGTAAAAAAAAAAAAAAAAAAAAAATTCAAAAGAAACGATTGTGCTCAGGGAACCTTAAAACGCTGCATGATTTATGGTGATTACTTTCTCCTCTATAAAAAGGAAATAGACATCATGCTGGAATATTCCCCGACCCTCCCACTAATGTATAAGTGCTTCCTCCTTTTAAATCAGAAAATTGAAGTTTGGACGTGGTTCGAAAGTGATCGGTGATCCAGTGTTTTTTTCAACTTGGGCTATTACTGGGTCATTACTAAAACTTTCCATAAAAAATTGTAAGGGCGTTTGAGGATGAAATTTGTTTTTTTGTATTGCTGATTGTTTATCTCTAGCGGTTATAAAATATCGACGGCTGTAAAACTGACACTTCCATTTCCGGTTTCTTTAAAAGCTTCTCCCTTTTCCGGTGAAGTGACGTCACATCGTGTCAAATAGCTCTAGCTGTCATGACACGATGCTGCGGCGAGGAAAGCGAGTACTTCTTCCCCGATGATTTATTTGAAATTTTTCGTTTTATTTAGGGGCTTTGGAAGGGTGCTTCGGCTTTATAGATGCAAATCATATTCAAGGACTTAGATGAATGCAAAGAAGAGATACACTTTGATATTTTTGATCAGTGTGGTGTTCTGCAGTGCCTTCATTGTTTTCAGAAAATCAAACCGTGTTTGGCGCCGTTCTACGAGGAGAAATTCCTGGCACAACAGAGAAATCCAAGTAGATCAACAAAGACTATGTTTCTTAGACGAAGAAGATGAGTTTAAGCTGCACGATAAGGTGGGATTTCGGCATGAACGTGCAGCGGCGACGCGAACGACATGTACTATGGAAACATGTTTTGATAGGACAAAATGTTTGAGTGACTTTAAAGTTTACGTTTATCCTACTCAACCTGGCGAGAAGATTTCTCCTCTTTACGGCAAAATTTTGAAAGTGTTGAAGGAGAGTATTTTCTATACTGATGATCCGAAAAAGGCTTGTTTATTTATACCTTCTGTAGATACTCTCGACCGCGATAATCTCAGCGAGGATTACGTTCATGACTTACCTCACAAAATTGTATCGTTGCCACACTGGAATGGGGGCACAAATCATATTATATTTAGCCTTTTCTCCGGAACATGGCCTGATTACTCTGAAGACCTACGTTTAGATACTGGGAAAGCAATACTTGCTAAAGCATCACTCTCGACGGATTTTTATAGACTAGGCTTTGATGTCAGTTTTCCACTATTTTTGAAAAGTCATCCGCCGAAAGGGAACGCTATTGATACTCCTTCAAACTGCGCGGTATTTCCACTAGATAGAAAGTATAAACTTGCATTTAAAGGAAAACGTTATCTTAGTGGTATAGGAAGCGAGTCCAGAAACTCATTTTATCACATTCACAATGGAAAAGACATTGTGCTGTTAACAACGTGCAAGCATGGAAAAAATTGGAGAAAAAACATGGATGAACGATGCGAGAAAGACAACGAAGAATATGACAAGTAAGTAATAAGCGTCCGATTTATTTTGATATAGTACACAGCTGATCGCTTAATGATCCTTTTGAAATGAAAAATAAATTCAAAGTTTAGTTGTAAGGTGTCGTTATCCAAGCCAAGTTTGGCTCTAACAGCAGGTTATGTTCGACTTAGTTTTTAATTGCGAATTTAATCTGGAGGAATGTACCTCTTCAGCAGTTGTAAGCTTGTACTCAGAGGTTCATGCTGCGAATTAAGCTCACATGTAATTCCAACGCATTTGTCTATTGTCTGCCTCAGTGTTGGCTCCTTAGACCTTTTACGACGTTCAAACGATGTGAGAATCATTCTGAATAATGCTATAATTTCTATCACGTGGATATTCCATTGTGATTATTTCTAAGGAACTAAAATGTATGTTTTTGTTGATGTTCAACGCATGACTTAAATTAGCCAAGGAATGAGCTGCATAAAACCAGGCATTAATTCCACATTTTGCACTCAAATGTTTCTGATTTTGTTATCGTTCGCGAGAAGTGACTACATCTATTAATTTAACTCTTGCATGTTATAACCATTCGCTCCAATTGCTCTCCTAACTGTTAATTAACACAGACTTAACTTTCTTTGCTTTGTGGAGCGTAAACATTATCTTGTCTAGTTGAATACCTAGATGTGCCCTTCATTTCGTGAACAAAATGTGCAAATTTTTCACGCAAATTTGCATAGAATTTATGTATGTTTTTGTCGCGTACATTTTTACGCCGCAAAATAACGATATCAGATATTGAAAACCGCATATTGATATTGATTTTTGACATGATTGGTAAGAATTTGGCGTTAATTTCGAAAGAGGGTTTAAAATCATTCTTTCGCGGTTTTTAGTTTTAGCGCAAAAATATACCTCTCCGTTCTTACTAGACAAACCAAATTAATATAAGCAATACTCACACCTTTTAATGGCTTATAACTGATTATTTTGCTTAGATTTGCGTTTCTCTTAATATAGTTCTGAGAATTTTCACTTAAATAAAAGATATTCTGAAATTAATTTGATGTACAGCATAATTAAGCTGATAAAGTTATTCAGTTTATACATTTGTAGGTGTGGAGTGTTAAAGGACTCAAGGTCATTTTGTGCTTAAGTTGTTTGATTCAGGCAAAATCTGCTTCACATGGGCTTTCCCTTGCATGTGGTTTTTTTTTTCCTTTTTTTCTTTTTCAAATAATAAAATGTGTACTTCTTTGTTGCAAAGACATGGTCCACTTGAAGCATGATGAACTGCGTCTATTTCCTTACCCACGCATGGACATAACAAAAGCTTTTAAACCTGAAAGAGCATTATTCAATAATGATTAATGTCTTATAGAGTAAGGGTGTTATTCTTCTGTTTCTGGACAATTTTGAAAGTTCATGTGATCGTGGTTCATGAATCAAAGGTTCAGGAAACATTTTTGTAAAATCGACTCTAATATTAGCAACAACTTTGCCTGAGATGTTTTAAGATTAACCAATGATGTGAGAAACCACGAAATAGTTGGCATTCCCAAGTAGCTGAGAGAAGTTCTGCCCTGCTAGCTTTTTGAGGGTGACTTCCTCTTTTTTCAGAGTTTTTTTGTTCAGTTAAAAGGCACAGATGGGAAAATGGTAGACACTGTCTGGCTGCTTATTTATTGAAGTGGTTTTTTTGTTTACATTTAACTCTGAAGTAGGTTTGTTTCCACCAACATACATAAATTTGTGATTAATAATATAAAATTTATGGATTCACTACCAGGGATATGTAAAAATTCAGAAGAAATACTTTAACAAGTCCTAAAAGTGTCATTGCAAGAGACAACCACTATATTTGTGAAAGTTATTCCAAGCTGAAACTTAAAAATAGCTCCATTACTAACAGTGAAAGTGAAATTGTTGAATGATATCGTAACTTTTCTAAAGAAGTGCTGAAAGTCTGGGAGTTGTTTTTAACGGAAGTTATATTATTGTCTAAGAACCTTGCGCAGTTTCATAATAACTTAAGTATGAGGTTGGGAATGTTCAATATTCTTTTGCAATTTTTCATGCACACTTAACATGATAATACTCAAGAAAACTCCGCAGCATTACTTCGCATATTTTACCTGTGACGTGCATAATTTCTTTAAATGTAGAGGGAACTATAAGATATTGTGTCAGTAGGATGGAAGAATATCATAGAGGAATTTATAAACTTAAAAGAAAAATGGATGTGTATGAACTGCAAAGATTAAAACAGATTGTAAATGAGGAAAAATTTAGGTATATATTTTCAAGATAAGCCAATACAAATTCTCGAACACTTGAATTCCTTTGACTTTTTTTAGTCTTCTAAATATGCTAACAACAATTTTTATCACAAAATTAATCATGATTAATGCAAATTATTTTTCTTTCAGACTGACAGGAAAGGGTATTGAAAAAACCGTAATTGTTAAGTTAATTTTATTTTGTCAAAAAATACTCATCAATATGTCATACTCGCCGTCAATACTAAGGCATTTTTAGACACAATTTCTTTACTATGGCAAACAAAGTAGATTTGTTTTTATGGTGGTTTCATTTATGGCTGCGAGATAATAGAACTTAATTTAATTAGTTTTCTGTTGAATCATTGATTGTTTGGAGTAATTCAGCTGTATTTGTTCAACCTTCACAAATTTTGACAAATACTTTCCATTCTTGCACCTGTAATGATAGTTATATATCGTGAGAAGACTAGGATGTCTCAATATTTTTTTTTCAAAAAGGCCTGGAAAGATATTGGGAGAAGGAAAATACAAAAGTTTGGCTACTAAACTTAATACTGTCAAACCTATGAAAACTTGTGGAGTTCAGTGTTCTCTGCGGATTTTTAGCAACCAGTTATTAAGAATCTCTGTCCACAAAGGTGAAGGTAATTTATTTCAGAACAAGACTGGTGCAGAAATGAGTGGGAAGCATAAATGCTTATCACTTGTGCTTCTGAACACTGACTGAATCCAAATAAGGCTATTAAAGATGAATTAGAAAATAATCATTTATTATTTATCATTAATTCCTCGCAGATATGACTATGAAGAACTTTTGAAAAATGCGACATTTTGTTTGGCTCCTCGCGGTAGACGTCTTGGCTCCTATCGATTTTTGGAATCTCTTCAAGCAGGTTGTATTCCAGTTTTGCTGAGCAATGGATGGGAACTGCCATTTTCTGAGGTTATTGATTGGAGCAAAGCATTGATTCAAGGGGATGAACGTCTTTTGACAGAGATCCCATCAGTTGTCAGGTCATATGGTAAAGAGGAGATCCTAGCTATGAAGCAACAAACACTGTTTCTTTGGGAGGCTTATTTCTCATCTATAGAAAAGATCTTGTTCACCACTTTAGAGGTGCGTCCAAATATTTTGTTACAATTTTGTATTGATGAGTCTGTTATAACCTATAATTAAACCTTTCACTCTCAAGATCTCATCAGTAATTCTCTCTAATGTCTGCTATACAATTCTTACAATGATAGTTTGGAGAATTTAGTATCACATCAACCATTAATTGGCTAATTGATCATTTTCTTCATTCTCATCACTTCTCTATTTAAAATCGTACAAATCCTGTATGGGGAAATTTTGTCTGTTTCACTCTGGGAGGAAAAAGGTTGTATGTTTTAAATGTGAAGTCTGGTTTGTGTTCAAGAGAAGAAAAATCTGCACTTGAGCCAAGTGGTTCATTCAGCTAAAGGTTTTTGCAGTTTCCATAGCATGATGCAACAAGTATCATTGTTCATTGTTACTCCACCTCAAATGAGATGCTAGTCCATAACAGGTCCCCACCTCCCTTCCCCAAGGATTTTGTCAGGTTCCAGTGACGGCTGGCCTGTACACATCTTTACAACTGGGAGGAGAGAGAGTAAAGTGTTTTGTTCTAAAAATGAAATATGATGACTCGGCTATTTCCTGAACCTGGACCTCTTGACTCAGAGTCCAACATTAAACCGTTGATTCATTGCATTTCAAATACTTCTTAGAGTGACAGTTGTTGAAATTATCTACACAACTGGATTTAAATTCAAATTCTCAATACTAACCAGCCAAGGATATACCACTATTAGTTGGGAGAATCAACTCTTAGATCATGGGAGTTTAAGGTTAACTGGAGATATAGTCTTCACCTTTTGATGTACATGCTCTTGAATAAAACCCTTCTTGCATACAGGGCTGTCTTGAAAAAGTCATTTTTTCAAATTACCTTCAAATTGAGTATTTAAATATTCCTGTAATTTAGCAGAGTTGATATTTTCATCCCCAAGATATAAATATCTTTTCTCTGCCTGTCTGCTTTACATTCCTTACCTTTTTAGCCCTGTAATTTGGTGTCAAATGAAACAGTCTTCCTTGGTTGATATTTCATCACCTCTACTACAAAATTTTATATATCTATTTTTCCACTATTTTCCATAGTTAGAGGCTCTCCATGGTTCAGCCTTAAAGCTGATTTCAATGGAGGCCTTTTTAAACACTAACAAGGCCAGACTACAACACTTGGAGCTAAATTTCCTTCTCTTTGCAACAAGAGCATGGGATCTTGAACGTGCCCTGCTAACCAGTACAGAGAAGACTAGAATATCTAATCATTTGTGAATGTCATAGCAAAGGATGCTCTTTGTCCTCAGTTATTTTAAGACTGTGAGTGTTGGTCTGGTCTGGTGTGTGAATCTTTGACCTCCTGCACTGCAGTCTGGCATTTTACAATATGCACTAACCAAGCACAGTTCAATCATTCATCTATTTATTTGAGTTAATAAGATTTTTATTGTTGTGTTAATTTTGTAATGTATGTTTCAGGTCATCCGTATGCGATTATTTCCAAACAAGGCTGTTCTGAAGCCATTGTGGAACACTTTTCCTGGGGCTCTTGTCATGAGACCTCAGTATTCTATGGATCCAAAAGACTTTCCATTTTTTTATAGCAAGCTGGGAATTGTAGAAGAGAAATTCACTGCAGTTATATACAGCACAACATCTGTCCTCAAGGACTCTTCAGCTCTCAGCAGGTTAATCAAGAATGTTGGAAAATCCAAGTTCATTGCCAAGGTAATTAAGACAACATATTAAATCTTTGGTTTCCAAGCTGGGGTTACTACCTCGTCAGTTCAAAAAATTCCATTAGATCACTGGAAGATATCTTGTTCCTGTCCCAAATTGGATTTGTATCCTCATCCATGGATAAATAACTGGCAAAGTTAATGTCAAATTTGGGGAAATGCCTCACATAGCATCTGCTTGCACTAAAATTAATTGACATAACAATATTGATTGATCTTGACTCGTCTCTCCTTAATGGTGAGAAATGAAAAAAGATATGTGTACCTTGAATAAATGTCCGCTAAGTCATTGAAATTTGACAGTGACAAAACTCTCAAGAAACAAAGTAAAGTCCTTCCAATGTCCTTAAAATTTTGTCAAATGAGTCGCACATTAATGGCACAAGCTTGCCTATGGGAAAGGTATGGAATTTAAAGCCTTAGCCAAGTCTTAACTGACTGAATTAATCAGTCGTCAACTGTAATGTTATTCTAAAATTCACTACCTAAATTTAGTCATCCACTTTGGTCACAATCAGCTACTGTTTAGTAATGTTTGAGTCTTTGCACACTCACCTCAATATGCATATTTTCCATACTGTTCTCTATAAATATCCTAATGTGCTGACAAGAAGAATTCTTTTGCCAGTGATCATTTCCTTTCTTAAAGTCTTATTGAGAGACTTCAAGGTGTGACTCCGGAAGGGGGGGGAGATGATAACCTACATGCTAGTCACTCTTAGGGGTCAGAGGTTAAGTTAAGTCCTCCAATAATGTATTCTATTTTCTGCTCTGCAGTGAGTCAACTTTTTTCTGTTCTGTGATCCCCTCCAGATTATAGTTTTGTGGACAGCTGATGTTCCATTTGCTCATAGTAGAAAATGGCCACAAGTTGGTGTTCCATTGGTGATCGTGAGACCGGAATCTAAGGTACACAGAAAATTACATCAATAGCACTCGACTGCATCTCATGTGCCACTTTTTTGTGTTTATGTCATCTGTGATTTATTACTTAACAGACCTATGGCAACATTGAATCTTTTTGTTAATTATATATGTTATTGTACAGAAACGTCCACCAGATGTGACTGACTTTTTGTGTTGACTCTTCTTTGCAGACAGGAAACAGTCGTTTTGTGCCCAGAGCAGTGATAGAAACATCTGCAGTTTTGTCCCTAGATGAGGATATCATATTAAATTCTGATGCGGTAAATATTAAATTATGATCATAGATAATACTCTTTTTTCTCCCAAGATCTCATTAGTAATTCTCACTGTGGTCTGCCATATGGTTCTTAAGATGTTGCTTCAGAGAATTTAGTATATTATCAGCTAATAATCCTCTATTTAATATTTTTCTTTATTCTCATCACTTGTCTGCTTGATGTTGTATTGATATTGTGGGGAGAAATTTTGTCTTGATCACTCGTGGGAGTTAAAGGAAAAAACCAAATCCTAGGAGATGCCATACTTGGGAAATGAGAATTCTGTCTTTTATCTAATCCCTGAAAATCACCAACAGAACTGTTAAGTGGTCATGAATTTTTGTATTCTGGCCAGAGCTAAATGTAAAAACCCTGTGGATTGTTGGCAGAACATTAAAACAAAGTAGGAGTAGCTGCAGTACAAACATTCAACAATTTGGTAATTTTGTTGGTAGAACTTCACAAAGATATGTATTCAAACTTATACAGTTCAAAATAACCAAAATGAAGCACACATGATTCCCTGTAACTCTGAGTTTTGTGCTTACGTACTCATCAGACAGATTTAATGAAAGATTTAATGAAAAGCATTCTTGTAGGCTAATTTATATATATAAAAAAGATAGCTGCTGATTACAATAGGTTGTTGTAATCAGCAGCTATCTTTTTTATATATATAAATTAGCCTACAAGAATGTTTTTCATTTAATCTGTCTGACAAGTGCGTAAGCACGAAACTTAGAGTTACAGGGAATCATGCGTGCTTCATTTTAGTCATTTTGAACTGTATTGCTCTACACTCATGTGTATTGAGCACTTTCCAACAGCATTTGCTACAATTTCCCACACTTATTCAAACTTCTAAAAATTTTCAAGTGGTTTGATACTTAACTCCCTGTTACTTTTCCATCCCTTAGATTGATTTTGCCTTTTCAACATGGAGGACATTTCCAGATCGAATTGTGGGTTTTGCAGCCAGAAGCCATTACTGGAACAGTGCCAGATCACAGTGGAGCTATTCTTCCATTTTGAGTGATCAGTTCTCCATTATTCTGACCAATGGAGCTTTCTATCACAGGTAATGTTCTCGTAGAAAATTCTTAGAGAGTAGTTGGATTAGGTTAGAGGCTTTGATTGTTTTTTGACTGAGTTAAATAAAAACGAAAATCAACACTGTCACAATGGGTAATCAGAACCAAAGAAAACTTCACAGAGTTAATAAGAACTTAACCCTTTAACTCCCATGAGTGGCCAAGAAAGAATTTCTCCTTACAATATCAATACAATATCAACCAGATAAGTGATGAGAATAAAGAAAAAGATCAATTTGGGGATAATTAGTTGATCTAATACCAAGTTCTCTGAACTAACATTATAAGAATTCTATGGTTGACAGTAAGGAGAATTAAAATTTTGATCTGGGAGTTAAAGGGTTAATGTGATGAAGCAATGCAACTGTACGAGAAACTCAACCATATTGAAAACTGTTCCATAATACATAGGCAGTCATTGAAAGAAAACTATGAAATGGTGATTTCCCTAGTGATTTTCCACAGGTGTTAGTAATATATGCAAAGTAGTTAAGACCACCGACTGGAAATAACCATCTGAATAACAACAAGTGAATAATTATGAACAAAATTAACCCAAATGTTTATTAGGCTGTTCAGACTATTCTGCACTTAAAGTATAAACACAAAAACAAAAGCTGCCCGGAGGGATCGGAGTCCAGATAGGCATTTTAACCATTTAATCTCATAATTCTTTGCATTACTTTTGTTTACTGCCTTGCCTGATGGGATGATCATTTACCCCCTTCTCTCCCCTCCCCTCCTGCATGGGATTACCGTATTTACCCGTGTATAATACGCACTTTTTTCTATAAAAATAACCATCAAAATAGCAGTGCGTGAAGCATGTTCTAATTTGCATACGTTAAAAACACAGCAAAGAAAGTAACAAAAGCCTAGTAGTAATTGGTCTTTATTAGCTTGAGTTAAATAATCTACAGATGAAACATTTTCAATTTTGATCCACAAACGCAACAAAGGGAAGTAATGAAAGCCTAGTTGTAATTGGTCTTTATTAGCTTGAGTTAAATAATCTACCAATGAAACATTTTCAATTTTGATCCATAAATAAATTTAGTAGAGTATTTAAGGAACAGCTGACGAGATAAACATTACGACCGTATTACTGTAATCACAAGCGATAAGAAATTCAAAATGGTAACGAAACTTACCACTGCGAAACGTCAGTTGTAGGAAGAATTAACGGTTTTTTTGCTGTGAAAACTTTTTTTTTATGAAGAATTTGGTCAAAAATTGGGGTGCATATTATACATGGGCGCGTATTATACACAGGTAAATACGGTAATCCTTTGGATGGGCTGGTTCTTCCTTGGATCTGATGTACCTGTCTCCATGAAATGTAACTTCCCTGGATGGAATATGTTTATTATTGTATAAAAAGTATCAGCTAGCCCTCATTTACTCCTCTTTGTGAAGGCAGTAAGTTCCACTTAAGAGTGAAACACAGGACCCTGGCTATTTCACAAATTACATTCACTTTTGGACACTTTCTAATTTTGAACAATCTCATCCATTTTCCAGGTATTACAATTATCTGTACACTCATAATCTTCCACCAAGGGTTCATCGCATGGTTGAACACCATGGTACATGCGAGGATCTTGCCATGAATTTCTTAGTCGCAGACATCACACGAAAACCACCCATCAAAGTCTTGACACAGCAAAAATTCCAAGACTTGAACAGCGCAAATACAAGGTATTCCAAGCTGGTGCAGCTCTTTGAACAGCGGCAGAGATGTATGGAGTCTTTAGTTGATATTTTTGGTTACATGCCGTTGGTCAAGTCATATGTTAGAATGGATCCTTCACTCCACAAGGATCCCGTGTCAAATTTACGCAAACAGTACAGGCTGTTGGAATAATAATCATTATCATGAGAAAATCACATAAATTTGCCCTGCTAGTAAAGATGGTTTCTAACCTGAATTTTTTAGTAAAGTTTGGGGTTCCAAAGAATAACCCAGTGGTTCCAAAATTATCTCTGAATGTGCTAAAATTTGACAATGGATGCTGCCATTTTGAAACGAGCTTTGCAATCTGTCAACGCATGTTAAAACCACAACATCCTTTTTAAAAAGATTGCCATGAGATTGAAAGAACAAAATTTGTTAAGCAAGATTCAAAATGACAGAAACCATACTCAAATCTTAAGCCAATTGAGGACAATTTTTGAAAAGTAAGCTCACTCTTTAAAATCTTAAAACTCCATTTTTGCTTTCAATATTCAATATTCAAGTTAAAGGAGGGTGTGCAGAGTGTGTAGCCATATTGTTATTCATACTGGTTTTTACTGTTTGTATTTTATTTTAAGAGATCAAATGGCCTACCAACTTAAAAAAAGTAATCATGTGTCTATGGGTTCAAACAAGGATTAGATGAACTGATAGCCCAAGGGTATGTTTCCAGGCCTAAAAAGCTAGATCAAATTTTGAGGTTTCAGGACCATGGTGAAAGTGTGTGTTCATCAGGACTGGAGTTGGCATGCATGGGCATTTGTGCTAGCAGGCCAGCTTCATGGCATTGGTTGCACAGAGACATTGCCCCCTTAAAAAACAAATAATCTAGAGTTATGACTTGATTTTAGCTTAGCTTGCAAAAAGACCCACTACACCAGTGTTTAAGTTCTTCAAGGAATAGAGTGAACTTTGATGTGCAAACAGTCGGCCACTCTCAACTTAGAAATGAAATTTTGGTGAAACAAGTTTTAGTTGTAATTTCCTTTTTTTAGTTTCAATTTTTTTTTAAGAAAGCCAGTTGTAGCTCTTTCAATTTCAAATTTGTAACTTACCAACAGACACCCATAAATTAATTACAAGGTAAAGAAAAACTAGGGAATTGTGAAGAATGGTTCATTTGCGTCTGTCAGAAGTTTGGTGTTCATAAGACACACCCCTCTTCAATCTGTTAATTATAGTTTAATTTATTCATGTTAATGTGTACATTAATTTTTTTTTGTAACGATAGTAACTCATATTCACTATGTATAGATTTCCAACCCTTGTACATAAGTTACAAAATAGTTAGTGTTTTTAAGTTTGAGGAAATTTTTAACAGATTCAAATTTGCCATTGAGGGAGTTTTACAACGAATTTGGTGTGAAGAATTTAAACGGTTCAATTTATTCAGGTGTATTTCTCTAACTATTTCAGAAAAAATTCTAAAAAATACTAAGGTTTTTTATTTGGATTCTCTATCATGTTCACTTTTGGGGAATTTTTGTGATATTACTATAAATGAAAGTCATGATTGCAGCTGCAAGCCCCCTACAGTTATTGTTTTTTAGGATATTTGAACAGTTTGAATCACCAGTGCTTCATGTGTTTTTTCCTCGGGAAAAACTTTTTGCAATAATTAGATTATTGTTTCAGAATTACTGAAAATGATCTACCCTAGCCTTCCCTAGATTTTTTTTCTTTTACCATCAGTATTACTAATGATTCTCATCTACAAAATTATTAACATTGTACATTTACGTTAAAATGTCCAGAAAATGTTTATTGTTTAAAGAAAAGTTATACGGTTATGAATTCCAAAATACCATTCCATTGATAGTTTTTACCGCATCATGTCATTGATGTTATGAAGCAGAGAAAAAAAAAAGGTATTTTTGAAAGCGTATCATATTTTTTCATATGTACTGTAATTTTGATACGTTTTTTGGAATTGCCAAGGAAGCTTTGTTGAATCAGTTAACAGTAAATAGAGGTCTTTAACCCTTCAACTCCCCCAAGTGTTTAAGACAGAATTTCTCCTTACAATAATACTGTGATATCAATCAGACAAGTGAGGAAAATAAAAGAAAATGTAAATTAAGGAATAATTGGTTGATCCAATACCAAATTCTTCAAACTAACATGATAAGATTAGTATGACAGACAGTAAGGAGAATTGCTAATGAGATTTTGGGAGTGAAAGGGTTTAAGAAGTGCTCTAGAATTATCTGTTGGTTTCTCGGGTCATTCATCAAATTTACTTGGCTATTCTTAAGTAATGGTCAGCGTTGATAACGTAAAAATCACCAGGACCTTTGTAAAATTGGTTCAGAATTTATGTATTATGGTTCAAGATTAAATAAATCTATTTATGCGAGATATTGATCGTGTTCCTTGGGGTTGGGGAGGGAATGTGTGAAAAGTGAGAATATTGGATTAATTCGGTTCAATTTAAAGGGATTTCTAAAAATAATGTCTCCAAGTTTTTATTTCCATTTCTAACATTTCCTTAAAGTTTTGGTCCTTTATAGAAGAGGTTGTATCCTCTGGTGTATTATCTTCAATATGAAACATTACCAGAGGGCAAAACATTAAAAAAAATTATTATTTCTCTAGTTCAGATTTTATGTAGAGTTTTTCCTGGGACATCTCATTGCAGGTCAATGAAATTGTCAGCTATTAGCCTACAGAACAGGTGAGATCTTTTGGCGCATTTAAGGCGAACTAAGGAAAGTGCAAGGCCAACACGAAGCGCGAGGCGAACACGAAGCGCGAGTCATGCGCGAGGAGAAAGGTGCAAAAAAAAAAAATGTTATGTTCATGATATATTTGTCCTCTCCTTGCGCGTGATTCGTGCTTGCCTTCGATCGCCTGAAAAGTCCAAACAAATTCGCCTGTTCTGAAGGCTACCCATTTAACTAGCAAAGTCTATCCGGAAGCAAACTGTCGCACAACTGAAATAAAACTAGAGTGAGGCCTCATGAAAACTATATCCAGATGTTGATTTGAACTGTGTTTGTACAATGTCTTTTGCAGAAGCGAAAATGATAACGAATCCTTCTCTACCCAATGAGCGTGTTCTTGAATAGAAGAACTCTGCTTCTCTGCCACATTCCCATGGATAACTAATTTGACCGCCATCAAGTACTCAAATACGTATACTCTACTTGAATCGAGTATTCTTACTCCTGAAAGAAAAGCAGAGAAAACGTGTTGCACAAAGAAACTGTAATTCGATCAGATGGTAATTCAACAAGGACGGAAGAACTTTGAAGTAGACTTGGTGTAGCAGCCGCGCGATTCAACGGGGCGCGAGAAATCACGCGCGTAAAACAGATAGTCAGCTTCTCGCGCGCATGTTACTTACGTCTGGATAATGCATGGATATTATAGGAAGAAGTGACATATTAATAACTTCTGGGGTGTAAAGGAAAATTCCGGACTTTGACTTTAATTTTTGAACAATAATCTTACATATCCAACCTGCTTGTATCAGTGACGTCACCATTCACGTTGTAAGGAGAGTAAGACCCCTGTGCAATATAGGGCGCAGACGAGGAGGCCTGTGGCTGCCTGCTGATGCCACCTGACTGTTGTGTACTGAGACTGACGGAAGTACGTCCGTATCTGTCCCCTGACAAGCTGTGGGTGGAGTCAGAGGTTGACAAGGTTTGGAGCGAGTGGTTCGAGCCTCCACGCACATTGCCCGCGCGACGACGAGCTGTGAACGAAAGGATAGAACAAATGAGCAAATGTCGGAGACTTCGTCATTCGTGCGTGACATATGTCAGAGGATAAGTGTGAACATTATGTCAAGAGCTAGAAGCACCGCCTGTTACGATTTTGGAACATTGATCGGTTTACATGATCAACGCAGCCTTGAATGACCTTTTAAATCAGTACTTAGCAACAACCAATCACAATGTAGAGAATATCGTATAAGAGAGTGATTTCTTACAAATTTTGCAGAGTAGCTTTTTACACACCCGTTGTAAATAAGCGAATACGAGAGTGGAACAAAACAGTTTGATTGAGTCTAGTTCGTTAGAATTCTATCTCTATTAAACGGGGCAAAGTTTACAAAACAAACACGAAAACCCAAGAACAAACTGTCAGTAATTGAAAGCAGCCCTCCAGAATCAATTAAATTTTACACACTACAACACACCGCAGTTGGAGTATCTTTCAAAACTACTCTATTTTGGATCTCACTTGAAATCACATACATATCAGACTATTTTCTAACGGCTTTATAGAGTGAAATAGAAGATTGGCACACCAGACTGCGAGTTTAGAGATCTGGTTACGAGATCTAGCCGGGTCGTTGTGTTGTTTTCTTGGGCAAGACATTATACTCTCCCCATGCCCCTCTCCAACCATGAGTTTAGAGGGGTATTGGTGAACAGACCTGGAAACCTAACGAAATGCTGGATACGGTGGGGGGGGGGGGGTGGTAGTGACTCGCAATGGACTAACATTCTATCTGGAGGGGGGATATTGGGGCCAGGGGCCAACAATACTCTTAGTCGTTTCATGTTCTTCTCTTCGCTAGGTTGCTGACTTAACCTTTACTTTTTCCGAAGAAAGTTTAAATGTCTGTTAAGTCATAAGTTTCTTCCCACACCTTTATCCTGTTGCTGTTCGCCTGTTCTTAGTAGCGTTCCGTTTGGAAATTCTTGTCTTAAACCAGTAATTCCCCAGTTACGGTCCGTGGTGCTGCTCAACTGAACTGTTGTCACCTATGGATTCAAAATATATTTTCGAGCGCTTTTCGATTGACTGTCGTAAACTAAAACCAAGGTAATGACAACAGCCAATCAGAGGAAAGGATTGTACCCGTAGAAACCGATGATATCTCTAAGTAAAAACAAACCAAAGTATCTGAAGAGTGAGAAAACGCGGGCGACCAAGTCGTGTTTGTTTTAGTTTTACATCTGATTGGTGGAGAGAATGGCACGAATTTAATGGACCAATCACAGAGCAAAGTTAAGCAAAGCCAACCGAATCTGGATATTCCATTGACACTCGACTGAAAATTTCTCCGAGGCGCTTTTCAATTGCGTTTCGCAAAACCAAATCCGAAGTAATCACAAGGTCCAGTCAAAAAAGGTAACAAAACAGACAAAAAAGGAACCAAGAGGAAGGCAAGGTGAAAATAAATAGACAGCCCGTAGATCGAGGAAATGAGACTTTAGGGCCTTTATTTCCCTGGTTGAAAAGAGTGGCGAGAAAAATTTCTCAATCAATCGCAGAACGAAGTAAACCAAAACCAATAGATTCCTGGGTTACACCTCAAACACTGTCACTTTGTCAATTAGCGTAATGAATGCGTTCACATAGAAAATCTGTTTTACAAAACTCATCAGTTTTAGGATTAATTTTTTTTTCAGATTAAGTTACCCGAAGCGGAGCCTGGGAACGTGTTGTCACGATTCCTGGGAGACTGGGTTCCAAAGCTGACGTCATGCTTTGCATTCCACTCTAGCGAAAAAAGATCAGGTAAGGGTTTTAAAACATGATCCTTGCAACAAGAGAGGGGAAAAATTCACATCCTGTAACACGACATAATTAGAACGCAAGAAAATGACCAATGGAGAACACATACGATGGAGGAAGCTGGAGGTTTTCCACGAACCTGTTGTTCCATGAAATACAGCTCGGCTTTAGTTTTCTCGTCACTCGACACAGGGATCCCATCGATGCACAAAAGGTTGGGCATGCGGTAGACTAACAAGGGTCGGTGCAGAAGACGTCGAGTGACCTGGGATCGAAAAAGCACGTTCAAATAGAGTTTTTCAACTTCAAAAAAACACAGCAGTCAAACGTCTGCGCATGCACGAACGTTGTAATGACTAGGTGGCGTGTTTTCAGGCGGTCAGAACCAAGTTGTCTTACACGAGTTACAAACGACTACACAAGCCAGTAAGTCACGGGGTTTTAAAAGCCTATAACTTTTTTGGTAAAGCTCGAAACAGATAGGGGCATCAACAGGATACCCAACCTCGTTCCCAGGGTCTCTCATCTTCCCGCCCCCTGGAGCTCCAGGGGGCGGGAAGATGAGAGACCCTGGGAACGAGGTTGCAGGGTACCTGTACTTGAATAATCTTTGAGTCCGATAAGTCTCCAGTTTTCCTTTTTTTATACTTTTGCTTCCTTTTACAGATTGTCATGAACTTAATTCCTTCGCTTATTTTGCAACACAGCAGTTGGTTCTTATGTTTTCCTTTGAAATTTCGCGTTTTTCCGTTTTCCTTTGAAAATTCGCGGGAAATCGGCGCGCGGGCGTCCACAGTTGACTCCTTGCGCATGCCCGACATTTGACTGCTTGTTCTGTTGTGATTGGCGTTTGATGTGAGGATAAACACGCATAATGCGATCAAATAAACTTCAATCAAACTGAATGCAAGGACGCGATGAATTCAGTAGGACCATGATTTCACGCGAACCCTGAGTCGCCAAATAATAGACACAAAAAGTCCGAGGACAACCGGCATGTGAAACCTTTACCTACCGCGTTATTTATGACCGAAAGTTCAACCAGGTGCCTTAAGCATTCCAGCTTTTCCAACTCTGCTATGTCCTAAAAAAAAAAAAAAAGATCATCTTCGAAACTTAAAACGTAAAAAGTGTAAAACTGGTTCCCCGATATAAGTAAATGTGGGAAATAAATAATAATAATAATAATTGACCTGAAATAGCCGTGTTTAATTTAGGAGCGACTTTAGGAGACAACTCACTTGAATACGGTTCATTCCTAAGTACAACCGCTGGAGATTTTGAAGAGGTTCCAGGTTAGAAAGTTCTCTTATCCTGCGAAAAAGTCACAAAATGTGAGAAAAATAGTTTTTTTTCAAGAGATGTACAGGGACAACATTTTTTTTTTTAGACATCATTTATAACCACGTCAAAAGTCTCTAAGAACGCTAACGTCAATGGCCATCTCATTGGAAGGCTTTTACCCACTTTTCCCAAGGCTGTTTCATGAAATGAACAGTTCGCATGGCATTTTCCTGCCATACAACGCGTTTCCTTCAGTGTGGTTTGTGAGAGCTTTAACACTTCAACTCTCACGAGTGAATGAGTTCTAATTTTTCCTGACAGCGTTATCCTTAAATCAATTATTAAGGTCATAAAAAGGAAGGAAATAATCATCAATTTTAGAAGCTCCTGATTCTCAAACAAATGTTCCTTGTCAGTAATATAAGAAATATAAAAATAGCTGTAATGAGAATATTAATACTAATCTTGGGGTGTAAAGAGCTGAACATATGACTTTCATATATTCCTAGCCGTTTATTCATCACTTCACGGGTTTATTTAAAACCAATATAATAACCAGCTCCCATTTGGCTTGTCAGCTCAGTTGGTAGAGCGTTGCACCGGTATCACAGAGGTCACGGGTTCAAATCCCGTACAGGCCTGAATTTTTTTCAGGCCTTATTTTCACTACTGCTCAAGTAGTGTGCATTACTGCGAGGATCACTTTCATTCACGTCTTTATCCGCAGTTCAAATATATGACTTTCAGATATTCTTAGTCTTTTAAAAGAAGACATAATTATTATGAAAGTTGAAGACACTAAAAAAAATTTAAAAATAAAAAAAATAAAATAAGTTATTTCACCTGTTTTCTTCCATATGCAACTCTGTTAAATGCCATTGACTCATAAATGACGTGCTGGAAAGATTCTAGACAAAAAAAATTCATAAACGAATAACTCAAATTACAAGCCAGGGCCCAGTTGTTCAAAGGCTAATTAGCAGTAACCCAGGGTTAAATTTTAATCCAGATTTCTATATTTCTCTGTTCAAAAGCCATTTTGGAATAATTTTACCCAATGTTTTTATAGCATTCAATTATCAAATCGTAGTCAAAAAGAAATAAACTGAATTTTCTCTTCAAGCTTTCAGATCTGAAATAAAATTTCACTTTAACCCCAGGTTATCTTAACCCAGCTTTGAACAACTCGGCCCAGATAAACAGAAACAGTTTGAGTAAAACAAAACTTAAACAAAACAGCTTTCACTTTAAAAAAAAAACTACATTTGTTACAAAGATGTCACCTTTATCTTATTTCGATCCAAAACAAGTTCGCGAAGTTCTTGGAGTCTTTCAAGTCCTTCCACTTTGTTTATTTCATTTCCTACAAGAAAAATGTTCGGATCAATATCACTATGTAGGCAATTGCCCACCTACCCCTCCCTTAGCCCAACAACAGTCAATTGATAACAAGTTGGGGTTAATGTTGAGTTAGGGGAGGGGTAGGTGGGCAGATATTGATATTGATCCAAATGTTCCTAGTATTCACTTATGACAACGAACAAAGCTCCACATTGTCACTTAGAAAAGAAATAGTGTACTTCGACTTTATCTTCTACAATTTATGTAACACTAATATATATATAATTTTATTATGTGCTATTAGCTGTCATAGCTGTTAATTGTGTGTGTTCCTTCTAATAATATTTCATATTTATATATTAGTCGAACCATTTTCCGACTTCCCTATTATCAAAGAAATAGTGTTTTTCTCTTCTTTTCCTTTCTTTTTAGGTGTGCATTTGTGTAATCTCCCTGACCAGTAATTTATGTAATGTTTAAAAAACGAGCAGGAGTGTTTTATCGGGTTTAAAACCACGAGGCGTAGCCGAGTGGTTTTTGACCCGATAAAACACGTGCTGCGAGTTTTTTGAACGGCTTCAAAAACATTCTTGGAAAAGCGTGTGTCAAGAGAGTTCATAACAATTATGCTTTTGTGAACGTTAGAAATTAGCATACGAGAAAAACATTCATAAGTCACATGCAGTGTCTTTATATCTGATAAAACACCGCATACTAATAAGGATGAGGTTTATCGATATAAAGTCACTGCACGTGATGTATTATCTACCATTTGATAGGTTAATGGGCTTATGAATTATTAATGAGTTTTTGAATTTCTATTTAATGCTTATGTCAACTGGCTGCCTGGCTTCGCTGCCTGGGTCCAATGGTTGTTCATACACTAATTTTACTTTAAATCTTTTCTCTTTTCCAATAGCTGATAAGACAGGAGAGTTTACAAATGAAGAGGATTATCTTAATTAGTTAATTAAACCGATAAAGATAACTATTTACCCTGTAGAAACAGAGCCCTTAGGTTAGTTAGTCGTGACAAGTGAAGGGCCGCCATATTGGTAATACCATTGTACCTGTAGACACACAAAAGAGAATATCACAATTTGTCCAAAAACCTTTCGTTTCGGTAAAAGATAACATAGATAAACTCCACCTCGGTAGTTCACACCACATCTACGAAATTCCAAAGGACGCTAGGATATTTTGTCTTACCCCAAGTGAAGAACCTCGAGATTGGGGAGAACTGGAGTAAAATTCTCTGGGTTTGTAATCTCCAATCCCGAAGAGACATCACTGCCTCGTTTCGGCGCGTTTGCTGGTGACGTCGCTTTGGGCTTTGCGACCACGCATTCAATGTGATTATGGTTAAGACAAAGGACCTGGGGAGGAAAAAAGTAACGCAAATCTCATCAAACCTGGTTTTACACAATTGTTACAATAATTTTAACTACCATATTTCTTCTTTACACTAGACTTCTTACAAAATAGTAAACATTAAATGCTCTGTAAACAGTACTTCAGATGATTTGAACATGAGAAATTTATTCACCTCGGTCTACGCGTTGGAGACACGGTGGTCTATATATGGCCTAAAAGTAATCGAGAGGTCTGGGTCCAAGCCCAAGCCTCCCTCCACCCAGGAGTGTAAAAGAATACCGTAGGTCATTACCTTAAGATTGACGAGGTTCACCAAGCCGCCAAATGAAGTGAGTGAGTTATGTTCAAGATTCACACTGAAATCGTAAAAGGAGAACCACGATTTGTTAAGAATCAAAGAAAATTACATCATGACAGAGTCAACTGGGAGGATGCACTTTTTACACTCCTATGTGTGGAGTAAACTAGCTTCCTGATCGTCCAAGAACAGACTGTAAAATGAAGCTTTCGACAACTATTTATCTAGTCCCTCTACTGTTTCAAGCTCATTTCCAGTGTCCTCTTCCTTTCTCAAAGGGGAAAAGCCTAAAGACACTGGAAACGAGTCTACCCACAAATGCATGCACACAAGAAAGGCATCTTGAACACAAAACGACGCCTGCTGGTACCTACCTTCTCAAGTTAAAAAAAGCGTCTTTAGTTCCAAGATCCACAGTTCTTAGTGAGCTGTGGGGTAAGTCAAGCTCTCTGAGATCGGAGAAGTTTGAGTGTCCCAAACGTTCGGCAATAAAATCAGGAGTTAGCCTGAGATACAAAACATAGGGAAATATAGTGAGCTAATCATTCTTACAGCACGTTTTATCTGGTCAAATAAAAGTCTTTCGAAACTTTACCCATCGATTATTTTCTAATCATAACACGAGATTACTGACCTTCCTCCAAACATATCTTTGGCCAGACTTCCCTCTGAAGTTTCCTTAAAAAGAATAGCAACGCCAATTGAAGAAAAGTACACACACTAAATTCGATTTTTTTCTTAAAAGAGAAAAGAAGGAACTCTCTTAAGATCTCTACGGGGTAAGGCTTCAATTTCAAAGAAAATCGTTGAAAGCTACTAAGAAATTAAAAACATTGATTGGAAAGCAAACTGTCAATAAAAAGTTACGATGTCGTCAAAAATTTCAGTATCGATTCCTTTACAACAATTCCAAAGAAGAACCTTTTCTCGACCAACTGAATTAACATGTTTGAACTCTGTGGACCGCAAAAAGATGATTTGTCTCTTGTTATATGAAGTAGGCTTCCTAAGGATTTGTCATACCACAGCTAATCCATCCAAAGCCTTGAGTGATATCAAGTGATAAATAACGAACAAACGGTAGTTCTGACCAGCGGTAGACATCGGATTACCGCATAGGTCCAGAATAAGAAGACTGGGGAGAGTCTAGGAGAAAGAAGGGATCCAGTTCAGATACATGTCAACAAAATTAACCCTTTACACCCTAACATCAGTATGCATATTCTCCATACTGTTCTCTATACATTTCTTAAGGTGCTGACAAGGAGAATTTGCTTAGCAATCAAGAGCTGCTTTATTTAGTGATCATTTCCTTTAATCTCATGAGCTTAATGCGTGATTTAGGGGTGATATTGTAAGGAGAAAGTAGATGCCAGTCACTCTGAGGAGTCAAAGGGTTAACGGCAAAAACGACCACATCACCATAAGAAAGTTTCCATTCCTTTTTTACCTTGAGATTGTAAACCTCTCGTATGTTCGCTAGTGTGTTGTTTCCTATGTAAAACTCCTGGAGGCTCTGACAATTCTGGAAAGGAAGACAAATTGAAAATAAATTTAGGCTTCATTTTTTCATGAAACTCTAACTTTTTCAAAGCTTTTTTGAAATAAATGGCAAGCCGTGACGTATCTTTCAATGATGACAATACTATAAATACCTGCAAGCCACGTAGATGAGATATGGCGTTGTTTTCCACGGATAAATATCTCAATCGAGGAAGCTTCTCCAACATTCCGGTATCAAGAGTAGTGAGTTGATTGCCAGCCAGGCTTAGCCATGTTAGCATGGACTGCTTACTTAACCCTGAGAGAAACCCAAAGAAATTGATCTCAGTAACATGAGTTGCGATTGGTTTATAAGGTGTCTTAGTATAGAACACTTCCATAGATTAGCCAACTGACACCTTCAAATAACGCGACCTTTGAGTGGTCAATTAAACCTAGTTTAACAAGCTCTTAATGTGAGTATATAAAGGACGTTATGTTGCTGAAGCAACATTTCGTAGAAGACAACTTTGACAAACACTGAACTTTACCTTCAAACTTGTTAATGCAGTTGTTTTCAACAGAAAGCTCCTCCAAATGAACACAAGACTCGAGACCCTAAAGAAGAAGGTTTGTTTACAGATAACTTATAGAAGTTTTTGCGGAACTTTGGCGCACGCGTCGATGTACGTTTTGATTGACGGACTGCAATGATTGGCTTTATCGCTCGTCCAATCAGATCTCGATGACGCAATCTTTCGCAAGCTTATCTCTGGTTGCTCAAAGCACGTTCTAAAAAAAAACCGTCCGTCTTTGCAGGAAATTGACTTCAGTTCTTTGATTGCTTAGAAAATTTTCATTAAGGTATAATTAAGTAAAGAAAAGTTCAAGAAATTCCAAAATTTCCAGTTGTTCACGCACCTCAATCTTAGTAAGATCGTTGCCGTTAAAAGACGCCCATCGTAAATTTTCCAGTTGCTCCATGTTCGCTAACTTTCCAAGATGTTGGTTATCAAGGTTCACCGTTGTAACCTAAAACACAGAGAAATAATTGTTCGTATCAAACCCAACGTTTGTCACCTACTTGGCCTGCCCATCACCCTTCACTCTCAGTTGCTGAAGGGAGCAAGGAAGAAAAGGGGGGGGGAGGGAAGGGGGCGAGGGAGAGGAAGCATGATTTTTTCCCAGTCCTCCCTCGGCACTGAAACAAAAAAACGAGGGGGGAGGGGCTTGGCAGTAGGACGGTTTAGTCTAGTCTTCGTTCCTTCCTGCGATCACTTCAATTTTCAATCGACTTTCCTGGTCAAAGCAAAAGAAAGCCTCAAACAGACCATTTACTAAGAGAACATTGTTTACAAAGATTACTCATTTTGACTCATACCTTGATAAACCATTGACTGTCATCGTCTTGTAACTTAACAGGTCTATTTTGACTGCTGGCCAGGATAGCTTGAGCAGTCGGTACCAGGCTCAAAGTCCGCGGTTTGCTCTGGTCTGTCCGAGCATGCGCCAGAATAGCGAAAGAAGAAGGGCGGGAAGCGGCCGCCATCTTTAATGCTGTTGTCATCTCCTCGTCAGTAACTTGAACTCCATCCAAATACTCCAGGTTTTTCAGTCTGCCAAGAGCTCGCATTCTTAAAGTTTCGGGCTAGGAAATAACAACAGATTTAGCCTTCTTTTGTTTTCAAAGCGTTCAGAGCGTTAGTTTTTTAAACCATACCCAAGTCATCCTGTTATTTTCTTTGACAAGACATTCAACACTCACAGAGCCTCTCTTTCCACTCAAGACTGAAAATACAGCACCGCGCAAGTGTATTACACCATCTACACGCGTGTCAACCTTGCGTCATTCGTGGGGCTTACACGTGCTTGCAATGCATGTGACACCAAGCGTAAAGTAGCAAAATGATTTGGGCGTTGTGGTTTACACTTGCAAACTATCGGGGAAACTGGAGAATGCTGGGAATAAAGATGGACCAGAATCCCATACAGGGGGAGAACTAATACCCCTAGTCTTTTTTTGGTTCAGCTTCAGCATTTCAGCTCCTACAGTCACAGTCATTATACCTCTCTGACGTTACCCCATTCGCTAACGTATAATAGTCTGTACTCGCACCAAGTGGCTCATGCAGCCAGAGCTTATCCTGGTTTCCATAGCATGGAGCGATTAGGAGTATCACTACTCCCCCCCTCCCCCCCCTAATGGGAAAACAGTCCACCGCAACGTTACCCCCCAGCATTTCATCAGGCTTTCCTAGCAATTCGCTGGTACCTATTTATACTCGTGGGTTGGGAGAAGCTCTGTGAGAGGATAGTGTTTTGCTTAAGATCACAACACAATGACCTAGCCAGGTCTCGACCCGGTGTCCAGCGCTCTAACCATCACTCACTAACGTATTCGTGTTGGTAATTTATTCTTTCCCACTCACTAATGTATGCGAATTAATTATCAATGGCTCACTTTTTGCCAAGGATTATTGCGCGTGTCCAGATAAGTAAGAGTGATCACGTGTTTCCTCATGATGCCCAGTTCCTCTCGGGTGTGCGTCAGAAGGTTCCAACTCACATCTAAATGCTTTAGACGATTGCAGCCCTATGAAGACACACGAAAAATTTTGTCAATCGCTTCAAAAAAGTAACGTCGTGATATCAAGCTTGTGCTTCATCCTCTTCCCTACATAATACCACAACATCTGTCTACACAGACCTTCAATCCATCCAAGGTTGTAATTTTGTTAAAACTGACGTCAAGATACTCCAAAAATATCTGCAAAACAAGAACAAGGAATTATTTCTAAGACCTCAACAATGACAACAACACAAAGAAAAGCCATGAAAAATACGGGAAAATGTCCCCTAGCCCCACAACAATCAACTGGTAACAAGTTAGGGTTGAGTGTGGTTGGGTTAGGGGAGAGGTAAGTGCGCAGTTGCTCAGTACTGACGTTGATTCAAAATAAAGTGGGTGGGGGGAAACATTGTACAATTCATAGTATACGACAAAAAAAAATTTAAAAAGACCATTAAAATTCTAATATCAGCATGCAAGCTCTCAATACCGTTCTCTATACATTTCCTGTGGTATCTCAAGGAGAATTTGTCTAACAATCAACTAAAAGAGCTTCTTGAGTTTGCAGTCATTTCCTTTATTCACATGGCGTTAATATTTGATTTAAGAGTGATACTGTATGGAGAAATTAGATACATATCACTTTCCTTACTTGAATAATTTTGTAGCTTCGTCTTTTTATTGGGTCAAAAAACTTTGTAAGCCCACAGCAAAATATTGGTTAGATCTTAATCTTACCATGTGACTGACGTCATCCAATCGCGTTAGTTCATTGTAGCTGACTGTCAACCTCTTGAGGGCCGTCATACAATTCACGAGCTGTAAGCGGCTCAGACCGTTGCCATGGAGATTTAAGCACTGGCCGAGAAAGAATGGAAAGGAAATAAGACAATTGAGTCTAAAATGCTATAAAAATTTGAAGACGGGGAGTTTGAAAAGCAGCGTGACGTCACTTACAACAATATGTTCCAAACACTCCACATTGCACCTTTTAAACAACAGTTCTTCTGTTAGGGCAATAAACCTGAAAACAGAGACGAAAACAGTATACACAATAACAACACACTTAAGGTAAATTTTAAACATTTTTAAATTCAAAACTTCAAAACGTTCCGTTTCTAAAGTTCTTTGCATGACCAGCATTTAGATATAAACTTAGTAGATGGCACGAAGTTTAAAAATCGACGGTCAGGTAAGGTAAACTTTATCTAGCCTGAGTGGCCCAGTCAGCTACATATTCTCCCAGAATTTGAACAATACAAAAAAAAAAATCGAGGAAGGGGCTCTTGCATAAAAGATTTGTTCACACTAACGGGACGAGTAACGGAAAAATGTTTTGAATTCGCGCTTTAGCCAAGAGAGTTTATAAAATTAAGTCGGATCCACCCTCCCTCCCACGTTCCTTTGTTAGCAAAGGCACGTGACCGGCTATGACCAGGTTCTTTCCTGAGGGAAGAAGAGAGAAGACCCTGGGAACGAGCTCGAGGTTGGGACAGTCCCTGAAAACTGATAGATCACTGCTACCATTGGTTGTAAGACTACAGTAGACAGAAATATTATATCTCCTTACCCCGCTCTCCCCTTCTCTTCCCACCCTCTCTACTCTACCAAAAGATACTTTGTTACCTTGGTCTTGTAGGAATAACAGGTTCCATGTTCAAAACATCCTCGTCAGGAATGTTTTCTTTCTCCTCCCCAGGCTCCCCGTTCTGTTTATAACTTGGCGTGGTCACATCCCCGTAATAATAAATAAACGAAGATTTGGGTTTCACCTGAGGAAAAAGTGGAATCGATCAACAAAACTATAGAATGACAATCCACCGAGCTGACCCTCATTGATACCAGCCTGAGGCCTTGAGCGACGTGAGCCGGCAAGAGCTCTTGTCTCAAATCTTTCCGCGGGCGGAAAAACGCGCGTTCCGCATGCCCTAATAATACGGCTAACAATTGTCTGCTATCTTTTTCATTACTAAAACCATCGTTCGGAACTTCCAAGATGTCAAGAAAGATTAGCGATTAGTGGATAAGCCTCACCAGAATTATGTCAGGGAATAACAAGTAAAAGATATTTCCTACAGGACAAAAAAACCGAAAATTATTTCCTTACCTTGGTGATATATTCGAAATCCACCACGTACTCCGGTAAGACCATCTCGTGATCAAACACGAACCACGCGCACTGCCGCGCGCTACACTCGCAACTCGTGTCCATAACTTGTCTCTTTATTGTCGATCCAGGTCTGCTCGGACAGTTCTCGTGTTTTCGCGCTCGAAATACTGAGTCTGCTCCGCGATATGTTGCTCTAGTGATCCTTGACAAAAACAGAAACGCTCATCAATTTAGTTATAAAAGGACCATTTATGCCACTAGGAGGCCTTCGACTTTGCAGATATTCGCATCATAGACGAGACAAACTTCGCCCAATACTTGCTTCCGTGAATTCGCAAGGTCAAGTGAGTGATTCGCGTGTTCTGATTGGTTACCTTTGAGGACAATCGGGCCCTCAAGTATCGGGATGTCCCACCTAGGACCCTCAAAAAACCCACATCTAGGATCTTTTTGACAGCAGTTTTAATAACAGAAGGCTCAAAAAATAGCCACTCTGCTTCTGAAGACAGTTGACAAAAAAAAGAAAAATTTCTTGGTAATAAAACACACTTCATATCACACTACCAGGCAAGGTTATCGAACTTGTTCAGGTCACACTTTGTCAACATACAGCCATCTTGTTTGGGGCGAGCTTGGTTCGCAGATATATGAGCTAAGTCAACAATTAGGAGTTTCGGTGTTCAATTCTGCCTTGGCTCTTAAGCGACGACACTGCCTTAAAACATACAGTTCTTACAATAAAAATTTCTGACATACTTGTTTTCATTTTTTGCCGGAACGACTTTTCCGACAAACACTTTAGCTACAATCAGCTGACCTAAACACAAAGAAGAGGAAAAACAGATAACAAAAAGAAAATAGCTCAGCACACAGCATGGATCTTAAAACTTTTTCGCACTAACGATAAGGGAAAAAAATGTGGTGAAACGAGTTGAGCTCAGCAATACAAAGATAATTGCTAACTCTCTACACCTCAACATCAGTATGCATATTCTCCATACTGTTCTCTATACATTTTCTAAGGTGCTGACAAGGAGAATTTGTTTAACAATCGAGAGCTTCTTTAGTTGGTAATCACTTCATTTTTGTTATCGTAATGTGTGATTCAGGGGTGATATTGTAAGGAGAAATTAGATGCTGGTCACTCTTCGAGGTTAAGGGGTTTTAAACAAATAATAATGTTCACATTTAGTCCACGCGTCACAGGTTTCGCCGGCGCTCAAGGAAAATGAACACCGTCGTGCACGAAAAAAAAACACGCAAACTTGTGATTGTAGATAGTCTACTTCAATCTTTCATTCGCTAGTTCAGAGCACTCTAAACACCACGAGTATGGGTATGTAATGTTTCTTGAACTGTCTTTTATATGCGCTGTGTAATATTTACTGATCTCTCTTCATATTCTCACCGTGTCTAAACGGACACTGGTCAGTACTTCCTCTTTCCCTAGCCCGTTTCCTGAGAAAATCCACTCTTGATCTGTCACAGACACTAACACTGTTGGCCAGTGGGACTCCACCCTCTTCATTTAAGCTCTGTAAAAAGAAAGAAGGCAAACTTATCACACAAAATTGGCACTATGGCCAACCACCAACCAGTTTTGCTGACGAGAAATTCAAAGGACTGATTGCAAAGACAATCAAACTTTAAGTGAACACTACAAAAGCCAGTCATGAAACAAATCCTCTACCAGCGTATTTCAATGGAGTGTTGTGCATCCAAAATCAAAGTTATCTTTACAGCCAATAAGGGAAAGGAAAATATCACAAACAGCCAATGAGAATTTAAAGTAAAAACGCGCGGGAAAACGCGGGTGACCAGGAAGCGTTTGGCTTTGGTTTTGCATTTACGAAAATGGCGCGAGTTTTCTGGACCAATCATACCGCGAAGAAACGCGAAACCAAGGAATTCCGGATTGCTTTCGACAATCTGTTGAAAATAGCTCTAGAACAACTCAGAAAGCAATTTTCAATGAGTTTCTGGAGACACCCGATCTTACATTAGTATTGCTTTCCTTTCCGCTGTAAATGGTGATGAAAACTCGCGTCATTTGTATTCCCGCTCTTCACCCTTTAACTCCCATGAGTGATCAAGACAGAATTTCTCCTTACAATATCAATACAATATCAAGCAGGCAAGTGATGAGAATAAAGAAAAATATCAATCAGGGGATTATGAGTTGATCCCATAACAAATTCTCCACACTAACATTACAAGAACTGTATGGCAGACAGTAAGGAGAATTACTAATGAGATCTTGGGAGTTAAGGAATTAAAGCCGTTTCTCAATGGCTCTTTACGACACTTCCCTTTGTTCTGATTGGCCAATTCACATAACCTAAGATTTGGTTTTAAGTGAAAAAACAAACTACAAAACAAAAAATTTTGTAATAAAAAGAAAACGCTCTGAGCGTACCTCATAAACTTGTGCCGGCCGGAAGCCCTCCTCCAGTACTCTTATCGGTTCACCATTTCCGTTGAGCAGAGCAGGATTCCACATAAAGAAGAGATATTCTAGAAGCCTTTTGTATGATCTTCCCCTGGTTGACGATATCAGAAATTTATTGAGATTCCTTTTAGATCTTTCAATGTTCAACAAATGTGAAAATGTATATGTTGTTTGCCGGATGGGAGGTCCGTATAGTGAAAAACTGTGGCACAGGTTTTGAAAACTGCACCCGAGCCCGCACTCCTCAAGTTTGGGGTCACAGTTATTCGCTTTTCGAACCGACCTTCGGCAGGTAAAAGAAAATAGCTAATCTGTCTTTTCAACTTTCTTTATCGTCTTTTAAATGAATTGTTCGTGTTTGCCAATGTTTCCAATGTTCGTGTTTTCGTCCGTATCTTCAGGATACTAAAAATGTATTATTACTACGCCACGACAGGCTGTGTAACTCCATGAGGTAGCAAGTTTGGCGTTTAGAAGCTTAAATTTGAATACAGGCAATAGACTGTGGGCAAGTCCTTATCAATAGCGCTTCGGGATGAGCGTTTCCTCGCCCACGAGAAAGTGTGAGGCCTCGCGAGCCAACGAGAGCTCTGCAAGGGGTCTGGCGCTGATTATTAGTGCCAGACCCCCGGAAACCTCTCCCCGACTCGTCTCAAACCTTTCCACGGGCGGAGAAACGTGCGTTCTGGAGCGTTATTGATGAGAGCCTGCTTGTATCAAGTTTTGTAACCACATGTTCAAAAACTCACGAAAGCGTTACCGTGACCGCGGGAAAGATACACGAATCCAGCCTGCACTAAAACAAATCAGATTGTGGCATTTGATACCATACACTCTTAGGAAAAGAAAAAAACAAAAAAAAAACTTATCTCCTCAAGTGTTCATTTGTACATACTGGGTTAGCTCCGAAATATCATCCCGGTCCAATATCAGATCAAGTTTATCATCAAATCTCGTTCTTAAGATTCTGTTATGGATTCTCGTAATCCTGTGAACCTTGATACCAGAAATTCCCAAACCCTGAAATTTAACAAGAACTCAAGTGAGTTTTTTTTTTTAACAATTTAAGTGTCGAAAGTAATCACAAATTCCTTCGGTTCTGCTATACTTTGCCATGTGATTGGTCCAGAAACTCGCGCCATTTTCTCCACCAATCAGATCCAAGAGGGTTCTCCTTATCAGGCGGTAACTGGTAAAATTTACCTCTTGTAAGAGCACTTATTAAAGCCTGCAAACGCTCAGAACCCTTTAAAAATACGCACTTATGGTGAACTAATCTGGTAAGAAAGTGAAATAACAAGCCAACAGTGTGTACTACAATAGATCTACGTGTGCTTTAGTTAGCTAACACTGACTGGTACCTTTCGAATTTCGAAGCAAGAGTGATTTTTCGCGGACTTTCTGCTAAATCTCATGACATTTGTCAGTTCTCTGCACGAGCAAATATGGTGTCGTTTAGTTGTTCAGTTGTTCAGTTTCCAAGCTGAAACGGCAGCAAACAATGCTGTCGTTTCTGTCCAGTAACAAGAGGTCACGAAGAGTGGCTGGTAAGCTTTACAAGAATTTTATTGGTAAACAAAACAAAGGTTACGTACTAGCGATGGAAAAGCAGCCAATTGCCAGAAATAACCGCCTTGACAGCTCTACAATTGCCGACTGCATAAAGAACACGTGGGGACAAAGCTACTCTTCATCGTGAAATTCTACTTGAAATGTGTTTCAGAAAACGGTTTGAAAGAAGCCTTGAAAATAAAATCTCTCGACAGCGTAAAAGTTCTGAATTTGAGACGATTAGAACACGAATTCAGCTATTCGATGTGATTCGATTTCATAGCGATGCGATTCGTAGCTGACACCGCTGATTTTCCAGCGATATGCCATGTAAGTGACGCCAAAGATATCACCCGAAATCGAAGGGAGACAAGTTTACATTATAAGCAGTATTGTTCACATTATGAATTTTTCGATGGAGAGTTTTTGATAGGCGCGATGTACTGTATACTTTAGGAAATAACAAAGTTGATAATGACCAACCGTCTGCAGCTGCAAATGTGCTTTACTGGTTTGAAAAGGTCCCTTACCTATTGTGCTGAAAACTAGGGAGAACACTGTCCAAAACTAAAGCCAATTGCGACTCGGTAACCCGTGTATTCCCGCGCTTCAGGCAGTTCGTTTGTTTTTACTTTGGGCTTTTTCCGATTGGCTGTAGGGCTAGCTTTGGTTTTGCCTTTACAACACTCCATCGAAATGCGTTCTATTGTCATCTAATACATTAGAAAGGGAACGTGCATTTGCTTGAATTGCCAGGGCAATGACGCCAGTTTTAGAATAAAGCTTACTTATAAAGCCACACACAGAGGAGCGGTGGGATGTAGGGGGAGGGGGAAGTTTACTATGTGCCTTTGTTTTGCTTTTGTTCGGCTTTTGCTATGTGTTCAATCTGCTTTCGCACTTGTATTCTTTTTTCCCCCACCCTCCCCCCCCCACATCAATCCCAAGTTCCCCACACCGGTGGACTGTGGCTTGGTTTCCATGGTGACTTCTTTATTGCTGAGAAATTGTTCCCTTCCTCTTGACGAAGCGTTTAATTACACGATATTTATAATAAATAAGTGTCAATTCTTACCAAGTAGTCTCCAACACAGAACCTTGAAAAAATCAGATCATGGCAGGACTTGTACCTACAAACAAACAGACTTGATGTCACTGATGCTGCAGTAATCACCCGGGCCCCAGTTGCTTAAAATGCAGAAAAAGCCATTCAACTGATATATCGCTATGTAGCGGATAAGTGTTGACAAAACGTACTGCATTATCCACTGAAAAGACATTTATCCAGTGTATAGCTTGTGTAGTTGTTTATAACTCGTGTGAGAAAACTTGGTTCCAACAGCTTAAAAGCACAAAATAAGTGCGCATACTCGGCAGATATGGCGCGTCCGGAAAGCGTTTTGAGACTCCAGCGTGAATTAATTTCGTCGAGGAACGAACAGAACATTGTTTTACACTTTTTTAATGAGGACCAAGTAAACATATTAGTTTTTATGAAAGGACTGAAGGTTAAATAACAACCTTTTAATTAAACTTCATCGCAAGCAGTTTTAAATTTGTCCAGACAGCTAAAGCGGTGGCAGTCGCTACCAGTCGCTACCGTTACGGATGCAATACTTCAGTTCCTAAATTCACACCTGCAACCCCAAATTTTTTTTGTTGTGTAAGACATGTGACGGAGGAGTTGCCACAGAAACGTTCCTGAAAAGAGTAACCTTATCTGTTTTGGTTTGGGCTTATTCCCGCCTAATGAAAACAAACAATGCAAACTTTAAACACGCCGCCATTTTGTCTCGAGTGTTGCTATGGAAATATTTTCGTTCCCATTGCTTTACGCGCATAAAACTTCTCGCGCGTTGCAAGCGAACGCATTCATAATGCCCCTGTGTCCCAAGTCATTACAACGTTCGCACATGCACAGACGTTTGAGCACTGTGTTGGCCATTCCTGGGTCCTTCGTTAATTGTTATTCATGATTTATATAGTTCAATAATTTTGTACCACGGATCTGTTTGTTTGCCGTCTTCAAAGCGCACATTTCCTCCAGTCTCCAACTCCAACAACAGCCGCTGAACTGTCATCTCGGAGACATTATTGACTTGCTCACAACTCTCCTGATGACACTGATTAATTCTGAAAATAAAAAAGGGACGAGCTCTGTAAACTCTTCTCACTAATTTATAGGGAATCGTAGGCAACTAGTTTGGAGAAATATGATTTAGATCGAGGAGCACACAAAAGAAGAACCAAACATTTTTACAGAGTTCTTACTCTTCACGCTGTCTCTGCAGTTTCGCAATTCTTTTCAGCAATGCTTCCTTCTTCTTTTGCAGCTTCTGTGAGAACATCATTGTATCAGTCGCTAGGGTCTCTTTCTCTTCCAAGTTTTCTTTCTTGTCCTCGTCCCCTGCAACAGGACTTATGGGATTTTTGTTTTCTTTAAAAGATGATGACAATCCCTCTCTTTGTTCCTCAACCTCTCTCTCTATCTGTAAAGAAAAAAATTGGGAAATAACGATCCTTAAAACAATCTGTCGCCCTCTAAAGATGAATGTGATAGCGTATCACAACGGCCAATCAGAAGGAAAATACCCTAAAGAGCCAATGAGAACTCAAAGTAAAGAGCAAACTGCCAAAACCGCGGGAAAACGCGGGCGGCCAAGTCGTAAATGGTTTTAGTTTTGCATCTGATTGGTTGAGAGCGTGGCATGAGTTTTCTGGACCAATCACGGAGCGAAGTAAATCAAAAACAAAGTAATCCTGGATTACTTTCGAAACTCAATAGTCCATTTTACAGTTGCGTGCTTGGTTGCCAAGCCTTTGAACAGGAGTGAGGCTAAGGTTGACCTTGTTATGATACAAACCTTGCTGCTTTTCAAATGCAAATTTACTTTGTTATCATGCTAACTAGATACTGGTCTCTATCACAACAAAGTCATCTTCAGCCTCACTCTAAATCAAAGGCTTGGCAACTAAATACACAACTGTAAAATGGCCTCTTGCACATTCCTATAAAAGTATGACAATATTTTTACGAATTTCTTATTTATCGCTGTAAACATACATCTTTGACGGCTGAAAAGAGTTTAAGCATTCGGTTCCTGGGTTCAGCCTGAAGATTTGCTCTCTCAGTCTCCAGTCTGAAAAGCAAGTCAGCCTTGTTTCTCTGCATCGTCTTCACGCGCATGTTGTAATACATCTTCTTCTTAACCACTGTGGTCTAAAAGAAGAGAGAATTTAAGAGCTGAAAGCTGCCTGTTGGGCCTTAACATAATATGCATGTAAATAATGTTGTCATAAAGCTGAAATTTTTTTCCTTAAACAGCGAATGCTGTCACTGCAAAATATTCAAAATAGAATTCCAGGGCTTTCCAGGTTTTCCAGGACCCTGTATGTAAGATCTAGGCGCTTGCCAATTATTTCCGTGTAATTTGTAATTACCTATTCAGCTCTTAACTTTTTCATACTTTAGCTCTAAATATTTTCCTAATTTTTTCTTGGTAAGTTTGTCAGCGTTTTTCTTCGTCAGTTACACCATTTTGCTCGTTTCTCATACCACACGCTATTTCGCAGTCCTCTTGTATTTAAAGCCAGTTTCTTTTACGCTTAACCACTTTTTAAGTCAGTTCACCTAAAGTCGCGCTTTGCGCAGTTCTCTATTTTGCAGTTACATAGTAAGCGTTATCAATCCAAGTATTTTTTCCGTTTCGCTTTGTTTGAATTCATTTTTTGTTTGTAGTTTGTTTATCTTCATTACTTAACTGACCTCTGACGTATATTTTTAGTTTCAACCTACTACTACCGTAGCTCTCAAAAATAAAAGTATTTCGAGTTAGAAAGGTAACGCTTTTGTTGTTACACTGTGTATTGGCAGAACTTGACAACTGTGAAGATCGTAGAACTGCTTGGGTTAGTTTCGTGGATAAAGTCAAACCAGTTCTCTTGGTTCACATACCTCTGCCAGTTCCTTCAGTGTTTTATCGTCCACATTGTAGGAGTCCACTCTTTTCAGGTTTGGCAGGTGAAACAAGAGATGTGTTGAGTAGTTGCACAGCAAAGCCACTGGGTTTGGCCCGTACACAGGGTCTTTTAAACTTAGAGACTCCAAACATGACAGCTGTGACAAGTTTGTAAGATCCTACAACATGTAATGCAACAAAAAACTTCAGTTGCTTCTGCCACACCTTCAGAACTTCCTACCCATTGCACATACACATAAAGGCTTTTATCCCTGCGCCAGCAATTGATCGACCCAGTTTTTTCTGCCTCCCATCTGATAATACAGAGTTGCCATTAGAAAATGCATTAAATGTTTGATCTGAACTGAGTAAGCAGCTGAATTGATTTATGCTTGCGCAGCAAGTATTGCATGTTTCAAAGCAACACGCCCTAATAAGTAGGGCCAGGGGCATGCAACAGAAAAAAAATAAAATTCTAAAAGTGTGAGTTTTGAGAATTTAGTATTGGATCAATTAATAATCCCGTAACTGATATTTCTCTTTATTCTCATTGATTGTCTGCCTGATCTTGTATTGATATTGAAAAGAGAAATTCTGTTTTGGTCACTAACTGGAATTAAAGAGTTAAAGAACACAACAAATTTTTACCCTCAGACACACCTACCTTTAAGGATGAAATGCAATTTGCTGACAAATTCAAAGTTTTTAGATTTAAGTTTCCATCGAGAGAATTCCCTGTGGGTAAAGAAAAGAATGTTATTCATGCAATTTACTGTACATGAAAAGCGAAATGTTATTCATGCAATTTACTGTACATGAAAAGCAAAATGTTATTCATGCAATTTACTGTACATGAAAAGCAAAATGTTATTCATGCAATTTACTGTACATGAAAAGCGTAATGTTATTCATGCAATTTACTGTACATGAAAAGCAAAATGTTATTCATGCAAGTTACTGTACATGAAAAGCGAAATGTTATTCATGCAATTTACTGTACATGAAAAGCAAAATGTTATTCATGCAATTTACTGTACATGAAAAGTGAAATGTTATTCATGCAATTTACTGTACATGAAAAGCAAAATGTTATTCATGCAATTTACTGTACATGAAAAGCAAAATGTTATTCATGCAATTTACTGTACATGAAAAGCGAAATGTTATTCATGCAATTTACTGTACATGAAAAGTGAAATGTTATTCATGCAACTTACTGTACATGAAAAGTGAAATGTTATTCATGCAATTTACTGTACATGAAAAGCAAAATGTTATTCATGCAATTTACTGTACATGAAAAGCGTAATGTTATTCATGCAATTTACTGTACATGAAAAGCGTAATGTTATTCATGCAATTTACTGTACATGAAAAGCAAAATGTTATTCATGCAACTTACTGTACATGAAAAGTGAAATGTTATTCATGCAATTTACTGTACATGAAAAGCAAAATGTTATTCATGCAATTTACTGTACATGAAAAGTGAAATGTTTTTCATGCAATTTACTGTACATGAAAAGCGAAATGTTATTCATGCAATTTACTGTACATGAAAAGTGAAATGTTATTCATGCAACTTACTGTACATGAAAAGTGAAATGTTATTCATGCAATTTACTGTACATGAAAAGCAAAATGTTATTCATGCAATTTACTGTACATGAAAAGCAAAATGTTATTCATGCAATTTACTGTACATGAAAAGCGTAATGTTATTCATGCAATTTACTGTACATGAAAAGCGTAATGTTATTCATGCAATTTACTGTACATGAAAAGCAAAATGTTATTCATGCAACTTACTGTACATGAAAAGTGAAATGTTATTCATGCAATTTACTGTACATGAAAAGCAAAATGTTATTCATGCAATTTACTGTACATGAAAAGTGAAATGTTATTCATGCAATTTACTGTACATGAAAAGCGAAATGTTATTCATGCAATTTACTGTACATGAAAAGCAAAATGTTATTCATGCAATTTACTGTACATGAAAAGTGAAATGTTATTCATGCAATTTACTGTACATGAAAAGCAAAATGTTATTCATGCGATTTACTGTACTTGAAAAGCGAAATGTTATTCATGCAATTTACTGTACATGAAAAGTGAAATGTTATTCATGCAATTTACTGTACATGAAAAGCGAAATGTTATTCATGCGATTTACTGTACTTGAAAAGTGAAATGTTATTCATGCAATTTACTGTACATGAAAAGCATAATTCCTCATCATGAATAAGAAGGCATGGAGGTCAAAACTAGAAAATGATTGTGCAGAAACATTAAATTTCAATTACTGCTCACCAATTTCTGTAATCTTATTTCCTGCCAAGTTCAGATCAAGGAGATAAAGAAGCTTCTCTAAGCCCTAAACAAAAAACATACAGTTACTTCTTATTTTCTCTGAGGCATCACAGCAGGTCAGAATCTTAAATCCTTGAATCTGATTGGCTAAACCTTGGTCCACAAGAGCAAACCAGAAGAAATGGGTTAATAAGTTATCTACTGGCCTAGGTCAGTCTGTTTGGGATAAAACTGATGCCTTGGTCTTGAGTACAGCCCTCTGCAATTGGCCTTGGGCTTTACTTAAGACCTGAGGACCAGTTATTTCACATAATTTTTTATGGACTCCCTCTACTGGTATATAACATATATTTACTGAAAGAGAACTGACCAATACATGCACATCAGTCAGACTTATAATAGAGACAGAGACTGTAAAATAACTATATGCTATGCTGCAAAGAAAAAAACTGTTAATTTGAGTTAAATGTATTGTGTATGGAAGAAAGAAAAAATTCTGAGCTCGAACACAACTCAAAAGCGAGACTATATGTGCATTGCCTCTTTTCATGTGTCCCTCAGATAACAGAACTCCCTTAAATTCATACCTCAATTGCAATGATATTGTTGTTGTTCAGCCATAAAACATTCAGCTGTTCCAGGTGAGAAATATTCTCAATCTTTGTAATCTTGTTGTCATATAAGAACAGCTTTTTCAACTTCTTACAGCCATCAAGGCCAGAGATAGCCTGGAAAGTAGAAATTCATAGTAATCATAACAGTATCATAATTATAATTTCCTAACTTGTGATTAGTGAGTTAACTGCTTTCTTTTTCACAAGTCATTCTGCACAGTTGTAATTGGACAGTGTAATCTGACAGTTGCGGTTTGGACAGTTGACTGTAATCAGAGAGTTGGCTGTAATTGGACAGTTGGCTGTTGAAGCAACCAATCACTCTAAGTCAACTCAGCTAAATCTACCAATCACAAAATTTCTCACAATAACCATACCAACAACCACTTAACCTAAAAAAAAAGTTGGGGAATTTCTAAAATGGAGGAATTTTAACTTTAGACATTGTGTCTACCGAAGATATTTGTCCTAAATGTACCTTCCTCTTAGTGTGTGACTTTATAGCTCAGTTGGTGGTTTCTGGCAGGCACAAGTTTGAATCCTGCCAATTTGAAACTTTAATAATTTGCTTTAGGATTTTCCAATCTTAGACCTCGCAAATTTTGGCGATTTCATGTTTTTTTCTTTTTAATAGAGGCATGGTTTGCTTAAGTTCCCCATTAATATTTGAGAATTCAACCTTGACTTGTACTTACAGTTATCTTGCTTTCAGACACACATAACTCTGTAAGATTTGGCAAACAGTCCAGATTCTCCAGCGTTGTAATCTGTTGTCCCATCAGAGTTAAATTTTGAAGATCTGGGAAGTTCTCCATACCAATAATCTTGGGAAATCCAGAGAAGAACATCTCCAGGCTAGCAACATTCTTTCCTGCTCCTTTCTGAAGCTTTTCAAATTTGATCCCATTTACTGTGCACTACATGAAAAAAAAGAGAATTGCTTATTAACCAATTCACTCCCAGCAGTGACCAAGACATACTTTCTCCTAACAACACCAGTACAATTTCATGCAGACAAGTAATGAGAATATAGAAAAATATCCTTCAGGAGATAACCAAATGTTTGATCCAAGAATCAATTCTTAGAACTAAAACTATGAGCAGTGTGTGGCAGAAAGTAAGGAGAGAGAGAGATCTTGGGATTGAAAGGGTTAAGAAAAAGCTTATTTCAAATCAAGGTTTGATAGAGATTCTACTTTGTATTGTGAAAGTGCCAAATGACACCCTTCAGCATGAGGGAAAGCTGAGTAATCTGCATCATACTCCAAGCTACATTTTACAGCACAATATAGCAGAAATAGGAAATGTAAATGAAGGTGATCTTCATTACTAAAAAGTAGTAGTGAAAATAAGGCCTGAAAAAAATTCAGGACTGTACAGGATGTGAACCCATGACCTGTGTGACACCCGTGCAGTGAATTTTCTTCAGGCCTTATTTCCACTATTACTTAAGTACTAACTGCCACAATCAAGTCTTTACTCAAGAGAAATCAGAAGCTAATTACTCTTAGGAGTCAAAGGATAAAAGAAAGATGTTATTCATTGATCACAATGGGGAAAAGGAAAAAGCAAAGTCTCCTATGACAAAAAACCTCAGAGTTTTAGATTTTGTTTCACAATGTTCTACCTCTGAGCTATAGAGACCCTCCTGGTGAACTAGACTACTACCATGTTCAAATGATGTGACAGGTGTTCTACCGCAATGTTGACAGTGTTATGTGACAATATACAAATCACAAATTTCTCTATTAGTTCTATAATTGTCAACCAATGAATAATATCTTGCCTTCTCAATAACAGAGCTCACAATTTACCACCTCTGTGAGAGTCTATTACCTAATTACCCCTTACAATATCACCCAGAAATCACAAATGAAGGCCACAAGAATAAAGGAAATGATTTCCAAGTAAAGAAAGTCTTGATTGTTCAACAAATTCTCCTAATTAGCTTAATCAAAAAAATGTATGAAAAACAGTATAGAGAATATGCTCACTGATATTGGGGTGTAAAGGTTTATTTCATTTTTGGGTCTAATTTTATTTGTGCATAGCATGAGTGCAGTGATGCTAAACAAAATCAAATCAGTTACCAGTTCATGAAGTTGACTTTTGTTTTTGGTCTTTTTTGCTCCTTTACTGCTTGCCTGAATTGCTTGTTTCTTTCCCAAAGAACAAAACAAAACAAAACAAAAAATACCCAATCACATAAGCAAAAAAATATGCAGAGCAAACAACATCTCATCATTTTCTTGCCTGTGAGCAAGCCCTTATTAATAGTGCTGCAGGAAGCATGTTTTTCCTGCCCAAACGAAGATTTGAGAGGAGTGGGGGAGATGCTCATCAGGAGTCTGGCACTAATTGCTAAACCTCTAGCAGACCCCTCCTCTCTTCTAAAAGGACCTTCCCATTTCACCCCTCTCAACCTCCTTTTGGTGAGTGATACTGCTAGATAAATGCACCTACCAATGGTTTGCCCCAGGATTGGGGTGGAAATTGATTGGGAGGGCCCTCCTTAGATGGGGATTTTGACATTTACCCACTGATTTCAGGTCAGGAGTTTGACCTACCTGCCATGTTAGGAGTCCAGCAGGTGATTTTGAAAACCTGAAAATGTCATATTCCCCTGGGTTGGCAAATCTCAATGCAAAGATGGTAAATCTCAATAACAAACTGATCACCTCCCTAATTAAGAAAGCTTGTATTACTGAAAGTACATAAATTTTTTCCATGCTGCATTTTAGATGATTGAGACAAACTACTTGGCCAGCTAGCACATCTAAATGAAAAACTGTTCACCTTATTTAATTATGACAGCTTGAATTATTATTAATTAGTGCATAAATTATAATAATTTTTCGGTGTTGCATGTCAGGTTATCAAAACGAAACGAATCATGTGGCCAGCTGACAATTTTCAATGACAAACTGATCATCTTCTTTAATCGTGACAGCTCGTATTGCTATTAGTGCATAAATTAGAATATTTTTCTAAGTTACATTTCTATGTGATCCATTTTTTAAGTGAATTTACTTTTTGCTTAATTGTACTAAATGAGCTTGAGAATATTAAAATGTCAGGTGCAAAATCTGATTTAATGGATCAATGTAATCGATACCTTGGAACAGCAGGGAAATAGAGCAAAGGAAGGTTTAAAAAGGAAACATCTGGATATATTATTGTGATTATAATAAGTCAGGACTCAGTTGTGTGGAACAAGATGTTTAAAGTTTGATGCAGAGCTATCCGCAGATTCGTAAACAACTGTTGTTTGCGATGTTTATTAATCTATATCGATCAAAACAACACAAAGCATCATTCAAGAAAAACCCAAAACAAGTATTAAAATAGAACGCAACCCTAACGAGAACTAGCCATAACACCTTGCCGCATCTGCGAGAAAAGTTCACAAATTTCCCAAACAGGAGTCTTCAGTGTTTAAACTTTGTTAAAACTCACCAATTCTCTCAATGATTCCTCATCTTCACCCGAAGAGGCTGAATCCGCTTTTTCTTCTCTGGAACCCCTCATTTTATTGACTAGTCATCATTCGTTTTCGCGAGGAAAAATATGTTGCAGGAGGATCTCTACGCATTTGAAGAAAATTGGCTCGATGCAAGTGATGACACACCGCCATGTTTTCTCGAAGACTCAAAATGGAACAATCTGATTGGTTTACAGTTGCTCTAGAAACTTTCCCGTCCCAGCTTTAACTCCGGATTCCTGGGTTTGATCAGGAAGATGACACTTACGCTTCTTCGACAACGCGCACTTAAAATTCCTTCTCTGATAGCTGCAGCCAGAAGGTTTAACAGCAGTCTTGTCGAGACTGAACAAGATGGAGAGATCTTCCTTGTATCGATTGCACGACCCGAGAAGCGCAACGCGGTTGATGCAGAGACCGCGAAAGAGCTCGCAGACGCGTTTAGACATTTCGAGATCGACGATGAAAGTTCAGTGGTTGTGTTGTATGGGAAAGGAGAAACGTTTTGTGCAGGATATGATCTAGAATATCTATCTACCAGGGGTCCTGATGAGTTCCTGAGATGGCTCACCCCCCCTGGAGAAGGAGACGGTCCCATGGTGCGTTACAATGTTTACGTTTATGACAGACACTGAAAATACGAAATACAAAAATTATTTGAAATTATGCAAACACTTGGCATCTTTTTTGCTATCTATAGAATTCTATTACGCTCGATTTTTTTTAAATGGGAGTCTTCTGTTTTGTTATATTTTTTTCTAGTTTGTTTTGTATTGCATTCATTGATCGTTTGTCCACTGGTGCAGTAGTAGGGGCTATGATGGAGGCGCAGCGATGTGGAAGAAAAAGAACTCTTTCATATTGGAATATTTCGGATATTTTCCTGTTATCCTTTTTTCATCCAGTGACTATTTCAAGAGAATAGCTTTGCTGAACAATTTAGCCATGAAATATTGCCGTTAAAAAACCCTTAAAACCATGTTATCCTGATTAACAATGCTAATTAGTGAGTAAAATTGGATGCCAATATAAACACAGAGAGAATTCCCAAAGAGACAGGAGTACAATATGGATAGTATTATCAGCTCTTTGAACAACTGGACTGTGGTATTTTATCACAGAAGGGTCATTCATTCTCCTTTTCCCATTGTTGAAAGTAATTGAAATCATACCACATAGTGTTACAATAAAAATCTGTGAAAACATCAAAAAACTTGAAAAATATTTTTTTTACATGATCACTGATTGGTGAGATGCATGATCACCCAAGGTGACATGAGAAGCTTTTAATTAAAATCCCTGTCCTTTTTTGTCATGGCAAAGGAACAGGCCCTTAATATTGAGGATTTGGCACAAATATTTCTTCAAATACAAGGAAAGTATGAGGTGTTGAACAATGAAAGCTGGTAAAAGGTCTACAAGGGATCTCACACACTGATAATATATAGATGTTTTTACTCTCTGTCCAGGGCCCAACTCGATTGAAACTCACTAAACCAGTGATTGGTGCCATTGAGGGACATGCAGTTGCAGGAGGAATGGAGTTGGCACTGATGTGCGATCTCAGAGTTGTTGCAGAAGATGCAGTCATGGGAATGTTCAACAGAAGATTTGGTAATAAAAAGCATTAACAAATAACCTATGCAGCCCTTAACATACTTTGAAAGAAAAAATCTTCTATAATTGTGGCAAAAGGGCTTAGTACAGTGGCAATGTGTGACTGTTTAAGGCAGTAGTGATATTGCCATCTAGGGGGAAGTAGTGATACTGTAGTTACTTCATGCAACCGTGATAATTAGCTCTGGCTGGGTAGGTGAATAGGTTTGAGTACAGACTGTACCTTTTTGCTTTGACAAAACAGCATTATTAACATATGATATTATAATTGTACAAAGGTGTGCCTACAGTGGATGGAGGTACAGTGCGGTTACCATACATTGTTGGTCTTTCACACGCATTAGACCTGATCATGACAGGCCGTGCTGTACATGCAAAGGAAGCTCTTAACATTGGCCTTGCTAACAGAGTTGTTCCCAAAGGAAAAACAGTCGAAGAAGCTGTCAAACTTGCAAAAATGTTGGTTTGCTTTCCAAGAGAGGCACTGTGTGCAGACCGCAAATCTGTTTTCTATGCCACATTCAATGCAGATTCCTTTTACGATGCTCTGACATATGAATACTCCAAAGGAGTGAAACTGCAAATCATGAAGGATTCCATTGAGGGAGCAAAGCAGTTTTTACAGGGGAAAGGCCGTAAGGGTTCGTTTGATGACTACTTGGATTAAAATTGATTTTACACATTACTTTTACACATCAATTTAAGAACAAAGTGCTAAGTATGAAAATGAATTAAAGCTAGCTAACTTCAAAACATTATCATATTTTACCCTTTAACTCCCAGAAGTAATTAACATAAAATTTCTCCCAACAATATCCATACATTATTTAGCAAACAGGTAATGAGAATATTCAAACTTATCAGGTAGAAGCTGCTATCTTGATCTAGCACCAAGTTATCATAACTAATTCACAAGGAAATGTGTAGCAGCTAGAGGGGAGAATTAACAATCAGATCTTGGGAGTTAAAGGGTTAAATTAAATTTATTTTCATTGAGATGAAGACTTCTACGTCAAAAGAGATGTTTTACGGGTAAAATTTAAAAGACTGAACTGTAAGCATTTTCTTTGTTTGTGTTGTATTTATTAGGTTTTACAGTATGTTTATTTGACCCTGTGACTCCCAGATCAAATTTGTAATTCTCCTTACTGTCAACCACAAAATTATTTTAATATTAGTTCAGAGAATTTAGAATTGGATCAACTAATTATCCCCAAATTCATATTTTTCTTTATTCTCATCACTTATCTGGTTGATATTGTATTGATGTTGTAAATAGAAATTCGGTCTTGGTCACTCATGGGAGTTAAAGTGTTAAAGTACAAGCCTTTTGTTTAGTTTCTTGATTGCTAATCTCATCCCATGATTCATTGCAAACTGGCTGTTGTGTGTGTTGATGCATTAACCCTTCACACACTAACATCAGTATACATATTCTCCATACTATTCTGATACATTTCCTAAGGTGCTGACTAGGAGAATTTGTTTAACAATCAAGAACTTGTTTGGATTGTGATCAGGGGTGATATTTTAAGGAGAAATTAGATGCCACTCACTGTTGGGGTCAGGATTAACTAAGGGAAAATGATTGCTTTCATTTGATGTGTTATTTTTAAAAGGCCATTTGCAACAGTACTCCAAAAAGTGCTTCTTTTATTGTTTGATTTTTGAAATTCTTGATTCAGTGTATACAGACCTCGTACATTGAGGGACGAAAAAAACCCACATCATTCTCTATTTATTTTACAGTTCTTAAAGTAGGTAGAGGTCATAAAATGATTAAAAGAACTCTTCGAATTACCAATTTCACCAGTACCCTCTGTGTCTGAAAAGACAACTCACCATAACAATACAATTTTTCATAACAACAAACTTGCCAACGTGTGAAAAATTCGTCAATATTTCCATTTTCTTTTATTTCTGGGGCGCGATTGAGAAGCTATTCTAAAACAGTAAAACAATAAAAACACTCAGCCTGCGGCCTCGTGCTTTCAACAGTGTTCTCGTGTTTGGAACCCTGATGAAAACCGATGCACGAGTTTTTGAAAAAGTAGTTCGACACACCAGGAACTCTTGAACATACCCCAAAGGTGGTCTGCCCGTGTACCTAAAGGCCTATTTCCAACCTTGATGGAAAGCAGCCGTTTGTTTTTGTTTTGAATCACTTTTGTGGCCTTGTCCAACTTAAGTGGACATGTTCAATTTGTCATCTGACTCTCCTTTGGACCCACATGGAAGTTTTTGTTTTGGCTAACGCAGTCAGAGGTTAATTCAGTTGATCGGAAGCATTATGATTAAGAGCTTTGTTGTTCATTCAGAAAGTCTCGTGAAATTGTTTGGTTTGGTTTTCTAACAACATTGTCTAGTCATCAAAACCGCAAAAGATTGAAGCGAACTGCCCTCCATCCGTTTACGTATTACTTGTCACACTCAGTAAGAATCGAACATTGTTTGTCTGAGTCACGAGGGAGAAGTACTCTTCGCTATTGTCACGATATTTGTCTTAAAGCTCTTTAATCTTCCCGCCAAGCATCAATCTGGCGCCAAATTTATCAGTTAGTTACAGTGCCCTCCTAACCCCTTGCACAACTGATCAAGTCCAGCCAAAGGGATTTGGCGCCGCGTGCTCTTCACATGCCACGGAATTTTTGGCAACGCGAAGTGAAGAGCTACAACGAAATAAAACGGCAAAGATAATTTTTTATAGTTTTGGTTTCTGTTGTTACCAATCTAGGCAGGTGATATCCAGTATGGACTAGTTTTGCAGACTCGTTTTAAAGCGGAAATTTGACGATTTAAAGTTTAGCTTGAGGCGGAAATTCTTGCCTCATCATTACGTTATCTAATCTTAGAGAGTCAACAGACTAATTGTTTCTTTCATCACGTCTCCCACTGGCGTTAAAGAAAGAAGTCTCTGACCTGCATCACACCCAGGTGTTTAAGCTTCTAAGTAAGAAATACAAAATCTCTTTTGAAGTAAATACCACAAAAAAAAAAGATGGCGATACTTGGTAGCTTAGAATTTAGCAGTCTTTAAGCTGCAAAATAACCGCGCTGAAAATTAATTGAAGTTCACAGTGTAAGAGAGTGAAAAAGAGCACATGGGGGCGAATGGATGAATGGAGGTCAAGCGCATCTTCTGAAATAACACATATCTGTCTCCCTCTTAATTTAGTGGTCTGATATCTGTTTCTTATGTAAACAAGTAAACCTTGCATAAGCCATCGCCCTTTTGACAATTGAAAGTTTTCAAAGAGCCAATCAAACGAAAGTTCTGTATCTCATTAAATATAATATGATCAAAATAGCAATTCATTAATTCGGAGAAATCAGTCTTCAAACGAAAGTTACAGAAAAACTAAAAATGTCTCTGGATAAACTATTAGATTATTTGGAGCCAAAAACTTTTGGCAAAATTCACTATGTAGTAGTGGTTTTTTGGATCCTGATTGGTGTCATCCCCCTTGTTATATTCGCCGAAATGGAAAACAGCGAACCAAGGTTTGATTTCCGCTGTGACGCAGCGAAAAGTAAAAACATCGACTTCGTCCGGGGAAAATGTTACGAGAAATACCAGGAGCGGTACAACAAATTCGCTTTGCCTGTCTACGGCTTCGTAATCATAAATTTCGTCCTCATTATATTTGTATGTGTTATCTACTCCCAAATAGTAAGACCTACAGTCAATCGACTGTCGCGAAGCATTCGTAATGGTGATCCAGAGAGACAGTCGAGCGATCAAGAGGACCCATTATCAACGGGAAAGAAGCTTTTTATCGCTTACTGCGGTCAACTATCCATAAAACTTGTTTTAGGAGTTGTTTTCATCATCCTACAAACTCAGTTGCTTTATCCTTCAAAGTTTTCCTCTAAGTTTCACTGTTACTTAACCGATGGAACCACTCAGCCAAGGAATTCATCTAACAACGCCCAACACTCTACTTTGCACGACTGTCACAATCAACGAGCGGCAAAGAAAACCTTCTGGATGGACTTTGTCCTTGTGTTAAATGGAATTTTCGTCGTTAGTATTCTGATTGAAATCGTCTACATTTTTTTTAAGGCATGCAAAGAAAGGGATTTCATGCAAAACTCAAAGTTTCAAGCATCTCATCTAAATCCTCCCGAAGAATCTCAACAGCAAGAAGGAACACAACTTGTAACAAACAACCCACATGAACCTCAGCGGCAAGAACGGACAGAAACAAACATCTCACAAGAAGACCATGAGACGACCATCCCACATCGGCCAAGCGGGCCTGAACAACTCGTAAATTCACCGCTTCAGGAATTCATCCAGAATACAAAGGAAATGATTATGGACGACACTTATCAACCCCCACAACTCCAGTCGCTTTTTCCAAGTCCTCCTGGCAAAGGACACCCACCTAAACATTTGACTCTGGATCAGATTTACACAAACCTTGTTGTTGTACCTAACATGGCTGATTATGACTTTACTGAAGACAGACGGAAGAATTTGGAAATCTACGCCAGGTCGGGTGTTAAAAACGAAACACCGAGAGGGCCAGAGGACATTCTTAATCACGAAAACAAAAACATTTTGATCGTCGGTCGTCCCGGTATCGGAAAGACTATTTGTTGTACAAAAATTCTCAGAGACTGGGCATCTAACAAAGTATTCCATGAAACACCCGATGACAAAATCCACTTTGATGCTGCTTTCTTCGTCAAATTCAGATTATTCAACGCTGCAACCGACCTTAGTCTTCGGAAGCTACTGACCCGCTCCACATACTCACCCAGGAACAAGCTGAATGAGGAAGTCTGGAATTACATCCTAGAAAACCCTCAGAAAGTTCTCCTTATTTTCGATGGAATTGATGAATTCAAAGATAACTCAAAGATCGGCACGGAAAATGAGCAACCCCAATTCAAAAACAGCGTAGACAAGAAGATGCCCCTCTCGGCGCTTTATGCCAAACTAACGACCGGAAAACTTCTCAAAGGGGCGGCAGTTTTAACTACAACAAGACCTACAGCTCTGTCATGCACCGAAAGTATTCGTTTTGACAAAATCCTTGAGATCCTTGGCTTTTCATCCGAACAAGTCGAAGAATACGTAACCAAATTTGCTGAAGATGACAAGGAAGCAGGCGACACAGTAAAGCGTCACATCACCAGCAACATCAATATCTTATCTCTATGTTACATTCCTGCGAGTTGCTTCATCATTTGCTCAAGTCTCTTTAAAATGGTGAAGTTCTATACTCCTAGAGGTCTTAACCTACCAACAAGTTTAACAGGCATATACAAGAGAGCCGTGAAAATTTTCTACTTGAGACACAACGAAGAATTTCGCGATAAACATTTCACTCGCAAAGACTTTGAATCAGATGAATTGCCCCCCGAAGAAGAAAAAAAATTGAAGAAACTAGAAAAATTGGCATTTGAAGGAATTAAAGAAGGAAGACTGCTCTTTGGAGAAAACGAAGTAGGCGGAATGGAGGACAGCGCTCTATTTTACCGCTTACCCGACCGGGAACTTGACTGGCTTAAAAGCGAAGGACAGTTCTGTTTTATTCATCTCACAATACAGGAGTTTTTCGCCGCGAAGTACCTTGTTAACAACATGAGTAAAAGAAAACTAAGGAACTTTGCTTCTAAGAACATTAAGGAAGGCAAATGGCAGCTGGTTTTTCAGTT